TCAGCCTCAAGGCAAAAGTAGTCAGGCCCACCCAGGACACCCTGAGAGCGGCCCGCGCCACAGGTACCTCAACGCTGGACTCTAGAAACACAGGATGATGATGGAATCCCCCCCCCCCCCAAAAAAATAAAAAATAAAAAGATGCCTGACCAGAAACATGATTCTAACTGACTCAGTTCACTAGAGAAATCAATCAACCACAATCTGTTTGAGTCACCATTAAAACAAATAAGATTACAAGAGAGCTTTGATATTTTTTAACCTTGGTTTGAATTTTAGGCTTTGACTCAGTTCCATGATCGTCCCTCTTTCTAGACATTATTACCAGCTCTTAAATGAGGGGGGAATCGCCTTCATCAGGCTACTTCCTTCCTCTTTTAAATGTTTTACTCCACTGCTTCTCTTTGCCCTGCTGCTTTTTGAATGGCATCATAGAATACTGCCTTGTCATATTGTTTTTACCTCTCCTTCTCCAGAGTGACTGTAGTACTATCCTTGCCCACTAGATGACACTTTTTGAATCCCCCTCCTCTCTGTTTCCTCCCTTGTGTGTCCACTCTGTTTTGTTCTCCTCGTGAATGCAAGAAGTCCTGCACATTTTTCCTCCTATCTAAATTCCCACTTTCTTTCCTTGTTCTTTTTTTTCAGACCTTTGGATTTCTGTCATTTCTGTTTTTACTAAAAATAATTTCCATATGATGCCAACACTTAGCCAATCTAGCCATGAGTGTTGATGCAGAAATAATGTCTTTGTTATATCCCCTTAATAGTACCCTCTTGATAAAAAGCGGGCACTTTCTCACATACTAATAGACTGCAGTGAGGCCATGCTGTAGAGGCCCCTATGGAGAAGGGTTAAATAAAGTTGGCTGTAGAGTGAGCAACTGGAGGAGGGTCAGACATGCTGACCCTCCTTCAGCCACTGTAAGGGTGAGTCTCAGTGAGAACTTGCCATTTCTCCTCACTCTTGGCTCATGGAGTGGAAACCTTCAGGGAGATGTTTGGCTCCTGTGTGTTTGGAATGAGATGTGACATTGAACTCTCACACACTCAGCTCTACAGCCAGAGTATTTCCCCCTCATGAGATACAGCCTGCTGTGCATGGATGTCTGTGTTCGATTCTGTCTTTATTAGACATGTTAGTTCCTGTTTGATGTGTTTATGTGTGTGTGTTCAGGTTTAATGTACATGTCTCTGTCATTGTGTACTCAACTCTCTTAAGTCTTTCCCTGGTTGGATGTTTTTGCTGCAGTTTCCTAGTTTTGCTTCTTTGAGAATAGTTGTCCTATAATGCCAAATATTTTAGGAATAGTATTTGCAAACATTTTTAACCCACTTGATGTGTCATAAATTATTGATTTGCTGCCTAAACAAACTATTTTCTTCTTGTTCGATTCAAAATATAACTAGCTTTTCAAGGTTATATTTTATCTACAACTTAATCCAACTCTGTCACAGAGATAAAAACACTCTACAGAGATTTGTTGTTGTATGCATTTAATGATTCAATAACCTCGCTGAAACCCATAGTAACCAACTGACCCAGAGCTAGGGGTGTGAAAAAATATAGCTATAGCAATAAATTGCGATATTCTAGGCCAGAGCATCTACTGAACCAGATAATTTGACAAGCGTCTGATGTCTGAGATTTAAAAAAATAACTATTATCAGACTAAGCTCATTATAATGACTTTCTGTTTAAAGCTCTTTTAGTTAAAACCTTTTTACTTCACGAACAGGCCCCAAAAAAAAGATTTTATCAAAATTTTCCTGATCATGTGGGCGCTATTACACAAAAACAACTTGCAAATACTATTTTACTGAGGTTTCTGCCCCGCCAGGTCTAACCTGTTTCTTGGTTTTCCCGCAGCCGCAGCAGAGCACCAGGCGTCGTTGGCTGCGTTTCCTCCCATTCTGACCTCCCAGACAGCATCTCCTCCTCCAGCTCCCCCTCCCCTAAAGGCCTGTCCTTCCTGTTTCGTGTCCTTTGGGCCGCGCTCCCTTTCCAGCTGCTCCTCCTGCTTCTCATTGGCTTGGCCTGCTTGGTGCCCATGACAGAGGAGGATTACAGCTGCCACCATGCCAACAACTTTGCCCGCTCTTTCCATCCCATGCTCCGCTACACAAACGGACCTCCACCCATATGAGATGCAGCAAATATCTACTTTCTTCTTTGCCTAGAACTCCACTGACTCCTGTGAATGTCTCCTCCTCACCCTGTGCCCTAAACCAATACACTCTTCTCCTGCCAAGGAGCCTGAGCATGATGAACTGACTCAAAGGTTATATGAAGATTTCTCTGTAGCATTGCACACATACACACACACTTCTACCCTTTAAAGACACACTCCAGAACAAACAGACTTCATCTGAAGACCTTTGCTTGCCCCCCAATCTAAATATTTCTTATTGTTTTAGCTTAAATGTGTATTTCATTTTTGAAGGTTTTCATGGAAACCTGTGGAATCAATGAAAACAAAGCACTATTTACATACAGTATGTTGGAAGCCAAAGTTGACTGTGTTTTTTGTCCATGATATCCAGTGCTGCTAGTATTTATTTAGTATTCAATCAGTTGATAGATTGGTAGTTGATGAAGTGAAAGCACCACCTTGAGTGCGGAAAGTTGTACCTTAAACTGTAATAGAGAGGTACAGTTTAAGTGTTGAAAATTCAAGTTAAACTTAGAGCACTGACATGGGCCCTGTCAAAGGTACTGCACTGAAGCTGTAAACCCAGGATGGCCGACTTCTTTTCCAAGTACTTGTATTTCTAATTTTATTTCAGTTTTTGATCAACAGTGGCATATACTTACAGAGAGATCTGTGCACCCTTGTTAAAACTTTCCAGCTGATTTGTATATTATTGTTAAAATTCCTTTGAATGCAAGCAGTTATTTTTTTATCTTTCAGTTTGAGCATGCATTGGAGAGTCCCCAGCTTTTAAGAAGGCAAAACAATCACTAGTAGTGTTTTAGTAGACTGCTGTGTCCTGAAATATTGTGCTTTCTAATAACTGCAATGATTATTCTGCAGTGATGAGACATCAGGATCACTGCGCTTTTAAAACAGAATCTGTAAAAAATGAAATATGAAAATGGTTATTTATGTATGTACAGTTTGCTAATGCTGACTTAATGAAGAATGCTCTCTTTGCATATAATAAAACATGAATTAATTACTTCTGTGTGTTTCCTTCTCTGGTTTGGGTATCTGTGAGCAGCAGTAACAGTGCTGAAAAATACTTTCACAGCTGAAGCGTTTATTTTCAGGCACAGTGGATATATGACAGTCAGGTCAGGTTTGACTGGAATTACACTGAACAGTTCAATAGTACAAACACATGCTGAGGCTTTATAGACATTCCAGAGAGAAGATTTGACAATGTACGACTTAACTGTTTCTGCTCAACTTTGTTCAACTTTTCACTCCACCTACAGTTGATTTGCAACGTATTCATCAACAAGTAGCCACTTTATCTTTGTGTTGTCAACAACCCAGAGCAGTGGTCAGTTTTCACAACATTATTAAATAAGGAACGCTTGTATCAATTAGCTGAACGCTCTTGCCAGAAAAAGCTGGATTAAGCAATCAAAGCAGTTTTTTTTTTCAGTTTTGACTTTTTTCACCCAAATTTATTAGTGCTGTCACAGAGGCAGATGATACACTGGTGGGAGCAATGGATTTAACCCAGCAGTCACTATTTTTTACTTTCTTTTGACAAATTTTACTGTAGTGCTTTATGGTAAATGGCTCCTTTGAAGCAAACACCTGGTTTTCTCTATATCTGAAATCTACCACATTGGATCTTAATGGGTTCATTTAAACTGACTTTAAACAATGATATCACTGTGCATATGTACAACATGATCAGATTTTTTGAGGTGTGTATTCCAGCCAAACTCAGTCTGTGATCACTGAATGGGTAAGTGTAGAGGAACAAGGTTTAGCTTTATCTTGCAAATGTTGAACAAGCTCAAGGTGACTCATAGATCATGGCTTCAGATCTCTCTTGGACACATAAACAGAGATATTAACATATAACTTGGAACACATTGGCATAAAAACAAAACATTCCTAACAAAAAAAAAGGTTAAACTAAGGTGAAGCCACCCAACAAAGAGAGCTGGCTTGCAAGCTTTCTTGATCATACCACTTTCAAGCTCCTGTGAACTTTCGGTTTAAAATTGGCGCCGCCTGTGGACAAAATGGTCTCGCTTGTTTTCTCTTCTTCCAACAAAAAACTAGTATTGCTAACTTTGACCATCAAATGTTTCATTAATTGTATAGATGTGACATTTTGTCAATGTGACATTCAAACATTTTTAAAAAGCTCTTCCTTTAGCTGTTCAACTGACACTTTCCCTCTAAAAACCCTTTCAGGCATAAAAATTACTATACAACAGTCATCAATTTTGTGAGTGATGGTCCTGTTTCCCTCTGTATATCATAATAAGGCATCAGTATTAATTCTAGCCTATTTTATAAATGTCAAAAAACTCCTAACAGGTGCTTTAAGCTAATCAAAATTCAAACGAGACATCTCCAGCCAAGGTTTATGTCATCATTCCATCATTCATATCATTTATTCTTTAATTAAATTTTAAAAATTATACATGCCCATATAACCTACACAGAATAAATTACACTTTGATTCTGGTTGATCATATTGTGCATCAAATCATGTACAAGTACAATAATGCCTATTAGCCTCTTAAACCCAAGAGGAAGTGCACTTTGGTTGAGGCAAATAAAGAGAAAGATTTAGCTGCTGGCGAGCCACAATATGACAATATGTAAGGTGGAGATTAAAGATCGACTGTGCTGAAGCTTAAATTTTCACGGAATAGTGCAAAAGAAAAATGTCTCCTTTCAAGAGCTTTGACCAAAAGTAAACCACTCAATTTATTTATTTATTTCCTTTCTTCCTGTGACACCTTTCATTCCACTCATTCATCATCTATAAAAACCACCTTTAGGAACAGCTTATTGAGCTCTGGCTTATAGGATGTGGGTGCAACCAGAGCGAGGCCCTCCATACTGCAGGACCCCCGGATCTGTGGGAGGTTTGTAAGGGCTCTCATGGTTGATCCGGGGACCAGCTAAGGAGCAGCTGCTGCTGTTGCTTTTGTCGTTGTTATCGTTGTTGGTGGTAGTGGTGGAGGAGGTGGGGTTGCTGTACGCAGGCTCTCCGCTGGTCTTGGACCAGGGTTCAGCGGGTCTGTCTGTGCGGTGGAGGCGGTGAGCGTCCAGCATCTCAAGCAGTAGGTCATACAGAGGAACTTTGTTCTTGCACTTCATGCTGTAGAGGTGCTCCATGCCTTTGTTGCTGCAGGGAGAGTAAACAGAGAAATTATGGCAAGTCAATGAATTGCTCTGTTAATAAGCAAAGCTTCAGGCTGATTTAAATCCCACAAAGAAATCAAAGAAATCTCTCAGCTCCTTTGGCAATGGTATTTATTCTGATAAAAATCATGGCTTAGTTTTGTCAATAGCTGCTTTTTCTTCTGTATTTACTGTTCAGGATTTGGCTCTACTTCCTTTGAACCACCTGGCAGGCTTTTAAAATTATGTACATCAGGTGTTTTTCTGTATTTTCTTATCTTACAGGCACAAATATTTCTGTTGCTCAAAATTCTCCTTATGTCCCTCTCATCTATTTCCCTGACAACATTACCTCCATTGATTTCTCACTGCGGGAGAAAATCTCTGAGATCAAAAGTTTTGTTTCGTTTATCTCTATAATGAGAACAAAAGTCAACTAGAATAGGCTTCCATTTGTGTACATTATGTAAAAAGGGTTTTTTATCCTGAATGAGTCTGCTTGATCTCGCTTAACAAATTGATGTTTCTTTTATTTATGCTCTGATTTACTTCAAAACCATTGATACATCTTAAAATGACATCCTGGTTGAATGCACACACACCTGTATAATGTAATGTAGATGTTAGTACTTGTAGATAAAGTATTTTTCATTGAAAAAAATCACAGCATGCTCAGAGCTAAAAACAAATTTGTTTACTGTGTTGAAAGGTACATATTTAACAAGTGATGCTTAGTGGCAAACATAAAAAATGTTTTTTTTTTCTGTTCAATGACAAAAGAAGAAAAAAAATTGTAGTTAGCATGAACACATTTTTATCTTGAATGAGTTTTGTCTTTTTGTTTGTTTTTAATAAAACATGCGTAATGTGCTGTTAAAATAACATATGGCATGATTTAGCTTTTAAATCTAGTTTAAGACTCTGCTTGATCTTGCTTAACAAATTGGAGTTTCTTTTATTTATTTTCTGATTCACTTCAAAACCATTAATACATCTTAAAATGGAACTAAGTAACTGGTCCTGCATTAACCTCAATGATAAGACCAGCTTCTTTCTGTATACATACTATTACGTGAATGATAAACAAACACTCACCCCTTTATCAACCTACAAACTGAAAAATTTGGATTCCCTCAGACTCAAGCCTCAGGGCATGTGGAGGGACTTTTGATTAAAAAACAAAAGCAACCTTTTGAATTAAATTCACCTCATGTGTCTGATGTGGGAGAGCAGGAGGAGCAGCTGGGCTTGTCGCCTTGACTGTTGGTGAGCGGAGCAACCTGATTGGCTGATGTGATGAATGAGGGCATCTGTGATGATGTCAAGCATATTCTGCACAGCTGTGCTATCATGAAGTGGCTCCATCGAGCCAGTGCAGAAAGAAAAGGCACCTGATGGAGGAAATATGCCATAAATTCAACATATTTAACTTACCTCAACTTATTTTACACTCGATTAGTTTGCAGCATGCTAAATGGTGCTCAAAGATCTGACTCATTACAGAGAAGCAGAAGAAGAACTTAATTGATCCCTGCAGGGAAATTCAATTGAGCATTAAAGTGCAGGAACCCACACAGCTATCCAAAATCTATCCTACTCCTGCAGCTAAACCTGTAGAGTCATCCTGCTGATATTTCAGGGATCACATATAGAAAACCTCAAACACAGTGCTGTCATGTTGTCATAGGAACGCTTATCAGACATATTGATGGTACAGGCTCAGCCAGAACATTCTGTTAGTCTGATGAACCTCTGTATTATTCAGAGCTACACCTCTGTGGGTGTATTTTGACTCTGTTCAGTGTTTAGTTAAACTGCAGAAGCCTGCAGCAAAGAGCTGTGCAGACCAAAACAGTGAGAAAGTAATGAAAAAACAAGGTTTTGTATGAAAACGTTTTTGTTTTGTTTTTTGTTTTGTTTTTTTAAGTATAGCGTCAGTGTTTCCATAAATGTTTCCCTCAAAATACTTCACAGGAAATAATCTAAAACAGTAAAACACACACTTTTACTCATGTGCAGCCTCACCAGAGTTGAGCAGGATGATCGCTTTGAGACAGACAAACTCCTCAGGTTTGAGCTTGAGCATGCGGAAGCGGGAAGCGGTGGCTAACAGCATGTCGAAGATCTCTGCCATGCCCTCCACACAGTCGCCTTCACTACTGGAGATCAAAGTGTAAAAAAAGAAATGACTTCTTATTTCTGTTGTATTTGAACTCAAAATATACTGAATTCAAGCCAGCAGTTTGAATGATAAGTCAAGATGATCCTGAGTTGTAAATTTTGTCAGTCATTTGATATATTCCCTTTTTACAGCCTCACAACTTGACAGCAAACTGCAGGCTTCACAAAAATTTGTCTGAACTGACCCTTCATTCAACAAGTTCTCTCCTGGTACAGAGTTTAAAGTAACAACCAAAAAAATCAATGTCTCTCAAATGCTTAACTGCTGGGTTAGGGGGCTGCGAGGTGGGCAGCTGCTGACTTTTGCTAATAAGCTGGCTCAAATCTTTCATCCAGTAATATAAAACACAGCTTAAAATGACAGTGACACGAGTGGAATAAGGAGAATAGTCTGCTCTGAAAGTAAATGTCAACAGCCTGACAGTAAACTGATAAAAGTGTATCTTATGTGGTGCTAGCTTGACTTAATGGTTATAGGGTGCCAAACACAGAGACTACAGTCTCTTCGGTATGTCCACTTTCACTCCCTGCACCCTATATTTCCAGTCCCTTTCAGTGTCCTTTAAACAATGCCAGAAAACCGTTGTCTTTTTTATTTTTATTTTTTTTGAGCGCACCTTCACAGAAAAAACATGAGCTTGACGGGGAGGTGGGTGGGTGGGGGCTGTGACTTAACATGTCACTACACAATGATCCCATACATAGTGTATTTCCCCTCGAGGATAAATAAAAGTTCTCCATATCTTATCACTACTTAAATTAATCAGGCAATTTATGCTTTTGGGACATTTTGTATTCTTCAGTTAATTAGAAACTGCAACATATAGTTATATAAAAATTTTAAAAGTGATCAATTATTACACAATCAAAATGTCATTTTATCCTTGTGCTGCGCAATGCATCAGGCAGTGAATCATATCGTATCATATTGTGTCATGAGTTTCCCTGCCATCCCCACCTAGTTCTTATTTTTATCATTTTGCTCTTCCATATACAACCACCACAACCACATAAAAAAGTCTCTGTTTTAGCTGCAGTGACACTGACTTAATCTTAAGTCATGAAACCATCCAAAAAGCAATCAGATAAACACTTAATGGACTGAATCATAGTGACGCTCCATTTGTCGGGGCAGTTAGGAAGTGATGGAAAGACGGATGATATCAGTGGTAGGCGTGTAAGATAAACTTAAGCAACACAGAGCTAAGGGAATTTGTCAACCCTGACCTGCAGCATTTTAGCCATCATGTCCAATTGGGGAGGACACTCATGTGAGGAGCAGGCTTTAGAGATAATACTCTGTAATACACTTTTGAATCAAATGGGACCATCAGACACATCAGTGGGTAAAAGCTCTGTCTTTCTGTCTGTCTGTCTCTTTCTCTCTCTGTTTCCCCTTCTCTCTCCCCACCTCTCTGATGTAGATGCTGCAGTTTGGTGAGCTTGTTTACTTTGACAAAGGAGGAAGAGGAGGGAACAGACTGTGCCTGCACATGCAGAAAACAACCATGGCTGCTGCATCTCCATTTTCCTCTCTCTGCTCATCATTAAGCACTCTCTTCTTCACCTCTTCCCCTCTGTCCTTCTTCCTTTTCCATCATTCCCTGCATTGAGGCTCTGATTCAATCTCTTCCCTGGTTGTTAGCTCAGAGCTGTAATGATGAAGGGGGTGTTTCAGGTTGCTCTCCTCACCATGGGGAGCAGGTAATTAGTCTTTCACTCTCTGACTAGGTTTGTTGGAATAGCACAAAAGCTGGCAGGGTGTCGAATGGAAAATCTACAGTGCTGATGTATTATTCAAAATCTGGATGATATTGAGAAAGAGGTGGAGAAATGGGGAAAAAGGCTGAAAAAAGTGGGCGTCTCAGAAAGATCTAGAAAACCCTGCATACCGGTCCAGTATGAGGTCCTGAGCAAAGATGAGCTTCCCAGGGCAGTGGATGGACCTCCAGATGAGGCCGATCATCAGCACCTCCAGCCAGGAGCTCTCCAGTAGTTGCACCTGATCATGGAGGGTCAGCTGCAGGAAACCTAAAAACTCAGAGTTTCAAAGAACATTTTTAAAGTGTCAAACAGTTCATCTGCATTGACTTCACTTCAGCTCCGCTGCTTTAGGAGGGGGGGGTAAAATCTTATATTGTGATTGATTGGGATTTGATTTCTTTATTAAGAATTCTGCTTTAATAGCAAAGAAAATTATGACAACATCCTGGTTGAATGCACACACACCTGTATAATGTAATGTAGATGTAAGTACTTGTAGATAAGGTATTTTTCATTGAAAAAAATCACAGCATGCTCAGAGCTAAAAACAAATTTGTTTACTGTTTTGAAAGGTATATATATTTAACAAGTGATGCTTAGTGGTAAATATGAAAAATTGTTTTTTTTTCTGTTCAATGACAAAAGAAGAAAAAAAAATTGAAGTCAGCATGAACACATTTTGAATTTGCGGAACAATCCATTAATGGTGTTTCAATAGACAATAACGTTTCACTGCAGCCATCCAGATGTGAGTTCTTGAATGATCATCATTAAAAACGTCCTTTTATAGATATTGGATTATAGTTTATAATCCTAATAAAAGTATGGTAATCATTGAGACTCCAGACGAAATCCAATTCTGATTGTTTTCAGCGGTATGTGTTGACTGCAGTGCAGTGCAGTGTGGAATATTAACACTAACTGAGATACGTGTTTTCTGTGCACCTTCAAGCCCACTCATAAAAACAAAAATATGATGTCCTTGTTTTCTGGTAGGGAATACCAACTTAAATGAAACCATCTGCAATCTCCATGCTCTCGTAAGAAGCCTTATCGCTGGCTCTCAGCTGTCTCAATTCACATGTAATTACAGCCAATTTATTTCCTGCTGTTCTCTGTTTGGGACGCCTCGCAATTAAAACCGTGTGCTTTTGGGCCTTTTAGTGACGCACAAGGTTGTAATACTTCAAAATCAGGATTCACTCAGTTAACTAACTCGTCTTGTGTGTGTGTGTGTGTGTGTGTGTGTGTGTGTGTGTGTGTGTGTGTGTGTGTGTGTGTGTGTGTGTGTGTGTGTGTGTGTAAGCAAAAGGGTGATTTGTCCTATAGAGGGGTGCCAGCAGATTGGTCAAACAATCCTCTCAAAGGTGATGACTGTAATCACCATCACTGTAATGGCTCTGCAGCAGTGTACTGGTGTGCGCATGTGTGTCTTCACTATAAAGATGCCCCCATCGCTCTGGTGTTGCCTTGGCACTCAGACAACAGAAACAGGTTCAGAGAAAAAAATCTTTTATAGATATTGGAGATATTTATATCTCCAAGATCTTGGATATATTATAAATATATGTATAATGCTTTATAATCAGGTTATAGCACTGTATAAGTATAGTTATAAACACTAATAAATGATCATAATGCTTTATAGCAATAATCATAACATTTTATCATGACTTACAAGGTCAGGTATTATAATGTGTTATGCTTATTGTTATAATGCCTTATGATAATTAATGAGTGTTTATAGTGATAGTTATACAAGTTTATAAGCAAATTATAACACATCATAAATATATGTATAATGCCTCATCTATGTGGGCATTGTCAGTGAGTTGTTTACAGTTAAAATATAATTTATTTATAATGTGTTATGATTATTGCTATCAAGCATTATGATGATTTATGGATGTTTATAACTATACTTATACAGTGCTATAACATGATTATAAGGAATTATACATATATTTATAATGCGTTATAGTGGTAGGCGTCAAGTAAAGTGTTACCAAAGTTTTTTTAAAGTATCTTGAGTGTGGCCATTATGGCACTTAAAGCAATACCTGGAAGCTTTTTGGCCCAGGCAATCATATGAACCAGCTCCTTATCAGCCATACTGGTGAGCAGGGTCATCATGGTGACTTCAGTGTAGGGTCTGCTCAGCTTCTGACGGGAGCACAAGATGGGAGGTTCTGCACCCTGGAGCAGGAGGAGCACCTGTGGAAAAGACACAAACACCATCTGTCTATTAAAAGAAAATTAAAATTGCAGTATGCTGATTGTTTTACTGAAATGACAAAAATAATTACATTGTTATTAAATTTGGTGTAAATAATCATTGACCCATGAGGATAATTTTTCATATCTATTGTTTGCTTAAACTGTTGAGACCACTTCTATTTTTTTTTAAAAGAGGAATCTCTTTATAAATGAACACCTGGTCTGGGGGCATACTGATCACTGGCATTTTTCCTCCTCCAACATTGGTGCTGTGTTTTCTCCTGTCCTGAGGGGGCACTGTTCTCTGCTCCGAGTCCGTAGAGATTTTATACTTATCACTGCTGCCAGTCCGCCGTTTGTCCCGCCCCATGACACGACCCCGGTCCTTTCGCACACCTACAGTAGAGGACCAAAATATAATATAAAATCCTCTTCAGATAAGTAGAAATTCAACAATCCTGCACATAAAAAAATATAAAAAACTCAGGGGACTTTTTCAAACTCACACATGGCTTCATACCAAAAGTTCAGCAGTCGGGGCAGTTAGGAAGATTGTAAGGATGCCTGTCTTACTCAAGAAGTATGAAAACAAATGGGAAAGTGTGTTCTAATCAGTTGTTGTACTCCTTAAAAAGGAAATCACTCCAGGGTCATGTTAAAGTTAGTCTCAAGCTTATCTGCATCCAGCAGCATTCTCACAATTGTGACAGTCTTAATAGCAACAACACCTGATTTTACAATCCCAATTAGTCTATGCATATTTTTAAGTTAAATCTGCAGAAAGGACACAAAAACATAAAAGGCACCAAAAAAGAGACCACAGTCATGATTTGATCAAATCTAATGCCACATATTTTTTAACTTACAATGAAATCAAATAAAACAACTTTTAAAGGAGACTAGTCTTTCAAATCTTTGACAGTGGGCTTTTCGTTGCTGTTTTTACCCACCTCCCTTCATCATGCCCACTTTGTAACACTTCCTTAGGCGACAAGCCTGGCAGCTCTTTCTTCGATTCCTGTCAATGGTACACTGATTGGTTGCCGGGCACATATAGTCATTGTGACCTGAAATGGAAGAAAATCTATTACTTTGAGCCCCCCACCTACCTTCCCATGTACACACACACACTCACACACTCACACACTCCAGTGTTCACTTCATATTTAGGTTATTTAGTTGCAAAGAACACTCTATTCCCAACTTTAAAAAGATTGGACATGGAGAGAATTAAAAAAAAGGCATCTTGGTTTTGTCATCTCCATGGAGACTCTTGGTTCCTTTAGGACCAGCCTTGCTGCAAAGACTATGCTGAAACATCAAACCAAAAACATGACTAAGCCAGCTAAAACAGACGAGGCTTTCATCTGCATGCAGACATAGGAGCCCAGAGAAATTATGTGCTATTTCACATAATAGGACATGTGGTTAAAACTTAAGAATAATATAACAGAGTGAAATAATTTGTACATTCATTTACTTTACATTTTATTTAATTTTCAATCTGTTTCTAAAAATAACAATTTATGGCAATGCTTTTTGTTTTCCTTTATATTTGTCTCAGCTGTATTAATAGACAGTTCACTTTGTAGGGGAAAATTTCAGGACTTTCTTTATGAAGCTCAACTCTATTTTTTAACAGCAAAATAAAAACTGTTATTTTCATTAGTCAGATTCATAAGGCACAGTGCTTTGTTTCTTTTTGTATTTAGCTGGTAACTTAACACTGCCTTATAAGATGACATATTTTTAAATATGAACTATTAGATATCGTCAAAATTTGAGCAATCTCTTATTGTAAATTACATTTTATATGCCAGATATCAGAAATGCCTGATAATTCCCGCATCTAATCTGTAATTTTAACAAAAAAAAAACTTTTACAGATCAGAAAAGTCAGAGGGCAACATCCATCATCATGAATAACCAGAGCAAAAAGGGAACCTACCCTGAATGCTCCTCTTAAAGAAAGCTTTGCATCCCTCACACGACCATACCCCGTAGTGGTACCCAGAGGCATAGTCACTGCACACTGCACAGAAACGCATCTCTTTTGCCATCTCAAAGCACCCAGCTGCTGCTCCAGCCCCAGACTCCCCCACACTGTATGACTCGTCACTGGTGCCATAGTGGTCCTCTCTGGAATTACTCTGTTGACTGGATGAGACGCTGGACCTGCCACAGGGTTTGAACTCTGTTTAAATGACCTAACAAACTCGCTTTATGATAGACTTTTAGACACAGAATCTCACCAAACTGTAAATTAGGTAAAATAAATTGAAATTTGCTGAATTGCCATAAACTATATATAGACATGTTTCCAAAAATAGTCCAAAAACACGGTTACGCTTCAAAAGTTAGCTAGCCACTTTCCATTTGAACGTTAATCTTTACAATGACTCTTTTGACTTGAACATGACAGCGGCAGAGACAAATACAGAGTACTATTTTACAGCTGAGCCGGAAAACAATCTGTACTTCTGTTGTTATTACATATTGTTCCCTTCTCAAGGTCTTTGACAAAGTCCTAAGTCTCTGGAATTGAAAACCAGGGCAAAGCTTGATCCTTTCCATACAGATAATAGAGATGTTTTGTATCAAGCAAAGGATTAAAGAAACAACGTTATATAATTATATTTTGTTTATAGTACTGCATTAGAAGGACAGAACAAATACTTATGCTATGCTGAAAGTTAGATGGTCGTGTCTTTTTCTGCAAACATCAGAGTTAAAATCAGACACATAAAATCAAAAAAAAATCACAGTACAATAATGATAAAAAAACAACAAATATTGTGAGAATTTATTTCCTTATTATACATATTTGTATCCTTCTTAATTAAGTTAGAGTCCACAGAGATCAGAAACCTTGATGTTAAAACAAATCTGGCAGGTGTATTGATCTTCTGACTGTGCTGCCGATATCAGTTAAATACTGACGAGAGTACACACAAAACTGGACAAACAATCAGATCAAAAAGTTTAAGTTGGCAACTCTTGTCAATGAGTTACCCCCCCCCCCCCCCCATAAGATACCTCATAAAGCGTAAATATTAAGTCCAAAACATATTTGTCAAACAATAAAATCTATGGGAATAACTTTTTTCCCCAAAAACAATCTCTTCATACTCATTGCCACTCTCCTCTAGTAGACAAACTGAGTTTCCTTACCTGTAGACAGGCGTTGAGGTGGTTTCCAGGTAGTGGTGACTTGGCAGGTGCATGAAGGGGCTCAATCTGGGGCTAGAGGGCACAAACACCAGAGGACTGGCAGGCCCACTGCCTAGGGACTGAATGCTGCTATCTGAGGGTTGTCCGTGTGCATTCAGAGAAGCGGAGTAGTAGCCAGGGGTGGAGTGGCTGTAAAGAGGAGTCGGGGCTGGGGCGGGGGCAGCGTAGTCGTAGGTCCCTTCCAGGAAGTCCACAGTGGCTACCACACCAGATCCTCTGCTCTCTTCAGGGTACATTTCACCATCGAGGGGGGCACGTAGCAGAGGAGAGGGACGTTGTGGTGACAAGGTCTCCAGCTCTGACAGGGCTGGGCTGGTCTTGGGTCTGAGTGCTGGTCCGCAAGACTGTCTGCTCTGCACTGGGCTCTGTCTAAGCAACATCACAGCACGACAGCACTGATATGCAACATGATTTAGACTTGCTCTCTCATTAGTTGGGAGGGGGAGTGGAGAGGAGTGCTGCTCCCCCTTTCTCTTCACTCTTTACTCTCTCTCGCTCTCTCTAGTCTTTCAGTAGAACCTGGCAGGCAACTCGAAGGGTCCACTGTTATCCAGTCCCTTTACCCGGGTCTGTCTTTACCCACCAAGCTTAAAAACAGCCAAATAGATGCCTCCCAACCTCCTAAAAGTTTTTTTTTTGAAGCAGAGCATTTTTCCTTCTATTTTCTAATATTCAGCTAACATGTAGGAGGCTGGTTTGACAAAACATGGAATATGGATAGAGAAAAAGTCATTTCCCAATACTTTCCTGAGCTTCACTATAAACCGCTCCCCTCATAGGTTACAACCTGTTACACAGACAAGCTTTTGCTGGTGCTTAGAAGAAAGAATAACTGTTAACTTTCAGTGAGCTGTTTCATTTAGCTGTTATATAACATGATGTATAAACGGTCTATTTGTAGCCAAATTATTGAATACACCTGAGACACTTCAGGAAATCAGATCAGTGTGGAAATGAGAAACAGTAGGACAATGGGGACTAAGAGAAAACAAAGACCATAAGATAGCAGGCTACACAGATCACCTCCTCACCACCTTGTGTCTGCTGGGTGACACTGAAGCTGTTTGGGTCTTCTCTCGTCCTCACTCTGTTCTCTCTACTCATCTTCCCGAGTCTTCTACGTCCAATTGATGCAATGGGAAATGTGGAAAGGTTAAAAAGGATAAACAAATTAAAGGTAGAGCAGAATCAATATCCACAATGTGTTTTAGTGCCAGGTCACCATAACACAGCAAACAAGACAGGGTCATGTCCCATTCCAATAGCCAATAATTGCACAATTCCAAGTGAGGGTTTGCTGGGGATTCTCATCAGTGACCCAAATTTTAATTATTGTTCAGCCCTTCTAAAACCCATGGTGATACAAATTTATTGGTCCTTGTAAATAAAAATCCTACTTACTAGTTACATTTGATCAAAATAGAATAAAATGATAGAGGATAAATTTTGTACTAACTAATCATTACTTTTATAAGGTCATAAAACAGTACACTGTATTAGATATCAAAGTAATGGAGCAGAGTACTGATGCAAATAAAACTTACAAAGAATGATTATGTCTGTGATGGTCAGGGATCCTTTAATGTCATTATCAGACTAAATACCACACAAAAACCCAACAAAAAACTACCATTAACTCTCATACACTCTGAGTGGTTATTACCAAGCATTCGTACTTGAAGACAGAAATTTAACATAGAAATTATCAAATGCTACTTTTGCAAGCAGTTATAAAAGCTTGGGGCCTTATTCAAAAACTATTTGATACTTTTATCATATCATGCACATTTGTGAAAACTTAATAAAAACTTCAATTTATCACAGGCAGCCATGTAGCTCCTCTACAGAGGAAAAACCTTCATTTGTGGTGCTGAGGCTTCATTTTCTCCTCTCTGTGTGACATCCTTTTCAAGTAAACAGTCTAATTTCAGGACATTTCAGGTCAAGTGGAAAACAGGTAGCTCTGTTGCTGACATATGCACTCTGTATTTCTCCTGGGATAAAATAAAGACAGTCACAATAGAGAACTGGACACAGAGAATGAATCAAATCATCTAAATGACAAAAGCAAAAACTTCCTCCAGCATTAAGTGACTTGTCATGATAGACCACATTCATAAAAATGTCAGCGGTGGACATGATTTTACTTATCTCAGCTTACTGGGTCTGTAGTGAACATGTTCAAAATTTAAAGCTGCTTTGTTTGTTTGTTTTTTCTAGATAATACCAGGCCCTTAACCTTGAAAAAATTGTCCTAGTACATAAACCAGATAAATGACATTCATGAGAAAGCAGACAAAGAAGTAAGTCCCACCTGCATCCTGTTTGTAATGCTTCTGACTTACAAAAGAGCAATTCAGGAAAGAAAAAGCAGTAAACTGCATTTCTTTATTTGTTTAAACGAAGTGATGAAAACAACATAGTATCTCCTCGCAGCAATGAAGAAGACTCCGGTTGACATTCCCTCAAAGGTACAGACACCAACAGTGCAATGAAATAAGAGTGCTGAGAGACTTGCTGTTTCGTTAAAAGATACAAAGGTTTGAGTTGCCATTTTAGAGAAAACAAGCATCAGATTTTTTGCTACTCTGCCCTTTTAACAGTACACCATCTTTTACACTGAAAAGATGATTTCGTAAAATTTTATGACTTGTCTAAGGTGAATTTTTTCTAGATGTTTTGAGACATGTATATCATTGGTAAAGTTAAAGAGCAAGTCAACCCGAGCTGAGCAGCCTGAGTCAAATAAAAGGTATTACATTTATCATCACTCTCTGCTTTTACATGCAAAAACACAAGTTATTTTACTTTAATATTTAAATTTGTAAGCCAAGTTCCTACACAATAAATCCTTATAGTATGTGCATTAAACTGCAAATAATTTACTGCAACTTTATTCATGTGCACAACACAAAAGCTATTAATAAAAAAACAAATTTGAATTATTGTCTTTGTGGATAAAGCGGTCACTATAAATAATAGCTGAGTTTAAAACATGGGGAGAAATTTAAATTGAGTGGTGTGATTTTAAAACATTTTAAGTACAATGTGATAGAAAATAAAAATACTTCTTAAATCTATCTATGACTGTGTATTACTGTATCAAACATAACTAGGTGTTAACTAATGATAAAGAACAACTTAACAACCTTGTGCAACATGTTAAGATCAGATCTTATTACTCTTTATGGCTTAAATAGAATTGCTGCTCTAGTACTTCTTACTATAATGTCCTTATGATCCTCATGCTACCAGTGAAAACCTTAGGTCTGTACAGATTTTGGGCTGTAGAACTGAATGACAGCATACTTGCCACTAGTCATCCAGTCTGGATCTTGAGAGGTAAGCTTCTCCCCTTGACCTGGCTGCAGACCGACCTGAACATTGGCCTTAAGAGTTCTCAGGCTGCATAGCGGAGCGGGCCCAAAACCTCGTAGTGAAGTATCAAAACCCACTGTGTGATCCCAATGTCTGTCTCCGGTTAGCTTTCTGTAATTGAGATCACCTTTGAACAGCAGCAGGTTTGCCTCCATCAGGGTGGCATACAGGTCAGGAGCGTCAGTTGACATGTCACAGAACTCATGTGGAAGAGTCCAGAAAGGATGGTCATGATAGGACCACACACCCTCCTTCATGTACTTCTGCCACTGGACACCACTCTTAGACATCCACTTGTGATTGGCTGTCATGGTCTGGCGGATGGTCCACTGAAAATCCTGAGCTGTGACATCTGAGACAAACCACGGAAAGCATTTGCCATGAAAACGGACTTCACAGGCAAGGCCAGAAGAAACCAGGAAATCTGCGAAAATCAAGTCAGTGACTAACTCAAAGCCAGCATTGTCTAGAACAAAGTCCACTCTTCCAGAAGTACTTTTCTCCTGCTGTCCTGGTTCCTCTATGGAATTAAGAGTGGACCATACCACGTTTGAGTCATCTACCAAGATGAAGGTCTGCAAACTGTTGAGGGAATCTATTGGACTGGTCTTTTGGGAGTTCTCTTGGCCAGCTGAGATGGACAGATCACACTTGTTTCCCCAAAGAGAAACCTATGAAAAGTGAGGTAACAACCTTATGTCTTGGCCCATCTTGTCAAAGGTTTGTTAATAATAGCAGTGTCCATTTTTACCATGCAACTCCACTATACAAAGCATGCAATCACCTATTTTTAAAAAATATGATAAAATGCTTTAAAACAAAACATAAAGCAAAACACATGATGTACACAGACATGTGCAATGTATTTACAATAAATATTTTACATTATTTCATAATGTGTGATTTTATGTATTGGGGACAATTACCTTAAGCAGTTTGTTAAAATGCTCAGACAGCTGATTCTTGGAGGTTTCCTCCATGTTCTTGTTGACCTCCTCCAAGTATGTACACAAAGCCATCACTGCCTGTTGAGACTCAAAATAGCTCTGTGCCTTCCCTTCATTGAAGACATCATAGTCACAGATGGGAGGACTAAAATTAGAGAAAGAAATGAAATAATCATAAGTGGAGAATCATAACAGAAGAAAATGTTGTATAAACACCTGCTTTAAAGGGTAATGACAATAATGAAATCTAATTCTACAGCACTGAGTTGAAGGTACAGCTGGGTGAGTTGAAGAAAACTTAACTAAGAGATGTATTAAAGTTTAATTTATAATATTTCATAGTGATGAGCAGATATCACTCTAATCTGTCTGTGATTTCATGTTCTTCCACTGACATTAGCCGTCCTGAAGCCTATTTCAGTGCACACTCTGATATAATTAATGATAATTGCCTCCATCTCCTTCTATTGAGGGAGTTTACTAATACAGCAAAACAATGAGACGCAACAAGGATCTGTGCCTTGACTACAAATCAGTAGACTTTATGAATAGTGCAAACAAAAGTTGGTGTTCTTAGAGCTTATTAATCCATCATTCATCCACGTCACAAGGGGCCATAATGAATAATGAATGATGTATCCAATGTAGAGTGCTTTGAGGGTCTCTGATAAAGCGCTATTAAAAATCTGATGCATTAATATTGTTATTATAAGCTAACTTTCAGTAGACTTCCTGGAAAGACATTTACTCACTAACATATTTGTTTACACACAATGGACTTTAATTGGACTTTTGTTTTTGTGTAGTGACTTACACAAACCATTACTTTAACATTATTAGTTATGAATTGATGTTCAAGCACACAATGATGCAGAAATGTGTATAAGTATTGGATGTAGGTGTAATCAAAAGGCATTTTATATCATTTTCAAGGTTTGTCTATCAGTGGATTAAAAGCAAGGTCTTATGCCATTGCAGGCTTGATGTAATAACAGCATTATTAGTTACTCAGTCATCTGTGGCAATTTGAAGAGTCCTCACCTGTTTTGTGTGTGTGTGTGTGTGTGTGTGTGTGTGTGTGTGTGTGTGTGTGTGATATCGTTGTAGGTGTTGAATGTGGATTGGGAGGATGGGTGGGGTTTTGTATTTTTATTCCATATCCTACTAACATGGACAGAACATTTACTAATTTTTTTGGAATGAAAAGTGTTTTATAAGTAATGTTTAATTGATTGATTATATTACTCCGATACCACTTACTTGAGCCATATTGCCTCTTGTATCCTGCGATACATGTAGCACTCCACATAAAGCCATGGAGACTTGAACCAGCTGACAGCCTCCTGGTCCCCTTGCATATTTTGATGTCTCTGGAGGTACTGGTTCCAGGACTCTGTGTCTTGCAGACCATCTGTCAGGGCCAGCACCGGTTTATCGGTTTGCAACTCATTCCTCAACTTGGACAGCAGGGATATTGCTTGCTTCTCAGCCTGGATACCTGACTGCGTAAAGCATGAGAATTAAAAGCAAGACAAAACAAGAACTTTTAAACGAGCCTCGTAACAAATTATTACCTCTCCGAATTGTTCAAAAAACTTGTTTTTGTTGCGATGAATTGTGTCGATGACTCTTGTGAGGATGGTCGGCAATCTGTCTCTGACTGTCAAATAAGCAAATGACCTGTAAAATAAATTATTTGACCATTAAGACTTTACCTGTACATCTTGATACTGAAGCAGGAGCATGCACTGCTAAGCTAATCAGCTGATTAACCCACAGAATGTGATGTAAATGCTTAGCTCGCAGGGATGGTGACTACATCAGTAAAATCTGGTAAAATAACTTGCGATGTCTGATGAGTTACTTATTTGACACCCTACGCGTTCATGCACGCATGTTAACGCCAACGTAAGAACGTCTATTAGCAAATGGTACTGCTGTCACTGAAATGAACGCGACTACTCTTTCCTGTATATGGTGTTAAAGTCCAGCATTGTTGTGAATTGCTTTGATGGCCAACTTGGCACAGTTGTAAAATCAGCAGTTAACATACCCGACCACTTTGGCAGACAGGGAAGGGGGAACTCCGTGCGAAATTTGCTCAGCCGCCATTGTTATTGCAATAGGAGACCATTCAAATCCAAACTTTATCGACAAAATTTGTAGGGACGGAAACAAATATAAGGGGACTGCAGGTTTAGGCTTCAACGCGGCGTCCAATGTTTAATGTCATGAAAGTTATACACAGAAAAGTACTTATGCAGTTTCTACTTGGCTTCCTCCATTTCTAGTAATATGTAACATTCTAATGCTTGTTTCCTCGTTTTTTTGGATTTGTGAAAGCTACGATGCAACCATCTAGCGGTTAGTTTACGAACTGCAATGATGGCCATCAATTTTGGACAATACATGACGTTGCAATGGATTTTTAGTATATATATATATATATATATATATATATATATATATATATATAGATAGATAGATAGATAGATATTGAATGAGAAGGTGAGTCCAAACTTTTTGGCCTGTACTGTGTGTGTGTATATATATATATATATATATATATATATATATATATATATATATCAGTACAGGCCAAAAAGTTTGGACACACCTTCTCATTCAATATCTTTTCTTTCTTTTTTTTACATGACTATTTACATTGTAGGTTATCAGTGATTATGAAGGCATCAGTGATAACTTAAATGAAAACCATGAATGAACACATGTTCTAGTTTCTTTAAAATAGCCACCCTTTGCTCGAAGTAACCCTGACAAGGCACACCTGTGAATTCAAACACATGTGCCTACTTTGAGCCGTACCGCTTATGGTGCTTTCTGTGAAGGGAGATTGGATTGTCCTTTCTCTTTCTTGAGAACATATCTGTAAGATTGGATCACCAATCTGCCCCCTATAAATTGGAAAAAAACACGCATTGACATCGTTCCGTCGGTGATTTTTACTCTCTCAGATCAGGCCGGTCACTATGGGAACACAGCCAGCAGTTGTCAGGATGTGGGGGTCTTGAGAGTGGGAGTCCAGCTGCGTCCACCTCCGGTGTTCATCACCGCCGGCCTCCCATCCCCCCACTGGGCCCCTGCCTAGCAGGATCTGTTTTTCTAAACCGAGAGAGGAGTGACTCACCACTCCGGTTTCAGAACAGGCCGTGAATTGGGGGAGGGCAGCACCTAACGCCAAAGGTTCTGTTTAAACAGGTGTTTTAACTCACCGCAGAATCGTCTCGTGCTACAGTAGGATCATGAAGTTTTTTATTTGAGCGACAGAGTACTCTGCACGTTTCGTCGCTCAAATAAAATAGTGTACTGACGTCAGGACGGTCTGATTCAACTGCATATTTCACTGTGGCATTTCTTTCTCCACATTTTAAGCAATTCCGCACTAGCTGAACTGTTGGTTTTGAAAATTGATTATTGCAGGTATAATCAATCTAGTGGAAACAAGGGGAAGCACAGTCATGTGAAAGTCCAGTCTGCATGTCTGCTCAATGTGCTGTCCTGAGAAAAAGAAACAAGAGACCAATTAACGAGGCTATGTATCAAGGCTTGCCTTGCAACAGCTACAAAGACGAGAGCTTTACTTTCAGGGATTATCATGCAGGTCTGATGAGTTGAATTGATTGGTTTAAATTATTATCAACAGCAATCCCAGAAATTTGTTTGAATCTTTTAATGTGCTCTTCCTGTTTGCTGATAAGCCAAGTAAATATGCTTTTGTTCTGTTACCATTCCCCCAGTGGTCTTAGTAAATGCTTTTGTGCTCACACAAATTAGAGTTTTTATTGGCTGATAATTTAAGTTAAAATGTATATGGGATCAGAAAAATGTCTGTTGGTTGTTGGCAGGGTGGACTTCAATGTTCAAGTACTAGATATCTCTGTGCCCTCCTAAACCCCCTATAATCCATGTCCTTTTACAGACATTTTCCTCCAGTTATCTGCTTGCCCAGCTTGCATTTCCAAGTTTCGTTCTCTTGTACTCTGTTCTAAGACTTAAGTGCAACTCTATAATGACAGGTCTAAATAAATCAGTACTATACACCATGTCACTGATGACAACATCTGATGTCACTGATATGATGTGACTCCTAAGTGCATATGACTTCGGTAGTCAAGAAATGTATGACCCATATTGCTCCTGTTTGGTTTTACTTCATTTAAATAATCATTTTTTAGGCGTTTCAAATAACTGATTTTGTTGGAGTTGAAGATACAAGTGAGACTGTAGCAAGAAGTACACAGTTGTTTTCCATCTTTTAATTAGGATATTAAACTTGTATTTTCAAAAGTTGGTTTAAAAAAGAAAATTCATACAGAACTGACAGTGGAATGCAATGGACACAGGTTTTTTTGTATTCTGCTCATAGCAGCAGTATGAATAAAAATGTATATTTAAGAAGGCTACATGTTCATCGATATCTCATTTATAGCCACTGTGTACAATAAACCTGAACTGAAATATGAAATACCATGGCAGCATAAAAAGTAAATGCCTACATCACTTATTAATAACATACAACAAAGCGACAAGGCCTGCCCTCTCATTCAACGGTATTGGCAAGATCTTGAAGAAATTAGGACAATTTTTGGTCTTACAGTTGACTTTTCTTTTGTTACACTGTATTTGGGTAAATTCCTTGATGGACTTATACACCAGGACAATTATCTATAGATAGTGCTTTTGGCTGCAAGCAAGAAGGCCATTACACGGAAATGGCTGCAAACAAATCTGTCTTCAAGGAATGACTGGATCACCACTGTTAACAAAATTCAAAACATCGAAAAACTGACCTTCTCTCTAAGACTATAGACCTATCAGTAAATAACGTTCTTGGAAAGATAGCTTTCATATTATTTGATGTGTAACTCATTGCCTGTGTGAATGATCATTCCCAGTTGCACCATTTTATGAACCATGTCAACCAGATCAACCTGTCAGTTCAGTTGTATTCTCAGTTTACTTACTGTTTTATGGTTCTTTGTTTATATACTTATTTGCCATGTCAAAAAAAATTTGAAAATCTAATAAAAAGACAGTTTCAAAAAGAAAAAAAACAAAGTGACAGGAACTGCAAGCTAAAACCAGAACTATCGGATGGGAACAAAAGGTGAGAGTTTAATGTTATTGTAATTTTTAAGTTAAACAATTTCATAAACAAATGTGATTGATTTTATGTCTTGTTAAATAAGCATTATTATTTACACCGACATTAAGCTTAGGGGATCAGGAAACCTAAGAAAAACCTGTTTATCCAATTTGTTTCAATAATTATCTTTTAACAAACGCCAAAAATCGTCTCCTGTAAAAATGAATGAATAAATAATGAAAAACACAACAAAGGCAAATATTTCATGTCTGTGTCCTTATAGTAAGTTGTTAAAAGTCCAGTGGTCAAACGAAAATACATACGTGAGGCGACAATGCACAATACAGTCGTATATTTTAAGTAAGGGAGGGTGAGGGCTAACACGTTAACGGCCGCACTTCTGTAAAACGTCTACCGTGTTCTTCACCGGGGACGGGGAGGTAAACTCCAACACGTTGAGTCCACGTCGCCGTTGGCTGTTTCTATTCACGCTCACCGGCTATCAAAAAGATGGAATAAAAACAACTGTCTCGTGGGGGGTTTATTAGACGACAGTTAAACAGTGCGGGAAATTAACGTTAACTCCACCGCCCACTTGCTCAACGGTTTTACAACGGCTGTGTTTTGGCTGGTTTTTACCCACAGTCATGTGATTGTAACGTAAAACCCCCTAACCGGAAAACGACGACGGACGACCCTCTCCGCCGCCAACGAATGCAGCGTTTGCGAAGAACAGTACAAGCTGCTGTGAACCCAGAGAGAACGGACGGGTCCCCGGTAACAAACAAACAACGGCGACACTGCAAACTCCACCAGATAACTCGGAGTGCAGGTACGACTGTTTTTCAGCTACATACTCACCCGTTCGTTTACCGATATTGTTACGGTATTTGGTTAGTTGTGTGTGCTTTGGCTTTCTAGAATTGTCACGGGGAAGTTAAAAGAAACGCATTCGTGACTAACCCCATCCCCCTTGCGTCTCTCGTCATTCCGCGCTATTGGTGTGTGTTGTGTGTTTGCGCTCGCACACGCGCATGTCCGTTTTCTCGCGCTGGCAGCACCAACCGAGAGAGAGATTCGAGACGGAGCTAGGAGTCAGTGTAGGCGCGCTTGTTTTCTGGTTTCTGAATTAATGTTGAGTGCTCCTCAGTTTATTATTTTTATCAGCACTATTGAACGGCTCGATTCCTCACGTTCTTAGCCTTCCGTAAGATTTCGTCTCTGTGGTTTTAACGGTGTATTCTCAGAAAAAAGAAATTCTCACTACGGAAGTAACTGTTCCACGTGTCTACATCATCTCGTCAGGGGCGGTGCTTTATTGTTGCTAAGTTTCAATATTGATCAACTCATGGTACAGCCGCTGTCTTCATGGATCCATTGTGCAAAACGTGGTAAACAGGTACACTTTGTCCTAAAAACAACAATTTCTGAGAATCAGGAGCTGACTGAAAGCAAACTAAACCACTCGTGTTTTCTTAATTTGAACCTGTCTGAAATAATGTAATTGTGGGAATAGACTGAAAGCTACTTGCAAGATACACAGACTAGACGTTTGTGCAAAGCTGGCCCTATGACTTTTGAGCATTGGCCTGATTGGTTGTGGTAATAAATCAATAAAACGTTCTATTCTAAGATCTAATCGGAAATTGGATCTCTTTCATAAGCAGTCACTTGTTTTACACAGAGCTGAAACCTAAATATAAATTGGAGTAAAAGCTTGCTATTGTTTAAACATTGTGAACAGTCTTTTAGTAGTACAAATTATAGTGAGAAAGTAGGAACCCAACAAGAGGGCCTGTAAAAATATTTGTAAAAACAGATAAAGTTTGTAGAATATATTCACAGGATGGGAGTGGCTGCATGTTAGGTCTGCCAGAATGTCAAGATGGGCAGACTGTTTTTGAGGCCCAGGTGGGATTAAATTGTATCCAGGGATAGACTTTATAATTTTCATAATATTTTCACTGAAATAATAACTTTTATAATTTTATTTATTCCAATCAAATCAATCGATGCTGTGAAACTTGAGAATTTCCTGGAGTGAAGGTGACATTTTGAAAAACATTGCTTCTTTTAGACCAACAGCCCCAAATTAAAAGATATTAAATGTCTTTTATGACTTATAAAAGCAGCAAAGCATCTATCTGATAGCGTAGAACCAGAGGATGTTCAGAGTTTTTGACTCCTTCTCTGTTCTTTCTATAATGGATTACATTTATAGACGGGCGTAACTGATAAATTGGGTCCGCATAGAAATTGTATGTGAACAGAGAATGACTGACGGTTTCCTTGCACAAGATACGGAAACCTAGCCTTTTCCTGGAGTGTTAGAGTTCCAGCATCATTGCACTCTGACCTTGCTGATGAAATGCATGTGTGGTGAGAGAGGCCAACTGTTTTTGTAACCAATATGGGACATGCAGTGTTAACAAATATAACAGTGTTTCATATGTATATATGTATATGAGTTAAATTGTAAGACAAGTTCTCTGTGCACTGAGGAGAAATTGTGGGAGAAAGAGGAATCACCTAGTTTTCATCTCCCACCGAAAGGAGGTAGAACCAGTTTTCCTTTAGGAATTTGTGACAACACCCGTAACACAGGTCATGTGATGGCCTGGAGCTCTTGTAGTCCTTCAGTGGCCTTAAGGGACAGCAACGCCCATGTTGACTGGCCAGAGGTGGTGTCAGGATGGCCTCAGAGTGAAAGTTTGGGTGGCTTAGGCTCCATCAGAACAGATACGTGCAAAGGATATCCATTTAAAGATTTCAAGGCAGGCTCAAAACCAAATAGTCTGATATTTTGGTTTCTAGTTGTACTGAAAGTGTTATTTTTGGTATTTAATCCTATCCAAATAAATCTTTTTTAATGACCAGTTAGTTATGAGACATTTTCAGAAGGAGTTCATCACTACATCTGAGAGTTCAAGTTGATGTTTTTAAATCACAACAAATTTATTAATGAAGCTATAACTCACAATTAATCTTGATCTATGCTTTGAAAATAACTGAAATACTTTATTTGTGATCTGAAAGGATTATGTAACAAAGGTACATCAAATGTTTATTGAATTGTCATAAGAGGCAAACAGAAAGCCCTCTCTGTTCCTGTGTAAAGTTGATTTGGAACAAGAACATTTTCCACGTCATGGCAGAAATCTGAATTCTTAAATGACTTGTTTTCACTTTAACTAACCATTACAAAAATGTCCTAATACCCACTTGTAGAAAAAATAAACAAATTAGAACAAGTTGCTTTTTGTTTGTTAAACCATAACATTAATGGGAATAATGTTCTGTGACAGTGGTGCTAGACAAATAGTCTCCAGCATCACAAAATGATTCTCCACTGTTGAGTGAAGCTAGCCTTTGCAAGGTCGTTAAATTACCACTGTAAGCTTGACTCTTTGTGGTCACAATAAACTCTGGTCTCCTTCCAGACAGGAAGCTCATTGCTGTGTGTGTGTGTGTGTGTGTGTGTGTGTGTGTGTGTGTGTGTGTGTGTGTGTGTGTGTGTGTGTGTGTGTGTGTGTGTGTGTGTGTGTCTATGTGTGTGTGTGTCTGTGTGTGTCTGTGTGCCTTTGTTGCAGGTTGAAGAATGGAGTTGGCCAACCATGGTCTTATCCTGCTGCAGCAGCTCAATGCTCAGAGGGAGTTTGGCTTCCTGTGTGACTGCACTGTGGCCATCGGGGACGTCTTCTTCAAAGCCCACAAAGCCGTCCTTGCTGCCTTTTCTAACTACTTCAGGATGCTCTTTATACATCAGGACAGGTACAGGAGGGGTGTGTTAGCACTGGTATCTGACATTAACTCAAAACTCAAATTAAAATACCCTTTGTTGTCAAATCAAATAATTTCTCGAAAACTGCATTCATCTACCAAAACCTACAGACCTCATGGCTGAATAACACTGACTTGTCCTTATGATGACGAACAGTGAAGGCCTTTTTCTTCTCAGTGAACTGAATCCCTGACTGAAGAATTTGTGCAGTCATTCAATTTGACAAATATCTAACAAGGTGCCTATGAAAAAGTTCCCTTTATGAAGGAAACAGAGATTTAAAGAACTTGCCACATTCCAGTTTCAGTAGGGTGTATTTTCTCATCTTCAAATTAATGCAGAATCTGTAGCTAGGAACAAGATTTATGCAAAATATGACATACAATTTGCTTCACTGTATCAACCAACTCATTAACCTGTTGGTGTTGTTAAAATTGTAAAACATAATGTAATATAATTTCAACTCCCAGCATTTTCAGAATTTGACATCCACATCTCTGTGTTCCAGTGACTGTGTGCGCCTCAAGGCTGCTGACATACAGCCAGACATCTTCAGCTACCTGCTCAACCTGATGTACACCGGCAAGCTTGCCCCCCAGCTGATAGACCCTGCACGGCTTGAACAGGGGGTCCGTTTCCTGCATGCATACCCCCTCCTGCAGGAGGCCAGTCAGTCTGTGTACTCCCACCCCGAGCAGAACCTCAACCTCTCCACTTCGCTTTATGGCATCCAGATCTCTGACCAACAGGTGGCACTGTCAACTAGGTTATCGGCGCGTCAGCAGCTCTCCTCACCTTTCGACGTGGAGCAGCTTGGCTCAGAGGGAAAGTATCCGTCCACACCTGCTACCACAGCTTCGTTTGCTACCTCTTTACCATCCAAGCTAGGCTCCTTACCCCAGGACATGGAAGCTTCAACCAGTGGGACCAAGCCAACAGGTGAGGAAGTGGGGGCAAATTTGCTCAATGTAGATGGCTCCTCAGCAAGCACTTCCATCCTACATGTGAAGCCGAGCATCATGAAGAGGAGTTCTTTCAGGAAGCACTACTCCTGTCATCTGTGCAGGAGCAGGTTCACACAGAGGAGCCTGCTGAGAGAGCATCTCCTGCTGCACACGCAGGCTCTACAGCAGGCAACAGCAGAGCCCAGCAACCTCTCACCTGTTTTGACCGCAGAACAAAGCATGCTTGAAGCAGAGGGGGTCCTCAAAGGTAGCAAGCCAGGGTCAGGCACCTCTGTTTCCAATACAGCAGTGGAGATAATCAGCGACAGTGAGCAGACACCTGTTTCAGGGACCAACTCAGACTCTCCTCGAGCTGAGGTGTCCACATCCAGCTGGGGTGTGGGAGGGTTAAACTCTCAGGCAGACACACCTCCTCCATCAGACATCGCTGATATAGACAACCTCGAGAGCGCTGACTTGGACCGGGAAGTGAAGCGAAGGAAGTACGAATGCTCGACATGCGGGCGAAAGTTCATTCAGAAGAGCCACTGGAGAGAGCACATGTACATTCACACAGGGAAGCCTTTCAAATGCAGCGCCTGCGGAAAGAGCTTCTGCCGTGCCAACCAAGCGGCTCGTCATGTGTGCCTAAATCAGAGCGCTGACACCTACACCATGGTGGACCGACAGAGCATGGAGCTGTGCACGGCGGGCGATGACAGCAGCCAGATGGAGGCCATGTTCTTGGGTTCCTCAAAGCCTTACAAGTGTAACATTTGTGCAACCACCTTCTCTAGCCCCAATGAAGTGATCAAACATTTGTGTTTTACCCAGGGGGGGCTGGCAGGGCTGCAGGGAAACAATGTGGGCTCAGGGATGATACTCCAGCGTGAGGAGTTCTCCAAAGATGAGGGCTCTGATTTGTCCAATTCTGGCACACCACCGGAGCCCATAAAGACAGAGGAAATCCTCGTAGAGTAGTGCCAAAAGTGTGTGTGAGCCTTCAACATGTTTGTTTATTTTCTAAATTATGGTTTACAGGTAAACTAAAGGTGAAGTTAGTCAGGGTATGTTTGTCAGAGATCTCAGTCTACAAGAAGTTATATTTTTAGGGGTACAGTCATTGGGTACAGTATTTTTTTATTTTTTGTCCCCAAATATAAAATTGTATTTAAAAAATAATCCAATGTTTTAAAGCTCCCTGGAGTTCATTTAAAAATCATTATAACCTGCAAATAGCATTGTTAGCTTATGTTATACGACTATTACTCAGGCTCTTCTATAGTGTTTTCTCTTGAGATCAACCATTGTGGTGAAGCTGCACTGGCTGACTTTCAGAATAAGAGGAAGCAGAGACACTTCCGGAGTAGACAGCATGTTGTGAGATGAGTTAGCCGTGCAGCATTTTAAGACAAAAGAGAGTCACTAACTGCTAATAATGTCACTGCAGCTGCACAGAGAAGTGCCAAATGAGAGGTGACTCTCCAGAGAGATTATTATCCAGCTAAAAGCACACATTCAATCTGAGACAATCTTTGCTCTGTTTTGGAGTCAACACTCATGCAGGAGAAGAACTTTGTCTTCCATACGTGGTTTCATCCTTGGCAAAAAGAAAGCTTTGTAGCTAAATTTAAGTACTGTTTTTAAAATCCTTCAAACTGTGGTTTAGTTTTTCCACCCTCTGTTTGGTGACAACATGGTTTCCTCCTAGAAACAATCCTTTTAGGAGTTTTGCCACTAGAAGTTTCTCACAAACGGCAAGAGTGGTCATTGTGTTTCCAAGTAAGACATGTCATTCTGGTTTTGTGCTCATTTTGACACAAACCTTAATAAGAATCTGTCCACTGCTGTTGTTTTGTGGTCTAATTTGCTTCATAATGTATGTAACATCTAAAAGCTCCCAGTTTTTGTTTTAGATTCATTTTTTATGTTAGGAACATGCTTTATCTAAATACAAAAATAATGTCATTTTGCAAAGGTTAATAAGTACAGTAAGACAAAGACTCATAAAATTTAGTTTTAGCTGAATTTTATATATATTCGTGATGGGCATTATACATGTACCTTAAATTTTTCTTTACAAAAAAAGACATATTTAGGTTTCAGTTGAAAACTGGAGTTTATCTCCCAATGGCTGACCTTTTATTCTTACTTGATGCAAAGGGAACTTTTTTTTGTCATGTTAAGATCTTAAAGCATGTACGTATTTTGTATTTTAATTGTGTCTAAATAAAAATAACAAGCAGTAGTTGAAACTGCAGCCATTTATGGAAGAGCAAAAAATACACAGGTTAATGTTAGCTGCAAGTAGCATAGTTTGCCTGGCAGTGGGGGGTCAGGTGACACGCTGGTTAGTGAGGTATGAGATATCGGGTGTAAACCTCATACCTGATATTCTGGACAGATTTTTCTGTGAAAATGAAAGAAATTATTTATTATTTGTAATGACAACATCAATTTCTTGGGAATACTTTTATGTACTACTGATGACTGAAAGTCTTTACATGTCCAGCTAATGTGAAGAGTTATTATATAATCTTTCATGATGAAACATGTCCAATTTGACAGTAGCAGAAGTTGCAAAATACAGGTTTCTCAACTGAACTTACATCTGGATATCTCATCCTGATTTGTTTTTTTTTCTTTTTTTTTCTGCACATATTTTAATTCTAAAATTGTTGCGTTGTTTCAGGGACTTGTGACCCTAATTTCTCTTGCAAGTGGTATTTGAGAGAAGAATAAACCTCACCGCAAAACTGCAGGTTTTGCTGAAATCACTTTGAGAAAATGTGATCTTTGCAAACCTTTTACAAAAACCCCAAATCTTTTTTTTCATAGTCTGACATTTATCTCCTTCATGCAGAAATCTTCCAATCAAGCTGCTCCCTGACAGAACAAAGATACTGCGATCTTAGAGAGTTATTGTAAAGAATTGTAATATAATTTACAGTTTATTGTAAAGCAAATTTTGAACGTAAGTGTATGGTAGAAAATTATTGTTATTGTAATCCTGATATTTTTTTCTTTCCATCTTTAACTTGTAGTTTTTATATGAATGCCCATCCCTATGTCTGAGATGTATCAACCCCCCCTTTCTCTCCTTCCGAACCAGTTTCACCCAGCCTTAAATACACATTTACAACTGTGATACAAGGCCTGGTCTCCAGTTATCGGGAGTTTTCTGTACTAAAAGTCTGTCTCTGATAAGTATTGAGAAGCAATTGCTGCTTTGCTGCATTATCTTAGAGTTTTACAAGGTGGAGCTGTTTCCTGCATTTCTGGTGGAAGGGAAGGCTTTCAGATTTGAAGTACCTTAACTGATGTTTTTGTTGCCAATGATGTGACCTTTGCCATATATCACACCTGATTTTTATTCAAATAAAAACTCAAATATTGAGTTTATTTTTGAGAGTGTTATGTGTTGACCATTAGGGAAGGACTTTTATTTTTGTCTTGATTCAAGAATTATCATGCTGTACTACTGATGTTCATGTCTTGATGCTTCACGGGCGTCTGTGCAGCTTTTAATGTTAGATTTAATCTAATCTACATCTTCAGCTTGATTTGTAACTGTTCAGCTTCACACCTGTCTCGTAACTCAAGAGTTGTGTGTGTGTGTGTGTGTGTGTGTGTGTGTGTGTGTGTGTGTGTGTGTGTGTTAAAATATGTCAGTATCTCAGGATGAGATGTCTGACTTTCTCTTTTTGGTTCTCTGTTTTTCAACTTGATTTTATTTCCAGGTCATGAAACTACCCTACAATGTCTATTTGGAGTCTACTGTGATCAATTTTGTTCTCAGGTTATAAGCAATTTTCTGTAGGAACAAAATTTTTTCCTTTACAGTGAAAAATGAACAATAAAAACATGTCTTTTTCATAACAGATTTTCTGCACTTTGTGCCATTATATAACAATATTTTATGTTATGTTTTGTACTACTACCAATTAAAAAGAACTGGGATGCCACACTAACAATACATCAAATGGTTGTTAATTAAGGTATATGCAGCCTAAATTTGATGCCAACATGTTTTAAAAAGTTTGTGTAATGTTTAGAAACAACTGAAGGACCATCTCCCCACTAATGAGGCTAAAATCCCGACAGGTTAGTTACATGAGAGGCTGTAAAAAGAGCTTTCCAAAGAGACTGAGGCTGTATTGAAGACTACAGTTAAAGCTCATAGTCATATAATACAAAGTAGTGTTTCTTTAGTCATTGTTTCATTTCATAAAGTTTTTGGCTGGAAATCTTTATGGAAGGATGAGGTCAGAACCCAATACCAAAAGGCTGTGATCTTTGGGTACTCAGGTGGCACTGGCACATGACTCAGCAGTGGAAATCGTCAAATGGTCTCAAAATCACTATCATAAAACCTTGTTTGTGAAGACACAGCTATCACAACTACGGTTAGAACTGCACCCAGCAAAGACTTATTGTAATGGGTGCTATGTCTTAAAAGGCATCATTGTCTCTAAATGCTTTACAGATTTTGGAGCAACATATGCTGCCAACAAGACATTGAGCCTCCATGTAAATGTCAAATCACATTCTGCACATATTACAACATGGCTCTGTAGAAGTTAAAGTAGCCTGTCTGCAATCCTGCTTTGTCAACCATTGAAACATTTGACATGCTGTGAAACACAATACATGCAAAGGAAACCCATACATGTTTGAGAAGGTAGAATAAGGCAAGATTTGGACATCTCCCCCTCTTAAGTCATCATCTGGATCTCAGATATTTACAGAGTTGTTATAGATTAGTTGATGCAGAACGATGGCCATGTCATGACTTGTTTCGAATCACGCTGTTGGCATCAAATTCAGTGAAAATGCATAGGGGAGAGTGGGGTAATTTGAGCCATTTTTCGTATTTTGTATCACTACATCAAGGCAATCCTAGTTTGTCTATAACTAATGAATTTGCATATATTTCAAGATGTTGTGAATCCCTGCAAACCAACAGAATGAGTGTAAACGTAACTGTCTTGATAATTAAGTATGCAAAAAAAAAAGTAGTCTCCTATGGTCAAGTTACATATATATATACATATATAACCACTACAGGCCAAACGTTTGGAAGCAAGATGAGATTTGTACAAAATTTTGACTATAATTATTATGTATTTGAGTTATTGTTGCTTAGACTTTGCTTTCTTTAAAGTAACCTCCTCTGGCTTTAACAACAGCTTGGCATATACTAGGCATTCGTTCTACAAATTTTTTTAAGGTATGTTCCAGGGATCGCATTCCAAGCTTTCTTAAGTTCCTTAACTGCTGATTCGTGGGACGCGTTCCTCTGACCGATAGATCCAATTCATCCCGCACAAGCTCAATTGGAGAAAGGTCTGGAGACTGAGGGGGCCAAACCATCTTTTGAAGAACACCTTCCTCTTCTTTTTTGTCTAGGTAACCCTGACAGTGCTTGGCAGAGTGCTTAGGGTCATTGTCTTGCTGCAAATCAAACTTATGAGCCACAAGTCTGAGTCCAACAGCATGGAACAGCATGGTGCTGGAGGATGGAGTGGTATTGTTCCTTCTTCATGATACCCTTTCCTTCAAACAAATCTCCTACTCCATCACCTGCAAAACATCCCCATACCATGGAACTACCACCCTCATGCTGAATTGTGGGTGTAACACAACATTTCAGATGTTCACCAGTTTGTCTGCGGACATAGACTCTGCGTTTTGAACCAAACAGTGCAAACTTGTTTCTAGTCATCATAAGTCCAATTTTTGTGAGCTTTTGCCCACTCATATCTCTTTTTCTTTTTTTCTGTGGATGAAGTAGTGTTTTTTTGCAGATACACAACCCTTCAGACCAGCCTTTCTCAAACATCATTTCACAGTTGTCAGAGATATGGGTTTCGACCTTGTCATGTTGACTTCCTCCCTTATTTTTGGTGCTGTCCTTTGCCGATCTCTCTTACTGATGACAATGCTATGTTTATCCTCGTCTTTTGCAGTAACTCTCTTTCATCTAGGCCTTTTTCTATCATCATAACTTGCAGGTTCCTCTAGTCTCTTCAGAGTGCAGTGGACTCCTTTGTTAAACCCCTTTGGGCATTTTGCAATTTCTCTTTCTGTGTATCCTTCTTTCCTCAATGTACAAATCTGTACTTTTGTTTCTTTACTCAGTTGCTTCTTCCTAGCCATTTTTGTGGCAGTTTGAATGCAGTTGAGATTTATTAGAATTTTTGTATACAGGCTCTCAAAAGCCGAACAGTTTAGGTGAATAATCCAACTGTGATTTGCTTTTTTGCCTTTGCACTGAAGTAGTGACTCTTGCAAATGTTTTCAATCCTAAAACAAAGCCCTTATTATCTTTTGCTGACATATATTTAGCAATGGTCTGTTAACATCAATGTATATCTAAAGGTAAATGGAGTAAAATAGTGCATTTCCATGAAAGCAACATCTGATCATGGAGTAAATACATCCCAAAATACATAAAACTCGTGCTGGATTTAAAAAAAAAAAGCATTGTGAGCATAAACTTGAAGTTACTCCCAACTGTTCGGCCTGTAATGGCCTTGCTTCCAAACTTTTGGCCTGTTGTTTTTATATATACACAAGCCATATACAAGCTTATATACAGTCCCTGACAAAAGTCTTGTCGCTTGGGTACAAGTTGACCATAAGTGCCCCTCAAATATATGTGCAATACATTTTTTTTTTACAAGAAATGTCTAATTTCAATCCCAACAGTGTTTGAAATAATGTCTTGGTGCCAAATGAAACTGCTGAAAAGCATTCTAATGTTCACAGCTTGGTAAAGCCCACTAAGTCAGTTTTTGCACAGACAAAAGTCTTGTCGCCTTGTCATATGATGCACCCAATCCAAGATTACAGCCTCACCTGTGATCAGTTATTGACCAATCAATTAGTGGGTGTATAGAAAGAACCACAGCACACCAGACCTTCACATCAACTGCAACTTAACCTCTGACAACATGCCTAAGATTCACCCTGAGACCAGAGCTTTGATCATCAAGAGGCTGAAGACCAGATCCACTGCTGAGGTGGCTGACACCTTCAATGTGTCTCAGCGTCAAGTACAAAGGATAAGAAAAAGATTTGAAGAGACTGGAGATGTTTATGACAAGCCCAGGCCCAGCAGACCCCGAAAGACAACTGCTCGGGAGGACCATTTGTTGGCTTGAAAATCCAAGGCCAGCCCCTTTTCCACTGCAGCAGAGCTCCACCAGGTCTGGTCACCTCAAGTCCCTGTGTCAACCAGAACAGTTTGTCGAATTCTGTCTCGGCATGGCCTCCATGGTCGAATCAGTGCCCAGAAACCAGCACTAAACAAAAAGAAATTAAAAAAACTTGTGGCATTTGCCAAGGCCCACAGCCTGCTAAAAGGATGGAAGCTGGAAAAGTGTCAGAAGGTGGATTTTTCTGATGAATCTTCGGTTGAATTACATCACAACCGCTGCAAATATTGCAGGAGACCTACTGGAGTCTGCATGGATCCGAGATTCACCCAGAAAACAATTAAGTTTGGTGGTGGAAAAATCATGGTCTGGGGTTGCATCCAGCATGGAGGTGTGCGAGAGATTTGCAGGGTGAAAGGCAATATCAATAGCCTAAAATATCAAGAAGTATTAGCTACCTCTTACATTCCCAACCATAAAAGGGGTCAAATTTTGCAGCAGGATGGTGCTCCATCGCATACTTAGATCTCTACAGCAAAGTTCCTCAAGGCGGAGAAGATCAAGGTGCTCCAGGACTGGCCAGCCCAGTCACCAGACATGAACATCATCGAGCATGTCTGGGGTAAAATGAAGGAGGAAGCATGGAAGACAAAACCAAAGAATCTTGATGAACTCTGGGAGGCATGTAAGACTGCGTTCTTTGCTATTTCTGATGACTTCATCAATAAATTGTATGAATCGTTGCTGAACTGCATGGATGCAGTTCTTCAGGCTCATGGAAGTCATACAAGATATTAAATATGGATCTCACAGCACCACTACTTGATTCACTGATGTTGTGCAACATATTTTGTATTTGAAGTAAATTATTTGTTCAATTTTCACATTACTCTATGTAGGCGACAAAACTTTTGTCTTGCCAAAATCTGACCTTTCTGTGTTCATTAAATGATCAATCTTTCTTCGGTGAAGGAAATTTATTTTAGATTTTAAATATAATTTGGGAGGGTTTTAGCTTTCATATGAGCCATTTCTAAAACCAATGGATTAATGACAAGTCAGGTTATAAGCTGTTGTTTCTACAAAATGGATAAGTGACAAGACTTTTGTCAGGCACTGTATAAGCCATCAATATTATATAAATTAACATTTTACAGCCTAGCAATATAGTGTGGTGTTGAGGTGATTATCACAGGCTTCAAACATGCATTTTCTGGATGATTGGATGACAAAAAGGTATTTGTAAGGTATGCTTCAAAAAGTCTATCAGCAATGGATATACACCAGAGTAACCAGACACTCGTTTTTTTTCACTAACTTTATTGAATGAAATATAGACAAAGTTTTTCTGCATCTTTACTATTAACAGCTTGTAAAATATAAAAGACAGCTAAGACCATGCTACATGAATGAATATGGCTAAATGGCTGCAGGTTATTTGTAAATATTGCGATATGACTTAAGTACATACAGTAGGTAAACAATCAGTACAAATGTTAACAGGTGCACAGTTAAGTGTGTTACAAAAAGCAGGGAGGACTGGTGTATAATTTTGATTGAGCAAAAGTCAGTCTTGAATTCTTGTTTACTTAAAGCGAATATGGAGAAAAAAAATACACTCGAGAGTGAAAATAAAAAGAAGTGGTGATCCTGAAAGTGGCCCTAACTTTCTGTTTTCTTTCTGGTTTGGTCATTAAGCCAAGCATGAGCCTCTCGAGCTATTCATCACCCATTACAAAAAAAATGTGGTTTCAGTCAGCTCTCACAGTTGATTCCTTAAGATGTCTGAATGACTGACACAGTGCAAGTTTGACAAATTTGGCAGGAAATAAACAAATATTAGTGTAACCTTGAGTCACATGTATGCTTTGGTGGTGAAACTGGACCAAGGGAATGTTTTAAAACTTTCCCAACTGCCCGGTTACTTACACAAAATAAGCCCTGAAATTGTTACTTAGGTTTGATCTGTCCAGACTCAACATAGTAGCTGAGCAGATGCTTAATTGGATCCAACTGATGCCTGATCCTGTGAGCAAGGGAAAGACCATGACTTCCTCTGATTGATCCTAACTTAATTTTGCCTTAATGAATAAGGAATAAGAATAAGCCTTTGTTTTCTATCCTGGTACCATGCAGTCAGTATCTGTGCCTCTGTGAATCCCCCAAACCAGTGAGTCTATGTCCTCCCTGGTGCTTGATCAATCATCCTAAACTATCATGCCAGGTTGAAAAACAACCAAGGAGGAAGACAGCATAATGTGGTACTGAACAGGGATCACAGACAATGTTAAGCATCCTTGTTAGAACACACAAACACCAACAGCAAAAACTAAGAATGCACTACTTTTTGTGGACAACAGGTGGCGTCAACATGCCGCTAAAGAAGTAGGGAGGCGTTATACAGGATACAAAACATGACCTATGTAACATGGCATCTGAACACTGATGTGTCTTACATGCTCCTGTCAACCCTTACAGTGTCGAAATTGGCAAATGCATCTTTTTCATGCCACTAACTCTGCAAGATCACCCATTAGGGGTTTACTGTCATATTTTATTGTACAATTACAGAAAAAAATGTTAAACAACGTTTTCACAGTAAACTAGGCAGTGATTGACCTTGGTTAACTAAAGGAAGCTTATTAAGTGTTTTTCAGTGTGCCAAGTATTAACAGTGGAACAAGAGATATGTGAGAAGGATAGCTCTTCTTTTCCTTATCATTGTATTCGCAATGCCTTCAGCAGTCTGTGTCATCAAATACTGTCAGTGGGACCACGCTTGTACCATGGTTAAGCTAAAATAGCTACAGGGTCTTGGAATAAACTTAAATTTGACTGTAAAGGCAACAGCCTTTCATTTGTTTTGGTAAATCTAATAAGACACCTTTTGGATTATTCTGCTTTTTAAAAAAATGACACAGTTACATAATAAAAACCTGATGTATCACAGTTTGATAAGGGGTTTTCAAAAACAAGTAAAATGTACATTTAATAACAAAAATGGCAAGAACTCAAAAATAAAAACTGGATCATAAGGATGATGAAAGAATACTTATGATATAAATACAATATACAAGATAATAATTCTCCATCTCTCAACCTAACTTTTGATGCCATCTCATTCTTGTGTCTATACACATACAAACCTACACATGAGCACACACAAGTACATGAAGGGATCGGACTCTTGACCAAGGTGCACACTCTCATCTTGTGCAGCAAGGTCAAAGGAAAGTCACAGAGACGCTGGACATACATCACACTGAAAACAACCAGATGGGATGCTTCTGAGGCACAGGACATGCTTTTGAGTGTGTTTGTTTGTGTGTGCAAGAGAGTGGGACGTCACGGTGCATTAACAGAGCTGCAGGATGGGGTGAGAGTACAGGTGGAAGGGGAGGTAGAGAGAATGACAGAGCTGTTGCTCAGTCACTCAGTCTATCAGGGCGAGGTGGGTGGGGCCCAGTCTCAGTGTGTTGTCACACAGCTGCCTTTTTCTCTTTTTCTCTCTCTCTCCCTCATCATTCACTTCCTGGTGCAGACGCTGAGTCTCCCAGGCATCAGTCTTGAAAATCCAGCTGTGACAAAGAGGCACAAAATCAGGTTATAACATTGCTCTTCTTTGTTCTGGAAACCATCTTCCATACCAAAAAGCAACTTAACACAGAACATTAGAGAGGTACAGAGGGTGCAAGTCCCATGACAAGGAAACAACATAGAGATTTTAAAAGGACATATTGCTCTGAGTATTCACAAATTTGGATATTGTCCAGAAACAGAGTTACATAAATCATGTTGCGTTCAAGTCAAGGATATACCTATCTCGATGCAGCACTTGTTTCAGCTTCTTTTACTCGCAGTTCTTTGTATTTCTTCCTTTTTCGATTTCTTTCACTGTTTGCTTTATTTACCTTTCTTCTAATTGTTCAGTTATGACACTTAAAGTAAGAGCACTGCTTTTTCACAGCTGATTTTAAACTGCTTTAACCCATCAGCCTCACTCCTGCATGACTTTCCCTTCTCCTCTGCTTCCAAGGGTGTCCTGTACTGCCTAGCTGCATGTCTGCTGAATACATATGAGAGGTATCTATGCACAATTTATTCCTCCTCCTCACAACTGACATCAACAAGAAATGGATAAGTCAGTTTATGTGCTGTATGACATACATAAAAAGGGTAAAATATGGTCAAACAATTGGGGAAAAAACAACTTGGGCCCTTTGAGGCTTTGTAATTGAACCTAACAAGTGTGATATCCTGCCATGGTTCCTTGACTCCATACTGAGCCAATGACAGAGGGAAACAGGAGGAGGGAGCAGAGGAATCATAATCAGTCTTTCAGCACAAGTTCATCTGCCTCAAACACTGCTTCCCTTTAAGACCCCAGTCTACAATGAAGGGGTCAACGGCGGCATTCCTGCTTTGATATCAAAGGTCCCCTGGTTACTCATGGCTTGAACAAAAGCTTTTTTCATCTGGTCAGTGGGTAAATCCCCTCCCCTTCTCCCTAATACAAGTAGGGCCCATTGATGTTTCAAAAAAGTTTGGTTGATAGCTGATGGAGGAATTTTGTAAATAACCACTCTTCTTTTGCAATACCAAACATTAAATCACAGTGTCCTATCCTACCTTTGAAGTCTTCATTACTCTTTACTAACTACATATCAATTTTTCGACTTGTCTCACCTGCTCATGATGCTGCTGTGATCTCTGTGGACACAGGCTCTATCTCCTTCACAGCCTCTTCGATTACCTCGATCACCTGCGCCATTACTTCTGCACACTTCACGGTTGTTGATGGTGTTTTCTCTGTCTCTGGTTGGTTGGCTGCTTCCTCTGCCACCTTGCTGGGAGCTGAGTCCTTTGCTGAAGCAGCCTCGGCAAGATTTTCTGGCAGCGTTGAGAGTTTGTTTTCAAGTGCTGGTATTTTAGGTTCCACATTTCTTTCTTCAGTGGATAAACCATTGCTGTCAAACTCCACCACTACCTCCTCCTCCACTGATGGTTCCTCCATCATCTGTGCTGTCTGTAGGAAAACTTGGACTGGTGTGTGGATCTCAAACACTTTCTCTTTTTTCTCCTCTGTAGGAGCTTCTGCCTCTGCTTCCACTGATACTGGTTCCACTACCTCAGCCGGTTCCTGAACTTCAGTGTTATCTTTTCCCTCTTCTTCCTTGACTTCATCAAGCTCTTCACCTGTCGGACTCTCTTTTATCTCCATGACTTCTTCCACCACCACAGTTTCTTCACTTACATTTACCTCCACAGTTTTCTTTAACTCTCCTGGTTTCATCTCCTCTTCTCCAGAAGCATAAATGCTGTCTACAACCTCCACTGGGATTGTGGCGATTACTTCCATAGCCACATGTAGGGTCTGAGGGGACTTTGGTTTTTCACAAACTAAAGGAACAGGGGTGTCAGTGATAACAGGACCCTCTGATGAGATTTCTATCTCTTTCTCTGTTGTTGCAGTAGCCTTGACCAGTGCTGGCATGGTACTAGGGGTGGTTGGCTTTTTTGGTTTAGCAGTGTCTTCTGACACTTTGTCCACGGCATCCTGGATGACAACCTCAGCAATGACCTTACTCTGAGCCTCAAATTCACTGTCTTTGGGAACGTCCTCCTTAATTTCTTCAATGGTCTCACTGACTTCCTCATTAGCTGCACTAATCTCTGATTCAGCAGCTGGAACAGTTGTAGCCTCAACAGTCTTCTCTTCCTCAATTTCCTGCACCTGGACTGGTTCTACCCCAACTGGTTCTGATATTTTCACTTGTTCAATCTCCAAGATGGGTGAGGTAGCAAGAACCACAGTCTCAGTGATAACAGGAGCCTCCTCACTTGGGCCTTCAAGGACCTCAGGCTCAGTCACCTTTGATGCTTCTACAGTGAACTCCTCTGTCACCTTCTGGACCTCCTTAGGGACACTGACCTCAGTGTCTACCATCTTCACCTCCTTGGTTTCAATAGTTGGCTCAGTGACTACTACACTTTCAGTGCAAATGGCTGTTTCAGATGTAGGAGTTATGGCGCCGACAACAACTGTTTTGGGGGAGTTTTCACTCACAGTTGCAGGCTGAACTATTTCGGATCCCTCCAGAACAGTACTGATGACTCCAACCTTCTCAATCTCAGGTTCGATGTTCTCATCAGCTGCTTGAACATTTGTGACTTCACACGCTAGAGTCTCCACAGCAGGCTCAAGCTCAGTTGTTTCGACCTGGTGCACTTGTGCTCTGAGTACTTCATCCTCTGTCACGGAAGCTTCCTCTACACATGGTTGCTTCTCCTCCTGGGACACCTCTGTGCCTAGAGCATCACAGATCACAGCCACAGTCTCCATGATGGGCTCTGCAGGTTTCTGCAGAGCTACCTTAGCAATCTCCTCAGTCCCAAGGCCTGTGCAGATAGCCACTGCCTCAGCACAAGTATGTGGCTCCAGGATTGCGTTAGTCTTGGCCTCGGCAGTCTCAATGGGAGGTTCAAACTCAATTTTGACAGAGGCTACCTCAACTGGTACACTTTCAACTGCCACCGATGTCTTGATAGGAATTTCACTGACGTGAGCCTGTATGCACTCTAAAACTTCTTTGGCACTTTCTGGGTTAGGTCCCTGAGGAACAGGAGTAGTTTCAGCAGATGGGGCTTGATCGATGGGCTTCACCTCAGCTGTAGACAGCCTTCGCTCTGACAATGCCTTCACTTTAGCAGCAAAAGCAGCATCATCCTCAGTGTCATCCTCTGTTATGTCAGTGTCTACAGACTTTGGTGTGGCAGCATTCTCTGCCTCTTCAGGGATGTCGCTTAGCTCATCAAGTTTGTCTTCGATGTGTTCAACCACAGCTGGGATCCATGAAGGGGAACGATCTTCAGCAGATACTTTAGTCTGGACCAAAGCTGGTTCAGGTTCTGGTTCTGATAGGACTTCCTGTTCTGATTCTTCATACTCCGAGAGGGGTACCACAGCAGGAGTGTCAGAGTCCTCATCGCCTGTGCACTGTTCAGTGGACGCTTGTTTCTCTGCCTTCTTCTTTCTGCGCCCAGGCAAGAACTTCCTCAGTGAAAAGGTTGACTCGTCTTTTGGTGCTTCACTGTCTGACAGGACTTGCTCTCCACCGTCTTCAGTCTTGTCCTCAGACTTGGTTTTATTCTTGGGCATTACCATGCGTTTCAGAGTGTCCCAGGTGGACTCCCTCTCAGGGGGGCTGCTAAGAGGTTCAGGAGAGGACACAACTTCTCCTTCATGCTCTGTGCTCTGTGAAGTCACAACAGCAGCCTCCATTTTTCCTTCCTGTTCTCCTTCAACTGCTAGAGCAGAAACTTCTTCTTCAATCTTGGTCTCCTCATCGTCAGAATCAGATGTCTTCCTAGTTCTCTTTTTAGGTCCACCCATACACATCAGAGCCTCCCAGGAGACGGAGGTGTCAATTTTCTTTTTAGGCTCCTCAGTGCTGCTTAACAATTTCTCAGTGGTTTCAGTCTTTGGCTCTACTTCAGCTTGTTTTTCCTCCTTAGCTCCCTCTTCTACACTCTTGTCTGCTAGAGGGGCACTCTCAGTTGAGGACAGAGTGGCTGACTTTGCTAGTTTCTCACCTGTAGCTTCATCATCACTCTCAGAGGACCTTTTTACACGCTTCTTGGGTGTAACTAGCTTCTTGAAAGAGGTCCAGGCAATGATCCCCTCTTTTTTCTTCTCTCCATCAGAGGTAACTTCCCCTTCTGTCTCTTGGCTTGACTCAATTTGGTTCACCTCCACAGCAAGGACATGCTCTCCTGATTCCTCAGGGGATGAGGGCCCACTCTCAGCCTTTGGAGCCTCTGTTGACTCTGTGGAGGACTGAAACTGCTCAGCTGCTTGCTCCCCAGACTCAGTTGGCTTGGTCTCAACATCTTTCTTTGCTTTTTGTTTCTTGGTTGAGAGCTTCTTAAGGCCAGCCCCAGTGAAGAGCTTCTTCAGAGGGCTTCCTTGAGGCTTTGCCTTCTCCTGAGATGACAGCAGCTCAGCCTCAGTTGTCACCTCAGCAGGTGCTTTCTCCTCTTCTGCATTGAGTTCACCCTTTTCTTCCTCTTGTTCAGTTTCATCAGTGGTGGTAGCTGGAGCAGGAGTTTCAGCAGGGACCTCTGGCTCAGGGGCAGTCTCTGATTTTGCTTCCTCTGGACAGGCTGGTGTCTCCTCTTTGGGCTCAGATTTTTCTTCTTTGGGAGTGGCTGGTGCTTCCTCCTTCTTGGTTTCTTTCTCAACCTCCTTTTCCTCTTTTTCCTCCACAGCAGCAGCAGTTTCCTCTGTCTTAACTGCTTCTTCTTCAACAGCTGCTTCTTTTTCTTCCTCCTCTTTAGTCTTCTTGATGCTAGTTTTCTTTCTCAAGTTGGAGAAGAGACCTCCACTGAAGAGCCTTCTGAAAGGAGAGAGGGTGGTCTCTTGGGCTGGTGGAGAAGCCTCACCTTCCTTTTCAGCTCCTTCCGCCTTCACAGTTTCCTCAGTAGGTTCAGCAGCACCTTCAGCTGGAGCATCAGCAGCTTCAGCTTTGTCATTATCTTTAGTCACCTCAGCCTCAATGCTAGTTGTCTCTCTGTCAGCCTCCTTATCTTCAGCAGGGCTTTTCTCCTCCATAGTAACAGCCTCCCCCTCCTTAGTGGCTTCATCAGACCCGACTACCTCTTCCCCCTCTTTATCTTTGACCGTCAAGAGCTTTACAGGATCTTTTTCCTCACTTTTGTCTTTCTTCAGGGTGAATTTGAAGCCTACAAAGCGGAAGATTTTCTTGAACCCGACTTCATTAGCATCCCCAGGTTTCTCCTCAGCTGCATTCTCCTCAACAGCGGATATGTCATTGCCATCAGGAGACTCTTTCTCCAGTTTCTCGCCATTAACTTGAGGAGTCACTTCATCCTGGACATCCATAGTCTCAGGGGCTTCTTCTTTCTGAGCCACAGATACACCATCTGGCTGACCAACTGAAATAACAAAATACAATTTTTTTTAAAATTAGTTTTAAAGTTGTAGTTTTACTACTTCGTAAAGTACAACAACATCCACTCAGCACTATAGGTTTGCAATCTCAAAGAAGTGGTCTTGAGGATAGTGTGATTTCAGATGATGAAACTAGTTACTCTCTTCAGACTGTCATCATCATCAAACACTCCCTTACACCAAAATTTTCCCTAATTGAGCATAACACTGTTTCCTTATAACCAGAATGCAATTTGTTACAGCATATTCTTTCCCTTTCTAGGCAAGTCAGAGAAATGACTGTTGACCCATGATTCAAATCACACTCATGCTGAGAGGGAACTACCATGGACTGTATACAAAATGGAAGCCGTCTGCCTCCTCGCTGGATGAAGCCACCCTGAGAACAGCACCCTCTGGTGATAGGCTGCAGTATAGGTCATAAATCCTGCCTCCTCCAGCCATCCCTATGGAGGTGTGATAAACTTCAGAAATTACGTAAAATATCATTTTTTTCTGCCCCCTGCTTGTAATGTTGACATGTAGTTACTGTAAGACTGGTTTGTGCTCAAGTCCTCATTTTTTCTGTACAACTCCATTTTTAACAGTAACTAGGGGATTTATGTTTTCAATGCTTGACACTTGCTACAGCCTATAAGATCGTGTAGCTCATCTGGGGGATATGCTGTTTGAGCTGAATGCTTACAATGGTACTATGCAAGTGGAGGAATGCGTACCACTCAACTGCGCAATGTTGGTTTCAAGAAGTGGAGAAATAAGAAATACAGAGAGCTTTTCCGCTTTGAATCCTATACTGGCAGAAGGCGGAACCAAGTTGTCCATAGTATGGGAGCTACATAAAAATGTTGCAAGAGAGATGCTTTGGTACATTCTGAGCTCTCGTCATCAGATAACACAGCTCGTTTAGGTTTGTAATCATTGTGAGTAGTTCTTTGGTTCTAATCAAAAACAAAACAACCTTACAAGTTGCTATGATAAGAGATAAATACACAATACACTGTTTGCCATTTCAGAGTGTGTTTTGGGTAAAAAAGTAAGGGATGATGAGCTGCCTGTATCTGGAGCTTTCGGTTTCGGTTTTTCTTTTAATCTGCCTTCTCTAATTTTACTTGTCCTCATGTTTGATCCACCTACAGTGTCAAGACAAATACCAAGGACTTCTACTGCCTGACTAAAACTTTACCTTATCACACACCTTCACAAGCTGTAAAAACTGTGGGCACCACCGACCTGACATCTCTGGTTTCTCTGGTTCATGTTTAGGTTTTTTATGTCCTTTTGGGAAGATAGTACAAAGGGGGAGATGAGATAGATATAGACAAATGGAAAAGAGCTGTATACTGAAATTAATGCTATGCATCCTGTTACAAGAGTTTTAACCTCTGTACATGGGGCTACGGGGCTTAATTAACACCCCAACTCATGCAGTCACCTGTTTAGCACAGAAGAAAAATGTCTACCTGTTATATTTTGAGTTATGACTTATATCTGGACTTGTGAGGTTAATCACATATGAGGATTAATAAAAAGGACTTAATTCTTGACATAGTTCTGTTGCAAACACATTTTAAAATATAATTTATGGTACCTGCTGTAAAAGTTTCTTTTAGTTTTAAATCAATTCTGATATAAGTCGGGGATGTCTGTGTTTCTGTCACACACAAACTCTGTGCCCACATCTGTCCACATCCTTTAACTAAATTACAGGCATGACACTTCACTCACTAGCACTGCATTCCACACATATTTCCACTCGAAAACCACAAATTAACATTCGGTTTTAAGAAATGGACCAATAGGACAACTATATCTAAAAACTTTTGCAAATACTCCTGCGGTAAATTCACAAGACACGTATGTGTGATGAGAACACTTATTTAATTTACTGATGTTGTGAGTAAGGGCACGCCCATATCTTATGTATAGACTTGTCTTCAAAGGAATGTGAGCAATGCTGTTGACTATGTGTTTAGGAGGATTATTTTGGGATGCTCTAAAGATAATCTGAATTGCAATGCCAGAGAGCTTCAGTGTTTGTTTGTTTTTCGGTTAAACTGTGTCTGGCTAGGGCTGGTGTAGAATTCAAACCAAACAATACAAGCCTCAACTCCAAATCCCCTTGACCCAAATTCCACCACAGCAGGATGGATGGGGTCCACCCCCTTCCCAAGACACACACAGCCAAACACAAAAGCCATGTAACCCTTACTGGCCTCTGGTAATAAAGGCTGGGGGGTGGTGAACTTTTTTGTTTCTATCAAGACCTGTAGCAGCATGGAGGAAGTTTGCTGACTTTACTCAACTGGTGTAAGCATAAAAAGTACTGCAGAAACCACATCACATATACAATTTTTATTAGCGAGTAGGTTCTCTTCTGCCTAAAAGTTATTTTTTTAAAAACTGCCTAAATACAGTTGTTCAACTTGTAAGTTAAAACCAGCAGGACCAGACCACAAACATACCCTAACCAACCACCTTTGGGGTAATCTAACTGAGATATTCTGAACTATTTGGTTTACTGTGAACATGTGTGTCTACATGCATAGTAAACCAGGAGCCATGTTGATTTAACAGACTACTTGCATCTCTCCCGTTTTTTTTATCTTTGTTTTCCGGCCCAGCTTTTTCCTCCTTTTTACAGGCACACAACTGTTAACATCCCTAAATTGATTTGGTTCAGAAGTGGGGGGCTGGTTAATGCATGGTGTGGAAGAAGGAGGGGGAGGCGGGTGGGTGTTTTGAATAACGACTGTACCAGAAAGAATGCAAGTGTGATGGGTAAGGCTGCCGGGGGTTAGAAGGGGACAGTTAGGAGATGAAGGGATGCTGGGGAGGTTGGAAGAAATGGGGAGGGAGGGTATGCCCTAGGGCTGCAGCTTTGACTAACTTTAGTGGGTGTTGCTTATCAGTGACACACGTTCATAGCTGAAATGCTTGTGTTGTACTGGAAACAGGCTTTAATTTTGTTTGTGTGTGTGTGTGTGTGTGTGTGTGTGTAAGTCAGTTTGAAAGACGATGCTCTTATATTGCATATCCTCACCACAGTCAAAAAACGATTGTTGTAAATACACTCCAGAGAGGTTTTCTGTTGTTTCTGTTGTTGCTGCACTAGTGCAGGTTTTTGTACTCTATTTACTCTATTTACAAACTTAACAAAATATATGCAAATCCATCATGTAATTACCATTGTCTGAGCTGACACACTAAAAAAAGGAGTTTAAAGCAGTTAAAAAAAGCAGTTAGAAAAGCCTGGAGATGGCTCCACACCATCCCCCGAAGGACCCTATCTAACACCCTCTTTCTGTATCAGAGATGGGTCTCCACAGGATCCCAAACATCTACATCACTAACCTTCAACAACCAACTTTGCAGAGGTTGAAGTGAGATGTGCATGTGTGTTGAATAAACCTCCAGCAAAGGTGTTGAGAACACATTTTATGCCTATTCAAATCAATGCTCTAATATGCACCACCAAGCAAGAAATTACGGACTTGCTTGGTTGAAACCATCACTCCCAGTTATAAGCCCCAAAGAAGGATCAGTCTTGGCATGTAATTAATAACATATGCCCATGACGGTAAATGCTCAGAGTGCTGGCTCGCATGGTGGCAGGAAAGCTAAAAGCAGCTTCATAGAATAATTCTGCAAATGCATCTTGGAAGGTTTCAGTCTGGCAGCTATGACTGAGAAATTTCTCTCAAACTGAGTAGCCTGGCAGTATAGGAGGAAGTGTGATCTGATGTCAGGGCAAACAGCAGTTGGTTTGGCATGGTACAGTAGGATCAGCAGCATGAATGGTGTACATTACAGCAGCACGTAAACAGGTTCTCACCACAGAGCACTACGATGGGAAATGGAGGATGCTGTCAGCATCGTAATTATCCTGGTAATGTGCTAGTCATACACAGGGAAGATAAACTAATGCGTAATGCCCTTTTGCTGTCAGCCTTAACAGATTACAATGAAGGGACTGACTTTACTCTACAAGCATTACTTTGGGTTTTCTTTAGTATTTACTGAGACAAAACCACCTACAGTGATATAACTTGCCTCTGCTGGGACATCTACACATCACAAGCACCGCTAACCACACCCTTAGGACAATAATGCTCTTGGTGAGTATCAAGAAAACATCAATGCTTTAGGTCTCAAACACTTGCTTTGTAAGAATGGAGGAGGCCATTGAAGTTTCAACTTCTTGAAAGTATAAGAAAGAACTGTCTGGTCACATCAGACACAACTCCATATCACAAAAGTCAAATGTCTCAATATTTAAATATCAAATGTTCCTACAGTAATGTGCTTACCTGTCAAAGTTATTGTTCCAAGCATTTGAAAAAGTCCAAAATTCCTTTCTTAAAAAATGAGTATTAAAATTCAAAATACTGAAAAAACAAATCAGATAATTATAGAAGTGTTTCAAAAATTCTCTTAGTAGTTGCTGCTCTTTTCTATAGCGTCTCTGCTCACTCAGTAATAAAAACTCTCAGGCTTTGTTCGTGTGAGGTGGCTCCGTCTTTAGTTCTCGAGGTCTGAGGATAGGTCCTGCGTTTCTGTCTCTTCCAGTACTTCTCAGCCAGTGTGAACAGAAGACAGAGCTCCACACACATTTCTACAGACTGACACACGTCATGTTAGGACCACCCCTGCCTCCCTCTCCCTCCCACCTCCCTCTCTTTTCTTCAGCTGTTTTGAATGGAACCCCCTCCCTTTTCCTGCCCCTTCTCATCCACTTACCCTCCACTCAGACCTCACTGCCCATTCTCCCAGGATGACTGGGGCTGCTCATAGTATGATCTCTTCAGGAAGCATTTCTCACCTTCCTTTGCAAAATGACTGAACTTTTATAGATTTAACATCTAATGTAGCAGCCTCTTTCTGAGTTACCCTCAAAATGATGCATTGAAATGTACTTATCTGACTCAGATACAAAAGTCTTTCCACAAAATACCAACTTAAAAACAGTCACAAGCACCCCACCCTCTCTCCACTACTCCCCCTTTTGAGGAGGCGACCCAGCTCTCCCTTGAATCTCATGGTTCATGTCAGGAAGAAGACTGTTGATAGAGGCAAAACAGAAGCTGTTTCAGGAGTTTATTATGGAGCTCTTCATCTTAATCCTTATTCATTTTTATATGGTTATATTCTTAACTTGACAAAACAGTATTTCAAAGGATGCAACACAGTTTGGATGGCTTTTTGTCAAGTCTCTGTTTTTGTATAATTACTTAACAAAAATAACGCAAATGGTTCGTGACGGTCACCATGAGTAAAAAATCCACCTGCAATCTGCCACCATTAGAGTGCCAAAAACTGAAGTGTACACTTAATGCTGGGTCCTAAAGACCCCATTATTAGCATGTCTAAAAGACAATTTTTCACAGAAAATGTACATGTTTATGGTCTGGTTTAAATGCAGTTTTTGTTGGAATAGTGACTCATTATTTGTTCACATCATTGTTATAACTTATATGTTATCTAGACAAAAGGGTCATACACGTTTTTAAAGAATTAAGCATATGTCAAGGTGTATTTGGCAAGTGAACATATTGTAGCTTTTTGCCAAAAATCCAAAGGCCCCACCAATGTGGCGGCCAAAATCAGTACACTTTCACTATGCTGGTTAAACATCTTTGGGGTAACCTGCAAAGTAGATGTCTAATGGGACAAGGACACATATATTTCCTAAATGTGCCCAAGCCATAGCTTGACTTAACCGTGCATGTAAATATACTGAATGCAAGGTCCTAGGTAAAAGTTTGGCTGTGTTAATATCTGCTTTTATCGATAAACCAATCCCACAACAATACAATATCATGTTGATACCATTAAAGTGTAGACTTAACAGACACAAGTGAATTTTTAACATGGGTTTTCTCAGAAATGCTTGTTGGGCAAACGATTAAATGTAGATCTCTGACCATCATCACTCAGGAAGATTTACAGCTGAGATAAATCTCTGTTTACTGGTGAGTTTGGTCCAGCTTGAGGTGTCTGCCTGTGAAAGGGAAGGTTTTCTCTGCCACCACTTCCAAATAATCACACAGAAATTGATTAGTCTTTCATTACTCTTTTACACAAGTATAGATCTGACTTCCTCCATACACAGTGTCTCATCTCAGTTTCTGAGGTGAATCGACGCCATATAAATGAAAATCTACTGATTTTACAACTGACTGACAAGACTTAGCGTAACCACCTTTTATCTTTTAAAGAAAACAGAGTGGAGTATGGGTGGTTTATTGAGTCACATTTAACCCATTTATAAAGTGTCTGTCTTTTCTGGGCTCAGATATTCTTATTTTGAATAGTGAAAAAGTACTCCATGATAGCTTGTTAGCTGTGTCATCTGAGTGGATTCAAACTCTTTCTGATGATCATTTTTCTTACAACAAGCAAACAAATCTGAACCCTGAAGTCGAGTGCAATCAAGTTGCTGCTTGCTCCCTGTGAATGTCAATGGCCCCCTCTCAATTTCTCTGTTGCAGACACATTTAATTCGGCTTTTGTCTGAGGGGGAGATAGACCAGAAGGAATGCAGATAAATCCTCAGGTAAATTCCAGCATAATCAGATCTGTCACACTTCAGCATTGTCCCTCAGGAATGTGTGAATTCCAACCAGAGGGCTCCCAAATGGGTGATTACAGTGGTAATCAAGTACCGTCTGGAAGACCTACCCTTACCCCTGTGTGTGGGCTTTTAATTGTGGGCAACGTATAAGCACACAGAATGACTTTTTTGATAGCCAGGCCAGCTGCTTTAACCTACCAAAATATAGGTAGTAAGCATGTGTTGTGTCTTTAGGTGCTTCCCCCTCCCATAAGTATTGCCTGATTATTTAAGTGTAAAAATCTAATATCTTTTTTAAAATACAACATAAAGCTCTACAGGGGTCGGCAACTAGGCCTGGCCTCAGGCCATATTTTGTCAGAACTGCAAAATGTAGGGCCAGAACACTGGACTGTGCTATCTCGTGTTTGGAGAAATGCCAGAAACAAACACCGCCCCAGATGTGATTTCACTAGGTTTTTGTGATGAATGTTTGTAATAAAAATGTGTTGATTAATCATTGACTGTCTGAAGGATAGATAAGACCGTGATAAACCTTTTGGTTCATGAAATTATTCAGACAGACCTGATGATAGACTTTATAAAGAAGCAGCGGGACAACTTCAGGTCAAGATTTGAGGACTACTTGATCCCAAAAGATATCATTGCCTTTCTTTACGATCCCTGGTGCTCCCTGTGTTTGACACGCTCACCTTGTAGCTGAGGTCACACTTCAGATGCAGTTAAGTGGTTTTCAAACAAGTGCCATGGTCAGTGATGCGCTCCCAAGTGCGGCATCTGTAATCGCACTTTTTGGGTGGCATGTTCTGATGAGTACAGCACGATCAAAGCACTGGTATTTTATATGCTCACAATGTTCCCTTCCGCATACACATGCAAGTCAAGCTTCTCCTTTATGAATGTGATAAAGACCAAGAGAGGAACCACTTGGAGAACTGACTTCAGATTTAAGTGACATATCCCCAGACATTCAAAAAATGATGACTGGGGGGAAATGCCAATTATCACATTAAGCGAGTGCGAGGCAGTTTTAGTTTTTTGACTTAAGAGGATGCTGCCTTTGTTTCAGCAACGGGCTCTGACCACAGCCTTGCTTGTACCTGTAGCGTAATTGTTGGACTCTGCAAATGACAACTGTTGTTGCAAAAAATATCAGATTTTAATCCATTATTAAAACGATTCCACAGGCCAGATTTCATGTTTGGTGGGCCTGATTTGGCCCGTGGGCCACCTCCGGATCGAGAAGAACCCTTCAAAATACAGCCCTTTTTTTTTTTTACCTTACTTTATTACCCAGCTTTCCTACAACTCAGCTGTAGGTTAACACTCAGTTCAAATTGATGAAAACCCTTTGACAGCCCCTTTACATTGAATCATTCTGCAGAAAAGCATTTTTGGCAGAATTTCCTTCAACTTATTAAGATTGGCATTAAATTGGTTAAAACTTTGCCAAAGAGTAGCTTTATTTTCCATGCCATAAGGATAGGTATAACAACATGAACATCTTTGTACTGGATCCTGGACTGCAATCCAGGCAATGGCAGTAGAATAACTAATAGCATCTCTAAGCAACTGATTGCTTTAAGAATTGAATACCATAAGAAGCAGTAAAAATAACAACAGCATAATAATTTGTGACTTTTGCTTTATCTATCTTTCTAGTAAATGCTTGTTACTATAAAACACAACTATCAACTGAGATATTCAATTTGATGTGAATTATAACAAATAACTGTACTCATGTTTGACTGTGAGTTGCAATATTAAGTTTAAGCTAGAACTATTCCAGCACACCCTGTCTATTTTAACCTTGATTGGAAATGGTCAGCCAAGCATCACACCAATTATCATACAGCATGCTAATCTATAACTTCATTCTAAAGGTGTAAAAAAAACTTCATCAAACTAGACAGGAATAGTACAGCCATGAAAAACTTCAGTACAACTAATCCAAAACAAGCCTTTGTCTAATATCTCTATATCAGTCACCATCCTGTGGGTTTCCCCCAAGTCAATTCAATCATTAATACTTAGATCTATGCCAATAAATGGAAAACTTCAAGGATTTTGACTGATAAAGAAAGAGAGAGGAAAATTGGGTCAACTTGTTTCTCAAGTAGAACAATAAGGCTTTAGATGGTGGCTCTTTTTATGAGAAGTTTCTATCTTTTATTCTGTTCATTTAAAATTAATAAACACAAGTTCAAAGTGTAAGCCTATGGGTGTTTATGGAAAAGATCAATTCACTTGATCACACGCTAAAAATCTCACTATGACACATCACTAAGGCCTTCTGTAATGACAGTGACTCATCTGTTCAGTATTTCACGCTCAGTGTATATCACACAAAGACCCCTGTGACAACACTGTATATTACACTGAGTGGACAGTGAGTCAGACCAATGTGAAATCAGGGTTTGATGAGAGTTCTTCTGCTGGATTGCCCCCCCCCCCTAACCCCGACTTCCTTTATATGACTCACACACATCAGTCACATTTCTGGACTTCCATACATCCTGAGAAATTTTACTGTCAGCACAGTTTCAGGCGAAAGTGAGCAGTATAAGCAATATGTCATAAGAAACCATATGGATCATTTAAAAGGACAGAGCACACTGCTAGTGGATTTTTAAACCTAGCTGTACGTGTTTAAAAATACATGTGGGGGTGGGGGTGGGGGTGGGCCCTGTTTAAATGAAATTTGAGCCCTGCTAACCGACCATTTCCAGGTTTTTCAAAATAATAGACAAAGATTGTCCAAAGCTGAGGCAATAACTTCTGCACTCAGCCGCTGTTTTTTTTTCTCATGATTTAGTACATTAGATATTATCAAATAGCAGATGAACATTGTTCAGAAGACACAGTGCAACATTTTCAAATTTCTTGTTTGCCCACTAACCAAACCCAAAATATGTGTTTTTTTCATTATTATTATTTTTACATCAAAACAGTTTATGGGAGTTGTTAATAACATTCTTAGAGAAGGAGCATTTTATTATTATTATTATTATTTTTTTGCTATCCCATCTTTGAAAATGAATCAAATATTAAAGTTGATTTAATACAGCTGGAGTATTGTTAGGGGTGGGTTCACAGAGTTTTTAGCTGGGGGTTTAAGTGTGTATGAACTGATGCTTCCAACATCTAATTCAATTAATTGTCTGATGTGTAGATAAATCTTTGATTTAGAGAAATATTTATGGTTGATACTGTCAGAAAGAGTGGGTTTTGATCATTTTTTTCAACCCTGGGTGAGTAAGGTTGGCGAAAAGGTGTAAACTGAAAACCACTGGTCACTACAATCTTACCTCTTGAAAAAAAACCACTTTCTTTAATAACCTCCGCCAAGGAGGTTATGTTTTCGGTAGTGTTGGTTTGTTTGTTTGTTGGTTTGTTTGTAAGTTTGTTCGTCTGTTAGCAACTTTACGGAGAAAGTAACAGACGGATTGACCTGAAATTTTCACCAGAGGTGCATCTCAGCCCCAGGAGGATCCCATTAAATTTTGGTGGTGATCCGGATCACCTTCTGGATCCACGAATTTTTTGAAGGATTCTTTATCATTGTGAGATAGGGCAAATTAGGGAATTTTTGCATTTAACTCTATAAAAATGGCCAGAGTCTTTCGTAAAAAAATACACAAAAGGATCTCAATGAGTTTTATGAGGTGTCAAAGGTTGATCCTGATCCAGACAAAATTCCGGATACTGTGATCCAGAACACACAAAAATAAGGGTGTCGTTGGAATATTCAGTGCTGAAAGATAACCAATGGGCGGCACAGTGGTGTAGATTGGCAGCACAGTGGTGTAGTGGTTAGCACTGTCGCCTCACAGCCAGAAGGTTCTGGGTCAGGGCATTTCTTGTTTTAGGAACGTTATGAACGGTGAACATACCAGTTTAAACATAAATAAGAGTTAATAAAAGACACGTAACACTAAAAGTTTTGCTGTGAATCACAATATAAGGGGGGACATGAGCTGCTTGGCAGAGGTCTGTGCTCTCTGAGTGCTTTTCTAGTTAAAACAAGCTGCAATCACAGCATTTCTTTTTTTTCTGGCTGCAGCTAAGTCAGGCGAAAACAGAGCCACGTTTGGAGGGTCGACACCCTACATATCTTTAAAAAAAATCAGAAAACGTGCCTCAGTTCAGGAATGTTTGAGGAGGGGTCCTCAATGGTCTGGCAGGATGTAGGGTTGGGGGTTGGGGTATTGGGCGGAGGTTCTCTTTGTTGCCTGTAAAGAAATGAATGACATCATCCGACAGCAGAGAAGAAAATACCTCCTACTCTTCCAAGAACTGCAAAGGATGATGTTGAAATAATTGGAGGAAAGGGAAACAAGGGCTTCCAGTGTGTGAGACTGACTGAGATCAGAGCAATTTTTCACTTCATGCCTCTCCTTTCTTCCACTTTAATTCCCTTTTTCCTACTTTGAAATGAGCGTTTGTGTCTGCTTATTCCACACTGCAGTCCTCTTTAATCCCTCTCTTTCAACTTTACTTTGCTTTCCCCTCCATCTGTTCTATCCTCTTAACCTCCCACATCATCACCCCTTCCCTCCTGTTAGTGTGGAGCTGAAGGGATGGATAAGAATGTCAGACAGGAAACACAGTCATTTCTTGACATCACTGCTTCCTCTTCCTTTTGCATGTTTCCTCGAGCTCTCAGCATGATGTGACCACCAACTTTTCCTACAGAGATCATTACTGTAGTCAATCAATGTGGTTTGACGAGGTGAACGTTATGGTTGTGACTGGAGAATTATGCAACTCTATTTAGTTTATTTTTACTGTGAAACAATTGAGTTATGTTTACATTTGTGGCATTTTGAGGAAAACGCTAGCTCCGCAAAGCAAATGTTATCTTGCATACCACCTGAAACAGCTCTTGTTGGTAGTTGGGTTGAACCCTCACAGGAAAAACATGGCTTTTAAATTGGAGTGCAGAGCAGCATTTCTATCAGAAGGGTATGTTTAGTCTGCCTCTGACATCTGTTATTCTTGCATTCCAAGCATATCTGCACCAGCAATTTGGCATTCCAGTTGTTGTTATGCATCATCTTGCCTTGTAGTACAGACTGGGTTGTTAAAACTGGGAAGTAGAGATCTAAAGTATCCTCTACCGGAGCTTGAAATGGCCTCTACAAACCACAGTGTATGTAAAACATAAATGAAAAGCACATTACAGCTTGCAAATTGCTGATTGGACAAGGTTGTAACCTTTGAAGTAGGTTTTGATCAACAGAAATGCATGTTTAAATGTTCAAATGTAAGTGCAGATAGAAGCTTTAGACCAAATAGAAGAGCGATTCTGATTTGAATAGAAAAGACCTCTGCAGGGGTTAGACAAGGGGTACTTGGCTTAGTACTTAGTGGTATCTATCTATCTATCTATCTATCTATCTATCTATCTATCTATCTATCTATCTATCTATCTATCTATCTATATATATATATATATATATATATATATATATATATATATATATATATATGTGTGTGTGTGTGTGTGTGTGTGTGTGTGTATAGTTTCAGTATAGAGTATCCAGTGCTAAGAGGGTTATATTAAATCTTGCATTACAGACAAGTAAAAAAAAAACCTCAGACACATTGTTGGCGCCCAGTAAAAGCTGATTCTGTCATTTATTGTGGGGTAGAAATCACTTATTAAGGGGCATGGAGTTTTGCTAATATGTAAAAGAGGGCTTTAAAAGCAGGAGAAAGGGGGAAGGGCATCACATTCCTGCTCCTTTCTCTGGATCCCCCATGTGCCTGGGGGAGGTTAGGGGTTGAGGAGGGAGATTAGGTTCCCTGATGCCGAGAAAGATGAGAGAGCAGTGCCTGTGGAGACGAGTGGATCCTGGGGGGTCTAAGGAGCCCTGATGGGAGTCTTCAGTGAGTTTGACCTTATTACTGTAATTTAAGGACCTGTATAGCTGGGTTCTCTATTAAATAGAGAATAAAAGTTACAACTCTTGCAAGATATTGCAAATATTATGAGTGGAATACAGTGATCTTTGTGAAATGTTTGTGTTTTCAGCACTCCAGACAAGTTGTTTTATAACAGCACCACTAACACCATGGACCAACAAGCATCTGCTTCTGTATTCATAGTTGGAAATGCTCTGTTGAAACTTTTTTGAACTAGAATGTAAAAGGATCTATTTGCAAAACATTAGCAGCACGAGCTAGTGGCAGTGACACAAAGTTTTGAAACAGACAGAAATGTACACTTTTTCTCAATCGCTTTGGTGTATTTCTCACATCACTATTAACATTTGCACAACAGTTGGTGCATTTCTCAGAACAATTAGTACAAACTGTGAAACCTAGTGGATAACCTGCAAAAGCGCATCACTAGCTCAAAATAAATAGTTGATTCCTCAAAAGCAAGTATTCATGTCACTGTCTGTGTTATCAAAATAATTAGTCCCAACATCATTGTTCATGCACAGGACAGTCCAATGGCTTTGTCATGTTTTCATTATTAAACTTACTCTCTCTGTGTTTTCCAATGCAAAAAAGTCAGCCCTTGGTGACACTACCTGAAAATGCTCAAGACAGCACTATACACTACCTGTACAGCCATTTGAAAACTACAGTAAAGTTACACATTACCGTAGATAGTGAGGTAACTGAATGTATGTTTCACATGTTTACGGCATTTGCTCTTTGCAATTCTACAGAATTGTGCAAAAAATAAAAAATAAATAAAAATCACAGCCACTTATTTAGAACAAACAAGAAATATCATTTTGGTAGAACTGTGTACAAATATAAACAATATAACAGTACATATCACTGTAAACTGAACATCAATTATTCCTGGACATTCACTGTGGTTCTCTCTACATTTGGTTGCACCCATCGACCAGCCTCAGCCATAATGAGGCTGTGATTGACAAAATGGTCCAAAGGTGTAGCCCTAATTTCATCAGGGATTTGCCTATGTACTTCACCTCTTTTTCCTCTGCCCCTGTTTTGTCCCCTTCCCCTTCCTCCCCACATTCTCACCCCTCCTCCACAGCACTGACCATCAATTTTTGTGTCACAGAAATGTAGAAATAGTACACTCTATGTCCTGTTTGTTTACGTATGCTTGCCAAGTGAGGGTTCATGGCATTCAGCTCTGAGTGACTGTCGACAAGTGACTTGACATTGGTTACAACAAATGCTTCACACACCTCCTCATGAGTGAAAGCTGAGGTTCACCTGAGAGCAACTGTTCAAATTAGGAGACATGTTCAGGAAAAAAAAGGATTAAGAAATTTAGTCAATTGTCCAGATTTTGAGAACTAGTTCAACAATTTTGTATGCAATGACTCAAGCAATGAAATGAGGACTATAAGTTTTATAGGGAATGACTATTCAGCATTCATAAGTATAGTTCATTTTGACTGACATGACATAAGCAAATGATAATGTTATGAAACAGCAGAGAATTGTATGAAAGTAACTGATACATGTCCGAGAGCATTTGCAATTTGTTCAGAGGGATGAGAAACTGCTACTGCTGATGTGCACAAATGACTCAATGTTGTAGAAGTTCAACTAATAGCTCTAAGAACGTTCACTCTGTTCTGAGAAATGCATCAAAGCGACTGAGAAAGACTGTAAAGTAATGCATTCTTACAAGCTATAACAATAAGAATAACTTTATTTTATCCCCGAAGGGAAATTCAATGGTCAGTTGTCATGTGTCAAAAAGTCATCTACTATTTACAGAAGAGTTGTAAATTCTGATGGCTGTGGGTACAAAAGATCTTCTGAATCTTTCTATCCTGCAGCGAAGAGAGAGGACCCGTCCACCACCATTGGCCCAATTGGTCCATTAAGGTGTTGTGAAGTGGGTGATCCATGTTCTTTGGAATAGCCTCCACTTTCCTCAGAGTACATCTCTCCAACACATCCTCCAGTGAGTCCAACTTAAATCAAACCACAGAGCCAGCCTTTTTTACCAGTGTGTTCAGACGTCTTGCATCTTTGTGTTTGGTGCTTCCTCCCCAGCAGACTGCAGCATAGAACAGAACACTGTAGACACAGTCCGGGAGCCAAAGGGTGATTTTTGGCTGAACGTGGTTTCGTCAGTGAAAGTTTTTTTCTCAACTGATTCTTGCTGCTGGGGGTCCCCTCTTAAGGATTCAAGAGGGTGCCCAGTGAAATCCATGGAGCATTTTTTGTTATTGACCCTTTAATGCCCAAAACACAAAAAATTCACCCAAAATAGACTTCTACGGTATTTCATGCAAAATACCTGATCTAAATGCATAAAATTTGCTTTCTACAGTTTGTATCCATGTAAATGGATGTGTACAGTGCATTAGATTTAATATGTATGCATTTTTTAAATATTAACCCCCTCCTGCCCAGAACAACATAATCTTTAAACCGTGATATTGTACATGCACAGAAATCAAATCAAATGCATTAGATCTGCTTTCTATAAAGTCTAATAGTGGAACTCGTCATGTAAAGCATGTTTCCTTTTGAATGAATGAATGCATTTTAACCCTTTCAGGCCCTCCATCTTGAGCATACTGTACAAAAACATCTACAGAACATATTCTACATCTACATATTCCCATGCTGGGGAATATGTAGATGTAGAAATTAATACATATTTATTCTTTCATCTCTTCTTTCATTGCTTTGGGTGGGAATTGACTAATTTAGCCTGAATTATGGTATTTTTATTATGCTCTTTTATTTATACATTATCAATTGATAACTGTGTACAAGAAAAACACAATTCCTGCATGTGTAACTTGTTCCTGCTTTTTCAACTGATAAGCTAGCAGGGAATCAGCTATTTCGCCTCATCATGAGCTAAGACTGTTAATGTGTGGATGCACAAGTTATTTTCTAGGATGACAGTGATTTGGTAAGTGTTTTCACTCTTTCTAACCTCACACATTTTGTAACTATTTCATTTAATGTATTGATTCCTTGACACAATCATTGCCCAACAAGTCCTTGTGTGTGCTGGAGAAGCCCATAAAATCTCTGTGGTTTCGGATGACACAGATGTGTTTGTCCTCCTCCTTCACCACTATCAACAGTCAGGACTGGATGTATCTTTCACTATGGAATCCCCGAGCCAGGAAAAGGCAATAGTTGACATAAAGTCAACACTGGCAAAGGATCCACTAATTGCCAAGAACATTTTACCAGCCCATGCCATTTCAGGATGTGACTGTGACATCCTTCTATGGGTTGGGAAAAGGCACAGTCATTAAAGTCTTGAACGCTGGCTATGATCTATCGGCTATGAGAGACATACACTCACCGGCCACTTTATTAGGTACACCTGTCCAACTGCTCGTTAACACTTAATTTCTAATCAGCCAATCACATGTGTCTTGACCATGTAGACATGGTCAAGACAATCTCCTGCAGTTCAAACCGAGCATCAGTATGGGGAAGAAAGGTGATTTGAGTGACTTTGAACGTGGCATGGTTGTTGGTGCCAGAAGGGCTGGTCTGAGTATTTCAGAAACTGCTGATCTACTGGGATTTTCACGCACAACCATCTCTAGGGTTTACAGAGAATGGTCCGAAAAAGAAAAAATATCCAGTGAGTGGCAGTTCTGTGGGCGGAAATGCCTTGTTGATGCCAGAGGTCAGAGGAGAATGGCCAGACTGGTTCAAGCTGATAGAAAGGCAACAGTGACTCAAATAACCACCCGTTACAACCAAGGTAGGCAGAAGAGCATCTCTGAACGCACAGTACGTCGAACTTTGAGGCAGATGGGCTACAGCAGCAGAAGACCACACCGGGTGCCACTCCTTTCAGCTAAGAACAGGAAACTGAGGCTACAATTTGCACAAGCTCATCGAAATTGGACAATAGAAGATTGGAAAAACGTTGCCTGGTCTGATGAGTCTCGATTTCTGCTGCGACATTCGGATGGTAGGGTCAGAATTTGGCGTCAACAACATGAAAGCATGGATCCATCCTGCCTTGTATCAACGGTTCAGGCTGGTGGTGGTGGTGTCATGGTGTGGGGAATATTTTCTTGGCACTCTTTGGGCCCCTTGGTACCAATTGAGCATCGTTGCAACGCCACAGCCTACCTGAGTATTGTTGCTGACCATGTCCATCCCTTTATGACCACAATGTACCCAACTTCTGATGGCTACTTTCAGCAGGATAATGCGCCATGTCATAAAGCTGGAATCATCTCAGACTGGTTTCTTGAACATGACAATGAGTTCACTGTACTCAAATGGCCTCCACAGTCACCAGATCTCAATCCAATAGAGCATCTTTGGGATGTGGTGGAACGGGAGATTCGCATCATGGATGTGCAGCCGACAAATCTGCGGCAACTGTGTGATGCCATCATGTCAATATGGACCAAGCTCTCTGAGGAATGCTTCCAGCACCTTGTTGAATCTATGCCACGAAGAATTGAGGCAGTTCTGAAGGCAAAAGGGGGTCCAACCCGTTACTAGCATGGTGTACCTAATAAAGTGGCCGGTGAGTGTAGATGCACCATTACAGAAAGTAATTGACCAAGCCACTGCATTCATATCAGCCTGTTATGGCATACAGAAAAGCCATGACATGTCACGCACTAGACTTCTAGTTTGGGGGAAGAAAAATGGGAAAGGACATACGTCTGCTCCAAACCTACCTGCACTACCACCTACCAGGGAATCGTTCATTGAGAATGTCAAGAGGGCCCACTTTCAAGCTGCTTTGTGGCGAAATGTTGACGGGCATCTTCCACCAACATTCGACCCAGTGAAATTTGGATAGAAAAAAGACATGGCTAACAGGTCACTGAGCCCAACCACTCTACCTGAATGTTGCAAACCTGCCCCAGACTACATTCTGCAAATGATTAAATGTGGCTGCAAAACTGAAAATCCATGTAATTCCAAAAAATGCAGTTGCAGAGTACATGGTTTGCCATGCACAATGTCCTGTCACTGTTATGTTGTAGGATGCTCAAGATAGGCCTGAAACAGTTAGTGGAAACCTTCATGCCAACCATAAATTCCTTTAAATGTTGTTCTTCTCTCTGTCTCTGATTCTTGGGTCTCACGAAAGTGTGGATCTTTGGTATCATTGGACCTTAACATGGGATATGCTGTATACGACCACTTCCACATAACATTACTAATTTCTTATACAGCTAATTTGAAGTATTTGAATTGATTTACTGTGCATAAAATGTCATAAATCAACATTTTAATGGATTTTGGTGCTTCGGGTGTGAAGGAGTTAATATCTATAAAATGTTTTAATGTGAGATCAGAAAACTAAATTTTACACATCCACGTTCATTGATAAACACTAGAAATAAAATTTGATGCGCTAAATCAATCTTTTTGCATAAAATGCCATAAAACCCTATTTTGTGTATTTTGTTTTGTTTTTGTTTTGGGAATTTAAGGGTTAATGACTAAAAGATGGTTGGCCTCAAAGGGTTGCTATGCATTCATCCAAAAGGAAACATGACCAGTTCCACTATTAGACTTTGTAGAAAGCAGATCTAATGCATTTGATTTGATTTCTGTGCATGTACAATATCACGGTTTAAAGATTATGTTGTTCTGGGCAGGAGGGGGTTAATATTTAAAAAATGCATACATTTAAATCTAATGCACTGTACACATCCATTTACATGGATACAAACTGTAGAAAGCAAATTTTATGCATTTAGATCAGGTATTTTGCATGAAATACCGTAGAAGTTTATTTTGGGTGAATTTTTTGTGTTTTGGGCATTAAAGGGTCAATAACAAACGAGCGTAGCTGCTAAGCAGCTGCGAGAGCCCTATTATTCCCCAAGTGGTTTTTCTTTGTTTCTTTCTTTAGGGCTCTCGCAGCTGCTTAGCAGCTACGCTCGGGCCCTAAAAATGCTCCATGGATTTCACTGGGCACCCTCTTGAGTCCTTAAGAGGGGACCCCCAGCAGCAAGAATCAGTTGAGAAAAAATCTTTAACCGTCGAAACTACGTTCACCCCCATGGCTCCCGGACTAACACCACAGACTAATAAAACATCTGCAACATCTTACTACAGATGTCTATTGATTGGAGTCCTCTAAAGCAAAAGAGGCATCTCTACCCCTTTTTGTAGATAAGGTCTATATTCTTAGAGCAGTCCAACTTATTATCCAGGTGTACACCTAGGTATTTATATGATGACACCACCTTGATGTCCACCCCACAGGTGTTCACTGGCTGAAGAGGGGGTTTGGATCTGCAGAAGTCAATGACCATCTCCTTTGTCTTTGAGGTGTTGAGGAGGAGGCAGTTTTTGTGACTCCAGTCACTGAAGGCTCTTATAAGATCTCTGTATTCAGCTTCTTGTTCATTTCTGATACATGCCACGATCTCCATCTTGGGCAGAGAGTTGACGTTTCCCATGAAGACTGATGGCAGAAAGGGTTTATAGCTCCACCTCCTAGCATTCAGCTTTGCCTACACCTTTGCACCAGCCCGGCAACCACGATAACACCTCCTGATGTCATTGGATGCTGTTGTCCAGATTCGCTTTGTTTCAGTGAAAGGAGCCCTTCTCTTGAATAAACTCTTTGCCCAGCAGAAGTATCTATCAGCAGCCAACAAAAAAGACTCCAAAAAAAATGAAAAAAAAATCTAGCAAAAATTACAAATAATAGAGAGAGACCAGACTTGCAGCAACCTCTCGGTTCAAGCACATAATTTGAATATAGCAGACATAATCATTATTTAATATACTTTTTGATGTCTGTAACCACTGCAGAGGGGGTTAAGTGTCAACAAAATGACTGACTTAATGCAAAAGAATGAGCTTTTATTTACAATTGGCTGTTAACAGAAAGCAGGAAAATATAATTTGTCTGAAAACACCCAAGATATATAAATATGTCAGTGATTTCACTTAATTCACAGGGTATGTCAAAGCCCAACACAAACAGAAATTCCTTACAGTAAGTGTAAGTGTCAGTATTGCAAAACTGCAATTTTCCAACTTCAAATTTTCAATACTGTTACACTTTTACAAAAATATCTACACCTGCTTAGAACATTCATGATCCCAAGAGGACGAATCCCTTATTTTATTCCTTTACTTTGTGTTTATTGTGGCTCACAATTAAAACAAATGGACAGTAGAAACCAACCAGAAAGTATGGGAAATTGTCTGAATCCTCCTTTGGCCACGACTGCCAACACAAGCAAGAAAACAAAGTAAATACTGGACACTCTGGCGGAATAATGGGCGCTTAAAAGGAGGTAGACCGGGCTGCCACATCCAAAAGAGCTAAGAAGCCAGGTCGATGGGGGATGCTTCGGGATCTTACGGACCCTGTAACCTTTCTGCTGGACAGGTAAACCGCTTAACAAAGTAAGCCAAGTCTCTGTAACAGAAGTGTTTCTTGTCAAATGGGACCTGCTATGTGTTGTTTACCTCGGGTCCTGGAGTATGTCACTTTGTCCTAGTCATAGAAGTCCTGCAAACATTGTGGTTGCTGGTAGTCTGTTGGCATCTACAGTAGCACCAATGCTTTTTGCTTTCACGTTGACTGGGCCTCATTTGTAATTATCTCAAGTATTTATTTGCATTATATCTGAATTTAATTGAAATGATACAAGTGAGCAGAAGTGTCCGTTTGTGGGCTCGGCTTGCTGTAACAGAGAGGGAGGAGAGAGGAGGAGCTGAGGGGAAAACTAGTTGGGAGGGGTAGTGTTTACATTCAAGATTCCTTCCAAAAACTGGCACTTCCTCAGATCCTGCCTACCCCACCTTTAAGCTCCTGTGAGGGACTGTCTGTTTTTGTCAATTTTGAAACCCCTTGAGAACAAAGCAATATACTTTTTGTCTGTACTGACCTTGTGCTGCACATGTGTGTGTTTTCTAATCAAAAAATCACATTCTGCATTCTCAATTTACCATATGCACCATTTGTTATTAGGTAATGTTTGCTGTTGAAAAACAAAATAAAAAGCAGTTCTTCAGTTACATTTTGTCATCTGCTCTGACATTTACCCCCTCACCATGGCTACAGCCATTCAACATTACAATCTGAGAATCCCAGTGCTGTTACTGATGGTCCTTTTTTGCTTTTTAGGTCAAAACAAGGCATAACTGTTTATGTGAGTCTGTTTCAAAACCAACAAAAATCTCCTCAAAGCTTTACAACCATTTCCTATAACTAAATTCTAGTTTTCTGTCAAGATGAAGTTTCACTAACTACATGCCTCCTTCACAAGCTTTAAAGAAACAGTCATCCAGTTAGGGAAAGTTGATGGTTGGATTTCTGACCATCTTCCTGTCATTTGAGTTGACTGATCATTGGTCACAGCTCTCTTAGGCTTCATTCAAACTGCTTAATATATGTTGATGTTTCTATTGTTATCAACGACACTGAGAGCTAGGCATTATATCAGAGCTGGAGCATTAAACTGCTTCCTGTCTGGCCAGTCTAGAAGCAGAGTTGGCATTTGACAGATTGCAGCTTTCTAATATACTTTCTCTATTCTGCCCTGTAGTGTGTCCTTAAAGCATCCACTCTATAATGAAGGACTAAATAAAACATGCTGTACAGATGAAGATAATTGGACAGTGATGGATCCTTTTAAGCACTCTCATCTGAAAATCTGCCTTGCTAACACTTTCCTATGGGATCACATATTGGAGAAGTTATTCTGATATCTGCAGGGAAACATACATCAGCATCCAAGCTCATTTACTACAAATTAAGGACAATGGTACTAGACGTGTAACCTAATATGAAGTGTGACCTGCAATGAGTATTGTCAGCTGGAATGTAAAAGGGATGAGCAAGAAATCCAGCGTCTGTTTCGGGTTATGATGACTACACAACGTAATGCCCTGTTGACAGAGATCAGACAGAGTTTAAATGAAGGGAGGAGTCCCTTCCCCAAGCATGATGAACCTTTTGGCAACATGACAATGTACGTCCCTTGGGCCAAGCCTAAGTAAGTCCATCCTGGAATGAAATCATGGACACACACACACACACACACACACACACACACACACACACACACACACACACACACACACACACACACACACACACACACACACACACACACGAGCACAAGCACACTAATAGAGCTGAGAGACAGCTGTCTGCTCACCTCATAAAAGCTTACACCTGTAACAAAAGAAGAAATATAGTAGTTAATCATTGAAAACATTTTGAGTCTTCCACAAATGATGCATAAATTATTTTGTGTATCTACTACTTTCCCACAGTACTATGGATATATATGCATTCCCTTTCCTTAAAAGACTTAGACGTTTTTTCTATGCACCAGAATGAGGGTAATTTTCACACAGTTTAAGTTTCCTGAACTTCATAGTAGAAGAAAATGATTTTCCTGACAAAAAAAAAGGAAATATTTTTCCAAAATACACTGAAGCAGATTTAGTGACGTAAGTAATGAATTCATGGGATTTCTGAGGGTCAGATCATGCAGCTGTCAAAAGTGAAACATGTATTATCTGATGGGCATACAGCCGATGGGAGCACTAGACACTTTTGGGGGGCTTTTGATGCAGCCAGCAGTTAGCAATCACCAATAAGAGACAAACATGGACTTTCTTGTATGTGTGTTGCCATTGTTTACGGTTCAGTAGCAACTAAAGAGGCGAGAATGAAATCAGTGTTAAGAGATGTTGTCTAGAAGCTGATTATTGGCTGCACTTGCATGCAGATGTCTGATTTCCATGCATCTGTATTGACAGAGATTGGTCAGCAAAAGCACTGACAAGTCTAAATGGAAATGTTTATTTCTTTGGAGCCCCACTTGAACAACTTGCACCACTTCCCAGATATACTTTAATAAGCCAAAATGACTTGATTTAATCTAGGTGACCCACACCCACCTTGTCCCTTGCATAAGAGGGAATAAATAACAAGCAGCACTTGACCAATGAAACATGTCCAGCCCTCAAACGAATAGACACAAACTGATCTGAACACATGAACACACTCACACAGTCAGCATTCTTCCTCTGTGAAGTCTTCCAGAAAACTGCATCTGTCCTCTTTTGGACCCTGTAAATCATCTGGGGGGGACTGTCAGCACTGTGGCCACAGGGTTACATCAGCTATGATGTCAGTCTTTGGGCTCCTACTGCACTGCACCCACAACCCATGATACTAGAAACCCCAACTCAAAAGCAGGCTTATACACATGTTTTTATGGAGTTCTTAACAAATCTTGTGAGCCAATTCTCACCAATAAGATAAGCTTTGAAAGGTTAGCAAGATCTAGTTAAAGGCATCAATTTCATTATGAAATAAAACAGCATCAAACATATTCCTCTTTTTACTAACATACGCTTGAACTGCATCTTTTATGTTAACCTGTGGGCTTATTAAACATATTCAATTGGAAGAAACTGTCCGCTAATGCAAAGCTTGGTACCGGGAAACTGAGATGATGTCAAACACAGAAAGTATTATGTTCCTGTTTTAAGTTTTCCTTTGAATTAACTTTTTTCCAACCACATTTACACCATGCATCGTAAATTATTTAGATATCTGATCACCCTTCAAAAGACAGCAGCCAACATCGCATTTATTCACTGAATAGCTAACTTTAACCATTTCATAGCCTTGTAGTTTTAGCTTACAGTATTATTAGCTCTGAGGTGGTGAATGCTCGCATTAGAGTTTGTCTGACATCACCTAAAGGTACAGTGTGTAGGAATGGGACTTTAGATACAATCTCATTTCTCTGAGGCCTCTGCACTCACAGAAATAGTTAGGCCAAACTGCATATAAAATGTCCATCCATTTGAATTACTTAGATTTAACGTAAACAAGTCAATAAACTTTATGTGCCTTATCTGTGTCAGTCAAATGTAAATGACACAATGAATAATCAGATTTATGAAATAATACCAATAAACCCAATGTGTTAAGAATAAATAATGACAGATTTATGCATTCATGACTGAAAATTCCACTTTGTTGCTGTCTCATAAATTTTAACAAAATGAATCACATAGTTCGTCATATTTAAACTATATTAAGTCTTAATTGATTGAATAGAATTGTTTTCACAATAAACAGATTTATGCTAATTTAGGAAATTGGAATAAATAAGTCTGAAAACTGTCATAATTTAAATAAAATCAAATAGATGTTAATACTTTAAAGTAAACTATGCCATGATTTATTTTTCTGAGTGTGTTACTACTTTGACTGCTAGCACAGTAATGGTACACTTTGGTTCTTCTACAGCACCTTTGTGGTATTTGTATTGAAGATGAGATGATACAGGGGTGTAAATATTGCACCTTGAACTACTTACATAAAAAGGGCCTCTGTCTTTATTCCTTTTTTGGTCTTTCCTGCCTTTCCTCTTTTTAGCCCACGAAATATCTTTTACAGCCATCCTCCAAACTAGAACCAAATATAGAAATGCAACTCCAATAATGACTTTCCACCATTGTATGAGAAGGGACAACACATTTCTTCTTTTTAAAGACTAATACTACATCAAGAAAACAACAGACCCCTATGCTTCACCATCTCCTTGTTTAACCTTATTTTCTGGGTCCTCCATGTTCAGCATTTCTTCATAAACAAAATACAACTGCAACATCCCCTTCCCAAGGCACAGTCACCTCATGTGAACCAGCAGACACCATGTTTATATTCAGAAAGGGGGTTGGGTTTTAACAACCGGGATAGAAATTGTAACTCCAGACCATCTTCATACTTTGTTACCACTTTAAACAAATACTTTTGATAATCCAATTAAAGACTTCCTGATAGACGACAGAGTCAAATATTTTTGCTGCAACGTATATACTTGCTCTTTGCTTTCATTCAGTCAAACTATAATCTGAGCAGTCAAGATTACACACTAAAATGTTGATAAAAGTCTCCAACAGAGTCTATTATTTATTAGTTTTACCAACACCTTCTAATTCCTGTTGGTGAGCTACAATTAAATGCTGGAAAGAGGAATTGTTAATTTCATTTTATTTTATTTATTTATTTTTTTAGGAAAGATGCTTTCTTTAGACAGAGCTGCTGTATGTCTAGTGTTTTTTTTCCTGCTGCTTTATGATGTGTTTGGGGTGTGGCCTCAAACTGTAAACACTGGTTTACCTGATAGAGAGAGATTATGGTTGTGTGTTTGTATATGTGTGTCCATGCACACGTGTCTTTTTGCTCATGCGTCAGTCTTTTAATCTGCAGCCTGCCTTCTGTTGTTTTTCGTTTGTTATCAGAGAGATTCCTCTCCTCTTCCTGTCTCCCACCATGCACTTCTGTGGTTATCATGTTGCACAGTACTGGGATGTGAAACCCCTCCATACCTTTCACTCCACTATCTTCTCTCTGTCTTTTTTACCCCATTGTGTATCTCCCATCCTTTCACTCCCCTGTGCTGCTTTAATCTGCAGCCTTGAAGTTTTTACCCAACTGCAGTTGCTCTCTGCAGCCTTACTTTGTTTTTAGTACAGCTGGTAATAATGCCAGTCTTCAAGAGTAATATTAGAGCTTGCTGAGTCAATGGTAGGCCTTTTCAAACTTCCCACAATGCGCTATCATTTCTGAATTGATGCTTCAGTGTTTTGATCATTACATATTTTTAATTCAGAATATGTTTTTTTCATGAAGAGACAATTGCGATGAAGTGCAGAAAAACATTTGTATGACTTTTCTTTTAGCCACAGCTACTTTTGAAAAATTTGTTCCTTAAAAGTTGAAGGTGCATAACATCAAGTCTTTCCACCTGAAAATTTCCAGAAATGTTTATGTGAACTCAAACTGCTTAAGCTGACTCTACATGCACTTTCTCCTACCAGCCACAAGTGAAAAGTTTACAAAAACCCCAGGTAAATGAGGAGAAATGGCAGCAGGAAACCATTTAAAAACTTCCCCATGAGTGAGTAGGCCAGGTGATGGATGGTAGGATGAATAGAAAATATTGGGGATTGAAGACAAAAGTGCCGGTACTCTGCTTGTTCACTTGATGCCATGTAAATCGTACAGCCTGTATCACTAAATCATCTGTAATTTGTTTTGAATTTTTTCATCATTTCACGTTCCAAATTGACTTATATTAGAGGAGTAACAATTTCTACAACTGCAATACTCCCTGTTTTAAGTGGTGTAAGGTTACTCCCCCCTCGGGGCTTTAACATATTATGAAGTTCGCAGGTTACTTTGTGCAGGACCCAGGTCATGTCCTCCTAAATATATAAGGGGGGGGGGGGGCATGTTAGAAACGGCTATGAAAATAAATGAAAGATATAAGTGAAAGATATGGACAGGGCAGGTTCAAGCACATGTTAGATCAAATGTCAGAATTGAATTTTGCTCAATTACTGCTTTTGAATTATGGTCGATTTATGATCTTGCAGGGTTTTTCCTGCGTTCAAAATTGCGTGGCGGCCGCCTCCACCTAATTTTGTGCCGCCCCCAGCCAGAGCGATTGATTTCGCTCAACACAGCGTAAAGCTCCAGCTGTGTTGATTGAGCGATTGATGTCCCTCTGCAGCAGCAACGTATTTTAACTGCAGTTGCAGCGTTGCGCCACTATTGAGGCGCTATATCAACAGCAGTGCACCGGAAAGACCTGAAGCATCTACCGAAGAAGAAACGGATCGAATCATGTTTTTTCAAGTTTTTTCCCGCTAGTTGGTGCTATCGGCGTCCTGATTTTCCCTGGCGGATGGTACAAACAGGTAAATACTGCTTCTCTTTTTTGCATCCAAGCATGACGTGTTTATTAAAAAAAAATTTCCTCCGTTTTTAGCGTTGCAGTTATGACAGGCAAAATCAGCCAGTACTTTAAAAAGCGACCTCGCGAGGAGGAAAGTCAAGAGTCCAGGTGAAACACAGCAGAGAAAAAACGTAACAGGCAGTTAAAATGCTATAATTCATGGTGGTGACAACGTGGAAATTTGTGTCAGGTCTGAAAGTACTTCTCAAGGGACTGGTGATCGCGAGGGTCAGAATGCAGGACAGGACGAGTCGGCGAGGCGAGGGTCATTAATTAATTAGTTTCCAATTAGGAGCATAACAACGCAAAGCCAACGTGTACATGGTTTTTATTCCTCTTTCCAGATCTTCTCAAAAACACAGAGCCAGTGGCTTTGACAAGCAATGGCTCAATCAATTTACCTGGCTCAGGCATACTGAGGAAGGCATGCACTGCTATTTATGCCAAAAGCACTGTGCCCCAACGCAGCAGGCAATTGCTGCCTCCTTAGTGAGACAGCCATCAACCAACTACAGGCTGGACACATTAAAAAGACGAGGTGACAGCCATTCACAAAGCAGCAGAAGAGAAAGAGAAATATATTAAAGATGGTAGTACCTAAAAACACTCAACTAATAAAGTTACAAAAACTAAAATAACATAGTTTAGACAGTTTAAGAAATAATTGGTTGTCGTTTTTTTTAGGGAGGACACTGCAGCGTATACATATATATAATATATGATTGAAAACACTATCACTCTTCATGTCTGTATCAGAATAAAAACAAAAATACTTAATGCATGATGAATTGTTTTGTTTAAGGTGAAGACACCTCTGTGGAACAGACTGAAGGAGAGGCACTTGGATGTCTGTTGTAAGGTGGCCGTTGATGGACCAGACCAGGAGGCCTTGGACTACAAGGAGGGCATGAGGAGGTTCTACAGAATGAAAAAGAGGAGGCTGAAATGTTCTGTATGGTTGCGAGATGTGTGGATGAAGTGTACTTTCAATTTAAAGTTGCCAGCTGATTTGTGTATGTATATAGTTTTAATAAATGAATGCTTTAACATGATAATGGTCACACTCTTTTTTGAACTCTTAACTTAAAGTATGTTGCCTGTAAAAGAAAGTGAGTCGGTTGAATTTACAAATACATGCACGTCATGGCGCATGGTCAGGATGGTGCCACCTCTGCCTCAATTTGAGCCAGGAAAAACCCTGTCTTGATTGTGATATTCTTACAAAGGCAACCACAGTCCTCTTTAAATGCTTCCATGATATAATACTATATGATCAGCACACTATTGAATAAGACGAGGCAGCTGACTTTGAGGTTTCTAGCATTGTCCAAGGATGTTTGAAAAAGTATTTGGAGGATTAGGAAGAAAACCATTTCTATCAAAAACATGCTTTACTTAAATGTTACAACTGCTCCTTCAAGGGTGTGTTATCTGGGCCCAAAATCTTCATGAATTTGTCCTAATGCAAGAAGATTTGCAACTACAAATGTGTTTGTATGTGAGATAATATCCACATACAAACACCTGCTGTGTTAAGGAACAATGAGATATGTTGGATATGTGGGTGTGTGTGAGCATGTGTGTGGTCTCCGCATGAATAGACTGTGTAGGTGTCCCCTTTGTGTTGACAAATGAACTAGGTAAGGATCAAGTAGATCTTGTGGATCCATGACATCTGCAGGCACAAATGTGAACACACACACACACACACACACACACACACACACACACACACACACACACACACACACACACTGAAAACTGACCCCACACAGACAGACTTACCTTCTGTCACTGCTGAAGAAACAGTACAAAATCCCAGACACAAACACACACAAACATCCCCACTGCTACTAAGCCCAACAACCACAGAAACATCAGCCAAGCATACACACTGCAAATAAACAACACTTACAGGCTCACACACACACACACACACACACACACACACACACACACACACACACACACACAAAGACATAAATATACACACACCTTCTGCAAGCGTGTTGTCTTCTGAGTGTCCATTTAGGCTGCTAAGACTGGAGATTTGTCCATTTTTCTGCAAAAGCTGAAAAAGACAATGAGACCAGACAATTTGAGTCAAGAGGTTTACATTAAAAGGTTTTTTTAAAAAAAGCACAAGTTACCAATCAGCTTTATTCAATTTCAGAGGAGGCTGAAGTTTGGTGAAACATGTTTCACTTCTCTAACAGGGTTAAATGGTTAACCTGATTGATCAACTGTATGTTGTATTAAATACTTGATTCTGATTGGTCAAAACTATGTTATAATCAAGTTAACTCTCACAACAAAAGGGGGACACTGGGGACAACAAGCACTATGCGTATTATGCGAGTTCCAGCACATTTTACCTCTGTCTGCTTACACTGTGGCAAAATGTTTGTTTCCATCTTAGCCTGGTTTAGAAGTCAGTGACCGTGTTTAGAAGTCAAGCACAACATGAGCTTCATGTTGTGCCTAATTTACTTGCTTTTACTTACTTAGCACATAGACCTTAATGGAGGAGGGAACCAGCCACCATTTTTCCACTTTTTGATTTTAAGACTGAGAAAACTAGCCAACTGCCTCTGTGCTCTTGCTCCTATCTTAAAGGCATGGTTTACGATTGGAGAGATTGGTAATTATTATGAACCTCATTTCTATGGCGATCATGGTCCACAAAGTTAAGAGAAAAAAGGATGGAAAAAAATCTGTCCACCCTAGCAGGTGCAGGGCTGCGAAAACATTGAGCAATGGGAACCATCCATTCCTGACAGCTCTTATTGGTGAATCTCCTGCAATGTCAACACAGTAGCTGTCCAGGCAGCTGCAGATGATGCTCGCTAGCAGAGCTGGTGTTTACTGCCGCTAGTCACTAACAATCTGACAAGGTGAATCCTATTTGAAGCTAGCGTAGGATCTTCTGCCAGCCGGCTTCTTGCTCTGCCAGAGGGGGTGTGTCATGGGGAAGGTGATACAGGTTCGGGGGGGAGTTCTCGTGGAGCACAGAGGGGAGAGGTTTGTGTGTGGGGGGTGGGATGCTTTTTTCAAATCTGCCTCAACAGCTCAGTTTTTTTTAAACTGCTTCTCAGATCATCACCCATGCCTTTAACACTCAGCCTGACAGTAAAAAAAAATCAGCCATTTACCATCATGCGATACTGATCTCCAAATAACTAAAAACAATAGAATTATCATATTCTCCTCACCAAATGACTATGTTTCATGAATCTGCCTGCCAGACTGCTATCACATCCTTAAATGGTGTGTTTGCTGCTATTATGTTACACATCCTTCAATAGGCTTTATTAGCCAGCTGTAAATTTCAACTTAAAAAGTCAAAAACATCAAGATTAATACCAAGCATGGGTAAATTCTCATCAGGTCACATTTATAACACATCATTAAAATTATTCTTTCCTTTTTCAGTCAGCTGATTTGCTAAGCCTAAAGCTTACAGAAGAGCAAGAGGGAGAGCTACACACACAAAGGTTTATATATATTTTTCCCATTACAGACTTAGAAGCATGTTCAAAAGTCAACAACTCACAGCCTTACCCACAACACCTTATCGGTGGATCTGAAGTGCAAGTTGTTTTAGGTTGCAACCAGCTCTACCTGACAGCTGTACAATAGCACCCAAGTCACAGCTTTGTCCATCCTGGCCATGAAAGATGGAACCAGAGCCTCCCCACAGAGCTGCTAATCTAACTAATGGACAGCTATGGCTCCATTCCCAACAGCCCAAACTCCTCCAGGACAGCCTTGAAAAGTGACACCACAGAGGAGACACTCAGGTTGGAGGGGAGGAATAAAAGATGTGAAAAAGAAAGTGAGAGCTGGTTAAAGAGAGGGAGGTGTGGTCATGAGGGAGAGGACTACTGTAACTGCAAAGGCAGAACAAAACCTGCAAGGCTAGTAAATGACAGGGGGAAGGTGTTTTCACCTACATATAGAGGTACTGTATTAGTTATCAGGCTGTGTTAATTTATTTTGGCTTCTTAAACTGTTGTATTTTAAACAGTTTGACCAGTTATTGCGCACAAGAGTGTTTGAGCAAATTAAGCTTTGCACCTAAAATAGTTTTCTGAACTTGACAGTAAAGATGTTGATTAAGGCTTTAAAATGGGCTCTCTAACATACAACGACCCTGTTTCATTAACTGAAAAACTGGAAGAAATGAGGTGGCTGGAATAATATTATGCTCAATGGTTGTGTAATTTAATATTTTAGGATAAACAAATAACTAATATAACCATGTAGCTCACTGGGTATAATGGAAATAATTCTATATTTTCATATATAATATGGTTCTTTAGGATGCTCATGGTGCCAGTACCAAACCCCTCAATCCATGCAGGAATGCAATAAGTGCCAAGTTTTGCAGCTTCAACCTTCACCAACAACTAGAGGCCATTTTCCAGGAATTTTGAAAAAAGGTGGACAAAACAAAACAAATTCTGATCTGATCTCATAGCTTGAATTGAAATAACACCCCAAAGAGAAAGAGAAATGGATTTTAACTATGGAGACTGTTGCAGCATATTTATCATTTGGTTTAACTGGCCAGTGATTCTCTGTGATATTACAGTAAATAAATATTGGATCATTACCTTGATAACATTAACATGCCTAAAACGCTTCACCATTTAACTTCTCTCCCAAGGTGGAGGACTGTCCCATAGTTTAACTCCTTTTAAAGCCATCAGGACATCTGATCAGTTTTTAGAGTGCAGGCCACCAGCTGACCTCCGAACTTGCAGCAACCCGCCCTCCCCTTGTCCAACTCATGACTGGCATTCCCAACATTCCTTGCCCTCTTCTCTTAAGTTCCACAGATTGCCCAACATCTAACACTGTCCTCTAGTTTTAGGCCACTGCATACAAATGGTCACCTTTTCACCACCTCTGTCCCGAAGTTACCTCAACAGGTCTAACCAAAAGTACTGCAGCTATGTTCTCACTATTGCAAGAGTCATGGGGATAATCATTCAGAGCAATGGGTGAGGGTTCTTAGTGAGGATGCACCAGCTGGATTTGTGAAAAATATATCTGAACAGAATGATTTTGCATGATTAAAGGTTTATTATGTAGACTCTCAAACTGAGTCGGACACAGCGGGATTTCCTACATCACAACTCCAAGCTCCACCCCCAGGGCCCCGCTGTGCAGGCCAGAGTCTGAGAACATGATCATGGAACAAGTGTGTGCATTAGTGGATTACAATGCTCATAAGACAGCTAATGATGATATTAGCTTTCATCATGCCCCTAAAGACAATAGTATCTGAGAGCTGAATAGCTCCCATGTTACCTGCCACTTCTACTGCACCGGCAATGTTAGGCTTCAAGCTAGTGTGAAGAGGAGTGTGCAGGGCAGCGCTGTCTCCGCCCACAACTCAGAGGCGAATTGCTTAAGCGCTACTGGAGCTCTGCAGAGGAAAAGCCCTTGAAAATGACACAGGTACAGTAATTTTGGCTAAAAACTAATCACAATTTAGAGACCACTGATAACATTAATAGTAAAAAAAAAATTTATAAAATCAGATGTCCTAATAGTAAAAAAAATACGATTGGAGTGGTAGTTATACTGTCTATTATGCCTACATATGATCTGAACTGAAACTGAAATTAAGCTCTGCAGGTAGTTTGAGCTTTTCTTAGATGGTTTTTATAGAGTTTTTAAAGTAGTTCTTCCTAAGACTCAGTATCAGTATATGCGACGCACACGGGCACTGCACTTTACAGTGCGTGCACGCAAAGTATTAGAGAGTTGTCGTCTGCGATCACAAAGTAGATTAATTAGTTGTCAAGCAGTCATCATTGCTCTATTTCTTTTTATATATGATGCATACACTGCAGATTGAATTTTTATCTGCATCAAAATATACTCCTCTATATCAACACTTTCTTTACATCACTGGGCATGACTATCCAAGGACATATTGTGCTTTTATTCCAAGGTACACTGGATAATATTGTTTTAAGATGGAACAAAGGAGCCTGGAGCTAAAAGAAATATTTGGTTAGTTATAAACATTGCATGACAATATAGATGACTTCTCACTGATTAATTCATGAGCTCTGATAAAAAAAATAAAAAAAAGAACAATATAGCCAGCAAGTGTACACAATAAGAGGTTAATAATTTACATCAATACTATAGGTGAATGCCACAGACAGGTGCACTGGCATCTGCCTCTCTTAGTTCATCCTTGGATGTTTTAACTCATCCTTTTATGTGCTGCTACTTTTGGCATGTAAGTATCATCAGCCCCTCCCACCTGCTGCTGCTGGTTGTAGAGTATATTGTGAAACACATCCTGCTGCATTTGAACATCCTTACTCAATGTTTAAAAGCCACTAGGGGGCTGAAGGGTAAAATTCTGCCTTAAAATCAGAGTGAAATTTTCAGCAGTTTGTATCCCAGAATGAAGCCCACCCTGAAAGCTTTGGTTAGTTTTTAAGGAGTTTTGCCCAAAGGCCTTGGGAGACGGGCGTTATCGTTGGCGCCATGACCAGGTCCTGAAGGCAGTAGCAGACACCAACTGCTCGGGCATCAACAGCAGCAAGCAGCAACACCCGTCCAAGACTTCAATCACCTTTGTCCAAGCAGGTGAGACGCCACAACCACCTAGAAAGACCCAAGGGGGCCTGCTCGTGACAGCAAGAGACTGGCAGCTTCTGGTTGACCTCGGGAGACAGTTGAGATTCCCGGACACCATCGCAGTTACATCGCTTCGACTAGACATAGTCTTGATGTCCGCAGCAAGCAAGCAGGTGGTGCTGCTTGAATTGACTGTACCCTGGGAAGATCGTGTAGAGGAAGCCCACGAGAGGAAGAGGGCCAGGTACGCAGACCTGGTAGCGGAGTGTCAGCGGAATGGGTGGAAGGCCCGCTGTGAGCCTATTGAAGTGGGCTGCAGGGGCTTCACAGGACAGTCTCTACACTGGGTCCTGGGACTCTTAGGGATTTGCGGGCTGCACAGGCAAAGGGCACCAAGAACATCCTGGAGGCTGCTGAAAAGGCTTCACGGTGGCTCTGGTTAAGAAGGGGGGACACGTGGCGTAGTGCGCTACCTGGACACAAGTCGGGGCCTGATCACCCCCGGCTGGGTCACCCGGATGAGGGTGTCTGATGTAAGACCCGAAACACCCTATGACCCCGGGAACATCACTGACGATGTGTCCAGGTTGCACCACAAGGTGTATTTAAGTACTGCAGATTAGTGAATGCAGTATACTTGCTTTCTTTTATTACTTGTGCTTAAACTTCTTACAACACACTGGGAAAGCTTTTATAACCCAGAAGCAGTCCCATTGAAATTGAACAGGTCTTTTTTGTTTGTATTTTTGTGAACACCAAACACTACATGCTAGAAATCATGCTGTTACACGGATTAATAAGGAAAAGGATCAATAAAATCTAATCTAATCTAAACTGTGCACATCTGGTGAACTATAAATCTCCCTTTGTTATTCACATAAAGAATGACCAACAGTTTTGAGATCAGCTCTGGAGGAAAGACTAGAGTTTCTCTTTAACGTGTTTCCCTGGGATCCTGTCTCTCACTCTGTCAGCTTTCACTTTTATCCTTCATTTATCATTGGTTCAGAATTCCTTTTCTTTGCTGCTTTCATTTACTTTTTGACTGTACCTTTAACACTCAGCGGCTTCAGAAGAGAGTTGACCTGCAGTCCCCCTAAATCACTCCACAAAAGGTGGCAGGGGGGGATTTAGGGGGGGGGGGGGGCTAAGGGAAAAGAGAAGGGTGACGCAGCTGGTAAATCACACCTTAAACCCAGGTCTCCTGTCCTAAAAAGCCAAATGAAATAGGCTAAATCAGATTCACATAACAAAACAGAGGAGACTTGTCTTTATTTTGTTATAGGCTGCAGAAATAGTTCAAAGCATCCTGAAAATGAGGGTAAATTTGATTTAGGAGTTTATGTGTTATAAAAAAGAAGAAATAATGAGGAGGAAACTGCATTGGACAGATAGGAGGAAATTTTAACTGCTTTATCCTATTTACTCTGCAAAAATACAAGACAAAAAGTACAGCAATTTTTAGCAAACAACTGATGTGTGTTGAAAACCATTGCCAACCACAAGATTACTCCCAAATGAACATCCACACACACAAGCTGAGTCCAATCAGAGATAACAGGCTTAAAGACTCTCTGTGGGGTTGTAGTTTGTCTGTGACAGTTAGCCTGGCGACTCCTGACCTCTGAGGTGTGGACTAAGTCTCTGAGCAGACGAAAGGAGTATGATGGTCATCAGAGGGGAGTAAGGAAAGATAAAGACTGAGAGGGGGTGAAAGCAGAGATGTGGAGATAGAAAAGAGAGAGGAGATGAGAAACAGAGAGCAAGAATGAGGAGAGAGAGCAAGCAAGAATTTGAGCTCCAGGCAAGAAGACCGTAATCATGCATTATTTTCAGACCCTAAGGGCCTGATCTACTAAAGGTTTGCGTGTGCAAAAACACGTGCAAACTTGATAGTGCACGCAAACCTGATCAACTAACCAGGTGCACCAAAGATTGCGTCTTTCAAATGAGCAAAACAGCACGCGCAATAGATTTAGCGTTTTTGTCTTCATGAATATGCAGAATATATGTAGATCATCAAGAGAGCGCAAAATTCTGGGAGGAACAGATGCAAATGGAATCATCTAGCACCCACACTTTGATTTATCAAACCCAGAAACCGATTGCGGTTGCTGTTTTGCGTCAACATTTAGCGTCTTTGAAAGGCACGAGCAAACTGGAGCAGCATTACGCACAGTCATTGTGGAGAGAAGGATGCAGAAGTGCCAAGATAGACGCCATGATCCTTGTCCAAAAGCTTGTGATTTATTATGTTTTTCTGGAAAATGACGATTTTCATAAATAAAAAGGTCTTATTGATTTTAAATTGTTTTGATCCCTTTTTTGATTTCTAGTATATCTTCTTGCATTTGTAAAGCACTTTGAGTTGCCTTGTGTATGAATTGTGCTGTACAAATAAACTTGCCTTGCCTTTTATGCAGTTCCCTAAAACAATATGTACAACTCCATGGTTTCAAACACTCTGCTCTCGCTAACTCTCCATGGTGACAGCCAATAGTGCAAGCAAAATCCTAGTTTAAGATAGCGGTCCGCACCACTTTTGCTCCCGCTATCAATTGTGCACGCAATGATAATAGATCACTCGCAACACGCCCTCTAATAGCACAGGCAATTTTTCAGTTTGCACCATAGACTGTACATAGGATGGACAGCGTCTGCCTCCTTGCTAGGTAAAGCCACTCTGAGAACAGCACCCTTTGTTGATGGGCTGCAGTATAGGTCATAAATCCCGCCTCCACCAGCAAAACTTAAGGGGCTGTGGACAAACTTCAGAAATTTATTACACAGAATATAAATTTTTCTCCCCCCTGCTTGCGGTGTTGACATGTAGTTATTGTAAGACTGGTTTGTGCTCAAGTCCTCTTTTTCTGTGAAGCTCAGTTTTCAAAAGTTATTAGGGGGTTCATGTTTTCTATGATTGACACCTGATACAGCCTTGCGGCGTTCAGGGAATGCCTAGCTCACCCGGGGTGAGCCGAGCGTCAACACAGTGACTCCCGGCAACTCTCCTGCCGAAAGCGCACAACGCTACTGCACAGCACTTTATACTATGGAACAAAGTAGTCCATAGTATATACAGTCTATGGTTTGCACACGCTCAATATTTTGGATCTTAGTAGATCAGGCCCTAAGTTTCCTCTCTGATGTCTCTTCAGTAGCTTTGCATGATTTTCAGTTTTTTTAAAGAAGCCTCAAATTTCTTACTATGGTGTATTAAGATTTTATCATTTCAGCCTCTGTCTGTCTGAAACGCTTCGTTTTAGCTGCTATCTCTTTAAGGCCCCCCTTCCACAAGCCTACTATTGTGGTCGATCAGTATCATCAAGCAGCAGAGCAGCGTTACCAGTTGAGCGTTGGCTTTGTAGCATACTTGATTCTGATTGGGCAAAACCCCACAACAAAGGTGGTTAATTCTTAAAAACAAAAGCAAACCAACAGATAAACCGATCACACTTGCCCCATCATATAAAGCTCAAAAGAGTCTGATCAGTTTCATACATTTTAATTTCAAGACTGCCTGTTGACACAGAAGCAAAAACATTAGATAGTGAGTGCATCTAGTCTCTTACGTACTTTGTCCCACTGTTGTTGCAGAGTTGCAATTGGTAAGTGGCTTCTAAGCTCAATCAACACAAAGTAACTTCAACCACAAGATAAACAATATTAGAAGCTGTAACACACTCAGTACAACACTCTTAAAAGTATGAAGGTGTGTCTTTGCAAAGCTCTGAGAGGAAGAGCTGAGTGAGGATGGAAAGGTTATCTTCAATGTTCCTGCATAGGTTCTGTCCTGTTCTTACAACTGAAAATTATGAGCTCCTTTATCATCAAAGCTCTGTAGGTAAAAGGGTTGGCTATGACTTTCCATTACCACCTGGAGAATCCTGATTGGTCAAATTCCACAGGTAAATAAAGCAGGTTAAAATAAGCTGTAAGAGGTACTGAGGATAAATATTTCACCAATGTCCAACAATAGGTTTCAGGGGCCTGTGTGACCATCATGTCTCCTCACCCCCTGCCAGCCCCCAATTTATTATCCCTGACCCCTACATTCAGAACATACCAAAGATCAAAGCATGGCAAGACCCTCAAAGAGCACTCTCACTCTTTCCACAGTCCTTTAACTCTGCTGCAAGCACAGGTTAGACCCTACTCACTAACAGAGCTCCTCAGCGTGTGTTTTGGTGTATTTATTTTGGTGCAATTTATGGTTTTATAAAGATGTTTAAATAGTTTCTGGATCACAAAAAAACAAATATTTTAAGTCCAGGTTCCTACCATGATCTTTAAAATAAGCCCTTTTTTAAATTATTTGTGCAGCGTGGGCCAGCTTTACTGTGTAATTTAACTAATTTTCAGTAACTTCATCAGAAGCACTATTCTAGCAAAAGTGTTAAATCTACATGTAGATTTTTCTGTGTTTTGTTACGGTGTCAGAAAGCCCACTCATTTTGCACTTTCTTGGAGCACCAAGTCCCACTTCTGACAGCAATTTGTCCTTGGTTGTGCATCAGTTTACTAATCTGCTCTGCCAGATAACTAAGGGTCTCTTTTACTCTCGATTAGCATCGAAGAGTTCCTTCTTCCTCCCTCTTTAAACTTAAAGAGAATCACTCATTTCAAATTCAGTTGTATTTGTGTTTTTTTATAACCATTTCAGTTTCTCCTTTCTTTTATCCATTTTGGGAAAAAAATGCTTTTGCTTGCACCAAATGGTCAAGGGTCTGAGTCAAAAATGGGATCAATGCACCAAAGAACCTTTTCTCTGTGTAATGTTTGTACAGACTCTGTCAAGTGAGCAAAGCTTGTTCCAGTATGTACTGAATTCAATGGAAATCCAGTCCACTGTTGTCAATGCTGACAATTAAGGCTGCAACAACGAATCGATTAAGTCGATTCGTCATGACGAAAAAATTCGTTGCCAACTAATTCTGTAATCGATTCGTCGGGTCTTTATCTATGTCCATGGACACCGGCGTGAAAACATCAGCAGGACGCACAGAAAAGAAACAGCCATGGCCGAGGCAGCGGCTGAGAAAAACATGGACACAACCCAACCCAAATCCCGACCTAAAACATCAGTGGTGTGGGAAAACTTTACCAAGACTGAAAAGGAAGGCGTTCAGTGCAACATTTGCAAAGCCCGTTTTGCATGGCACGGGAGTACATCGATGATGCGTGAGCACAGGGCTCTCAAGTCTCACGCATTCAGCGTATGACAGACGCATTCCCACTCGTTCACATGCTCACACACCACACATTGTATTTCTCACGCATTTAAATGAACACGGTGATGTCCACCAAGTTGCACTTCTGTAACAATGGAACAGGTAGAAATCAACTGAGTTTCTCCAAGAGTTCAGAAGCTGCGTGCCACGCGCAAGCCAATCAAATAAAGTATATCTACTGAACAGCCAATCAAAAAGCAGCATTGCTGTATCCGGGTAGATTTTGATATCTTGCGGTTTGACTACAGAAGAAGACAGACACTCACCGAAATAGAGCAGGTTTTTATAAGGACGAGAAAGACCCGATGATTACAGTAAGTCAGTAACCTACACATGCAGAGACCTCAACACCTCATGGCATATAAACTCATATGATAAACTAAAGCCCTATGCTATTGCTATTAACAGCTGCATTGATGAATTTAGCCTGTTTATCCGATTAATCGATTAGTTATTAAAATTGTCGACAGATTAATCGATTATCAAAATAATCGTTAGTTGCAGCCCTACTGACAATCCACTTCAAGCAACTACAATAGCTTTAGCGTCGCTAAAGGAACAGTTGAATTACAAAGGGCATATGAATTTGTGGTTTGGGAACCATGAACTGTGCTTTTATTGCAAAACATCTCGAAATTTTAGAGTTTTTTATCCAAGGAGAAAAAATAAACATAGCCATATTAGAAATCTACTGTTAGGCTTTCAGCATGTGATTATGAGACCAAAGAAAAGGTCATATAATTATTTATTGTATTTATGAGACATGAGTGGTGTGATACTTCTTAGGCTTGGGAACCAGATGATTTGTTTTGCATGACTGCTGCATTCAATTTCAGCCTGATTCATGTGCTTGGCATGAGAAGAGTATCAGGACACTGAAATAATGAAACAACCACAGAGTTTGTTTGTTTGTTTTTTCGTTAAACACAAGACTCTGGCATGTGCCTGTCCCTGCTTATCTAACAGTCCAAAAGCTGAGAAGTTAACTGAGAGATCCTACAGCTGCAGACACACACCTGTTAGCTAGTATTTAAGGACAACAACCAAAACCTGGTTTCCTCCTATACCTACCTCGATGAATCACTGACCCTTCACCCAAAGTCTTTATACCTCCCACAATTTGTCTGTTTTTCATCCCTCAAGTCCCTTCATCTGTGCAGCTGCCACACTTGAACAGCAAACTGAGTCAAACAAGAACAACAGCCTGGTTGCAGGAAAAGACCCCCCAGGACATGATCACAATCAGGCCACGCTGGCCAGCATGTGACCCTAGGGGCCTGGCTCTCTAACTGGGTTGTAATAACAAATACACTCCTTTTGCTGACCTTCCTGTCATCAAATCAAATCAAATCAAACTTTATTTATATAACACCTTTCATACAAGCTGCAACACAAGGTGCTTTACAAAAAAGATAAAAACAAACAACGGCAAATATAATGCAATGAAATAAGTATAAAACCCGTCCAGCCCCCCCCCCCCCCCCCCCCACACACACACACACACACACACACACACACACTAACTATCAGTAAAAACATGGCAAGGCATCGAGGATCCTGGTGAGGAAAGACCACCTATGGGAGCCGTCCACACCGAGAGGAGCCACAGCCCACCCCCACAGGGAGCACCGCCCCCGAGACCCCCGACCCTAAAATATCTAAATGACATAGAAATTTGATAAAAGTAAAGGATAAAATAAACTAAAACAGTTAAATCAGCTAAAAGCTAAACTAAAAAGGTGGGTCTTGAGCCTCCTTTTAAAAACATCAACGGTCTCTGCGGTCCTGATGTTCTCTGGCAGGCTGTTCCATAACTTTGGGCCATAATGGCTGAAGGCAGCCTCTCCGTAAGTTTTGTTTTTTGTCCTAGGAACAACTAAAAGGCCGGCGCCAGAGGACCTCAGGGTACGCGAGGGTTGATAAGATAAAAGCAGTTCAGATAAATAAGATGGGCCAAGACCATTAAGACACTTAAAAACTACTAAAAGAACCTTGAAATCGATCCTGAAACACACGGGGAGCCAATGCACTGATTCTAAAACCGGTGTAATGTGCTCCCGCCCTCTGGTCCTCGTCAGCACACGTGCTGCAGAATTCTGTAGCAGTTGTAGAATGCGAATAGTCTTTTTGGGAAGACCAGAGAGCAGGGCATTACAATAATCTAAACGACTAGAAATAAAAGCATGCATCAGCACCTCCGTGTTGGCCTGGGAGAGAAACGGGCGGACTCTGGCTATATTCTTAAGATGGTAAAAACCTATCTTTGTTATGTTCTTGATATGTGGAATAAAATTCAGCTCAGAGTCAAAAATTACGCCCAGATTCTTGACAGATTGAGCAGGTTTAAAATCTTGTAGTTTTGGTAAAAGTTTCTCTCTCTTGCCTTCAGGACCAATAATTAAAACTTCAGTTTTGTCCTGGCTGAGCTGTAGGAAATTTTCTGCCATCCATGACTTGATATCTAAAATGCGATGTACAATTGTGTATCGTCAGCGTAACTATGGAAGCTGATGCCGTGTCTCCTGATGACGTCCCCAAGGGGAAGCATATACAAATTAAAAAGTGTTGGACCTAAAATTGACCCTTGGGGCACCCCACACTTAATTCCATGAATCTCTAAATATCTCCAAGCCCAGATAAGCATCTAAGCTCCAGAGTCATACGTGAGGAAGGAAGATGACTAGTGAGAGGGGGTGTCTGAAATGCATACAGACACTATAAACATGGTTTTTCTTAGCCAGACACCTTAACAAGACTTTCTTTTCAGATTATGGCCTAAAATTACTTTAGTGAATATCTTCATATCATGAAGATATTCACTCGCCTCTCGGCAATAAATCAGCAGTATGGAGGCATTTCTGATTCCTGAGAAAAGACTGATCAAAAGACAGAGCACATGCAATATGCAAACAATGCTGTGACAAGATGAAGTATGTAGGAAACATAACAAATTAAAATATTAATATATTAAAAAATATTAAAAATACTGTGCATTTAAAACTGAAAACTGTAGCACTTTAAAGTAAAACACAAGCATTTACTCACTTTGCTGAAGAACGTTTTTTATGTAAATGCCTTTTGGCAATAAAATTCTCAAGACATATCACTATTGTGTTGTTTTTCCTTTATTGAAAAGTAATACAATGTGCTAAAATGATTCACAATATCACCTGATATCGATTGAAGGCCTCTCAATCAACATGATTTGAAATCCAATCGTGGCAGACATTTTGATACTGGCAAATATCGAATCGCTGTTCTGAGAATCAATGTTGTATGGTATCGTGATTAAAATGGTGATTTACACCCCTATTTTATAGCCAATTGCCGTGTTTGGTTCAGTAGCTGACATGGAGACATCAGGGACATTTCCTGTTTTTAAGATTGGCTAAACACTCCTCACAGGAGCGTTAAATTACATCCCAGTAAAAAAAAAAGAAGAACTCAAACAAGTTCAACAAAACTCAACATGTTATAATCTTATGACAGCAAACAGCTGCTTTTTTTCAGAATGTGAGTACTGAGGCTAAATGTCTAAGAATCAACTACTGTTGTTTAGCAATGCAGAATTTCAGACATCAGCCTCCTAAATCCTCCAACTAACTTTGTTTTCCTTTTGGTGCCATTTGATTTTAACCTGATTAGTGAAGATGTGAAAAAAATCAGCTTTAATCAGGAATCCGTGTCCTTGCCAGGTTACAAGAGCCTCTTCTGTTCTGGTCTCATTACTTTCAATCACCTGCAAACAGAGCAGGAACAGTATGATACTTAGCCTACTGATGCAATTATCTAGTTTCAAAAATGTGAACTACTTCATCACAAACAAGCACGTGTCCTGGCAGTCTGATAAAAGCCCATGATCTAACAGGGGTGTTTTGGCCAATACAGATGGTGAACTTACTGATTTTGAAATGCTTAGACAGCAGTTAAACACATGAAAAGCAAATTAATGTGAGAAAACGCAAATGTGGTTGATGGAATAATCCTTCATAAGCACTTTTAGATATACAGTAGGTTTATAGTAGGATTAGTGCAGATGCTGTTCACTTTAGAGTCACTGGTTGCTTGAGTAAGATTTCAAAAGTTGTTTTTTTTTTCCTGTTACTTAAACAATAAAGTTTTGTCAAACTTTATGGTTTGATGAAAGATGTCTACATCACAAATAGACAGTCTTTTTATTCAAAATGCAACTCAGTCACCTACAAATGATATGGTTTACAGTGTGTCTTCAAGGTGTAACCATATTCTACATGCACAGTATTTTTAATCTGTTTATGTCCATGTTATGCGGCCCATCAGATAAAAATTGTACTGTCACGCTGAAGAGGCTATTTGGTATGCAGTTTTCAGCCAGCAGTTGTTTGCACTTCAAAACGACACATTTGTTTGCTTTAAATAAGAAAGCAATGACCACCTGATTCACTGTGCATGTTTCTAATTATCCTAAGACCAAATCATAAGATACCACTTCCACAGAGCAAATGCAGCGTACAGTAAACAGTACAGTACTTGGTTTGCAATAAGAGCACTATTTTTTCTGGGCATGACAGTTTCAGGAAGAGTTCTGTTGTTTCAGTAAGTGAGATGATATGCATTTCTTGACAGCTCCCATCTCTCGTTAGTCACAAAATGTAAATGTTTCTCCATATGTGAAGCAGCTGGCAGCATAAAAGTTCCTTTGTTTTTAAAAACAAACTTGTGTCATGCATCAGCTCCATTCAGTTTTATATTTCATCAGTAATAACTATGTTATGAAGTTTTTAGAACCACAAGGCAACAATCATACCTTCATTATGAAGCATAGAGGCTGCAGAAACAACAAAGGTAGTCCATTTACAATAAATATTTCACAGATACTGTTGGTAAATATTGAGTAACAGTGTAGCATAGAATAGAATAGAATAGCCTTTATTGTCATTATGGTTTATACACAACAAAATTGGAGAGGCTTCTCTGCAGGTGTGTTATAGTATTACAATAGATATGTCTAGAAAACAATCTTGAAAACAAGTTTAAAAAAGACAGACAAGCAATCAGCAATGACATGGGAAAAATTGCAGCAAAAAATAAACAAATTCACAGAATTTATAATATTGCAGTGATGCTACTGCACAAGGATTGCATGCATGTACCTGTTTGCAGTATATATACCAATCAGTAGTAAGTGTATAACACAGCTGAGTAAAAGCTTGCGGAATTTGGAAGAAGTATTTGCATGCAAACCTAATGCTGGTCATATTCTATATTCTATGGCCGTGGACAATGACCCCCCCCCCCCCCCCTTTTGTGTATTTCCATAAAATGCTTGAAGTGTTGAAGTGTAACGGGTATTGTATGAACCCAAATGCAGTACAAACAAGGCACAGAATCGATGTTCAGTCAACAGATTTATTATCAGGAATCTGGCACACAGACAGTTCAGTGGCTGGGCAGGCAGAAGTTCAGAAACCGGGAGGTAAGCAGACCAGGCAGACAATCCAAAGGGGGGCAGGCAGAGCTCGTAGTCAGGAACAAAAGGCTGAGGTAATTTACCAGGAGGCAGACGAAGCAGGCAGGTCGTAGACAGGCAGGGTCGGCACCAGGAAGACAGACAGAAGAACGCTGGAAAGTCTCGCATGGCAAAGAACAATCTGGCACTGAGGCTGTGTCTCATTTCAGAGACTGCATCAGGCTAAGCGCGATTAAGCGCACTTAGCTGAGCGCACTGCCGTTATGTGGACTTGAGTACCCTGGGTGAGATTGTCCGGTTTTTGTGAAATGGGACACACTACCCTTCGGAGGACTTACTGGTTGAGTTCCTAAATGTCCCCGCCCTCAGGCTCGCGTCACAACTGACTTGAAGTAAAGCTGTGGAGCGCAGCATTTATTTTTTTAATTGTGCAACCTTCCACAGACACAAAACAACAGATACATACAAGCACAGATCATTTCCACAAAATTCATCCAATGATTGCATGTTTTGTATGCAAAACATGGGCCATATAGAGAATTTTTTTTAAAGACTTCGAGATTTAAGTCATGAATTTATGAGAATAAAGTCATTAATTTATGAGAATTAAGTCGTAAGGTTACCTGTTATTTCAAAGGAGAGTTGTTAAAACTTAGGGCCATGAAGCACTTAAAGGAACTGTGCTTCAGTATAGGTTTCACAAACAAGTAGATACTTTATCCTTTGGCACATCAGCATTACATTGTCACAAGTATAAAGACTTCAAAAAGAACATATGAGAAATACATCTTTTCCACAGGGAAAAAAACAGGTGTACTTGAAGGAAATCGCTGCTTTTGTGGAGGCAGAAATGGATATGCTGAGGATATATCCGTTTATGCAGCCGTAAATATCCGTGAATGACATTGAGCTTTAGTTTATGATATGAATCCATATGCCATAATAAGGTGTTGGTATCTCTGCAGGTGTAGGCTACCGCCAGTGTCAGAGACGTGGTGCTCATCTGAGCTCGACTCCCTCTGGATCACAAATGTTGATCATCATCAGTTTGATTGTTTCTTCAGAAACCACAGAAACTCTCTGAATGACCCGCTGATACATCCACAGATAACCCTGCAGATGACCAGCTTCAGTCATTTCCCCCTCCACAAAAGCAGTTTTATGACTTTATTTACTTTATGACTTTATTCTTTCAAGTTTACAACTTTAATCTCTAAGTCTTAAAAAAAAAAAAAACTCAATGTGTCAATGATACTCTGCTGTAGTTTTGTCAGCTTTCTTATTTCTAATGTTTTAGATTGTGGTAGCAGAGTGGATCAATTCGTCTCTAAAGAGTATAATGTCTGATTTACAGATTTTAGTGAGATTTCAGAGATCATGCGCTCATACGGCCTGGGCTGACTGTCTGCTGTTTTTGGATTTCTTTTATTTTCGCTTGAAGACGCGCTGCGCCTCCAAGCGAGTCCAGCCTCCCACCCGAAATGCGCAGCTGTGCAGTGGCACGCAAAGAATTCTGGGATACCAAGGCCACCAAAGTGTGCATAAATGCACGCTTGAAAAAGGGGCGGGGGTAGTGTGGTTTTGAGACCGAATTTGAAGCACGCTTAGCATTTCGTGCCAAATGGGACACCGTTTGCGCCGGGTTCACGCACACTTCAAATGCGCCAATCTGCAATCAGAAAAATAAAGTCTTATAAAATTGCCATGTCTTTTTTATAACCTTTTCAGAGGAAATATTGCAATGAGTTTAGTAATTTAGTAATCAACAAATGAATTTGCTAGATAAAAAAAAAAAAATGGTGCAAAAATATCGCAAACCCCAATATTGAGCTGTCCTGACTCACCGCAATTCACCGGCATTCCTCAGCCGTGACATGCCTACTATTCAGAGAATGTTTCTGCTCTTAAAAGAAGCATTCTTACATGGTCAACAATTGATGTCTCCAGCGTATGTAGCCAGCCTCAAGTGGACAGTCAATGAAGTGCAACTTTTTGCATCTCCCCCACTGGTTTCATTTTTCGAAACAAGAGATTGCAATTATTGCCTCAGAATATGCACAACATACACAGTTTTTCAGAGCGCAGTCTTTTTCTCATTTTTGACCTCTGTCACTTTTTGTTAGGAGTGTTGAGAACTTGTAGAAAAAGTTCATAAAACAAAACATATTAACTCCAGGTGAAAATCTTACACTCAAAATTATATGCATTATACCCCTAAAGAAATGAAAGTGATGCTGGGTAGTCATACCATCTACTAATAACCCCATTAGTTTTGAATTAAAAATGTTGGTTGACTAGACAAATTTACATATAAGCAGCATTACACAGTTGTATCTGGTTGTATTTTTTGCTAGTTGTTGATACTGTTAAGTGTAATGTAGACTATGATAAACTGTTTATAAAAAAGTGACGTAATTTAACTGCAGTTAAGCAGCCAAATCCAGCAAAGAGTAAACTATTTTTTTCCTTATATGTGATAGAGAAGATGATTAAAACAAAAAAAAATAAATAAATGGAATACCTGTAAATTTTACTTGAGCTCCCAGTGCCCACATAAATACTTTTATCCTTTGCTCTGTGTTTCAGGTCGGTGTGTTTTACTGTTATGGGACAGGAACTATGATATATGGCTGCTGTGTTTGGTCAATACAGTAAATCTAAGACATCCCAGCTGCAAAGATTACAGAGGCTGCCCCGTCCTGCATGAGTATGCTAACTAAGACAGCAGCTGCACCAAAGCTATGATTCACCATTTGTCCTTCAAATGCTCCTACTCCCACCAGCAGTATAGTCCAACACACACGCACATATGCGCGCGCACGCACGCACACACCTACACCTACCACTCTGGGGCTGTTAGTGCTGCATCAGGACCAGAGCTGATGAAAAATGGATGTGAAAAAAAAGAGCAACAGAGAGGAAGAAATAAAGAGAGGGATGAATACCAAGGGAATCTTTGATAGGGTCATCTCATATAGCTTAAGGTAAAAACACCATACAGAGCCAAACGTCCAACAATGTAGGGAGGAGGAGGCTATTGTCACCAGAAAATCTGGTGATGGGTAGCTCACCCCATTATTCACCATTTTTTTTTTTTTTATCCCAGAGGCTTTCTATAATATATATTATTTCTATAATAACTCAGACACATTCTGCACTTCTGATATCAACTGTCTGATTCTTTGCTTCTTTGCTATTAAAGGAACAACAAAAAGAACATTTTGGTGTTTTATAAGTTATAAAATGGAACAAAATAACAGAAATAGTTCGAACGAGAAATGGCTAAATGAAAAAATGTCTGTTTTCTGCCAAAACAGTTTTACAAGAAAAAGTCACTTTGGAAACAGCAATTGGATAAACTAGAAACCTGTGTATCTGGTTTACACAATAACTAGGTACCACATGAGAGATAAAATCATAAATCATTGAGCTCAAAGAAAAGAGCATAGAAGATGGGTGAGTGAGCAAGTCCACAGAGGTTGATGACGCAACGCAGCTAAGAGAGGTTATTTTCAGCTTTGTGTCGCACTGAGGAGCTGCACTGACTTGAACAAACAGCTATATGAAGCTCAATATTTTTGATGAAGATTCAACCAATCAGTCTTCACTTTAGAAGCACCTACATGGAAGCATGTACCTCAAAGAGGATCCATCATGCTCTCTAGTTTAAAGGTCCCATATTGTGCTAAATCCACTTTAGAATGGTTTCCTAACAATAATCTGCATCCCCATAAAGCCTGTCTACAAACGCCCCCAAAATGAGAAAATTCTATCCTCTCCCTCTCTTGCTTCTTAAACCTTTCAGAAAATGTCTGCTCAAAGGGGCGGATTGACACTATCGCCTTCCATGACGTCATGGACTGCAATAACTCTTCCCCTCCAGGTTGGTGACCCTGCCCAAGATTTTTGTTCTGCCCCCCTAAAATTTCCACTCAGGCACTTTTTTTCTACCTCGCAAATTCTGGTTCGAAATGGCGAAGGTACGAGCAAGGCACGACAGTTGCTCTGTTGATGGCTGCATGAAGCAGCACTACAGACTACAAAAACATTGTCACGAGAGATCACTATACCTAGAATATTGCGCATTCACCAAAAGAGCTCCAAGAAAGGAGAAGACATTGGAGATGTAACCGTTAGCAGGAGATAATGTTACCTAGCAACATGTAAGTCATTGTGTAACAACACACAAACCACGTACCTAGCACAAGCCACGACCCCCTCTTCAAGAGAGATCGGGAGGGGCGTGGCTTGCACTGAAGGAGGCGTGGACAGGCACGGCAAACAGTGTGTCCTGGGTAGAGCTCACTAGAGAGAGTTTTCAGGCTGGCTGAAGTCCAGGAAAAAACTGGGTTTTTAGACAACAAACTTCAAATGGACTGTTCTGGGACCTCTGAAACCTATGTGAACCTGCTGAAAAGGAGTATAATATGGGACCTTAAAAGAATAGCCTTCATTATCCTATTGTGGCCCTTCACATTAGAGCTGAATGATTAATTGCATTCGTGATTACATCAAGATACGATAAATTGCGATTTTCTAACCGCAAAGGCTGCAATTTTGAGTGGTCACGTGACTTGAGCGCGGGGAGAGCGAAGAAGAGCAGGTAGAGAGAGACGTCAACACTGCACTCTGTCGCACTATGGCCTAATTCCACTACAGAAGTTGACACTGCAGAAAGTTTAGTACCAAAGAGGAGCAGCACAGCAGTTGTGTGAATTTATTTTGGCTAAAAAAGATGCTGCTGTGCAACGTGTGCGGAACCTGTCGTGCTACTGTTGCTACCTCAGGAGGTAACACTACAAACTTTTATCAACGCTTAAAAAATGCAACAAAGCCATGTACAATAGTTGGATGACTAAAACACCAGTGACAAGCGCTTCAACCTTAAACCACGAAATCATCCATTATGGTGATGTATCGCCATCGGTACGTAGATTAGTTTTATGACGTATATGATGGCGCCTGCATGTGTGTGCACAAATGTGTGTGAGCAGAGAGAGCCAGTGTGTGTGTGTGTTTGTGTGTGTGTGTGTGTGTGTGTGTATGTGTGAAATAATAATTGCCAGAAAGAACTTTTTTTTACGATTAATCTGGTATTATTTACTATAATACAGATTGATTTATTGTTTGTGTTTGTTAAAAAAATAATTGCATATTAAATCGCAATTGCAATATTGAGAAAAAAATTGCAATTAGATTACTTTCCAAAATCGTTCAGCTCTACTTCACACAGCCCTTTAAATGGTCCTCTACCTGAAACAGCGAGCTGTTCAGGATAGATGTCATCTCTTTTAAGATTGTCTCGCCTAAGGCCCTTTTTTTTCTGTTCTAATGTACATAGCTTCTTTTACTTGGCAAGGAGGAGAATGAGGTTATTTACTTCATTAATCCAAGCTCATGTCATTTTACAATCTAATTATGTAAGATGACGTCATTATTTATTCAAGCTGCAGTACAGAATATATCCCTTTCCACTTCGGGCTACATATTAATTATTTGATTTTAGGGTCTTTAGAGTAGGGATGTGCACGGTTATTCGAATATTCGTGTAAACGGGGCTGTCCTTACTATCCGGTTAGTAAATAATGTTTGTTTATTCTGTAAAATAAAATTAAAAAAGAAAGGGGGAAAAAAAGCGAAAAAATGCTATTTTTTTAAAATATGTTTTTACCGTCATGTCTTAATAAAAGTGTGCATTCAACAAGATAAAATGTGTGGATCATTTGCGTGCAACTCTTTCTGCCTGGCTCGCTGCTCTGGGCTCACAGCGCTTGTGCTTATGGTGTGAGGCAGGCCGATGACGCAGCAGGCTGCTTGGCTTGAGCGCAGCGTGATTGCTTTAATCTTTCACATACTTTATGTCATTCTCCAGCGCTAAAATAAGATTCTGTAACATATTTTAATATTATAAGTATGGCTTTCATGTACTCTTAATATTTATTTCAGATGATATCTGGCCATATAGATCGACATGTGCTCAATTTGGGCTATTTTCTGGGAGTTAATTAATTTTCGTGTATTCGAATATTCGGTTTCAAAATGGTCGTTTAACCGTCAGTGAAACCGCTGGGAACATCCCTACTTCAGAGTCTTCTCTGCTCCATATAACATTGTAAACTGGAGAAGCAATAAAAACCGTCAGTATAACAACAACGCTGATGTGACAGAGCCTTCAAATCTTAACAACTGATTGATCAGGGCAGAGTAGCTGAAACAGTCCCCATGGGGTTGTGGGTAGGCCAAGCCCTGGTGGCCAGACCTCAAATATTCAATAATCTATCAATACAAAAGGGAAGAACACCTCCCCCAACATCTTCATCAGCACTACTGATGATGAGAAACACTGAATCTGCATGGTTATGCATGTTTGTGCAGCCCTTAAGCAAATATAAATGAACTGAACTGCTGAACTGAATTAAAGACTATTTACCCCTCTGTGGTATGCAACTGCAAACTATTCCTCAATTTGAGTGTAGCACCACAACAAACAGGTCAACATGTGAAACAGCACAATTCTTATATCTCTTTGACATTTCAAGTGATTTATGTGACTTGCCAGCCCTATTTCTTATCACATTGGTGGGTAAGCAATAAATAAAGGGAGACTTGAATTATCTAAATTTCTTGTCCCTGTAGTCTGTTGTGATCTAGAAAAGAATCACACCAAACACAAGGCCAAGAAGTTATTGGCTATTTTTTTGTCGAGTAAACAGCCAGCAGTATCCACACATCAATCAAAGCACCGTGCCTCCTTACTGTATGGCTTCATTGAATTAAATAGGTGAGTTGTATGAAATCAATCACTGTACAGTTGTCACAAATTATAGACTCAATATTTAAACAGACACTATTAATGCTCAATGACTGTGAAGCAAAAAGATTTGGCACTCCTACTGAGTGGCAGCACTATTAGTCATAAACCCCGCCAGTATCTTGTGAACAGATGTTACCAGGGTCAAACTAGGAAATCAAATTACATGTCAAATCATTTTTTCCAATCATGGTTTTTGTCAAACTTAGTTCTCATCATTAAGATTTTAGTCTAGGTTATTTAATCCAAAAAAATAAAATGATTGGCTGACCACACTGTTGACCAATGCAAGTTCCTGCAGGGCATTTTTTACCCGATTAGCAGAGTAGAGGAACTGTGGCGTGAGAAAACACAGGAGACGTTTAAGTTTCCATAGCCATGACTGTTTCCTTTACAGCAACATAGGAATTTATCCTGCTGTGGAATGTACTCATTTGAGGGACCTACTCTGTAATATTCAGTAAGTTCACTGCATGTTTTGGTGAGTGTCACGGGTGTGATGAAAATCCCAGGAGGCTACCGGCTAGGGCACTTCTACACATGCCATGGCTGCACTAGAACAAATATGTCAGGACCTACAGAGACAGTCTGATGGTTTTATATCTAACAATGGACAGATATACAGTGACCACTCTATCCACTCTATTGACAGCAACTGTCATAAACAAAGAAACTAGCTCTCAAGACCGAAGGGTTTTTTTGCTTCTGTGTACCAAGCTACAAGATCACTGACTGTTTAAAACATAAATGTCCTCTCATTACCAACCTTTGGCTATCCCCACATTGGAAATTCAGACTCCACCTCACCAACAGCCTTGATCTATCGTCAAACTAATGAGTCATGAAAAAATTCATCCCCCTGCACAGTGTACACATGAAGAAATGAGCTTTGTGTTTACCTCTGCCGAGTCTTTGAGTGGACACCCAAAGAACGCGTGTATTTTTATTCACTTCCACATTGGTTTCATTTCTCAAGACCAGGGGGTGCTTTTGGATAAAAACAAACATGCTGATTCCTGCAGCTAAGACATGTATTTAAGAGAAGGATTTTTATTCAGCCTCAAGTGGACATTCATAGAACTGCAGTTTTCTTTGCACTTGACAACTGCTTCACTTTTTACATATGTTTACTGTGTTTAGAACTGCCTGCAGCCCTTCTTAGACTTTTTGGAGATGGTTGTGGGCTGAGTAAACTGCTGAGTCATTCTTTTCCCTTCATCCTATTTTAAAGATGTTTTTTTTTAACTTTTCAGAGGCAAAACTATTTCAGCTTTTTGATATGTTGTATTCGCATATCTCATTCAAATGATGCGCTTGAACCAAAAGGTTGCTGCAAGTCTGGTCTCTGTATTACATGTATTTTTTGTAATTTTTACAAGATTTCTTTCATACTTTTGTTTTTTTTTTGTTGTTGTTGGCTGCTGATGGATACTTCTGCTGGGAGAAGAGTTTACTTAAGAAAAGAGCTCTTTTCATTGAGCCAAAGCAAATCTGGACAACAACATACAATTCAAGAAAACATCAGGAGGTGTTATCATGGTTGCTGTGCTGGTGCAAAGGTGAAGGCAAAGCTGAATGCTAGGAGGGGGCGATATAAACCTTTTCTTCCATCAATCATCATGGGAAATGTCAACTCTCTGCCCAACAAAAACAATGAGCTGGAGATATTGGTGAAGACTGAGAAAGCATACCGTGAGTGCAGTCTCCTGTGTTTTACAGAAACCTGGTTGAATCAAAACGACTCAGACTCCAGTGTGGATCTACCTGGCTTCACTCTTATAAGGTCAGACAGAGATGCTCAAGCTAGTGGCAAGAAGAAAGACGGAGGTCTGGCTTTTCAACCAGAGATAGTGTAACCATTCACACATAACTGTCAAGGAGAAGTTGTGTTATCCAGATATTGAACTGTTGGCAGTTGCTCTTCGGCTATATTATGTTCCAAGAGAATTCAGTCATATCATAACAATAGTTGTTAGCATCCCACCCAAATCAACTCCAGAAATTCCACGCGATCTTTTGCATAATAGTGTTGCAACGCTACAAACTCAACACCCAGAGGCACTAATAATAATATCAGGAGACTTCAATAAAACCCTGGATCTGCTGTATGCCAACGTCAAAGAAGCCTACAGAGCCACTGCCTTACCACCACTGGGCAAGTCAGATCATAACTCCGTCAATCTGCAGACCTGTTACAGACCTTGTGTACTGAGGCAGACTGCAACTAAAGTTTAAATCAGAAGATGGACACCTCATGCTAGTGAAGCTCTAAGGGACTGTTTTAAATTAACAGAGTGGAATGTTCTGGTGGAAGCAGATGTGGATAGTATGAACATTGACAGACAGGTCAACTGTTTTACTGAATATGTCAACTTCTGTAGAGACACGGTTATCCTGACAAAGACTGTTCGCTGATTCCCCAACAACAAACCCTGGATCACAGGTGACATAAAAGCAATTCTTAACCAGAAAAGGAAAACTTTTAAAGATAGTGACAAAGAATGACTCAAACAAGTGCAACAAGAGTTGAAGAGAAGACTGAAGATGGCAAAACTGGAATACAAAAAGAAGGTAGAGAGGAATCTACAACACAGCAACATACATGAAGTGTGGAGAGGAATCAGTACCATCTCTGGACACAGCAATAAAAAGAAAAGACAGCCAGCGGTGGGTGATGTGGAAAGAGCGGATTAACTCAACCTGTTCTTCAGATTTGACACTGCTGTCACACCACTTCCACTGCTACTCCACCTTCCTCTCCACAACAGTCTCCACTACAACTTCTCCCCTTCCTCCTCCATCTTGTTCAAATGTCTCAACCACTTCAACTGCCTTCCTCCTAGAACATCAGTCCATGTCTGTTACCGAAACAGGGGTGAGGATGGAGCTTGGAAGACTTTGCCCTGGGAAGGCAGCTGGTCCAGATGGTGTGTGTCCAAGTCTGCTTACAGACTGTGCTGCAGAACTGTGTCAACCTCTCCACAGGATCTTCAAACTGAATCTACAGCTGGGGCGAGTACCTGCTCTGTGGAAAACATCCTGCATTGTGCCAGTACCAAAAACAAAATGTCCTGCTGAACTCAATGACTACAGACCAGTGGCCCTCACTTCACACATTATGAAAACCCTGGAGCGGCTGATTCTGCGCCTTCTGAGGTCTGAGGTCAAAGACAAACTAAATTCCCTGCAGTTTGCATACAAAGAACACACTGGAGTGGATGATGCTGTCCTCTACATGCTTCACTGTGCCCTGTCTCATCTGAAGGAACCTGTTTTTTTGTGAAGATCATGTTCTTTGACTTTTCAAGTGCATTCAACACCATCCAACCCACCATACTCAAAGACAAGCTCACAGAGATGAGAGTGGATCATGCCTGTGTTTCCTGGATCACAGATTACCTGACAGGACAGCCACAGTTTGTCAGGCTGGGGAACTGTGTTTCTGGGACATTAATGAGCAGTACAGGGGCTCCACAAGGGACAGTGCTGACTCCATTCCTGTTCACATTGTATACATCAGACTTCAAATACAGCACTGACTCCTGCTACATCCAGAAATACTCAGATGACACTGCTATCGTGGCATGTATCAGAAATGGACAAGAAGCTGAATACAGAGATCTAATAAGAATGTTCAGTGACTAGAGTCACAAAAACTGCCTCCTCCTCAACACCTCAAAGACAAAGAAGATGGCCATAGACTCCCGCAGATCCAACCCCCCCACCCTCTTCAGCCAGTGAACACCTGTGGAGTGGGCATCAAAGTGGTGTCATCATATAAATACCTAAGTGTACACCTGGATAATAAGTTGGACTGCTCTAAGAACACAGACTTCATCTACAGAAAGGGGCAGAGCCACCACTTTTGCCTGAGAAGACTCTGACATACAGACATCTGTAGTAAGATGCTGCAGATGTTTTATCAGTCTGTGTCTACAGTGTTCTGTTCTACGCTGCAGTCTGCTGGGTAGGCAGTATCAAACACAAAGATGCAAGACGTCTGAACAAACTGGTGAAAAAGGCTGGCTCTGTGGTAGGACTCAAGTTGCACTCACTTGGAGGATGTGGTGGAGAGATCTACACTGAGGAAGGTGGAGACTATTCTAAAGAACATGGATCACTCACTTCATAACACCTTAATGGACCAAATGGCCAATGATGGTGGACGGCTCCTCTCTCTTCGCTGCAGGACAGAAAGATTCAGAAGATCTTTTGTACCCACAGACATCAGACTCTATAACTCTTTTATAAATATTAGATGACTTTTGAGACATGACAAATGAGACGACAGACAATTGTATTTCCCTTTGGAAATAAAATAAAGTTATTCTTGTTCTTTTTAAGCATTTTTGATCCTGAGTGACCTTGAGACTGATTGCCCTAAGCTCCATCAACTAGGATGTAAGCAGTTCTTTTGTGGACTCAGTCCAGAAATACATTTAGTTTCTACAACAGAATCATGGGACGAATAAGAACAATGAATTCTTTTTACTCTTTTTCAAGTAATAACAATTGAAACTAATGGCATTTTAAGAGAATATTTTCTGGTACATTTGCAAGTAAATGATCAAGTTTCTCAGCAAAACCTCGACAAACTTATGTAATACTAATTGAGTTAGGTCCATTATAGTTCAAGAGCTTTTTATGTGGTCAATGTTCTTCAATTTGTATGTTAACTGAAGTACTTTTGTGGAGAGATTGAAATACCATTGCTATTGCAGCTCTGTATAAATAATTCAATGACTTACAGCGCTGGGAGAAAAAGAGCTGGGAATACTGCACAGGCTGTAGAGAGAAAAAGGAAGCAGTGTAGAAAAAAGGAACAGCACCTTTTATAATATTATCTAACATGTTGATGCCATCTGGGTTTTAATATCTTTGTGTAGCCTCATTACTGCATCAAAGTATTGGAGTGAGGTCTAATTTTTAGGGGCAGCGAGGAGAGAGGAACAAAAGAAGTCTGGTTTATTACACCCTCAAACACACACACACACACACACACACACACACACACACACACACACACACGTGATTTTACTGTAATGGGGAGCTGGCAGCAAATCTGAGAGATAGAGGATAAGAAACTGGCCGAGGGACAGATTAATTAGTAAAAAGCCACTTCCTGTTATTTCTCAACAAAAACAAGTAAAGTAGAATCACTGATTTGGTTTCAACTTCAGAAAAAAATCCTGGCATGAGGAACTTAATATTCTAGCTGTCTATGCCAGTTAGGCAGTTAAGACATAGCTGTTCATCCACCAGCTTGGCGGACCTCGGTGCGCCTCAGTCCATTAAAATACCAAACTGGCTGTACGCCGGGCTCCGCAAGACGAAAATACCACTGCGCGGGGTCCACCATCCTCCGCCGGCAGAAACGAAAATAGAGCCCACTATGTTAATTTTAATCCCTTTTAAACATGTGACAACTAACCCCAAAATGACTGAGACATGTTGCCCCAAACTACCATGTTTGCTAATTCTAGCTCTATCTTAAAGTTAGCTTAAAACAGAACAATGACTGAAATATGACAGGATGTATTAATCTTTCCTCTAACAAGTCCACATGTATCACTGAAGGGATTTTTATCTGAAGAGGCTTATTTTAAAATATATAAAGTTTTTTTTTTTTACTTTTACTTTACCATGTAAAGAAAGAAAACTAGTATTCCAAACTAGACTTTTTTTTTCTTGGCTAATTTACCTTATTTTTAAATTTAAACTCAGCTTTTGTTTTACAGTTCACATCTAGAAAACTCTTCAGATTTATTCTAGCACATCAGTAGAAGTGAGTTTACAGCAACATGGCTTTGCACAGGTCTGTCCTGCTTGGTTTATCTGATCCATTTTTCCATAAGTGCAATATTTCATCCAAATTGTCATGTACAAACAAATGTTGCATTTTGTTGTTTGATGTAAAGTTTATAGTTGTAAAAAACACTTTTTTTGTGGTTAGTTTTTTGTTTCTATATTTTCGGACCAGCAGTTCCTCACAATCCCACCACCACATTGCGTTTGCTCTTTCTCTTTTTTTCTCTCCTGCTGTCTTCAGTGTCTTTTCAAAATCAGTAAGGAAGGAGAACTGAAAGAACAATCAGCCGATTCATCTTCCTTTATGTCACCCTGGTGACCCTCTTTCTCTCAATTTTTTTTCTCTCTTATTCTCTGGGCACCACACCCGTCCCCTCTTCCTGTGCCTACCTAAAATGCTGCTCTATCCCCACTTCCCATGCTGGTTCCTTCCTCTTGTTTTGGGCCGGTGCACACAGGGGCCCCCAGCTTGTCCCTGCCTTGTCACATCCTCAATGGATCCCTTGTTTGACCCCTTCTGCCCCCCCCACCCCAACCCCCACCCCAATCACCCCCCACCCTCTATTTCTCTCTCTGCTAACAGGATAATCAGAGCCACAGCAGTGTCTGATCAGCTGCAGCTCATTATACAGGAACATACCAGCCTTAATCAGTTCACATTACATTGCATAACAATATGTGGGATCATTGGAGTCACCTGCTGCTGATGTTGTGATGGGAAGACCTGACATGTGATGCAGGTCTCATGTTAGAGGGCTTTTTGTGGTGTGTTTGCCATTGTTCATGCACCAGTTGTGTATACGTGAGGGCACTTACTAACATAATGATAAGAGCGCATTAAGAGAAAGCTCCTGCCCACATGGCATTTAAGGAAACTAAGAGGAATAAGAACTTTTAAAAAAGTCATGCTCTCTAATCAGTCATTATAGCAACTGTACTGTGAGAAAGATACATTTTGGTTTGAGTCTTTCTTAGTTGCTCTAACTTAGAAAAAAACTGCTTGTAATCCACTTGTTTTATGTCCTAAATGTCCTAAATTTTGAAATCACACAAATGTCATAGGAGAGTCAGAGGTATGAGAAGGTCAGGTCAGTGGAGAGACATTGCTATAATTACTCTGTAAAGTGAGGAAGATATTTATCGACTGTGTATCAGGAGGGAAGGCTTCCACAAGCACATGCTGTGACCATCCAAACATTTTCCCCTTCCCTCTCTATGTAACACCCCAGCTATATTTCATAAACCATTTATCTGCCTAATCCACATAGTTTAAGTGACTATATTACCATTTCATCCACTAAAATGACTGTTTTCATCTCAGACTAATGTATATCACTGACAAAGGAAACCTTCAAGTTTACAGGCTCCTCAGTTTCAGGAGCAGTTTACAGTCACGTTCCTCTTCCTTTTCTTACAATTACAATATTTTGCCATGATATTTTCCCCTTTTAATGGCTCTCAGACAATTATTCAAGAACCACTACTTTGGAAATGTGGAGGTAAAGGGCTCTATTTTCATGCCTCGCCGGAGACATGCCGCAGGCACGGCGTAAGTCAGGTCCACCGCGCCGACAAGGCGTTCTCAAGCACAATTTGGTATTTTGGTGAGTGGCGCAGCCCAGCGTAAGTATCCCCCCCCAACTCAGCTCCTCCCAGCGGCGTAAGTCGTAGAGAGGGCATAGAGTGGGTTTAACACAGCCAAGACCTGTAATAACCAATAACATCAGCTCCTCTCCTCTCCTTTAAATCCGCCACCGGCGAGGCGAATTACAATTTTTGTGAAGTAGCAATGCCACACGATGGCAACAGAAGGCAGCCCCTCAACAAGTGTCACTGTAAGCGCTGTAGAGGGCATCCTTCACACTGTCTCATATAAGCACAGATGGATTTGATGTGTGTAAGTTTGGACCCACTGGTAAGACAAACGCCCTTTTCCACAAATAAAGACACTCACATGAAGTTGCATACATTCAAACTTCACATGACAAAGGTGGGTTGTGCGCAGAGATCACAACATAAATTCCAAAAATGGCATTAAAATCGGAACCATTTGTGCATAAATGACGCATCGCGCTCCGTGGCCTGGCTCTTTCTTTCATAGATGTTGGCATATAAAATAAATGTGGCTCACAAAACTGAATATTATAATATCCGCATGTAGGCTTAAAGTAAATAACTCATCTGATCACTGAAACAAATCATCTGTTCAGCAGCTGCAGCAGCAGCTGCAGCAGGACAGGGAGAAGATACGGAGACATGTCCAGGTCGAGCTGCGCGAGAAATAAGAGGAAGAAAGAAAAGGAGGGAGAAGAATTACATATTTTGTTAACTTCATCATGTGTGTCTATTTACTAGATATTTAATTTAATTTAATGCGGTTTCAGCTGTGTTGATTTGGTCAGGTCATGTGTCCAAATGCGTGCCAAATGCGCTCATCAGATATAGATCAGAATATATCTATATAGATCTAAATGTATGTGCTGACTCAGATTATTAGTTCTTGGTGATTACTTATTGCACTGAAATGTGCCTGACACTGTGGAAACCTGCCGGTGAGGCATCGGTGACGTATGCCGATACGCCACAGGTGTACCAAAATACCACTAGACCAGCTGCGTTCTGCCTGCACTGAAAGCTGACCAGGTTTGAATCGGCAAGCTTTCAGCGCACTTTATACGCCACTGGCGAGCACGAAAATGTCACTGCACCAGCTGATTCTGTTGACACCTCCCTCTGCCACGCCACCACACCCAGCTTGCCGGATCTCGGTGCGCCTCAGTCCACGAAAATACCAAACTGGCTGTACGCCAGGCTCCGCCAGACGAAAAAAGCACTGCACGGGGTCCGCCAACCTCCGCCACCTCACCGGCGGACACGAAAATAGAGCCCAAAATCTTTTTTTTTTGTTTTTTAACTTTACGAGATACTAGATAGTGATGACTCACAGGCCCCAATACTAGAAGCTGATGAAGCTTAGAAAATGCTTTATATTTGTCTTCATATACTCACAACCTGATATGGTTGAAATAAAGAGAATAAATTATAAATAATGTGACTTAATTGCAATTATGTAAGATATCTGCATCAGTATTCAAAAATAATTAACATCTTTAAGACAGCGATCTTATGATGTGAGCTCTGCTCATATTACTGACTGTAATCAGATTAATATGTGCGTCACAGGTCCCCATCAAGAACTGCAACGAACATTTGAGCACTGGTCTGAGTGTTTCATTTCAATCCACATGATACTAATGTTTTCACTGTGGTGGCTTTTATTGATTTGTTATGAAAGTGAACTCAAATAACTGTAAATAACAAATAGACAATACAACTTTGGCTGGTGTTGAAGCTTGACGGCAACGCAGTGATTAACTAATGGCCATCTACGCAGAGAGACGGAAGACAAGAAGTACATCCCCCATACTCAAAGCTACTAGGCAAACAGATGCACTCAAAAAGTCACAGGCAGCTCTGAAACATTTTATATTATACACTTCTCTGACAAAGGTTAAGTCTTATCAAACACAGCACTGATATAACACCTGCAATAACAAGCGCAGGGGCAAACTAAACACCCACACCAATGATGTCAATTCTCTGGAAAACAACTTTACATACACACCAGTATGTTAAAACACACACACTCGCACGCACGCACGTGCAAACAACTTGCATGTTTTCAGGATCAAAATCTTGACCAAATGTTTAACCCTTTGTGTCCTTTGTCTGACTTAAAGTCCACCTCAGTGTCATGTGACCTTAGTGCTGACCTGTCAGGAACAGAACAGGTCTACCAAGTGTGACCTGCTGACCTCCAGCCTATAAACAAAAATCAATAAATCCAATAGATTGTGCAAGGCATGAATCGAGCAGGTGGTGAAAACATACAGTCATTAGTGAGCCCTTTAGAAATATTCATTCACACAAAGCTGAGCAATTTACACCAAGGTAAGAGTGCAGAGTCAGAACAATCTAAGGACAGAAGCTGGCAACAACAAACTGCAGAGAGAATCATGTTCAGGCTTCAAGCAAGAGTGGAGAGGTTGATTAGATTAAAATAAAGAGGTATGGAGGAAAAGAATTGATTATTTAAGACGCTTATGAGTTGTTTAAGTCAGTTTTGAAATTGTCAGCAATGCCTTTCGTGTCTCCTCTTTAGCTGTCATCTATCTGGCATGTAGGCTTAACTGGTCTCAGCAGATATACTTGATCTTCTTCCCAAATATGCTGAGAATGTTTCTGATTTCCTGTGAGGAGACAAATTCCCTGAAAATCACATAACATAAAAATATATATATTTTTTAAATTATAATTATTACTTCAATTTAACCAGTATTTTTACATTTTCAATCTTTTTTTAGGAAAGTTTGCAGCAAGACTGACGTGTTTCATCAAGCAAATTCTGACTTTCATAGCTCAACAGAATTATATAGTATATACAAGCTATCTCAAAGGTGTATTTTCAGTGATTGCTCAGCACTTGGATCTTATGGTATTTTTTTGTAGAATTCCATTACATTTTCTTTTCTATATTGATGTGTTAGCTGTTAAGCAACTTGGGCTTTTCAGCTCTGCAGATCTCATATCACTCGTATCACTTGTGTGTTGCTATCAATCAAAACTTCATTTTCATCAATAAAACAAAAGCACAAAACACTTTCATTTTCAATTATTTTTGGAATACATCACAGGTTTATAACCTTACTAGGTGAGGAAAATTTGCTGCTGCTTCGTAACCCTAGGGAAATTAACATTTAAAAGTAGATGATAAATGGAGTGTTTACAGTAATCATGTTATCAATATGTTAAAGTCTAATTTAATTCATTGCACTTGTTCACTGGTCCTCACTGAAGGGCCAAAAATGTCAGAGGGAAACAAATATATGTTATTGTGACAATAAGACTCTGGCTCCAGGTTGCCTGTAGGTCTGAGTGAAAATCTGGACTGAGCTGGGATACTGCCGTTTTATTACTGCGGGACTGCAGAAAACTCGACCCATTACTCAGCAAGAATCTGCGTCAGGCGCACATGGAGCGCGCTGCAGCACGTAACTGATGCACAAACTGAAGGGGGGGGGGGGTGTCAACGACAGATACAGCATGTCTGTCAACACACGGGTACACTATTTAGAGAAAAAAAGAACACGGTTACAGCTCGTAAATTTATCGTTTTTACGTGGGGGTTTGGAGGACGGTTGGCGGGATCAAAGAGCCTCGCTGTCGGCTTACCTTGCTGTCGAGGACGCTGCTCGCCTCCTGAAGCACGTTCACCTCTCCGGCTGAGGCTGAAGCTGAGGCATCATCCTGGCTCTTCCCGTCACGTTGCACTGAACTCTCTGCTCCCATTGCTAACAAATCTCAAAGCTGCGAACTCTCCTCGTCTTCTTAAAAATCACTAGAGGCCCTCCGCTTCGAGACAAGACGACTACAAGCGAACAATCCAACAGCGTCCAAACGACGAGTAAGTGTACAGTGCAACTCCGCCCCGGGGTGGCCTAGATCTGGAGTGATGAAGTGAGAGGATCAGCAAACTCTTTTAGGACCCCACCGCGCACACACGACGTCCTTCACCTCCCGTCAGTATCACATGGGGCACGCCTTGCAGCATCAGAGAGAGCCGGTGTTGATGAAAGAGAGGCGTTGAATGAAAAGTCTGTAACTTCAATATTCAAGAGGAAATTTCAATTAAGAGAAGGAGAGTCAAAGAAAGTATAAGAAGAGCCAATATATTTTAAAGATCGATATAAAGATATCGGTGGGATAAAGCTAAAGTTCTATCTGAATGTTACTGGTTATGAGATATAGTTACTTTTGCAGCTGATTAAAAAAACTACAAAAAAATGAAAATGTTTTCTCTGGCTTCTTAATCTGTCCACCCCTTTAAAAAACTTTTTTTTCTCATTTTTCAATCAAAAATTCTGCTGTGAATTCTGTTACTTATTGCTTGTGTTAGCTGATAAACATTAAGCTGAATTTTAAACTAGTGTTCAGACTGACACTCCCACTCATGCAGTAAGCCTTATGCACTACTTTGTCTCTCTGGGGCAGGCCACCCATGTCCATGTTACTCTGTGTGTAAGGGTAGAGTACATCTGTCTTGCTAATGAAGAGGTGATGTTGAGGTTCAAATGCTGATTGCAGGCTGAGCTATGTGCCATTCTGTATGGGATTTAAAAACGCACAGTACAGTACAGCCTGAGAACTCACAGCCAAGTTCACACAGGTCCAGACCAGGGTCCCCACAGATAAAGCAAACCACAACACAAACACTTCGAACTGAGAAACACAAACTGATGAAAAGTAAAAAGTTTGGAGGGCTATGACCTGTCAGGAGACGCAGTTGTGGCTTGACCTGCTCGTACAACCCCTGGCAAAAATGATGAAATCCCGAGTCTTGGAGGATGTTCATTCAGTTGTTTCATTTTGTAGAAAAAAGCAGATCACAGAAATCACACAAAACTACAGTCATTTGAAATGGCAACTTTCTGTCTTTAAGAAACATTCAAAGAAATCAAGAAAAAAAGTGGTAATGTGTAACAGTTACTTTTTTAGACCAAGCAGAGGGAAAACATTATGGAATCTCTCAATTCTGAGGAAAAAAATATGGAATCACCCTGTAAGTTTTCTTTACCAAAACTAACACCTGCATCAAATTAGATCTGCTCGTTAGTCTGCAGCTAAAAAGAAGTGATGACACCTTGGAGAGCTGTTGCACCAAGTGGATTGATATGAATCATGGCTCCAACAATGTCAAATGTTCAATGTCAATTGAAACAAAGGAGATGATTAATAAACTCCTTAAAGAGGGTAAATCATCACACAATGTTGCAAAAGATGTTGGTTTTTCAGTCAGCTGTCTCAAATCTGGACCAAGTACAAACAACATGGGAAGGTTGTTAAAGGCCAGCATACTGGTTGACCAAGGACATCAAAGCGTCAAAACAGAAAATGCACAGCAAAACAAATGAGGAACTAATAGGAGGAAACTGGAGTCAACGTCTGTGACCGAACTGTAAAAAATCACCTAAAGGAAATGGGATTTACATACAAAAAAGCTAAACCAAAGCCATCATTAACACCTAAACAGAAAAAAACAAGGTTAAAATGAGTTAAGGAAAAGCAGTTGTGGGCTGTGGATGACTGGATGAAAGTCATACTCAGTGATGAAAACATGCAAATTTCCACAGTTGTTGATGATATGGGGCTGCATGTCAGGTAAAGGCACCGGGGAGATGGCTGTCATTACATCTTCAATAAATGCACAAGTTTAAATCAGCATTTTGGACACTTTTCTCATTCCATCAATTGAAAGGTGGTTGGGGATGATGAAATAATTTTTCAAGATGATAATGCATGTTGCCATAGAGCAAAAACTGTGAAAACATTCCTTGAATAAAGACATAAGGTCAATGGCATGGCTTGCAAATAGTCCGGATCTCAATCCAATTGAAAATCTGTGGTGGAAGTTGAAGAAAATGGTCCATGTTAGGTATAAAACCTGCAACATTGATTTACTAGTTTATACTCATCTGGTACCTCACGAGGAACTATCTATATAAGTCGGGTCTGACTCTGTTTGCTAATTTCTTTTACTCTGGAGTGGCTCAACAAAGGAATAAAACTAACTGCAGAGGTTAAATTTGCCACACTGGTCTGGAAAGTTACAACAGTTAGGATTAAAGTCACTAAGGCCCTATTATCAGTCTGCTGTCATTCAGGTACAGCTACAGAAAACACATACACTTTTGTTATGGTTAGGGAATTCCTAGTACAGACATAGAAGTTAGACTGATTCTTCATTTTTGCTAGATATTTTTGCATATCTGTACCACATGTTCACTTTAAATTAGTTTTTCCTAATTATTATTTATTGAGAGGGATTGCGAAGCATTCCACTACATGTTATTCATATCTTTACTAATATTATTCTTCCACCTTATTTAATTAATTTTTTTTTATTTTGTGATGTACCTTTAATAAACATAAGTTTAAGTGTTTATTGACAAAACAAGCATACACAAAATCCCATTGTAAACAGAATAACACAAACGCCTAGTAGCAGTTAAGCTATGGTAAAGTTCTCAGTGTCTTCACCACATGAAGCAACTGTGGTGTCCGTCTGGGTGATTCATACCCCTGCTCACTGTCTCTCAGGTTTCCTCTCTGCACATGGTCGCCTTCAGAACAGCTGAATGTGATTTTTGATTGGTTGTCACACAGGATGTGAGGACTATTGTTGTTGTCACTTCTCTTTCCTTCCTTAAGTTCATCTGAAGTTGTAAATAATGTTTTCAGTAGGTAAATTAACAGTATCAGGTTTAGCAGAAGTAAGATACTTAACTTTCCCATTTTCCTAAGCTCCTAAGGAATTCAATACCATCTAATCTTCACTGACATTGAGACGAACGCCCACTATAAGGACGCCCCCCTTTGAAGTCAGACTTTCCTAACTAAAACCCATATAGGTTTTTTTTGCAATGGGAAAGATGTATCCAACTACTTCTTTGTGCTATTTTTACTGCTGTGGGTGTCATTAGCAGTACCTTTATTTTTTTTAATTCCTTCCACTTACTTCAACGTATTAAAAACCATTCAAACTTCAGGAGATTCCAGCTTATATTCAAAATTTTCCTAACATTCTTCCTTTCCGGGATATTCCAGGTTTTCCAACCAATTTTTCTTATTAGAAATACATTACGGAATTTTTAAATTGGCCCTTTTCTCACATTTTCTTTACACAACTTTAAAAGCCTTCAACTCCTCTATACATTCAGATTATGATCATTTTAATTTTTTAGTTTTAAATCATTTCATTCTTCATTCAGTATTCAATCTTTTCAAACTAATTTCAACTCATTTAAACTGATTCAACCCTTTCTGAATCTTCAAATCTCATATCTTTCGCATAATTTTTGAACTTAAACCATTTACAATAGCAGCTTAGCAATTACAATTGTAGCTGGAGCAATACATCTCGCAATTTCTTCAGAAATTGCATTTTCTAGTTATTATTATTTATTTATTTATTTCATTTACAAAATGAGTTCCATTATCACTGTAGATTCGTTTCGGAATGCCAAATCAAGAAATTATTTCTCTACACAGGATTTTTACTACTGTTAATGCATCTGGATGGGTAACAGGAAATAATTCTATCCATTTAGTGAAAGGATCTATTAACACTGAACACCATTTCTTTCTCTCACACTGATTTAATTCTATGAAGTCCATGTGCATGGCTTCAAATAATGCATTGGTTGGTGGAAATTTGCCTCTTTTTGGTTTTATACTGTCTTGAGCATTATGTCTACCACAAACTGAACAAATCAAATAGTTTATTATTTATTTTTATTTATTCATTTTTTTTTTTTTTTAATAATTTATGAATCAATAGGGTTAACTACTACACTCCTCCCTCCTGTCGAGACATGGCAAAGCCCATGACTCGCTATTACTATCTTTAAAGCTCTCTCTGTGTGTTGATCTGACAAAAATCTTTTGTTTGGAAAACCTAATCTGTGATAGTTTATGTCTAAGAACTGTTTTCTTTGCACCGGAGTCACACAAAAAGGTCCAGGGTAAACCCTGAATCATTAACTATATCTGCGGTTTTATGTCTGCACAATGTATTCCTTCTCCAACAGACTGGTGCAGCTCCGCTGATACAGGAAATCTGTCCTGCCACAAGTTATTGCAGTGTTAAATAACTCACATATGTCAGACAGGGACTCACGCCTGTCTGCTTTATAGTCCATTCTTAAAAACTCCTATCACATCATATTACAGAGCACCTTAAATTGTATATCTATCATCCCATCTGTAATATTTCTCATTTCATATTTATTACTCATTTCATATTTTTTACTAATTTCAATAGCCCACGTTCTTCATATCTCACTTTTATCTCTTAGGATGTTTAGTATATTTAGCCTATATTTATTGTATATACTTAGTATTTTTATTATTTTTAGTCTGCATTGTACTTCTTCTTATATTTAGTTTTATATTTTCTTTTTGCTACTATAACAAGAGAATTTCCCAGTTTGGGATCAATAAAGTATATTCATCAATCTATCTATCAAAATATCTTTATATATTTATTTATCTTCTCCAAGTTTAGCACTTCTTCCTCCTCTGTCTCTTCTCTGTTCACACTTTCTCTTTATTTCTGTCAAATAACATTTGCTGTCTCTCCCTCTTCTAGTCCTGCTTGATACGTTTTTCTACAGCTCTTCACCTAGTGACAAAAAAGCTCTACAATTCTCTGATGTTGTGGTTCATGACCTTGGTCAGGGTACTGTTCTTTATCTCTTTGCTCTTGTGATTCATAACTTTTGTCAAAACTTCTACTTCCTCTATTGTTTTCTCTATTGAAATTTCTGCCTCTTAACCTGCTTCTTTCTTGTTCCTTTTGTCATAGTCTTCAAATGGTTTATCATCTCTCCTATTATCCCATAGTCGTCCTATTTATCTCATATAGTATGAAATTCATTGTCACATTTGGAGTTAATCTTACGTTAAATAACATTATAGGGAGGGCTTTTAATTCCAAGTTAGCTTTGGTGTTCTCTGCACTTTACTATGGTTACTTCTTTAAGTTCCAATAAGGTAAAATATCAATCAGTTGGTTCAAATGTTTAACAGGGATGCCAGCTGAGGTCAAAAAACCTCTTCTTCTCCAGTGACACGTTTACAAGTACAACTTATACTTCATAGGCTGTAACAGTTAAGTCACAGTTTGTCTTTTGATAGCTACATGCTTCTGCATAGGGAGGGATTCTTTGGCTGCTGTGTCTCTGGAGGAGTCAAGGTCGTAACTGGCATGTGATGAATCATTTTATCATTTGTGCAGAGAACAGAGACTGTACAGAGAATTTAACTTGCTAAAAATTTGCAGTCTGCATTAAACCTTTCTGCCTATTTAACTGCCTCTCCTACCTTTCATTTCTGCATTATTATCAGTATTATTATTATAATTATTATTATTATTAAAGTTGTCTTTACTTATAGCTTTTGATCTCGTCCTGACTGCTCACGCCTTCCTCCCTTTGATTTGTTATTGCAACTGCGGGCTATATGTCCCTCCTTTCCACACGCCCAGCAACATGTCCCTCTTTGATTTGCTCCTCCTGGTCTGGGCCTATCTTGTCCTCTACCTCTGAATCCTCTTCTGCTTCTGCCTCTTGCATTTTGATAGAAGGCTTCATTTTCATTGTCACCTTCTGCAAAAAATGCACTAGCTCCATTTGTTCTTCCCTTTTTTCTCCTCCTTTCTCCATCCTCTCTGGCTTTCGCTACTTTTTTCCATTCATCAATCATTTGACACCCATATTTTATGCTTATGGAGTCGTGTAGTTTATTTAATTGGCTTGTTCTTAGGCTGCCATCGAATCCAAATTTAGTTACCCATAATTCGAGGAATTGTAATTTTTCTGGCTCTTTTTCAAAGATTCTCCAATCTTGACATCTTAATTCTTCCAAATTAGCCTTACTGGTTTCCGTCCCCATTTTTATGTGTTTTGGTCCAGCTTAGGTGACACCTAGGGTGTCCTATTAAGCTGGGTTCTTTCAATGGGGTAGTGAAAAAAAAAAATTTCCTTATGTGGTAATTCTCGCTTCTACTCTTGCGAGTGGAGAATTCTTGCCTTTGCTTCCACAATAAGGTCACTACTTACAATCCCACTGTTTTGGTATGAATAGGATGTATCTAGTGATATATGCCTATTCCAATCACTCTCACACTTTCACAATCACACTTTTAACACGTGTTTTGTTCCCACGCGTCCTTTTTTAACGGCTTTGTAGGACCCGTGCGTCCTTGAATTAAAATTTTCCAATTTGGACTCTACCGTCCTTTTTTCACGGATTTGTAGGACCTGCACGTCCTTATGTTTGTTTGGTCTTTAATAGATTCTCTACGCGAAGCGAATCTCAATCATTCCACGTTCCTTTTTATAAGAGACCAACTCCCCACTTGTCTTTCCCCTTGGCTTCGGATTTCCGTCAACCGTCGGATCCCAGCAGGCAGGTCGAGTCCAGTTCCTCAAAGAGGTCTTCAAGACTCATCCTAAAGAGTCTGCCGTGGCCACAGTCTTATCTGTCGTCCACCTCACCTGCTGGAATCGTCTGGTCTATTGGAATCCGGCTCGAAGGACCAAAGAAATGTTAGGTATAAAACCTGCAACATTTACCTGATAACATATAAAGAAGAGAAAGACAATGGTATATACTCGAGGAGAATGGACCGAGATAGCTTCAGGTACCATGTCGAAACCACTCTAAAGGTATTTCCGCCCAGTCTCTTTTATTTAGTCTTGTCCCTGGTTACACAATGTTTCTAAAAGGGGTGGTAGATGGTGCAGCAAAGTAAACACTCTCATAAAGCATAATAATGAACACTTGTGAATATGTGAAGGTCAAGGCGGCATCTAATGAGCTCCTTCTGATAACAGCGGCACCTCCTCAAAAACTCCCCACGATTTATAGCGGAGGATCCATCACTCACACACCCCCACCTGCTGATAGGAAAGACACAGTCACAGAAAACTGAAAGTAACATTGTTGTGCTGTGTAGTAAATCTATTGGAGAGAGAAGTTAGGAAACATTCTTATATAATGTATAAAAAGAGGTCAAAACAGTTTATACTTGTAGTCAACTCTTACATAAGAATATGAGGAATAATGATAACTTCTATATACATTTATGCACATTATTCTAACGGTCCATGACAAGGCTCCAACCTGCAAAGCTGATCTGGCAACAGCAATCAGAGAAAGTTGAAGCCAGATTTATAATGAGTAATATTTGTCACTCATTAAGTCCATGCCTCAGAGACTGTAAGCTTTTATAAAAGCCAGAGGTGGTGCAACAAAGTACTTGTAGAGTGTTTAAGTGTTATTTTGTTTGTTTGTTTTTCATGATTCCATCATTTTTTCCTCAGAATGTTTTCCCTCTGCTTGGTCAAAAAAGGTAACTGTTACTGACAACCGCATTTTTTTCTTGATTTCTTTTGGTGTTTCTTAAAGCCAGAAAGTTACCATTTGAAATGACTTTAGTTTTGTGTCATGTCTGTGATCTGAAAAAAGATTGATTATTGGAGTTTTTCAAACATCGGCATACTCGGCATAATATCACCAAGAGACTCCATTTGAACTTTAAAATGTAGACACAAGTCTTGTCTATTGTCGTATTTATTCACATTTTGATAGAAATTGATGCATTGATCACTCAGTATTCAATGACCATGATTATTTTTGGAGAAATTTTGAGATTATAATGGGTGTGTAATCTTCGTGCCAGAATGGGTGACATCATCAGCTAGAGTGAGAGAAGATGCATGAAACTGTCTCAAACTCTGAGGCACTATTGCAGCTTGAGGAGTTGTAGGACAAATTATATGTCAAAATGTGCAGTTTGATCAGAATTGGAGTGCTTCATCTTTTCTCTATTGTATATGAATTTTTCACTAAGTAAGTCGCAACAAACTGTGGATAACTTTCGATGGGACAACTGGTTGTAGCGGGGCAGATAATAGCGTATTACAGGAGAATCGTTCACTTGCGGATAAAAGCACCAAATTTGGCACACATACTCCTTAGGAGTTGCTCTTTTGATATTTCCGTCTGGCCAAATGAAAATTTAAGATGGCGGACATTTTTCAAGATGGCCACCATTGAAAATACAGTAATATTGCATTTTGCAATAAAGTCCCATAGACTTGTCCTATTTGGATGATCTTGGTGTCAAATCATACATTTTCCACTATGCAGAATCCAAATTTGAACCCATGGACTTACTTACTGGCTTCCTTGTACCATATTTCAGTCCCATAATCCTAATATTCTGGTATTTATGAGGTTTACATTATGTCCGACTTGGGTAAAATGGTTGGTAACATATATCTTAGTGTTGTTAGAGGTTTAGTGTGTGTGTGTGTGTGTGTGTGTGTGTGTATGCGTGTGTGTGTGTGTGTGTGTGTGTGTGTGTGTGTGTGTGTGTGAGAGAGAGAGAGAGAGAGAGAGAGAGAGAGACTGAAAAAAATGTGTCTGAGTGTAAAAAAAATCCAAAAAAGAAAAATGCTTGACCTGCCTGCATTACATCTCACTTAATTATTAGGCAACACTTCTCACTCGCACATACACTTTCTTACATTACTATTAATCTGGCTGGGGTGGCACCATGCAGTCATGAAGAAGCTGACACCCAGATCTTTGTGCATGCCAGGCATGCCACAGAAGCAGGCAGCAAGGTCATCATGGTCAAAGCCAACGACACAGATGTTGTTGTCATCGCAGTGAGTGTTCTGCAGGCACTTCAGAACCTTGGTCTGCAGCAGTTGTGGGTTGCCTTTGGCCAAAGACAGAACCTGAAGTGGATTCCTGTTCATGACCTGTGTGGCACTCTTGCAGAAAAGAGCAAAGGGATGTTCTTCTTCCATGCATTCACTGGTTGCGATGTTGTTTCAGCATTCCGTGGCAAAGGGAAGAAGTCTGCTTGGCAAACCTGGAATGTTTGTGATGAGGCTTCCAGTGTCTTCAGCAAACTCAGCCATTACCCACCTGTATTGGATGATGAAGACCTGAAAACCCTAGAGAAGTTTGTGGTCATGTTGTACGACAGATCCAGCACAGCTGAAGGTGTCGACGATGCAAGGTTGGACATGTTTGCTCGGAAGCAGAGGCCGTACGAAGCCACTCCTCCAACTCAATCAGCAGTTAAGCAATATGTCATGCGTGCATCCTACCAAGCGGGCTGCATCTGGAGTCAGTCAGTAGTATGTCAACCAGAAACACATAGTCCTGCCAACTGGGTCTGGACCAAGAAAGGAGATCTGTGGCAGATTGTTTGGACAGAGCTCCCACCCATTGCAGAGAGTTGCCAGCAGCTGGCCAAGTGTGGATGCAAGTTGGAATGCTGCGGTCGATGCAAATGCTACTGCTTTGGTCTGACCTGCACAGCACTGTGCAGCTGCTAGTGTGAGGTTTAGAAACACTGTAGTAAAACCCTACTCATCCAAACAGCCTACATGTAAAAAAAAGGAAAAAAAAAAAACTGCCTTGGTGGGATCACCACCTTATCGTGGTGGGGCACTTTGTGTGTCTCCATGACCCCTAGAGCTATGCCGGCTGGAGTATTGTACTCCTGGCAGAGTCACCCACGGCAAACAGCTCGAAGGATAGAGACCAGACAAAGAGTGATCCCATGGTGCTTCCATGCATTTTAGGTGAAATTCTAATTTATCAGAATATTATGATTCTGTGACTGATATGTGCAGTCCCCCCCCCCCCCCCCCGAAACACACACACACACACACACACACACACACACACACACACACACACACACACACACACACACACACACTCGACCTCTAACAACACTAAGATATAGGCTACCAACCATTTTACTCAAGTCTCACATGATTCAGACCTAATTAGGATCAGAATATTAGGATTCCAGGACTGAAATATGGTGCAAGGAAGCCAGTAAGTAAGTCCATGGGTCCAAATTTGGATTCTGCATAGTGGAAAATGTATGATTTGACACCAAGTTCATCCAAATAGGACAAGTCTATGGGATTTTATTGCAAAATGCAATATTACTGTATTTTCAATGGTGGCCATCTTGAAAAATGGCCGCCATCTTAAATTTTCATTTGGCCAGATGGAAATATCAAAAGAGCAACTTCTAAGGAGTATGTGTGCCAATTTTGGTGCTTTTATCCGCAAGTGAACGATTATTACAGTTATCTGCCCAGCTATTGAGGCTGAATGATACACAGAGTAAAAAGTCCCCATTATGTTATTCTACACTGAGCCATTGTTCATGTAAATATGTTCATAGAACAGCCTTAACTTACAAAAATGAGACAAAACTAGGATTTTAAATCTGTGGCATTCAAGTTTTCACTGTCTAGCCAGCCTAGCCATGTCTAGCCATTTGCTGTGTCATGGTTTGACCAGGTTAAATGACTTAAACTGACTTGACTTAAACTGCACTGCTGTGAGTAAGGGGTGAGGTGACACATTCAGATGTTGCCAATTACAGTTACTTATGTTACTGTAATTGAGTAGCTTTTTGTGTAGAATGCTTGTACTTTTTAGAGTAGTTTTTAAAATCAATTCTTGTAAATTTAGTAAAGTATTATACTGCAGTAACTAAACAAATAAAACCAAGTCCTCAAAAACAGCCATCTGGTCAGATATTAGACTATATATAACTAAAACCGGGACTTTAAGAATATTTTTTTGATATGGCAATTTTTTAAAATTGTTGTAAAAGGCCAAAATTTTGATTCTTTGAAGTTTTAAACCAATGATAAAAAGTTATTTGGAGTCTTTCTATGACTTGCCTTTTATTTTGTTGGTAGATTTAGAGGTTGATTTAGCAATGGTCCGACTAACTCATTCCAAACAATCGGGTTATCTTTACATTATATTGTTTTATTTTAAAAGAAAGACAAAGACGAGTGAATTATGAGCCTAGCACTGATTTGTTTCCTGCTCTAAAAGTTTAAGTTGGGTCAAACCAGACACTAAAAATGGTATGAAATAAAAATCAGTTTACTGCTCTAAAAATATCTGTCAATCTTTTTACTGCAAAACAACCCGAGTGATAATAAGCCCTTTCTTTGGATACTTTGTTTTATATAAATTCAACAGATTATGGTCCTCTTTATCAAATTTAACATCATAAGGTTAAAAATAACCATGCACATAATGGGTGCAAATGAATGTCTTACACAAGTCACGCAGTTCTCAGATCCAGGGAATAGGTCAAAAGAGCTCCAGCTACCTTTAATGCGTTGGTGGAGCTCTTTTAACCTCTTTTAGATCCTTTTTCACCAATCTCCTTGGAAGTTGGTGAAGTTGTGCCAGAATGTCCTCAGATCCAGGGAATAAACACTCAGCTGATTAAAAAGTGGTTTAAATCTTACATAAGAATACTTGAAGGTGTGGATTCAGCATGCAGTTTTCACACCTAAAACTGATATAGCCAATGGTTTCTAAGTTTCATAACAGGAAGAGAAAAAAACTGCACAACACTTTACAACTTTGTTGTTTGCTTTTCTCATGGCCTTGCAGTAGCTGAGGAGAATTAATTGAGTTTTGTGAAAGGGAAGCTGTAATGGTCAAATCGGTCACTCTGTTCTGCTGTCTGTTTTACACTTTAACTACCTTAAAGAGTTATACAACATGCAATCAATTATAATGTTATCATAGACTGTATGTTATCCAACTCTGTTTATCATTTTGTATAAAAAATACTGTATATCAGTTGGCAAAGACATATTTTGAGTTATGACGTTTTTTTTCCCACCACATAAGATGGACTCAAATGGAAGATTAAATTGAACTTGTGAAACAGAAAATTAAAAAAATCTTCAAATTTTTACTGTAAATCACTTTGGTAGGCCACTGGCTGTTTTTAAATGTGCTATATAAATAAAGCTGACATTGACATTAGCAGTAAGTCTGCACATTAAAAGCTGAATGACAATGCTATTCAGGGAAAATGTAAAGCATTATCTTGTGTGTGCACAGAGAGGTGGCAAGAGCCCCACTTGAAAACAGACTAGCTACTCCTGGTGCCCTCCCACAATGCTGTGATGGGTCATATGCCTTGTCAACTATTTGCGCTATGTTGAAATTATAGACAAGAATACACAGTAACATCTACACTTTTCACTGTCGTCAAAGTAGAGTTGTAGTTGTAGCAAAGAGAGAATGGCCTGCATGAGTCAGTGTCCCAATTGGGCCACCCTGGTCTTACAATTGTAATGGCACAAAAATATCTCAGACTGTTAAGAGCGGTACCTGCAACATATGACTTGGAATGAAAATAGGCTGCTTTCAGCCAGTTTACAAGTTTAGTTCAGTTCAGACAAGGTTTGAAAGAGGTTTCAAGCATATTTTGTTTAATGTAATGCCTTTAAATGGAAATGTTAGCCACTAGAAACCTCCTGGCGAATAGTGCTATCCAAGCAGCAACCTCCAGTGTTGAGATATCAGGCCAATGCGGAAGGGTGAAAAAAAAACTGCAGTTCCTTGAACTTGAATCTTTTTTTGCACTCTGTTGGTGTGTAAATTTTCCTTTTACTGATTGGTTTAAGAGATAACGAGTTTTGCACAGTTCAGGCCAAAGCTGACTTGACGGACAGGCAGGCACACTGTAACTCTTAAGAAGCAGACCAAAGGATCACCTCAACCTCACCTCTTTGACATATGTTAGGTCAACCAAAAGGCAAGATAGAGTCAGCATTTCCAACATGCTGGTATCAAGAGACTTCAAAACTCTGTAAATTTACATGCACGGTTAACGATCCCCAACCACATCATCCAGGTATGGTTGTCTGGGTTGAAGTTGAATTTAGTGCAATTTCAATAAACCTAATGTATTTACATTTTTAAAAAGTCCAGTTTTGGTCAGACTAAGACAATAAATCAGTTTATTTAAACAGGTAAACATACAGACTGCTTCAGAAACCAATGGGTGTCGTGACTGAGACTACATCCATTTTTAATAGCAGTCTACAGTATTTTGAAGTGAAATCTTAGATGCTAACTTCAGCTGATGTTTGACTGAGTAATGAGTCTTTGAAAATGTTTTGTCCTGATGTAGGACCAGATGTACCCATGCTTTTGATTGTTTATTGTTCATTATATTGTATTGCTATGAAATCTTGAAAGGGGTGAATTGATCAGTAAAAGTCAGAAACCTTACATCTATAAATCTTAGCCTTGACTGCCTTGTAAATTTTGCTATGCTTCTCTATTTCAATCTTAGAAACATTTGTCACCAGTAAACTGTGAGAGTTTGATAGTTATTCTCAGCTTCAGCCTGAAACTATTTAGATGGATGAATAGGCAGTTATGTGAAAAATGTAACATTCCCACAGGACCTCCAGTTGATTCTCTGACTGCATATTTCTGCAAAAAAACAGCAACGGTGAAATGGTGGGAACTTGGGAAGTGTCATGTTTTTCAGACAAGTTGAGCTGAAGAATGCTGCCCTGAGGTTTGATGTCTGGCATGGGCATGGAGCCAGGGCTCGCCCGACGCAGCAGGGGGCTGACACATTTATACTTTGTTACAAGCAGTGAGTGAAGTTGAGGGGTTTGCTGTAAAACAAGGGGGACAGCTGTTTTTACATAATTACTGCCAGACTGAATGTGAAATTTAGTGTAAAACAGACAGTTCTTTTATTCTAAAGCAAAGGAGCAGAGAAACAGACTGGAATTAGTAGAGATGTACTGATAATGATATTCTTCACCAAGCAGGAGTGGTGGGCCTTTGAAATTTTAAACTTTACAATTTCCAACATTTAATTTGAAGAGCATTTTACTGGTCATGTAAAGTGTGGTAGCCCGTTAACTCAAAGTGTGGACCAACTTTTGTAAATGAAAAAAGGATGGTAGTTTGATTTAGAAACTGACCAGTTACTTCAAAATAAAATAAACATTTGTCAGGTATTTAATATAAAATCTATTTTTTGGTAATAATGTGGTAGCTTAAAACAGAAAATTGAATAATTTAATAAATAATACGAGGCAGAAAGGTTACATCGTAATGCAGGACCAAATTAAAGCTCACCTCTTGTTTAATTTTGCTAGAAATTAAATAAACATGGGAAGGTAACACCTTCAAACGGGGCCTTCTAGGGCTTAAGTTTCTATGCAAAAACTCTGTAGTCACACTGACATTCAACAGGACCTGTCCTTGGTACTGAATTAAGCAGTCTATTAAATATGAGTGCCAAAAGACACAATCTTAAACAACTGGCGCTTACAGTACATAACAAAGCAGTGACTAAGCCCCCTCCTCATCAACTCCATGTCTTGAAATCTGTCATCAGCTCCAAAAAAAGAGGTTTCAGTCACACACACACACACACACACACACACACACACACACACACACACACACACACACACACACACACACACACACACACACACACAGTAAATATGCCGTTGGAGCACTACTGCAAAAATGAGAGCATTCCTGCAGCCATGACTGTAGTTTAAAAGCCAGATCCTGCCTGGTGAACATGCAGAATAACAGACCTAGCAGGAGTGGAATGCCAGCTATGACAGGCACACATATGCATGTTGACTCCATGTTGCAAACCAAAACACCTCATAATGACAGATGCTGCACCCTAGGGTGCTGCTGGGAGCCCCCCCCCGACCGCTGGCTTTCAGGCATGCTTCCAACACTCAGACCACCTCCTGTGGGAGTACAGTTGCACCTTGTTAAAAAAAGAAAGATGATGGTAAAGTTTTGTAAGTTTTAATGTAAGAGAGCAGAAGAAAGTTAGAGCAAGTTCTCAATGGTTTATTTTGAGAACAGTTAAAGAGTGCATGTGTACAAACAACAGATGGGCTTTGCCATAAGTTAACTATTGGGTGTGAAAGAAAAACACCAACACACAGTTTCAGAGTTAATAAAAAAGGTTTATTTAAAAGGCTTCTGGCATGAAAACTGAAATGTTAAACAAACAGTGAGAAAAAATTACTTGTACCCTGGTTTCCCACAGGTACAATGAATTTGGTGAACAGCTTGTCTGACAAAACTTAGCATCAATTCCATTAAACAATAGCTTCTGTTACTCAATTGTGTCCATCCATTAATAATTGCATCAAGTGATGGGTCAGGACACACAGAAACCGGATGGTAATTAAGTTTGTTTTTGATAATCAAAACAAGATTGGAACATGGCCAGCTGACAAAATCAAAAGCATGGGTACATCTGGTCCTACATCAAGACAAAACATTTTCAAATGGTGAATCATAAAAAATTGTAAACATTTTCAAAATACAGAATTAAGAGGGAAAAGATGCTATTTCTCAGAGAAAAAACCCACAAATTTGAGTAGCTGAGAGGCCAGGAAAATAACCATCGTAACCATGACTCTGGAAAATGCAGAATGTGAGACTTTTAACATTAATAAAATGGAAATGTTTTTTTAAATATTTGCAGTAGTTTAAGACCAATAACTTGTAGTGTTTTGATACAAGGCAGTGCAGCAGCATCTACTCAGAAGATAAAAGCTTTTTGTGCATACAAAAGCAATTTAGTTAATACATGTCAGTAAAGAAACAAGCAGTCAGCTTTTCAATTATAACACTTAAGGCACAGAAAGAGACTGTAGCACCATAATAAGACGAATAATCACTCTTTTTTTTTAACCAATGAAAGAAGTTAGAGGAATCATATTTAAATGAAAAGGTACCTTTCAAGTAAGATTTGAGATGGTTTGAATACACTGACTTTCCATACACAAAAAACCTTGTACAGAGAGATTAAAACACAAAATTAAGAGGCACACAACATAGCTGTACGAGGTCATCTTTGGATTAGCACAGATGTGCAAATACAGTGTAAAGCTGATTTTTCAGTGATGTATTTCTTTTCCAGAACATTAATGTTACGTGGGAAAGGTTGAGAGATGCCCAGATAAAGCTGACAGTTCTGAGAAGGGAGAAAAAAAGAAAGACAATTCAATGTACGTAAAAGGCTTACAGGCTGGAGCCCTGGCACTGAGCAAAGGAAGTAATAAACTCAAGAGAGGAAATTAAGTCTCATATAACAAACAGTAGAGACAAAGGCTACTTGTGAAATATTCCTAATGATAGCGGAATATAGTAAAAGCTCCATCAGATGATTTGAATGGTCTATTTAATGAGGCAACAAGAGAGAATACGTGTCTGTATGCAATTACCTAGAGCAAGCTCAGAAGAGACCACTGATCTCCCCTGTGGCTGGGTTGAGGTCGATGTCATAGAAACATGGGCGGGTGGGCAGACCAGGCATGGTGCTCATCTGAAGAAAAGCACAAAAAAAGCAGAGGGTGAGATTTATGATACTGCTATCATATTAGACTGTGACCAGAAAGAAGACTGTAACAAAAATAATAACTTAAAAATAAATAAATGAAAAAGAATAACTGCAGGAAATTAATAATATAAAAAAAATAAGTTAAAATTGGTTAATAGTTGATCAAGACACATAGATAAAGACGTTGACTTGAGGCTATGAAATCATGTAAAATCAAAAGCGAGATTGAAAAAACCAAGTTCCTAAATTTCCTTTTGAAGCCATATAAGCAGTTTACAATGTCATTTATTTCTCAACTGAAAGGCTTTTCCCCCCATTGTTTGCCAGTTTTTGTGTGTATGACTACAGTTTTCTAACTGCACTTAAAACCAAAAGTTTAAAAACTCATTCATTCTGCAATTAATTCAAGGAGTAAAGTACATGTACACGGTTCCTACACAGTTGGAATTTTTTGGAAATACCTACTTTTCTAATTTAGAAAATAGTATTTTAGAATTGTGGTTATAGTTTGGAAGTGTCCTTTGCCCGAAGATGCTGGGATAGGCTCCATCCCCCCCGCGACCTCGGGAACGGGAGTAAGCGGTAGAAAATGGATGGATGGATGGATGGTAATAGTCTAGAAATGTAGGTATTTTTCCCATACTTTTTAAGACCTGGAAATTGATCAAATTTATTTCCATACTTTCCAATACTTTAGGAACCCTGCATGTACAAACTCACTGTAAACTTCAGGCTGCATGGTTACACTATAATAAAGGACTTTTTATGATAAAAGTCTATACAGACTAACCGAAACAGTGTTCTGATTGAAAGTACCTCACAAGCAGCTGTATCAGATTTTTGGTTTAAGCAGGATTCTCATGAAAATGTCAGCAAATGACAACAAAGCCAACTCCAAAGATAAGATTGTGGTCTAGATAATACCTCAGACCTCATAGTAAAGCCTTTTGCCACAACATAGCTGGTTCACACCAAAAGACATGGGGCTCTATTTTCGTGCCTCACCGGAGACGTGTCGCAGGCGCGGCGTAAGTCAGGTCCGCCGCGCCGACAAGGCATTCCCAAGCACAATTTGGTATTTTGGTGAACGGCACAGCCCGGCGTAAGTATCCCCCCTCCCTAACTCAGCTCCTCCCAGCGGCTTAAGTCTTTGCGAAGGGAGGAGAGAGGGCATGGAGTGGGTTTAACACAGCCAAGACCAGTTTTCACCAATCACATAAGCTCCTCTCCTTGCCTTTAAATCCGCCACCGGCGAGGCGTATTACTATTTTCATGAAGTAGTCAGAGAGATCAAGAGATGTCTGAAGACAGTAATGCCACACAACGGCGACAGAAGGCAGCTCCTCAACAAGTGTCACTGTAAGTGCTGCATTGGGCGTCCTCCACACTCTCTCACATAAGCACAGACGGATTTGGTGTGTGTAATGTTGGACCCAGTGGTAAGAAAACCACCCTTTTCCACTAATTAAGACACTCACATAAAGTTGCATATATTCAAACCTCACGTGACAAAGGTGGGTTGTGCGCACAGATCACAACATAAACTCCAAAAATGGCATTAAAATCGGAACCATCTGTGCGTAAATGACGCATCGCGCTCCGTGGCCTGGCTCTTTCATAGATGTTGGCATATAAAATAAATTTGACTCACAAAACTGAATATTATAATATCCGTATGTAGGCTTAAAGTAAATAACTCATCTGAGCACTGAAACAAATCATCTGTTCAGCCGCAGCATCAGCAGCACAGAGAGAGGACACAGAGACATGTCCAGGTCGAGCTGCGCAAGAAATAAGAGGAAGAGGAAGAAAGAAAAGGAGGGAGACAAATTAAATATCTTGTTAACTTCATCGTGTGTTTATTTACTAGATATTTAATTTAATTTAATACGGTTTCAGATGTGTTGATTCGGTCAGGTTGTGTGTCAAAACGCGTGCCAAACGCGCTCATCAGATCAGATATAGATCAGAATATATCTATAAAGATCTAAATGTATGTGCTGACTCAGATTATTAGTTCTTGGTGATTACTTATTGCACTGAAATGTGCCTGACACTGTGGAAACCTGCTGGTGAGGCATCGGTGACGTATGCCAATATGCCACAGGTGTACCAAAATACTACTAGACCAGCTGCGTTCTGCCTGCGCTGAAAGCTGACCAGGTTTGAATCGGCGAGCTTTCAGCGCACTTTACACGCCACTGGCGAGCAGGAAAATGTCACTGCGCCCGCTGATTCTGTCGACACCTCCCCTGCCACGCCACCACGCCCAGCTTGGCGGATCTCGGTTCACCTCCGTGTGCCTCAGTCCACGAAAATACCAAACTGGCTGTACGCCGGGCTCCGCCAGACGAAAATACAACTGCGCGGGGTCCGCCGCCCTCCGTCACCTCACCAGCGTACACGAAAATAGAGCCCATGGTCTCCACTAAGACTTGGTATCAAACCTTGATGAGACACAATAAATCACCCCCTCAAGGTTCAATGACTATAATCTAGAGTCATTTATCTCTGGGCAGACAGATGATCAATGTGTTGACAACCTCCACTATGGCAGAGATAATTTTGGCCGAAGACAATTGCTGCTTTATTCATACCCTAGTCATGATATATATGACAAAAGGCTAGCCCACAGATATGAGACAGAGTTAGGTGCTGCATACATGGTCAGACTCTGCCCGAATGTATTTGGATTACTGCAAGAAGGAGGGGGACAGGAGGAACAAAGTTTTTTAAGAGTCATGTGTTTTGATTTGTGTTGGATGCAGCCAAAAAAACAGATATATCTGTATCCAGAAGAACAAAGCACTTGTATTTGGTTTGTGTTGATCTAGCACCCAACAAAGCAGTACCTTTTATCGTTTGCTGATTCTGCTGCTTCCCTGAATCAGCAGGTTTCTTTTTTGTCATGTATCATACTGCTCTCTTACAACTATCAAATCAAATCAAAATATCAAATGTGTCATTAAGTTACAACAGTTACACTATTATGAATATACACTTTAAAGCTGCTGTAAGGAACTTTTGCTTCATGTTGATAAATGAATAAATAAAAATAAAATGATGCACTTGAACCAAGAGGTTGCTGCAAGTCTGGTCTCTGTATTATCTGAAATTTTTGTAATTTTTACAATATATTTTTCATATTTTTGTTGGTTTTTTTTGTGGCTGTTGATGGATACTTCTGCTGGGCGAAGAGTTTGCTCAAGAGAAGAGCAATTTTCATTGAGAAAAACCAAATCTGGACAACAACATACAATTCAAGAGGACATCAGGAGGTGTTGACATGGTTGCTGTGCTGGGGCAAAGGTGAAGGCAAAGCTGAATGCTGGGAGGTGGAGATAAGGGGCTCTATTTTCATGTCCGCCGGTGAGGCGACGGAGGGTGGCAGACCCCGCGCAGTTGTATTTTAGTCTGGCGGAGCCTGGCGTACAGCCAGTTTGGTATTTTCGTGGACTGAGGCGCACGGAAGCGAACCAAGATCCGCCAAGCTGGGTGTGGTGGCGTGGCAGGGGGAGGTGTCGACAGAATCAGCGGGCGCAGTGACATTTTCGTGCTCGCCAGTGGCGTGTAAAGTGCGCTGAAAGCTCGCAGATTCAAACTTGGTCAGCTTTCAGCGCAGGCAGAGCGCAGCTGGTCTAGTGGTATTTTGGTTGACCGGCGGCGTATCGACGTACGTCACCGATGCCTCACCGGCAGGTTTTCACAGTGTCAGGCACATTTCAGTGCAATAAATAATCATCAACAACAATTAATCTGAGTCAGCACATACATTTAGATCTTTATAGATATATTCTGATCTATATCTGATCTGATGAGCGCGTTTGGCACGCGTTTGGACACACAACCTGACCGAATCAACACAGCTGAAACCGCATTAAATCAAATTAAATATCTAGTAAATAAACACACATGATGAAGTTAACTAGATATGTAATTCGTCTCCCTCCTTTTCTTTCTTCCTCTTCCTCTTATTTCTTGCGCAGCTCGACCTGGACATGTCTTCGTGTCCTCTCTCCGTCCTGCAGCAGCTGCGGCTGAACAGATGATTTGTTTCAGTGCTCAGATGAGTTTTTCACTTTAAGCCTACATACGGATATTATAATATTCAGTTTTGTGAGTCAAATTTATTTTATATGCCAACATCTATGAAAGAAAGAGCCAGGCCACGGAGCGCAATGCGTCATTTACGCACACATGGTTCCGATTTTAATGCCATTTTTGGAGTTTATGGTGTGATCTGTGCGCACAACCCACCTTTGTCACGTGAGGTTTGAATATATTCAACTTTATGTGAGTGTCTAAATTAGAGGAAAAGGGTCTTTTTCTTACCACTGGGTCCAACATTACACACACCAAATCCATCTGTGCTCATATGAGAGAGTGTGGAGGACGCCCAATGCAGCCCTTACATTGACACTTGTTGAGGAGCTGCCTTCTGTCGCCATCTTGTGGCATTACTGTCTTCAGACATCTCTTGAGTTCTCTGACTACTTCACGAAAATAGTAATACGCCTCGCCAGTGGCGGATTTAAAGGCAAGGAGAGGAGCTTATGTGATTGGTGAAAACTGGTCTTGGCTGTGTTAAACTCACTCCACGCCCTCTCTCCTCCCTCGCAACGACTTGCGTCGTTGGGAGGAGCTGAGTTAGGGAGGGGGGATACTTACGCCGGGCTGCGACGCTCACCAAAATACCAAATTGTGCTTGGGAACGCCTTGTCGGCGCGGTGGACCTGACTTACGCCGTGCCTGCGACACGTCTCCGGCGAGGCAGAGAAAATAGAGCCCATAAAACCTTTGTTCATGGGAAATGTCAACTCTCTGCCCAACAAAAGTGATGAGCTGGAGATATTGGTGAAGACTGAGAAAGCATACCGTGAGTGCAGTCTCCTGTGTTTTACTGGAACCTGGTTGAATCAAATCGGACTCCAGTGTGGATCTACCTGGCTTCACTCTCATAAGGTCAGACAGAGATGCTCAAGCTAGTGGCAAGAAGAAAAGAGGAGGTCTGGCTTTATATGTCAACCAGAGATGATGGAACCCTTTACACATAACTCTCAAGGAGAAGTTGTGTTATCCAGATATTGAACTGTTGGCAGTTGCTCTTTGGCCATATTATGTTCCAGGAGAATTTAGTCATATCTAAACAGTTGTTAGCATCCCACCCAAATCAACTGCAGAAATTCCATGCGATCTTTTGCATGTTAGTGTTGCCAGGCTACAGACTCAACACCCAGAGGCACTAATAATAATGGTGTGTTCGAGTTACCTTGGAAGTCAGATGTCGGAGCTGGGAATGATGTCACAACCGAGTTACCATCACTTCAGTTACCAAGTCGGAAAAAAGCAAAATCAGAGGCAGCAACAAGATGGCTACATCTACAAAAGTTATTTTAGCGCTTGCCTTGTTTGACAAAGCAGCTTCTGGACAAAGATGTGGTCCTTCTGCAACATGCAAACACGGTGAATGAAGAGGAAACACAGAGGTGCAGAAGGTTGCCTATTTCATTGTTTACAAAAAGTATCCATCGCCGTTTGATCGGTCATTAGTTAATAACGGGCGAGTGCTCTTAACAACTGCATACACACAAACAAAAAAAAAACACCAGCTGAAACTACCAGGCAACAGTTAGCCTATGTTAGCCACTGTTAGCATGGCTGACTTTGTAGTTCGCATATACACATGAAAAATGTAAATTACACTATGACACTATTTCCATAGGCTGACAAGGCTGACTTGTTGCGACAATAAATAGTGAAAAGTGTTATTTTTTTATTTTAGTTAGCCTTTATTTAACCAGGTAAGTCCCATTGAGATCAAAGATCTCTTTTTCAAGGGAGACCTGGCCAAGAGGGCAGAGGGCAGGTGCTGCAAACCTAAATGCTTTCTTGCACAGTTCAGTTCGTACTTTGGGGGTAACAAATTGCAGAACATCCATCGAACAAAGATTGTGGCTTCCTTGTTTCTTAGTTAAGAAACAAGACAAATAGGCTGGAATGAGTCCCAGAATGGTTTTGTAAATGAACACATAACAATGACAGAGGTGTCGAGCATGTAAAGATGTCCAGTTAACCATAGAATATAGTACACAATGGTGAGTACGGGGACCGCAGTTGGTAATGAACTTCAGTGCTCCATGGTACACACTGTCTAGCATATGGAGACAACTAGCAGAGGCTTCCATATACAACACATCTCCATAATCAATAACCGGCAAAAAGGTTGTTTGCACCAATTTCTGTTTCACATGAAAGGAAAAGCAAGACTTATTTCTATAGAAAAATCCCAATAAAAGTTTCAGCTTTTTTACAACATATTGAGTGTGCTCCTTAAAAGACAAGTGGTCATCATTATTATTAAAAGGATTTTAACAGGAGCTTCAACTTACAGTCTACAACTGGCGCCGCCATCTTTATACGTCAACTCGGGGGCTGTGTTGCTCGTCCGACTTTCCGAGTCGGAAATTCGATCTCGACGTGTGTTGCAGTTGAAAGTTCTGACTCGGAGCTCGTAAATTCCTACCTCAGAGAACAACTGGAACACACTATAATATTTACACAGTTTGTGAACTGTCCTAGCAGAGAACATAAAACCCTGGTTCTGCTGTATGCCAACATCAAAGAAGCCTACAGAGCCACTGCCTTATCATCACTGGGCAAGTCAGATCATAACTTGGTCTATCTACAGACCTGTTACAGACCTTGTTTGCTGAGGCAGGCTATGAACCAAAGTCAAAATCAGAAGATGGACACCTCAAGCTAGTGAAGCTCTAAGGGACCGTTTTAAATTAGCAGACTGGCATGTGCTGCTGGAAACAGATGAGGATAGTATGGACATTGACAGACAGGTTGACTGCTTCACTGAATATGTCAACTTCTGTAGAGACACAGTTATACCAACAAAGACTGTTCGCTGATTCCCCAACAACAAACCCTGGATCACAAGTGACATAAAAGCAATCCTTAACCAGAAAAAGACAGCTTTTAGAGATGGTGACAAGGAACGACTCAAACAAGTGCAACAAGGGTTGAAGAGGAGACTGAAGATGGCAAAGCTGGAGTACAAAAAGAAGATGGAGAGGAATCTACAACACAGCAACATCCATGAAGTGTGGAGAGGAATCAGTTCCATCTCTGGACACAGCAATAAAAAGAAAAGACAGCCAGTGGTGGGTGATGTGGAAAGAGCTGATGAACTCAACCTGTTCTTCAACAGATTTGACACTGCTGTCACACCCACCTCCACTGCTACTCTTCCTTCCTCTCCACAACAGTCTCCACTACAACTTCTCCCCTTTCTCCTCCATCTTGTTCAAATGTCTCAACCACTTCAGCTACCTCCCTCCTAGAACACCAGTCCTTGTCTGTCACCAAAACAGGGGTGAGATTGGAGCTTGGAAGACTTTGCCCTGGGAAGGCAGCTGGCCCAGATGGTGTGTGTCCAAGTCTGATTACAGACTGTGCTGCAGAACTATGTCAATCTCTCCACAAGATCTTCAACCTGAGTCTACAGCTGGGGCGAGTACCTGCTCTGTGGAAAACATCCTGCATTGTGCACGTACCAAATACAAAATGTCCTGCTGAACTCAATGACTACAGACCAGTGGCCCTCACTTCACACATCATGAAAACCCCAGAGTGGCTGATTCTGCGCTTTCTGAGGTCTGAGGTCAAAGACAAACTGGATTCCCTGCAGTTTGCATACAAAGAACACACTGGAGTGAATGATGCTGTCCTCTACACGCTTCACAGTGCCCTGTCTCATCTGGAGGAACCTGGGGTTTATGTGAGGATCATGTTCTTCGACTTTTTAAGTGCATTCAACACCATCCAACCCACCATACTCAAAGATAAGCTCACAGATATGGGAGTGGATCATGTCTGTGTTTCCTGGATCACAGATTACCTGACAGGATGGCCACAGTTTGTCAGGCCGTGGGACTGTGTTTCTGTGACATTAATGAGCAGTACAGGGGCTCCACAAGGGACAGTGCTGGCGCCATTCCTGTTCACAATATATACATTAGACTTCAAATACAGCACTGACTCCTGCTACATCCAGAAATACTCAGATGACACTGCTATCGTGGCATGTATCAGAAATGGACAAGAAGCTGAATACAGAGATCTAATAAGAGCCTTTAGTGACGAGAGTCACAAAAACTGCCTCCTCCTCAACACCTCAAAGACAAAGGAGATGGTCATAGACTTCCGTAGATCCAAACCCCCTCTTCAGCCAGTGATCAAGGTGGTGTCATCATATAAATACCAAGGTGTACACCTGGATAATAAGTTGGACTGCTCTAAGAATGTAGACTTCACCTACAAAAAGGGGCAGAAATGCCTCTTTTGCCTGAGAAGAAACAAACAGGTGAAAAAGGCTGGCTCTATGGTTGGATTCAAGCTGGACTCAGTGGAAGGTGTGGTGGAGAGATCTACACTGAGGAAGGTGGAGACAATTCTACAGAACATGGATCACCCACTTCATAATACCTTAATGGACCAAAGGGCCAATGGTGGTAGACGGCTCCTCTCTCTTCGCTGCAGGACAGAAAGATTCAGAGGATCTTTTGTACCTACAGACATCAGACTTTACAACTCTTTTATAGATATAAGATGACTTTTGAGACATGACAAATGAGATGACAGACAATTGAATTTCCCTTCAGGGATCAATAAAGCTATTCTTATTCCATATATAAAGTGATACCTCATATCTGTCCTGTACATGTGCGAGTAGTGTTATCAGACCAAATTCTCATCCTGTGTCTTTTAACAGTGATACATGCCACTCACTGTGTGTACTTGCTGTGGAAAAAAAGTCTATAGCAGGCTGATTTCAAGCCTGCTGTCAATCATCTGGTCCTCCGTAAATCACTTTCCTCTCCCAAAAACCAGCTAGATCATCTTGCCCAGGCTGAAATATCTTGCTCATTAGACAGCCAGTGACATTCTTTGCATGCCTCCCCCTCCTCTGACCAAGGGCCAGTTTTATGAGCCCATTAGTGGTAATGAGACAGAGGGAAGTGACCGGCCAATTTCCTGTCTGAGGAGAAATGGCTCTGCATGTAAACGAAGGGAGAAAATGAGGAGAACATGCTCACACAATCTGACATAGCGAATGATAACTGACTCTGTTCGTTGTGTGGTCTAATGTCAGTGGTAAATGTTGTCACATAATACTATTCTGACCACTCCCATCAATCTGGATTGACTACAGATGAGTCAGACTATGAGATGTTGTAGAGTAATTCAATATCGGTGCATCATATTTTATGACGGTGTCCATTCAGAACAATGATAGCAGAAGACTGACTTCAGACCTCAGGTTGCATTCCCTCATGATATGAAAATGTATGTATTGAGACAAAAGAAAAGATGTTTTGACACTGTGATACTTGAATAAATGTTTTATACCACATTTTGAATTAATTCAGACCTTTTGTGCATTTATTTTTGTCTTGTTAAATTTTTTCCATTATTCCAATTTTAGGGGCGTGGTAGCAATTTGATTGATTTTCAGCCATTTATGGCCATGGTGTGCTGTTTATGTTTTATTGCTTTTATTAGACAGTAGGTTGTGTCATTTTTATGTATGAAACATAAGCTTTTAGCTAAATTAACTGTATATATTTCATTGTGCTGGGTGCAAATCACTTGAGTTGAGACGTTTTCTTCAAGAAATTTGCTACATTTCATAATCTGAATTCACTTATGCGTACACTAAGGCACCAATAACTGTTTCAGATGTTAGGTACATGTATTTATGACATTTGAGAAAGATTTTGTCTTGCCAGAATCAACATAGCAGTTTCTACAAGCAAAAACAGCAGCACCATATAATCGTTTTTTGTGTTACTCACATATATGTACATTTCTGGCTGGTGACAAAAGTCTGACAGATAGTCTGAGTAGATATTTTAACCCGAAGTCCAGAAGGGTATTGTCTATGCAAAAATGCATTGAACAAGTAGCCCCAGCGTAGTGCAACGAAATTCACTTTCTAGGCACTTTGTCTTGTCCTTTGTCTCAATACAGCCTAAGACCTTGAGCGAATTTCTTTCGCGGAGTTTCAGATGCCGTGGATGTGGATGCATCGGTGATGCTGGCTGAAGGGTTTGACTGACCTGCAGCTGCATCACGTTCTTGTTTCTTCCAAACTCAAACGCCTTTCTCAAATAAATCGCTGGTAACATGTCATGTGAAACCAAGTGTCATCAGGAACATTGTCAAAGTCGATATCAACGCAATGTTTATAAGTTTCTGCAAGGTCCTTTGTCTCACCCTGTAGAGAAAGCCACTTTCTAATACTAGTTCTGTAAGTTTCCCAACGTGTCCTTGTAAAGTCGAGAACGTCTTTGCCCTGGACAGATGATAGATGCATACAGCATAGTTTCGTTCCTTTTTTATGCACTTTTGAAGGCTGTTTTCCTTTTTTCCTTTTCTTTTCTTCCTCTTCGCTTGTCCTATTGCTAGATGCGCTCGTCGCCATGTTTGTGTTGTTCTGATACTATGGCAATGAGACTCGGCTCCTATTGGTCCACGTGACAAAAATCGCTTCACCCCTTTGCATATTCAATTGCGCGTGTGCAAGTATCACTACACCACAGAAAGGAAATAGTTCGACACTGTAACACTGATTACTAAAAATCAACTGGATGACATGAGTAGATATTTTTTATAGTACTTACTATCAATATAGCTATTTTATGAATCACAGTTTATGTTGCACCACTAAAGTGGAACGAACCAACACGATCTCATTTCGCAAATACAGCCTACTTCCTGAGAACATAATTTATAATAGCTAAGTAGACATACCTACTTACTTAAATGTTAACTCTTATACATATAAGTCATTGTTTAAGCACAAGTGTTGGGGATGACACACTCACAGATTTTTCCCCCACGTTTTCCATGGTGAAGGTCAAGGTCAAAAGACTATAATAATAATAATAATAATAATAATAACAAACACTGATTAAAAATGTAAAGGACAAAGCCATTAAAAAAAAATCGGTACTTCTTTGTCTTCTGCCTCAGTCAAATCCTTCGTCTTTAAGAATTTCTTTTTTACAGTTCCTAAGGGGAACTTTGGTGCTCCCTGTGGAGAAAGTAGTCTTTACTTATCTTTTCCTCATGCTTTCATAGAGTAATCTGACTAAACTGTTTCCCTGTTGACTTCTGCTTATCACATGTATAATTTATTGTGAATCTTTTATGTGGAACTTTTAATTAATTTCTTCAGCTGCTTAGCTGACACCTACAACCTCCCACTGGTTTGAGCATTGAAAATTACAATATAAAAATTGTAAATCTTGTCACTGATGATCATATTTGCTTTTGGATGTCATGAAAAAAAAAAAAAAAAAGATTTCATAAACATCGAAAAACTCCTGACGAGCTTTAAAGTAGCTCTGTCTTTGAAAAATTTCAAATGTTTTGTAACAGCTTTTAGAGTGAATGGTTTTGATGCAGTTTTTGATTTTTTCTTTTGTTTTAATTTTTCATTCTTTTTTCTCAATCTTTTTACCAATGTACAGAACTGGGGACTCAAAGTTTGTATATCAAGTGCTTAATGGAATGGAGTTAGGTCTGTGTGGCCAACTCAAGTATCCTTACTTTTTTTACTTAAAGGGATATTAAGTACAGGGGCTCCACAAGGGACAGTGCTGGCGCCATTCCTGTTCACACTGTACACGTCAGACTTCAAATACAGCACTGACTCCTGCTACATCCAGAAATACTCAGATGACACCGCTATTGTGGCATGTATCAGAAATGGACAAGAAGCTGAATACAGAGATCTAATAAGAGCCTTCAGTGACTGGAGTCACAAAAACTGCCTCCTCCTCAACACCTCAAAGACAAAGGAGATGGTCATAGACTTCTGTAGATCCAAACCACCTCTTCAGCCAGTGAACACCTGTGGAGTGGACACCGAAGTGGTGACATCATATAAATACCTAGGTGTACATCTGGATAATAAGTTGGATTGGTCTAAGAATATAGATTACATCTACAGAAAGGGGCAGAGCCGCCTCTTTTGCCTGAGAAGACTCCGATCAATAGACATCTGTAGTAAGACGCTGCAGATGTTTCATCAGTCTTTGGTGAAAAAGGCTGGCTCTGTGGTAGGGCTCAAGCTGGACTCAGTGGAGGATGTGGTAGAGAGATCTACACTGAGGAAGGTGGAGACTATTCTCAAGAACACGGATCACCCACTTCACAACACCTTGATGGACCAAAGGGCAAATGGTGGTGGATGGCTTCTCCCTCTTCGCTGCAGGACAGAGAGATTTAGAAGATCTTTTGTACCAACAGCCATCAGGCTTCATAACTCTTATGTAAATAATAGATAACTTTTATAGACATATTACGTGAGACAACAGACAATTGAATTTCCCTTCGAGGATCAATAAAGTTCTTCTTATTCTTATTCTTATTTCGGCATAGATTTAAGTATTGGTCAAACACAGCACAACACCAAGTTAGACACCCCCTCGAGAGATGAATGTTGCTGACCGCTTGCTTCTCTAGATATACCACCTTCATCAACAACTGCACAATAGCAATACACAGCTGTCTACGTCTCCACGTGCAAACCTCAACCAAAAAAACACTCTATAGCCACAAATAATGCTCAGAAGAGGACCTAACTTTATCAACAGTACATATAGGGTCCCAGCCATAGTACTAGCCATCAACTAGCATCTACTAGCTTTGCCTGGTTTCTCTAGCAAAGAGACCAAACACAATTCACCCTTTCTCCTCCAGCAGCTGCTTGTTGTGTGTGTGTGTGTGTGTGGGGGGGGGGGGGGGGGGCTGACCGAGTGCAGTGTTCCTAGTTCTGATAGAAAGCTGTCAGAACACTGACACATGCAGTGTAGTGTAGTCCAGTACTAAAAAAGCCCCCAAGCAACCTAACTCAGACACACAGTGGTTCACAGAACCCTTTAAGGTTCTCCATAGAACACCTCAGCGCGAAATTATAAGGTAATGACAACCTCTTTTATAATACTAGGCAACCTTTTACACATTATCTTCCCTCTAATCTTGCTAAATGAAAACCAAGCATCCAGACTTTGTCTTCACAAATATGAAATCATCACATTCTTTCCTTTGACACGCATCTAATAAAAATAAGATTGTTTGTTTGTTTGTTTGTTTGTTTGTTTGTTTGTTTTCTTCCGCTTATCCGGGTCCAGGTCGCGGGGGAAGCAGCTTCAGGAGGGAAGTCCAGACAGCCCTCACCCCAGCCACTTCCACCAGCACCTCTGGGGGATTCCCAGGCGCTCCCAGGCCAGGCGAGAGATATAATCCCTCCACCTGGTCCTGGGCCGGCCATGAGGTCTCCTCCTGGTGGGACATGTCCGGTACACCTCTAACAGTAGGCGTCCAGAAGTCATCCTAACCAGATGCCCGAACCACCTCAGCTGACTCCTCTCGACGTGGAGGAGCAGTGGCTCTACTCTGAGCGCCTCTCAAGTGTCCGAGATCCTTACCCTCCTTATCTCTAAGGCTGAGCCCAGCCACCCTGCGGTGGAAACCCATTTTGGCTGCTTGTATCCACGATCTCATTCTTTCGGTTATTACCCAAAGTCCATGACTATAGGTGAGGGTCAGTACGTAGATATCTGATATTGTAGCACGCTAACTTTGTTTGGGCTCCTGAACGACACGGGAAAGCAGCATCTGAGGCAGGGAATGGCTTTGTTTACAGTCAGAAAGAGTGGAGCGCTCTGAAATTTTAAAATGTTGACACAGCGATATCATTATATTACCAAATGTCATCAATGACAAATAGTTATTGACTGATATTAAAAGCTTTTTTGTATATACACCACAAAAAAAGATGCTTCTTTAGCGGATTCCTGCCTACCCCACCTACCATAAAGAACCATCCACCCCGTACTCCTGGAGCACCCCCAGCAGGATTCCCCTGGGGAAATGGTAGTAGGCCTTCTCCAAGTCCACAAAACGCATGTGGACTGGTTGGGCAAACTCCCATCTCCCCTCAAGAACCCGAGCAAGGGTAAAGAGTTGATCCGTAGTTCTGCGACCGGGACGAAAACCGCATTGTTCCTCCTTGATCCGAGGTTGAACTATCGATCAACCCTCTTTTCCAGCATCCTAGCGTAAGCCTTCCCCGGGGAGGCTGAGAAGTGTGATCCCCCTATAGTTGGAACACACCCTCTGGTCCCCCTTCTTAAAGATAGGGACAGCCACCCCTGTTTGCCACTCCAAGGGCACTGCCCCGATTTTCCATGCTATGTTGTAGAGGCTTGTCAGCCAGGACAGCCCCACCACATCCAGAGCCTTCAGACACTCTGGGTGGATCTCATCTACTCCCGGAGCTCCACCGCCACAGAGTTGTTTTACTACCTCAGCGACTTCCACCCCAGTGATTGGAAGATCCACCTCCAGGTCCTCCAACTCTGTTTCACCTTGGGAATGCATGTCGGTAGGATTGAGGAGCTTCTCAAAGTATTCCTTCCACCGCTGAAGAACTGCCCCAGTGTGAGCATGTTGCCGTCTGCCGCCCCTGAGACGCCGGACAGTTTGCCAGAACCTTTTTTGAGCCAACCGAAAGTCTTCCTCCATGGCCTTACCAAACTCCGAGTTTTTGCCTCTGCAACTGCCCCGGCCCCAGACCGCTTAGCCAACCGGCACTGTTCTACTGTTTCCGGAGACCCACAGACCAACCATGACCTGTAGGCCTCCTTCTTCAGCCTGACGGCTTGCAACAGCGGCTTCATCAATGGCAGAGCGGAACAGAGCCCATTCGGACTCAATGTCCCCTACACATATGCTTTCTTCTGTTCTGCATTTGTCCCCTGTAAAACTAGCCTCCATTGGACACTTGAGCATCACAGCTACACCAACGAGCAATGCAAGAGGACAGTAGCCGTGAGAAAGACAATGGCGAGTTTGAGGTTTTAAACTGGTCTCCAAACCCCTCGCATCTCATTCAGCCAGCATCTATGGGGTGAGCTGGTCAACCAGATCTGATTGACATAATCATCCCTTTATGACTTTCAGAACTTGAAAAGGATTTGCTGCTAGCATGTTGGTGCCAGACACCATGGAACACCAACAGAGATCTGTTAAAAGTCCATGACTTGTCCGGTCAGGGCTGTTTTGCCTCTGGGCTACACAATATCAGGCAGATGTAATGTTGTGGCAAATTGGTATATTTGCATGAATAGCTGTAACTAATGTGTGAGGTCGGTGGTGAGAATGACCCACTGAGTTCATAATCTAGGCAAACCAGCACTCTGCTCTGGCTACTAGGGGAAGCATTGTGAACATCACAGTGACAAGTTGTCAGATATCCCTCATAATCAGCTCCAGCATGTCCAAGATAAAGAAAATCATACATGCTTTGGAAGACAAACATCAACTGATCTTTTTTGTAATAAATTGTTATGCGTTGTACCCGTAAATCTGAAGAAATAACATTTCTTCAATTCTCCAAATTACAGAAGAAGAAACATAGCTTGAGTGTGTTTATAGGATTTTTTAAGCATAATAGAATTAAGTTATAGAAACAAAGAAAGTGTTTTGATCTTGTGAGCTATTGGTCATGGATAATGCTCAAGTTCTTCATTTAACTAACTTTCAGTTTGCCTAACATTAACCAGCTGTGTCAAATGTTTTGTATTCATCCAAAGAGAAGAGTCTTCATAAGTCTATAACACTGACAACACACAGTCACATGGCACACAGAGATAGCACCAGGGACTGGGGGACACGTCCCCTTCAGAATTCTTGTGACACCGACCCCCCCCCCCCACACACACACACACACACACACACACACACACACACTTTACCAGCACAAGGGAGCAAACCTAACAAATCCGGTAAAACGGAGGATTAATAACAAAGCGCCGCCCTGCAATGACCAAACATTGCCGGACTCTTGGTGAGAGCTGCCGAGAGCCCGGTAAAGCCCAGCGTGGTGGGCTCTGACGGGATTTACTGTGCAAAATAGTTACAAAATAGTAATAGTTACAAAATAGTTGAAATCATTTGCTGACAGCTTGGTCCGCCCCAGTTTTAAAATCCCATCTGCACCCCCAGTCCATGGCAACTGTATAGAGGCAGCTCTAACGGGATATGGACTCTACAGAGATCTATTGTTCTGCCTGCGACCCCTCCTTCAACACCTCTGAGGAATGACATCAGCCCCTTCCTGATTCTTCACACTGTAAAGACTCTCAACCCCCCACCCCACCTTCAAACCTCTCTCTTGCACTCACGCCCTCATGGCCTTGTGAGCTCCTTTGGGGAGATCTTTTCACCTCCTGGAGTCAAGTGTGACAAGAGACAGCTCACTGAGTTAGAATGCAAAACATCAAAGTTTAAAGGGGCCATGGCATGAAAAACAGACTTTGTTAACGGGAGGGGGATGCATATCAGGGATTGAAAACCGCTACAATCGCCCCAAGTTCGAGAAATTCCATCCAGTCATTTTTTAGTTATCTCCGTATTTAGGAACTGTGTGCTCAGAGCCGGCTGTTCTGAAAACTCCACTGACATGACGTCATGTCAGTGCTGGCGGGTTGATGGTACTGCCCATGGAGCTGCCCACTGCCCTGCCCAAAAAATTATCAAAACAGCGCCATTATTCCCGGCCGCTCGCTCGCATTGCTCCAGTTAGAACCATGGCGAAAGTACGATCTGAAAAAGAGGCAGCAGTTGCTCTGTTGTTGGCTGCACAAACGAGCACAAAACTCTTTTGAAAACTCCCTCGTCGGAGGATTTGAGGACTCAATGGGTGGATTTTATTTATAATAGGATTGTACCCGTGGCACTTCCAAAATATCTGCATGTATGTGCGCACCATTTCACTTCGGACTGTTTTATCAACGAGGGACAGTTCAACGCTGGATTTGCTAGATGTCTGAAGATAAAGAATGGATCCATACCAACTATCCGTGATCCTACTACAAACGTGGCATCTGTAAGTGTAAACGTTTTATTTTTACTTACTGTTTAGCCTAAATTCCCTCCGGTGCCTCAGCACGGCCACCACGCTTTGATAAACACACCGGATCCGCGCCGGTTTACCGGATCCTCTCGTATTTTAGCCGCTCGCTTCTTCCCCGACAACTCCGCCGGCGGGGGACAAAATCCCCCTCCGGAGCAGCACGTAGCTTTAGCATTTACCCGTGCGGCGACGCGCCTCTTTTGGCTCAAATACGGGATGTCCCGGCGAATGCTGGACGGTCAGCCATCCTATTAATTAGCAAAGGCTTCAGAGAAGTTTTTCATATCTTCCTCCTTAAGCGTGACCCTCCTGGCGACTTTGAATAATACATAGGATGTGTCGACTAGGTCGCTTCAAGTCGCGTTTGGCCTGAACGCGGCTAAGAGTTTCTTCCGGAGCCTCTCCCTCTGGGTCAGACTCTGGCTCAAACTGGTAGGGTTGTACGAGCGATCTTCTTGCAGCCATGACCGAGCCAGTGTAAACATTAGCACATGGCTATCGGAGCACAGCCACAGCCCCTTCCAGAGAGATGGGTGTAAAGTGGACGTGGCTTAGGTACCCCATCAGCTCATTTCATTAAAGAGACATGGCCCAAAACGGAGGATTTTGAGCGGAGCTGTTTTTAGCTGATAAAAAGAGCACTAAAATAATTTATCCAAATTGAATTTTGACCGAAGGACGTCAAAGACATGCTTTTAACACACCAGGGGACTATTTTAAGTTGTGTGAAATTGGCATGCCATGGGACCTTTAAATGATGGTAGGGAGGACAGTAATGTGGTGACTCACATGAAGGCCCTCTTGACATGGTGCCTTTGGTGCATTTTTGCCTTCAAGTTTAATTTAACAGCATTTCTTAAAATCTGAAAAGGATCCTGGGGTCACCATTTGGATTTTAGTGGCTATTCACCTCTCAAAGTATTCGAGAAATTTCATATTCAAAACAATAATCATGTATAACATTGTCTGTATTGTTTTTAAAGTAAGACATTGAAATTCAGTCTGACTTCTTCTCTGTCAAACTTCAAGAACTCAATCTGTGGACTAGTCAGGCAGAAAGACACTGAGCCCAAAAGTTCAAAGAGCAAAGAGGAGACTGCCTTTGGGTTAGGAGTCACAGCTTAAGGGTTGTCAGTGTGTCAGTGGCTCTGAGGGCCACAGCAGATCAAAGGCAATTTTGGGAGAGTGGACAGACGCCACACCAAGACGCTGCCATGCCATCCCAGCATGCCTGGTGTATGACACCTCTGCCCTAGCCTATTAAAACCTCAACCTCAGGGCATGCTGGTGAAACAGCAGGAGGCAAAATACTCAGGAAGCTGCTTCCTTCCTGCCTCTGCCCATCATTGACCAAGAGGTCAATGATGGGCCAGCTGGCCTGGCTCAACTCTGACCAGCTTGGTTATATGGCTATGAGGAAAAGTAGGAGACAGGACCCAATACAAGTAAAACACGCTCTTATGATTTGGACTATGCTAACATTAGCATGCTGCTCTGTACTATTTGAATCTGTGTGCATACCGTTCCCACAAGAGGGTAGATGAAACCAGCCCCGATACTGGCACGGACATCTCTGATTGGCAGAACAAAACCAGTAGGAACGCCCTTCTTATCAGGCATGTGGGACAGTGACAGGTGAGTCTTAGCCATGCAGATGGGCAACGAACCATAACCCTGTTTTCAAAATAAAGGAAAAGAAAAGCAGTAAATATTAGAGAGAAAGTGAGCCAGTGATAGAATATGAGCCGCATGAGTCCTTTCACTGTGTGAGATAGTTATTATTGCTGCAGCAGCAACATGGATCTCACCTGTTGATTGTAGTAATCTATCTTGGTCTGGGCCTCTGGAGACAGCTTGATGTCATCAGCTCCATACACTTTCTGGGCAATTGTTCTGATCTTCTCCACTATGGGCATCTTTGGAAAAGACAGTGAGGCAGAGACACACTAGCCTGGCTGGGCCATCCTGTTGCGTGAATCACTTGATGTTCCTTCCCACCACAGTCTGGACTTCGGCCCATAGAGAGTATGTATTCCCGATCAGAAAATAACCGGGCCAATCAGAGACCGTGTTTCCACTGTTACCCGGACAACAGGGAAAGGCAGCCCCTGCAGAAGACGTTGGATATAAACGATTTCTGCTGACTTTGCAGAGTCAACTGCAGAATTAACGGCGTTCTGGATGAACGGGACTTTGAAAAGTCCTGCAGCATGTGTTAGACGTCACCACTACACATGGACCAATCAGGGGCTGCCTTTCCCTGTTGTCCGGGTCACAGTGGAAACACGGTCTCTGATTGGCCCGGTTATTTTCTGATCGGGAATACACGATCTCTATGGGCCGAAGTCCAGACTGTGGTGGGAAGGAACATCAAGTGATTCACGCAACAAGATGGCCCAGCCAGGCTAGGGACACACAAAAGCTCTTCAGTCATTGAAAGTTAGAATCAGTTAAGATTAATCAGGATGATGGCAGTTACATAAAGTTACACCAAGGCATAACTACCAGGGCAAATCTCATCATTTTATGTATTTGACATCTAAATTTTATGTCTTTAGTTTGATATAAATACTTTTTTTTGTTTGTTTTATTCAACTTTGAATAGTGCTATTGGAGGACCCTTGAAGACTTAAGAAGACTGAAGGAAAATCTAACCACACTCATTTTTCAAGGGCACCATTTTCAGGTTAGGAGTTGCTGTTAATGTCGTGACAGTATTAGTAGTTTTTTTTTTTCAAATCATTACACATTCTTTTTGCAAAGTTACATTAAACAAAGGCAAATGTAACAAAAACAGAGCATTTTAAATAGAGTTATTGGTCACTAGCTAGGGAATTGTGAGTATTGGAGAACAATTTTCATAACAACAAAATGCACTGGTGGGAAGTGCTCTGACATTGTTTTCTGTGGTTGGTGCCAGAGCAGAAAAGGCAGTTACTTGACACAGGCTCTAAAAAGCTGCAGGCCAGTGAGCCTGTCTTTGGTCAGGATCAGTTTGTGTTTCTGACAGTGAAGATATATTCATCTTTTATTATTTCTTAATGGATAAATTACTATTTAAGTCTACTTTTGCTTTCATTTTCCCTGTGATCTAGATATAAGTCTTTTAAGTTGTTTGACTCAGTTCTGTTTTTCAAAGCCAGTGTTGATGGGACCAAGGGAGGTTAATTGCGGCATCATTGTCATCAACTAATTATATAAACTGTATAACTGTGGATTGCTGAGATTCTAAATTTGCAACATAAGAGGTGATGAAATAGGATGCAGCAGAGATTTTGAAGGAAAAGAAGAAATGCAATTTTCTGCAAAAACAAGGTTTATTTGGGGAGTTTGGCTTGGAAGTGAGGCGCTCTGTAGGATGGATCACTACTGCATGGGTAATAATCACATGCTGCACAGTTCTCACACCCTCCTGTGACATGATGTCCCCCACACCCTTTTATCTGCTACTATCTACAACACGCTCTGCTAAAACAAACTGTCTGTTCCAAGACCTTTGGGGCTTCCTCTAAACTAAGTGCCCTTTATCCATACGACCCTAATGCAAATTTGTATAAAGGAATAAAAACTGGATTAACTGGGGCCATAGGGCAAACACACCAAGGCACTGGCCCCTATACTATAGAGGCTTATTCCTCTTCCTGACAAATTTCAATTCGCTTCTAGTCCTACAGCTTGAAGAGTTGTAGGACAAAATTAAAATGTGCAGTTCAATCAGGATCTTTGTGCTTTTACTTCTCTCTATTGTATCTGAATTTCACACGACATAAGTCGTGAAAAACAGGAGAAGAATTTTGCACTGATGTCAGGGGGCCAAGCCAAAAACGAGCAATTATTGGAGTTTTTCAAACATCTACTGCTCCAGCATACTTTCACCTAGAGACTTCATTCAAACTTTTCAAACTTTAAAATGTAGACACAAGTCTTGTCTATGGGTGTATCAACCCACGTTTTGATAGATATTGTAGTTTTTGATCACTCTATGTTCAATGACCATCATCGTTTTCTGGAGAATTTTTTTTGAATAATATCTTTACTGACTTTTATTTCACCTTATACGGACAGTTTTGTAATGTTATTGTATATTACAAAAGTCTTTTTTTTTTAAGTAATTTTGAGGTTATAAAGGGTTTATATTGGGTGAAATCTTCATGCCAGAGTGGGTGACATCATTAGCTAGAGTGAAAGAAGTTGCATGAAATTTTCTGAAACTTTCTCTTTCCACGCTCCTCCCAGCCAAAAATTACACTCTACACTTTTTCTGATGGTTGTAGACACACTTGTTCTGTCTTTAATGGTGTGTTTATCTAAGCAGAGGGACTTACACTGAGCCTGTCTCTGTGGCAATGTCTCTCTCTGCTCCTCATTGACACTAATACAAAGGTTTTCTGAGAGAAGCAGAAGGGACCCCTGTTTATAACTCAAAAGTATGTCCAAACTTTTTACTGTAGAAACACCAAAATCATATCAAGGTATATAGAAAGTCTTTATGATGACCATAGTCTGCTTTATTTTGGACAGGATCTACCGTTTTGTCAGAATACGCTCAAGACAAAAAAAAAAAAAAAAAATGCTCTTTTTCTCTTTTTGACTCCCTCAGTCTGTGGTGCGTCTATTGTTAAGGGCAACCAGCTCAAGTTGCTGTGGCAACCTGTGAGCCTTAGGCCAGGCCCACAGCTGAGATCAATTCACTAATTAGAGTCTGTTCTGAAATCTCTGCATCATTAAATCATTTTAAGAGCAATTTGATTAATGATAAAAAACTGACTCTCATCAAAATCCTTATGTTTTGCTTTTATCTTGTTTTTTGGATTTAATTTGATTTATTAGGGCCACAGGGGCAAACACATTGAGGCACGGGCATCTATGCAATAGAGAAGCTACAAACTTTACAGCAGGCCCCTATACAAATTTCCAAACGTGACTAGTCCTACAGCTTGAGTAGTTGAAGGACAAATTAAATATCAAAACGTGCAGTTTTCTAGGGATCAGTGTACTATTACTGTTCCCAATGGTATATAAAGTTTTTGTGATGCAAGTAAAAACTTTGCACTGAAGTCAATGGGACAAACAAACAAAAAAAGAAGCTTTTTTTCAAATGTCTACTAGTTCAGCTCAGTTTTTTTTTGTATAAATAAATTCTTGAAAAATAAATGATTGTGGTTGGTGTGCTCCTTGTATATAATATCACAATAGTATTAATAGTATTAATTATTTGAAATCTCTAAAGAATCTCATCAAAATATACACACCCCAGTAGCCCCCGTGGGCCTTTCAAAATTTCCCAGAAATTCACATCACATAAGTTAATAAGTATATGTAAGTAAGTAAGTAAGTAATATAAGTAAATATAAACCAGACCTATTGCATTTAATTCTAGTTGTGTAGAGCCATGTGCACACTGTCAATTGAGATCATGCACACTCACACGCATGCCAGCGTGACAAGATCAGTTAATTCAAGTCACAACTCTGTAAGTCCCCTAACTCAAACCATCTGATGTTTTTATACTGCTGCATTCTCTGGCTGTAGTTCAAAAGTACACATCATCATTAACTGCTTAAATTTGTCACAGTCACATTGCAGTCTTTGATGCTCTATTCCCAACTATTGCTTACAGCCAACTTTTTTTGTTTGGGTGTTCACAATACTTTTTCAATGTGGCTTGAATGTAGAACCAGTCACAATCTTAACCTGACCCACATGCCAAAAAGAACATCAGGAAGGTCACAAGTCAAGTAATGTTAACAGAAGTGAATATAGCAGCCACAAAATAAGTGTGGCGTCATAAAAACGTCAAGACTCTCATCTCGTGAATCTTGTGTTTCCTGAAGCTTTGAAGTGATATGCACATTTTCCTGCTGCTATCATATAGTTTTTCTTTCTATTCTTTCTATGTATATGTTCTCATGGGCATAATGCATTTAAGGGTCAGGAGCTCACAAAATTGAAAGAATAAAGAGGGAAGGCAATGGACTGTACAGAGTCAGAACAATGCAATTTTGCAAGACTTTCACCAACCACAGAGCCAAATTTGCACAAACAAAATCTCAACAAAGCGGTCACAGACCTCAGCTGTTTGTGTTTCGCCAGAGAGGAGTCTTTGGGGCATGGCTATGGATCAACATGAGGTATTGAACTATAAACATGCCCCGAACTGTGGTGTGCTACTCAAGAATGTCAAGGTTGCATTCATTCTGGCCTGGCTGTTCAGACTTTTCCATTTTTAAATGTCAGAGTAAATGTTGCTTGCACTGTTTATACTGCTATAAAAGGACCGGACATGAGTCACATGTGTCATATACAAGCAAAAGTATTAGTCACTTTAAACTGCAGTGTGAAAATGGCTATGGATCATCAAAAATTCATAATAGGCAAAAGTCATGAGTCCAAGCTGACTATATTTTGTGTAAAAAAATGTTTTATCACTGACAGTAAAACAATTAAGTACATATCCCCTCTGAGTATCTGTGCTCACCTCAATGTTATAAAGGAATTGGAAGTTGCTTGGTTTGCTGGCAGCCTTGTTCACAGCCTGAGCGAGCTCTATGGAACCTCGTCCACCCTGCGCCCAGTGCTGACACGGCACAGCATCCGATGCCCCACACTCTTTGGCTATCCGACACACAAGGTCAATTTCTGCCTGGGTGTCAGTCCTAAGGGATCAGAGAAAAATGTTGTAGGTAGGGCTTGACATCAAATTTTGTGTTAAAGACAATTAAATTGTAGAGAGAAATGTTTTGGCTAAACCATCTTGAAATACTTTGAATATTAAACACTGAAAAATTAGAATAAGGAAGGATTTGCGTGTTTGCATCTTACTTGAAGACGTTGAGTGCCACCACAACTGGGACACCAAACAGATGTGCAATCTTAATCTGCTTTCTGAGATTGCTGCGGCATCCGTCTGTGACCAGGCTCAGATTCTGAAAGAGATAGAGATGACAAACAGCACAAAGTCAGGAATGAAATTTGAAATTCATCTGAATCCAATAAACTTAGTCATTATACTCTGGGGATTTATGTCTTTGTAACTGTTGTGCACTGCCTTTTTACACTGCTTGGCAGTACCTGTCTCCAAACAGACTTGTTGCCCTGACTGATCTTGTCTCCTCTTGTCTAGATCTTTGCTTGTGTTGTTTTTGTTCTCGTATGTTAATTACTTTGGATAAAAGCATCTGCTGAATAACATTGTAACATTGTAACATCATCCATACAATGAACTAAAGCAAGCTTTCCAGCAGCATTTCACACTAACAACCAGAACAAAACGATCTTGGACCTTTAGTTTAGAATTTTTCACCAAGGGGATGGTAAAGAGATCTATTTGAACAATACTTAACTGGTGATTGGGGAAATGCACAATCTAAAAAACTGTGAAGTAACAAAAGGAAGAGAAAATAACATGTACTGTATGTTGTAACAGGCTATTATCTACCACCACACCATCTTGGATCAATTCATGACTCTCTCAGCATGTGAAATTTCCAAATCTAACCTGTGCCTTGTTGATAATATCTACTTTTACTTCTTTGATCCGGAATATGTAAACATTAGGCACTATTAATCTTGTTCATGTATGGTGGCTCTGGGTGTAAGGTTTTTCCTTCCTCTAGAAAAATCTCCAATAAATCAGGCTGGTGCCTTTAAGTTCTTCATACATCATTCTCATATTGTTTTCAACTATGTGCAGTTTCTTTAAAGCACATTCATGCCTAATTGTGAAGTTACTTCAAGTTTTATCAAAGTAATCCAATCTTTTTAAGTGTGTGTGTGTGTGTGAATGTTTGTGAGTGTGTGTGTGTGCTCAGTCCTCAGCACAGAGAAGTGGGACCATACACGTCTATAAATTAAATTCCCTGGTCTGTTTTCTCCAGTACTTCTGGTTCTCATTACTTGCTTCACAATTAACTTATACTACTTCATTATTGACTCAGCTGAACGACTGGTGATTCCAGCCAGATATGGTCACATACACACACATCTGAAGAATCCCACCTTTATTTATGCTACAGCCTTAATGTCCGGAAACCACATGCAAAGGTTGTATTTGTGCTGTTAATCAAATAAGTGCTCTTAACCATGTTAGTGGGCAGAGTATTTATGCACAGAGGGGGGAAATTAAATGTCTGTGTGAATACAGCTGGAGGTCTGAAGCAGATACTATTTGACAAATAAAATCTGAATGTACTTTATTGCATCATACATAAAATATTCCTATAAATGTGTCAAATAATGGCTCATTTCCCAAGATTTTCCTTACTTCTTCCCAACTTCAACAAAACACCAGACCCTAAGGATAAAACATGCCTCTGAGATTTTGACAGCTCTTCTTCATATTTGCAGAGGGTCAGGGGTGTAGGAGGGCCTAAAGGCATGGTAGGAATATCGAACGTCAGGAGTCTGTATTAAGGATGCCGTGCACCACCAATTATAAATAGCTTACACTGAAGCTTGAGCCAAAAACACAACACATGGTACACCAACAAACTATTCTCCATTAATGAGGATGTTGTTTTAAAAAATTGAGTTTTGCAAAGATCAATAAGTTTGAATTGCTTTAATTTTACTGAAACATCCTCACCTTAAAGCTCTATGTTATAAAACAGACCAGACAGACACAACAACTCCTCGGGATAAAATGCTGAACACATTTTTCCCTAATTTTTACTAGTAGTTACTAGTAGCACAGCAGTTCTTTTAGATGTACTGAATCACTAGAATCAGTTCACGAAAAAGATTTGTTCATAAGATTCATTCACAGAATTACTGAATCATTCAGCGCTTGGTGGGAGGAGCCTCCAACTCCGACTTCCTAAACTGATCCACAGCTGAATGGTTCAGGATTCAGTTCAGTTCATAGCTTCTGGGACCGGGAGACAAGAGTGTTGTGACTGTGTTGCTTTGACAAACAGGTTTCTAAAAATGAACTTGTTTATAAATCATGAGGCTTTAAGTGTACTGTCCTATGGTATGCTATTTATCTGGTTGTAACGGTTCCCTGGTGTCTAATGTTTTTCTCCCTCTGTCAAGCAGGAGGTTACCAGGGGGCGGTCCAATCGTTTATTGAGGTTGGCAGCACCTGGGCCTAGTGTCTCCCAATCTATAAATATCCTGCCTTCTCCACCGGTTTTCTCTCTCCCTTCCTCCGGGCGGATGGCTTCCTCTTTAGTGTTTTACGCATCCAACACTTTACCACACATTTCACCCCATACTCACTCATGCATGCACACACCCACACCACTGATCTACTGATCCTCACACCCCATGGTTTGTTTGTGTTCACTTCCTAAGTTGCTGTTTTGCTATTTCCTAATAAATTCCTTACTGTGACGTTAACTAGTGCATCTTCCGTTGTTTTTGTCGCGGCTGAAGAGCCAGGTCATGACAAAAGTGGGGGCTCGTCCGTCTTGATTAGGTCCGTTTTGCTTTGAATGGTAGGCTAAGGAGTAGGAGTATTAGTGGGCCTGATTTTGTGAATGGAAGATGGCGGCGTGAGTGACGTCACTAGCTTGTAGTGGGGGTTTCCCCCGGGGTTTTGACCGGCTGGCCGCGTTTAGTGTCATTGAGCTCGGCGGAAGGAATTGGGAGATGCAAAGGTGGTATTTATTTTGGGCAATTGTTTCTATTAAGTCATTTTTTTTCGCTGGCTGAAAGGGGAGGTTTTTGTTTGGGTGTGGGTGTAAAATTGGTAACAATGTAAAGTAAGTGCTGTCGGCCCGGTGTATTAACGTCATCAGAAAGAGTAAACGTGTCTTCCCCCTGTGAGGCTCAGAGGCGTTATCCCTTTGGATTTCGACCCGTTTGTTGTTTTAATAGTGCTGTGGAGACTGTGGTTGGAGCATTGCGCTCTGGAGCATGTCCGTGGTTCAGGAGGAGTCGCCAGCTTCTGGTTGCTTTTTCCTAGCCATTGGGTTTTACTGTATAAATACACGCCGCTAGTAACTGCATGAAGACTAGGTGAATCTAGGTAGGTAGATTCTGGGTTAGATAGTGAGTTAGAGGGGGGGGGACACATGGGCGTTTTATAGCTGTGCCTTTGTTTTGCGCCGGTTTTGCTGCGCGTTGCATTACATTGATTAAACACACCCGCACTGGTAAGTGGAGATGGCAAATGTGGAGGATTTTTTTGCTTCTCTGTCAGAGGAGTTTTTCGAGCAGTGCACGAAAGAGCAGTTATTGAAGATAGCAGAGCACGATTAAGTTGATGTGGGTGATAAACGTTTGAAGGAGAGAGTAAGGGCAGTAGTGCTGGACGATAATTCGATAACAATATATATCGATCGATAGACGTGTGGTGCGATAGAAAAAAAACGGGTCGATAAAAAGTTCGATAGAAAAACACAGTTTCCCTTTCTTTTTCATCATAGCCTATCATGTAGCTTTTACTACAGTCATTACTTCCTCCCAACCAATCACAGACCCAGGTACGCTACGGCACCAAGCCCAGCCCCTCTCAAACCACAACAGACAGCACGTGTATTACAAAAAATGTTACAGCAAGGAGAAGCGGAGGAAATTGTCCCCAAAGAAGGTTTCAGTAGTTCACCAGCATGGCAATATTTTGGTTTTTACAAGTCTGACAAAAAGCAAACAGCGGTCGTTTGCAAAATTTGCAGAGAATTAGTAAAAACCAAGTCTGGTAACACAACCAACTTGTTTTACCATCTAAACCGGTCGCACCCGAAGGAGTACGAGCTGTGTCGGCCGTGCCGCGGCTCCACGTCGTCGGAGGAGGAGGAATCCTCTGGAACCGCTGCCAGCACCAGCACAAAGCAAGTGAAGCAGACCAAACTGGACCAAAAGGACATCACCCATGCAGTAACATGCTTCATAGCGAGGGACATACTGCCAATAACTACAGTTGAAAAGCCAGGCTTCAAACAGCTTCTAGCCACTCTTGACCCGCGATATGAAGTGCCTGGCCGCAAGTATTTCTCAAACACAGCTCTTCAGGCATGAAAATGGGTCAGGGGTTGAAAAGGTGAGAAGGGTGCGGAGGAAATACGTTCCGGTGTTGTGCCGTAGAATGCACCCCTGCATCCCGTCCACTCATTTGCGAGTACTTGGATCATGACTACTAGCAAACTTTCGTTCTGTTTTAATGTGTCTCAAAAATGCACATATCGAGGTGTACTTGGGTATATAAACTGTACAGTAAGACGTCAAGGTAGAGAACATTATACTTTCGGGACAGCAAATATACTTTCAACCGCGCTCTCGTCGGGGGGAGGGCATTCGGCAGGGGTGCATTCTACGACACAACACCGGCGTGGATAAGTCCTGCTTCTCGTGCTCAGTTTGCGTATTAAGTCAATCACATGATAATTAAAAAAAATAAATCTCCCGACCCTAGGAGAAATATTGCAGTGTTCAGACACCAGGCTGTGGGCAGTTTCCCACACAGTTAAAACTGGTAGTATGCTATTCCCACCTAAAGCTATTCTGTTTATTTATATATTTGTTTGTTTTGTTTATTTTCATCAAAAGACTATTTAAATATTTATTTATCAGATTTTCTGGTCACTTTAGTGTTTATGTTTGTCAGTATTTACTGACATCACTCAGGCCACAGTTGATTTCTTTTTCTTTTTTAAGTTCTTTTTTAAAAAACTTTCAGTTGTGGTAAAAAAAAAAAAAGGTGGTTGAATAAAGGTTTGAATTTGAATTCAGTGCTTGTGTGTTCTTTATTAAAAGTAGGTCATTAAACAATAGCATAAAACATCCAGGGCTGCAATTAAAATATATGTTAAATTTTTTTTGATAGTTATCGATATCGATCAATATGATTTCTTTTTTATCGATATGCTTTTTTTCTATATCGTCCAGGCCTAAACGGCAGTGTTAATTTCAACTTTAAATTGAGAGGAAAGTTTTGACTGAGGATCCGGCAGTTGTTTCTCCAGCCACCCAGTTGCATCCGCCCTCAGTAGCAGCGGGGCTTACATTTGACCAGCAAAAGGAGCTGCTGCTGTTGCAGCTTGAGCATGACAAGTGCAAGCAGAGAGCAGACTGGAGAAAGAACTGGCTGTGGAGAGGATACGTCAGCAAATGGAGCAGGCCAAATTGGAATTTGAGCAGCCAAAATTGGCACTAATGAAAGAGGGAAAGCTGGTGGCTACGGATGAATTGACCAGTGAGTCTGTTGTGGGTCAGTCCAACGATAGTTTTGATGTGTTGGGAAATTTGCGTTTTTTGCCTAAATTTTGTGAGAAAGACCCAGAGTCGTTTTTCTCTTTGTTTGAACGGGTCGCTGATGCACGTAAATGGTCAGATGAGGTGCGCACGCTATTGTTGCAGTGTGTATTCACAGGCAGAGCCCAGGAGGCCTGTTCAGCATTAACGGGGAAGGAGAGTCGTACGTATTCTCAGGTGAAGTCGGCAGTTCTTAGGGCTTATGAATTAGTCCCAGAAGCCTATAGGCAGCGATTTAGATCGTGGAAAAGGGAGACAGGCAGTGTCATTTAGAGTTTGCACGTGATTTGGCTACCCATTTTACACGTTGATGCGCTGCGGCGGATGTTGGTGATTTTGATGGTCTGTGTGAGCTGATTATATTGGAGTAGTTTAAAAATTCACTGCCAGTGTGGGTGGCGACCTACCTCAATGAGCGCAAAGCTAGAAACGCGACTGAGGTGGCGGCTCTTGCAGATGATAACGTGCTAACACATAGGAGTAGTTTTGGTGAGCCCTGGCTGGGCAGTGTGAGCAGGGAGTCATTCGGCCAATCCCTTAAACACGTTCCGAGTGAGAAACAGGGTAGTGGTCACTTAAGTGATTCGGAAAAGGTATGTAATTATTGTCAAAAACGGGGACATTGGAAAGCATACTGTCAGTGGCTGCAGTCAAAGTCTAAGGGCTCTTTTGGGGATCATGCGAAAGGGGTCGCTTTGGCTGCGCCCGCGTGTCAGTTTGTCACCTCTGATGTGCATGATACCGATTCCTTTCCGGAGTTGGACTCATATCGGCCGTTCATCACCGAGGGTTTCGTGTCTATGGTGGGAGGCGGTACAAAGGTGCTGGTGACTATTTTGAGGGACATGGGAGCGTTTTATTCGTACACCAGGGTAGGAGTTTTGCCTTTGTCAAAAGACACTGAGACGGGGGAGTTCTGTTCCTGTACACAAAGTAATGCTTCAGTGTGAATTCTTTCAGGGAGAGGCTGGACTCGCTCGGCGTTGCCTATTCCAGGTGTGTCTGTTATTCTTGGTAATGATTTGTTGGGGGTGAGGGTCTGGGCAGGGGTACCACCACCCGTGGTGGGGCCGCCGACACTGTTGGCGAGGTTGAAGGCGGATGAAAACGAACGTGATTTTCCGGAGATTTTTTCAGCCTGTGCCATTACGCGCGCCATGGCGGCCATAAAGTCCGAGGTTGACCCAGACAGAGAGGGTGTCCGTGATCCGGGTGTCCGTGGTCTACTCTGTAAATTGGGCTCAGTGAGTGATTCATTCACTGAACATGCACCATTCCCTCACAAATCGCCGCAATGATAGGATCAGACAGTCACACATTTCTAAAACTGTGGGTTTTATACACTTGTTACATGCTGTGTCCTACTGTATGCAAGTTGTTGTGGTGGTAATTCAGCAGAGTTAAAAAAAAAAGTTTGTTTTGTCCGAGGTACACTTGAACACAACATATCCCCATCTCCTGTCAAGAGCCTGCTCCAGCTTGTGAGTCTCACTCTGTTCTCATTACTGCTACTAAAACAACGTGAAACAACGGTTGCCATGAAAGTGTATCCTACGACAAAAATTGTTCCAGAGATTGAAGTTTACTACGTGAGTCATTCACCAAGTGGCTTAGGTGTCGAAGCATGTGGTCCCTTGCTCGCCCGGCAATGCTGCGTGCTATGGCAGCTGCGCTACTGGCAGCTCAACTGAAGTGAGAAATGAACTAATCACTAAAGTTTTTCGGTTCAGTATGTTCACTTAAAAGATTTGGTTCTTTTGAAGAAATTGTTCACGAATGACACAACACTAATTATTACAGTATGTGTCTTACCTCATCAATGTATTCTCTGGGAAGAGGTGAACCAGCTGACACCTAAAAAACAGAACAAAAATAATATCAATAAAACACTGACACATTAACTTGCTTGCATAAGAGAAAAGTTTTTTTTTTCCTGTTTTGTGACTCTTTTTTAATATTTCATGGAAAGACTCAAAGTAAAGCTTTCAATTAATTGTATTTATTCCAGTCAGTCCAATCAATACCAAGAAATGATATGCATATTTCTCAAATCATTATTTGTTTATATGGATCTGGGTTATTCACTTTTTTCTGTTTGTTTGTTTGTTTGTTTGTTTTTTTAATGGAGAACAGCACAAACTCTTACAGCCTGAGCTACCAGACATGTTGTCTCACTGTTCAATGTCCTACTTCTTTTTATGTGAACAATGGAATCACCGACATTTAGATTGAAGGGATTTAAATTACACAGACGTCAAAGATGTGAATCAATATGGTACACATGAACAGATCCATAGACTGTTCAAAAAAGATGAATTTAATGTGATTGTGTAAATTAGTTAAAAAGACAAGTGTGTTCCTGAAAAGCAAACCACTTTGTGCTGGCAGATTGGGACATTTTTCCTTACAGTGTCACAGGTTCAGGTTCTTAGGAAATGATCAGACCAAATGTGTGAATGAAAGTCAGACTGTAAGAGTGCCTCTGTAAGGGGCCATAAATTACATAACAGGGTTATTTTGTCAACTATGAATTGAGAACTTACACTTGGTCCGCCGCCATGCATCTTTAATGCACGCACAGTTGCAACCAGTACCACCACATTTGGTCTCAGCCCTGAAGCATGACATTTAATGTTAAAGAACTTCTCCATCCCGATGTCTGCTCCGAAACCAGCCTCTGTCACTGTGCAGAAACAGACAGGGAAGCACACTTACACTTCATTTATATATTTCACAGACACTTGAACTGCGTGCAACTCAGGTATTTAAAAAAAAGGAAAAAGAAAAGAAAAGAAAAAAAGGCATGGGAATATGGCCTGAATTGGACTTTGTTTCTGTCCGAATACTGTATTAAGAAATACTTTCACTGCAAGTGCTCTTCAAGACATCAAGAGCCTCTGGAAAGTGCTGCAAATTAAGCGAACAGTCCACCTGGAATGACAGGCTTTGTAAGAGAAGCTTTCCTGTAAGCTGACATGCATACTGGTTCTTCTGTGTATGACTTTGCATATTCTTCTGATATAGTAGTAAGTTAAGCACACTCAAAACACTGCTGCAATGTAAAAGGAAGAGAAAAACATGGACTAACATTGGCTAAATATGTGAGCTTCTCAGTGTGCTTATAGATGCACCCTGTTGCTTGGAGTTAATGTGAAAATCAGAGAAGGGAAGCTGTATTTTTCAAATGATCAGAATTAGGACACAAGCACCACACTATACAAGAGGCTCACTAAAAATTCAAAGATTTAAATAATTTCTCACCAAAGTCAAGATTTGGGGAATTAACATGCTCAAAATCTCGTGAATCTTAGTATGTGCATTAGGCCTGGCAACAAACTTGGTAATCCATGGGGTCTTGGAAAGGGGGGGCCGCATTTTGTCCTAATGGCATTCCCCTGCAGTTATCAAAAGCACAGCCCCCAGAGGCAAATTCATCAGAAGCGATTAAATTTAAGAGACATATCTGGTAAGGGCTCATATGACACCTTTTTGATTGTTTCTTTGTCAGATATTGACACCCCAGCAGCTGCTGCTGCTCCACACCCTGACATGTACCATAGTCCGACCTGGACAAAGGGGCGAGGGATTGTTCTGTGAAGTTTTCCACCCAAAAGAACAGACTGACGTATCCATATGTAAGAACAACATAAACCACAAAACCTTACATGAAATGGAAAACAAAATAAACCTTATGTTTTCTCTAGAAAAAGAAAGGTCTTTTTGGTTAAATGTTTGAAACCTTGACTTACAAAGAATGGCAACTAGAATGACAGTAATAGTTAATGTGACATAAAAGTTCACACCCACAGTCAGAAAAATGCAGAGTCATAGCACAGTTGCATACATTTTAAGATGCAAAGGGAAAAAGAGTGAAAGTTTCCTTCGGTTTAACAACCTTGGTTTATATTGGCGTGACAATTGTATCAATCTAATAAAGATCATGGATCAAAACGTTCTTATTCTTAACATCTTCTTTTCATTCTGTCCAGCACTGTTTAAAGCAGAAGTTGCTGGAAGAAAAACCCACACCAGCTGCATTCATGGTTTTGTCTATGTCATCTGCATGTTGGCAGCTTGCTGGTGGGACACAGTGACCAACAGCTGACCCTGTAAACATTTAATTTAATTAAATGGAGGATAATGAAACGTGACAAGGAAGCAAATCAGGGAATAAATGAAATTACAGTGATAAATTACATGCTTGTCTTTAACATGCACATGTGTGTGTACAGAGGGTTTATCTACACAGTAAATGCTGAGTTTATAGACGGCAGAATGATTTGTATGATAGAAAACCTCTGATGTTGTTATCCCTGGACAAGGAATAAAGATTCTGAATGTTCTATTTAAATTGATCCAACAGTAAAGGAGCTCAGTAAAGGAGCTAAAGATTTAGAGCAGTTATTGTTCAGCATCTGGTAAGTGGGCGTTGGTGAAAAGAGAGTAACTCACTGAAGCTTTAAGTGTTTGTGGCTGACACTTGATAGAGCGCTTTACTGTGAGGCTTTAGTGAGAAAACAAGTGTTTCCATGAAGAAATGCATCACTCTGCTCTGTGTAGGTCTCTGCATTCCAGCAGAAAGAAAGATTTATTCGGACAGAGCTGAAGGGCTATAGAAAAGTAGGGTCAGAAAATGAGGCAGGCTGAGTGAAATCTAAATAAATTTTTTTTAAAAAGGTACGAGAAATTTCAGCTTAGGAAAAAGACAAAGGAGAATCTGAATCCTAATACATTTTAGGGGGTCCTGACTAAATTTTCCTCACCGTCACAAGTTTCTCTGAGTGAAAAGAAACTTCAACAGCCTGAGGGACGAGCACAGGAATGCAACTAGATTTTATTTGGCCAGAGACAACCTAGTAAGTGCCCTGTTTCTTGTTAGTTCCACGCGAGAGGTTTGGCTCTGAATATTGAATGAGGCCGCCAGTGAATGTCACATTCTTAGGGCTCAGGATTTGTGGAGATTTCAATAAATACAATGCTCTCCCACAAACCAAGCTCATGTGTAATAAAACAGGGCAAAGCAGATGGGAGAGAGTGGAAACAGAGACAGCGGGTGTGTAACGACACTATGACGTTACACCAAGCAGGAGATTAACCCCAAAGGATGTCATTGAGGAAACACCACACACTTCCTGTTCTGTGTGATAACCTTGAACTGTCCAAAATGCAGGAGGGGAAGGCAGCGATGATGTTGTTTGGGAAAAAAGACTTGAATAAGGTAACTACCAGCTATGCATGGGTATCATTATCCATGCCAATAAAAACACCAATAATACAAGTGGAAACTAGGTTAGAGCAACATGGCCATCTCCTTCTTGGGGGCAGTTTTTCAAAATAAGTCACACTCTCTGCCATCAAGCTTCAACTAACATACATTTTTGGGGAGATTTCTTTATTAATAAGTAGTGCTAAATATTCAACCAGCTATTTTTGATTAAAGAGAGAAGTGAAAACCGTTCTTCACTATTTTGAAGAGACTAAGGTGACTTAGAATTTCTTATTTAATGCCCCCAAGAAGGATCAAATTCAAGAAAATCAATTTGTCATGTATCAACAACAAATACTCCTGTGCTACTACCATGTCTTTTGTCTTATTATCCCATCAGAAAAAAAAATAAAGAAAGTTTACGAATACCCCTTCACACTGTCTCAGAATATAGACACTGTATTTACCAAGAGGAGACGGCTGCTTTATGCACTTGTGTGTCAGGAGTGTGTCTGGTCTGGGGGGGGGGACTGAGTTTCGCAGCAATGCTATTAAAAGTATAAGTACATACGGTATACATACATGAGTGAAAGTATTTATTCACCCTAAAAGATGCCACATTTCTTGTGTATTTCCTTAACATTTGATAGCAACACATCAACCATGATTTAGGATTATCTGATTGACCTCCCAAATGACATGTTAAGTAGAGCCAGAGTTTGAAATGTTTAAAACATTGACAGTATGACAGCATCATCATTTTGTCAATAGGTAATTTTGCTTACAGTAACAATTTGTTGCTCTCTGTCATGGGAGGCTTTGTGATGTGGGAAATGTTACAGTGAATCAGGACAGAGGGGTTATATGCTTCTTCTCCTCGAGACAGTAAATGACACAGGAATCCTCAACATCTGGCATGTGGAATTTCTCCTCCCGCAGCATATCTCCATTTTAGGCTCAGATCCCAAAGTAATAAAAAAAACAAAAAAAAAAACACACTGAAACAGAGACTGATGGAGCATGGCCATGACTTTGTACTTAACAAATTCACAAAATCTTCACCTAGTTCATAATAAGTTCATGCATTTACCACTAGAGAACAGCCTTCAGGGAAATTAAACAAAAGGGAATATCACTTAAAGACACTTTGATGTGGTTGCAGCAGTTTAACCGACTGGAAGAATCATTTTGCTTCATTAAATGATGTCAATAAAGTGCAAATTGTTGTAGTTGATTTATCAGTGGAAATGTTATTTTATTTTTGCAGATGTCTTCCTGTCTGAATTCAGACTTCTTGATACCACAGCACCTCAGAAAGACTGAACCAGTTTGAGCAGCAGCCGTCTCACATATGAGTTCATAAATATAATCAAATTGACATGATGGCTTTAACCATGCATTAATTCATTTTAAAGAGCATTTGGATGCATTACAAACAAGCTGTTAAAAATGTTGACCTATTGTTGTCTTAAACAGCTTATATGGCAAATCTGACTCCTGACTGACAATAAACAAAAACAGTAACCATTCTAAGTTAGCTCCTCTGTCCTTCCATCAGATTTCAATTTGATGTTCACCATTCTCTCTTGTTTACGACAGCATGCTTTCAAGTCCTGGTAACAACAAACTACCTCAGTATATCAGACAACTTTTGGCACTCTTAGTCTGGCTGTTTGTTCGTTTGTGCGTCACATTAGTTGTCGTCCCACACTTCACTTCAATTTACAGTCAAAGGTTTTTATGTAAATGGTTCTTTATTTCAACAGTGTGTTTGCTAAAAGTTGACATAGTTGTTGGGCTGCACATGATGCCACACAGAATCACAGGCTTTCGTCTATCGATTATTCTGACTGGCTACGTTGGCCAGGCTAACAATAACCTTGTCAGCTTTGCTGTGAGCATATTGGTTCCATTGTCAAGGATATGGCTATGAATTTACCCTTCTGGCAGTATGGGGGACCAAATGATCACACTTAAAGGAAAAATATCCTAATGCTGCACTTGCAATAACAAAAATGGTTATACCAACTGACATGCCTCTGAGAGGACAGGTCTCAGCATCTGCAGTGATGAATACTGTGACATACCATCTGAAGCTCTTCAACTTAGGTGCTGTTGTCAGTTGTCTGGTCTCAGTTCATCAGACTTATAACTTAGACCTTACAGACTTACTGTAGTAAAGAGACTATTAAATAAAAAGGACTAGATAAGCAGATCCAGCTTTTATTTGATAACTTGTTTTCTGACAGCTGGGCTCAATCTTTTCTGGTTTGTTAAATGCCAGAGTTATAAAACAAAAACTGTTCAAAATGTCCAAACTCAAAAAAAGCTGTCTATAATGTATAATATAATAAAAAATTCACTCTTATCCCTTTGATGGGTTGTTGTTTCTTCAGCAGTGACAGTTAAAAGACGGCAAAGCTCATGTCATTAGAGAAAACTGACAGAGAGGAAAGGAGTGGTCAGAGGGGGGTACATGCATCCCAGCTGCAGAGAGACGAAGAGGAAGGAGGTCGAGTTCCTGGCATACCTGAGAGTCAGGTAACAAACACACAGACAGAGAAGGGTGGGATGGAGATGGATAGATGGAAAACAAACAGGCTGGAGAGGTTGAGAAACGTTCACCCTGCTTCTGGGATCCAATGTTGTGAAATGCCAGCCTATGCTCGTGCTGCTGACACTCCTGGCCAGCTCATGTATGACAGCTAGTGTAAGTTTAGTGCGCACCCCAAGAGTCAAATTGTTTCATATGCACCTTAATACAAGCCCAGACAAGATTTTGATGGACATCGAATGCAACTGACAAACCTCTCAAACCCAACAACATCACACACAAAACACACATTCTTAACATATTTCTGAAGCCAAAGAATAAGAAATCATAAAGCAAGTTACAGGAGAGATAAACAGATAAAAATAGAAATACTCAAGTTGGCTTTGACGTTGAAGGGATTAGTGTGGTTTACTCTGAGGCATTCCAGGGACTCTTAAGATTTTCAATCAGCTTCCTTCCTCTCTCCTGACTTTGTGTGTGTTTTTACACAACTTCCACCAGTTTCCTAGAAAGTTGCGCAGTTGCAAGGCACTGGAGGAGCAGACTTCTGACTGGTTAAGCAAAACCAGAACTGGAATAGAGATGAATGCAGGCCAAAGGTTGCAAAAGCAGAGGAGTAGGATGAAGTTCAAGGCTCAAGTAGTTTATGGGTTACAGTTTGAGCCTTAAATTCTTCTACACCTGGGATTTGTAGTTTACATCTTGGGGCTTTGTGGTCATGTACACTACAGGCAAAAAGTTTGGAAGCAAGATCAAATTTGTACAAAAAAAAGATCATAATACTTTGCAACAAAAAAAACCTGATAATTATCTAAAGAAAAACTTATCAGAAGACATTTTTACTATAATTATCAGGTATTTGAGTTTTTCTTGCTTAGACTTAGCTTTCCTCGAAGTAACCTCCTCTGGCTTTAACAACAGCTTGGCATATACGAGGCATTAATTCCACAAGTTTTTTAAGGTATGTAGCAGGAATCGCATTTCCAAGATTTCTTAAGTTCATCAATAAGAGACTGCTGATTTGTGGGACGCCCTTTTCTGATTGATCGATCCAATTCATCCCACACAAGCTCAATTGCAGAGAGGTCTGGAGACTGAGGGGGCCAACCCATTTTTTGAAGAACACCTTCCTCTTCTTTTTTGTCTAGGTAACTCTGACAGAGTTTGGAAGAATGCTTAGGATCATTATCTTGTTGCAAAACAAACTTTGGACCTACAAGTCTGAGTCCAGATAGAACTGCATGATGCTGGAGGATGGAGTGGTACTGTTCCTTCTTCATAATACCCTTTACTTCAAACAAATCTCCTACTCTATCACCTGCAAAACATCCCCATACCATGGCACTACCACCTCCTTGGTTTATTGTGGGTGTTACGCATGGTGCTTTTAGGACGTTCACCAGTTTGTCAGCGGACACAGACTCTGCGTTTGGAACCAAATAGTTCAAATTTGCTTTCGTCCATCCAGAGGACTTGTTTCCAGTCATCATAGGTTCAATTTTTGTGAGCTTTTGCCCACTCATATCTTTTTTTCTTGTTCTGTGGACAAAGAAGTGTTTTTTTTTTGCAGATACACAACCCTTCAGACCAGCCTTTCTCAAACGTCTTTTCACAGTTGTCAGAGATATGGGTTTTGACCTTGTCATGTAGATTTTCACCTTTATTTGTGGTGCTGTTTTTTGCTGATCTCTCTTACTGGTGACAATAATATGTTTATCCTCTGCTTTTGTTGTGACCCTCTTTCTTCCAGGCCTTTCCTATCATCATAACCAGTTTCTTCAAGTCTCTTCAGAGTGTATTGAACTCCTTTGTTGGACACCTTTAGGCGTTTTGCAATTTCCCTTTCAGTGTATCCTTCTTTTCTCAATGTACAAATCTGTACTCTTGTTTCTTTACTCAGTTGCTTCTTTCTAGCCATTTCTGCAATAGTTTGTCAGAGTTTTGAACACGGGTGAGATTTATTGAGATTTTTGTATGCAGACACTCAAAAGCCAATAAGTAAAAGTGAATAATGCGAAGTGATTTTTTTTTTAAAATTATTTTACACTGAATTTGTGACTCTTGCTAATCTTCTCGAACCTAAAACTAAGCCCTCCCTTTCTTTTGTTGACATTTATTCAGCAATGGTCTGGTAACATCAATGTATACCTAAAGGTAAATTGAGGAAAATAGTGCATATCAATGAAAGCAAAGTCTAGTCATGTAATAAATACATCCCAAAATACATTTAACTTATCTTTTTTTTTTTATGAAAGGCATTGTGAACAGAAACTTGAAGTAGTTTCCAAATGTTTGGCCTGTTTTGGTCTTGCTTCCAAACTTTTGGCCTGCAGCGTATCTACCCTCAGTTTGTGTGTGATGTCTACATGCCGACTGTGCTCTTACCCACAAAACCATCCCGTCCGACCAACTTCAAAGCCAGCTTGTCTGCCAGCACAGAGGAGTTGCCATGGGCGATGTTGGCGAAGGGTCCAGCATGGACAAACACTGGTGTACCCTGTGACATTTTGAGAGACACATAAACAAGCGGGAGGAGTTTACAAAACAAGAGTAATACACGGCAACACATCTGAACAAATTTCAATAAAGACTGACCGGCTCATTCATTCTACATTCAACATCTCTAAGAAGCATCCTGGATAAATATTGAAATGTGGATGCACTTTGCCTGCCACTGTGTTTGACTAACAGAGACTAAAGTGTTTAAGTCAAGAGGTACTCGACTGGCACATCAGCCTGACTGTGGGCCACGCTTTCTTCCCCTGCTGACCCAGATGAATCCCTGTAAGCCAGAGACACGCACACACACACACAAAAATTCAAATAGAATTTCTTGAAGATTCAAGGGTCAGGCAGCCAGTAAAACGCCTGCAGTAACTTTGACAAAAAAGAAACTTCACAGTCTGAATTTCTGAGTGAATGTAACAGCTCAGTTCTTAGTTATTATCCTGAACTCAACTTTGCTTTCACAAGGGCAGAAAATCAAACTTAAAAAGGTAAGAAACGACTTTAAACAGAAAATAGGAGAAAACTTCTCTATGGATATATTGTCATTTTTGAGACTTCTCTAGGCCACAACAGAAATTCATTAAAATCATGAAGAAAACGATGCTAGTTAACTCTAATTCCTTATGTCTAGCTTATTAAATGTTGTTTTTTAATGCTGTCTTTAAATAAAAGTCAATTTGGTTATACAGTGCATCCGGAAAGTATTCATACCACTTCACTTTTTCCACATTTTGTTATGTTACAGCCTTATTCCAAAATGGAATAAATTCCTTTTTTTCCTTCAAAAATTCTACACAAAATACCCCATAATGACAAAGCGAAAGACTTTTTTTTAGAACATTTTGCAAATTTATTAAAAATAAGACACTCAAATGTTGCATATACATAAGTATTCGCACCCTTTGCTATAAAACTCAAAACTGAGCTCAGGTGCATCCTGTTTCCAATGATCAGCCTTGAAATGTTCCTTCAACTTGATTGCAGTCCACCTGTGGCAAATTCAGCTGATTAGACATGATTTGGAAAGCCACACCTGTCTATATAAGATCCGACAGCTGACAGAGCACATCAGAGCACAAACCAAGCCATGAAGACGAAAGAATTGTCTGTAGACCTCCAAAACAGGGTTGTATCGGCGCACAGATCTGGGGAAGGTTACAAAAAAATATCTGCTGCATTGAAGATCCCAGAAAGCACAGTGGTCTCCATCATTAAGAAATGGAAGACGTTTGGAACCACCAGGACTCTTCCTAGGGCTGGCTGCCCAGCCAAAATGAGCAAGCAGGGGGAGAAGGGCCTTGGTCAGGGAGGTGACCAAGAACCCGATGGTCACTTTGACAGAGCTCCTGCGTTCCTCTGAGGAGATGGGAGAACCCTACAGAAGGACCACCATCTCTGCAGCACTCCACCAGTCAGGCATTTATGGTAGAATGGCCAGACAGAAGCCACTCCTCAGTAAAAAGCACATGACAGCCCGCTTGGACTTTGATAGAAGGCACCTGAAGGACTCACAGACCAGGAGAAACAAAATTCTCTGGTCTGATGAAACAAAGATCGAACTCTTTGGCCTGAATGCCAAGCATCATGTCTGGAGGAAACCAGGCACCGCTCACCACCTCACCAATACCATCCCTACAGTGAAGCATGGTAGTGGCAGCATCATGCTGTGGGGATGTTTTTCAGTGGTAGGAACTGGGAGACTTGTCAGGATCGAGGGAAAAATGAATGCAGCTAAGTACATCGAAATCCTTGATGAAAACCTGCTCCAGAGTGCTCGAGACCTTCGACTGGGGCGACGCTTCATCTTCCAGCATGACAATGACCCTAAGCACATGGCCAAGAAGACAAAGGAGTGGCTTCAGGACTGTCCTTGAATGTCCTTGAGTGGCCCAGCCAGAGCCCAGGCTTGAACCCGATGGAACATCTTTGGAAAGACCTGAAAGTAGCTGTGCACAGACGCTGCCCATCCAACCTCATTGAGCTTGAGAGTATGTGCAAGGAAGAATGGGGAAAAACTCCCCAAATCCAGGTGTGCCAAGCTTGTTGCATCATACACAAGAAGACTGGAGGCTGTAATTGCTGCCAAAGGTGCTTCGACCAAGTATTGAGTAAAGGGTGTGAATACTTATGTATATGCAACATTTGAGTGTTCTTATTTTTAATAAATTTGCAAAATGTTCTAAAAAAAGTTTTTCGCTTTTTCATTATGGGGTATTTTGTGTAGAATTTTTGAGGGAAAAAAGATATTTAATCCATTTTGGAATAAGGCTGTAACATAACAAAATGTGGAAAAAGTGAAGTGGTATCAATACTTTCCGGATGCACTGTATGTGTGAGCCAAAAAGTAGGCCTTCAGTGTTTAAATGGTTTGAGACACTTGACTCCGGGGATGAAAGGACTAAAGGCTAAAACATACAGGATCCATATTGAGCACGTAACATCAGCGTCGTGCATCACGCAGCAGATAGGTTGCCTGTCTAATCAATGCAGCATCACATACAGGACACATATCACAAGCCTATCAAGTGCGGCTCTGCTAAAGATACACGCTGAGTCCATTTTTGCTGCTCTACGCTTCCAACACACATCAATCTTCACAGAGAAGATCGTTCTAGAAAGGATGTCAAGCATGAAATATGCTTGTCATCCGGTATTTCAAAATAAAACACCATATGCAGACTCCCAACTGTGTATCAGTTCCTGTAGATGAGAAATACTTCCTTGTTATGGATTTATCAGTAACACAGAACAATCCAAAGGTCAATCCCTGATCCATGTGGACCCCAACAGGACTTTTAACTGCTTACTCTGTCTGAAGGTAACAGCACAGCATAAAGGAACATAGTTTACTTCATCAAACACAAGTAAACCTGCAAAAAACAAAAATTTACAATCACACTGCTTTTTCACAAATAGTAGAGGGTCAACGGTCATTGAATTATATCCAAATTAGCAGGAAATTGACCACAGAAAGGCAAAACAACCAGTTGAGAGCATGTTGTTTCCTCTACACTGAGCCCAGCTGACCGGGGCTGGAAAATATGGGTGAATGAAACCCATTGCTCTTTTAAGGTGCTCAACAAAGACTGATGTTTTGTCACTGAAGCCCCTAAAGGATTCCTGCATTGTTGTACTGAGAGGAAATTATCACACTGATTTCCTATGATGACACCTGACAGTCCACTCTAGTGTCAGCACAGTAACAACAGAACTATCCTGAATAATCTCTGAACTCTGAATTATTCAAAGATTTTTTTTTCCTTGTATCCCAGCTTTTACAAAGGACTGTGCCAGAGAAAAACAGCTGCCAAAGAGAGGTTTACTCTTCAAGTTCCAAATCCTTCCAACCACATTCATGACTTCCAAAAGGGAAGTTTATCAGAAAACTTGCCTTGAAGAATACTGGGGAAGCCAATTCATCCATTGTAACAGTGCATGTGAATTCCTTGAGGGGGAGGGAAAAAGGAAGGACGGGGAGGCAGTGCATAATTTTCTAAGTTTTTGTTTGCATACCTCTCCCTCTGCCTGCATAAACAGCCTCTCTTCTGGGGAGTATATCAGCCATTCAAGTCAACAAGACTCTGACAAACTGCAAAGTAGTATTTGACATTGAGAAAAAAACAAGAATGCAAAAAAAATGTATGGATTTCCATTTATTAAAATGGAAAGTCAACACACTTTAAAAATTGCATGTAACATTAGGGTGATAAATGTAAAGGCCAGAGTAACCTTTTCATCTGGTGGACAGAAGGATTATGAGGACAAGGGAAACAGAAGAAAAACAGAGATCATGACACTGTTGTACCAGCTGCACACCAGTGCTTTAAAATGCTCACAGCCGGGACTATCAGACATCCATGCTACAGTTTGTCATCAGTACAGATACATGCAGTAGTTCCACGTAGACAGGATGTCTGAAAAACACACTGAATGATTGAGGTTAACTTGATCAGCATGTACACACAGAGAATGGGCTCTATTTTCGTGCCTCGCCGGAGACGTGCCGCAGGCGCGGCGTAAGTCAGGTCCACCGCGCTGACAAGGCTTTCCCAAGCACAATTTGGTATTTTGGTGAGCGGCACAGCCCGGCGTAAGTGTCCCCCCTCCCTAACTCAGCTTCTCCCAGCGGCATAAGTCGTTGTGAGGGAGGAGAGAGGGGGTGGAGTGGGTTTAACACAGCTGAGACCTGTATTGACCAATAACATCAGCTCCTCTCCTCGCCTTTAAATCCGCCACTGGCGAGGCATATTACAATTTTCGTGAAGTAGTCAAAGAGATCAAGAGATGTCTGAGGACAGCAATGCCACACGATGGCGACAGAAGGCAGCTCCTCAACAAGTGTCACTGTAAGCGCTGCAGAGGGCGTCCTGCACACTGTCACATATAAGCACAGATGGATTTGGTGTGTGTAAGTTTGGAGCCACTGGTAAGACAAACGCCCTTTTCCACAAATGAAGACACTCACATAAAGTTGCATGTATTTAAACCTCACTTGACAAAGGTGGGTTGTGCGCAGAGATCACAACATAAATTCCAAAAATGGCATTAAAATTGGAACCATCTGTGCATAATGACGCATTGCGCTCCGTGGCCTGGCTCTTTCTTTCATAGATGTTGGCATTTGGCTCACAAAACTGAATATTATAATATTCGTATGTAGGCTTAAAGTAAATAACTCATCTGATCACTGAAACAAATCATCTGTTCAGCCGCCACAGCAGCAGCTGCAGCAGGATGGGGAGAGGACACAGCGACATGTCCAGGCCAAGCTGCACGAGAAATAAGAGGAAGAGGAAGAAAAAAAAGGAGGTAGATGAATTCCATATCTTGTTAACTTCATCATGTGTGTCTATTTACTAGATATTTAATTTAATTTAATTTAATGCGGTTTCAGCTGTGGTCAGGTTGTGGGTCCAAACGCGTGCCAAACGCGCTCATCAGATCAGATATAGATCAGAATATATCTATAGATCTAAATGTATGTGCTGACTCAGATTATTAGTTGTTGTTGATTATTTATTGCACTGAAATGTGCCTGACACTGTGGAAACCTGCCGGTGAGGCATCGGTGACGTATGCTGATATGCCGCCGGTCAACCAAAATACCTCTACACCAGCTGCACTCCGCCTGCGCTGAAAGCTGACCAGGTTTGAATCTGTGAGCTTTCAGTGTACTTAATACGCCACCAGCTAGCACGAAAATGTCACTGCACCAGCTGATTCTGTCGACACCTCCCCCTGCCTCGCCACCACGCCCAGCTTGGTGGACCTCGATGCGCCTCAGTCCACGAAAATACCAAACTGGCGGTACACCGGGCTCCACCAGACAAAACCTCTGCGCGGAGTCCGCCACCCTCCGCCGCCTCACCGGCGGACACGAAAATAGAGCCCAATATCTTCTTTCCTTTTATGCCATATCTCCTCTAAACTTTACACCATCCAAAACAACACAGAAAAGAATCCACTGACACAAACACCACCAGCCTCCATATGCTCGCTGTATTCTCATTTGTACATCTGTATTCAACACGAGTGAAGAGTGCACAAAGGGCACAGGCGGTCAAGCTAGATGGAAAATTCTCATGGAGCTCTGAGGCCCGCTCGGTCCTGTCACCAGTCTCCTGACCAGAATCACAGGAAACCCACACGGGAAACAGTTTCACACAACATCATTGCAATGCTTCCTCCAAAAGAAAAAGAAAGTGACCAAATCTCTGCTGCACGCAAAACAACAGTCAGTACTCCCCAAAACACCCAGGCAGTGTTTATTTTCTCCACTCAAAAGCAATGCCGTGCAATCATGCTTTCTGTACAAAACCAAAACAGAACAAACATACAAAACATGGCCCTTCAAACAAAACACAGAGGTGTTAGCAGAAGTATGACTGCAAACACTTTCAACTTAAATGAGCCTGATTAATCAAAGAATATGCTCAATTCCTGCAGAAAACTTCTGGCTAAACATGTTGCCCTACCACCAGAGTGACTGGGTAAGTGCTGTAGGATTAAAGGATAATGGACTCATTAGGAAAAGAGAGGAAAGAAGAATTACTTCTGACAACTTTACAGACTTTCTATTAATCTGAGTCTCCTCTTGAATGTTTGGCCTCATACCACAGAGGTCTAATGCACAAAAAAGAGAATTTACTCCCCTTATTTTTGGCTAATACTCTTTGTCTCAGAATGGCTATACACTGCGTGTGCACTGTATAAATGTAAAAGTGGAATGTCAGTTCACACTATAGTAAGCCATTTACAGCCCAAAACCAGAGCTCAGGTAGGCCGTGCCCTCACTATTACATTCTGATTGTCAAGCATGACTTCACTGTACAGCATCGTCTCATGTATTTAGGACTTTGAACACACAGTATATACCTTAACATACCAAATGTTTTGGAAAAGAAAACTGAAAGGAAAATTAATGAGTTTGACAAAAACATTTTTCAGAACAACTGGATTAACACTCTCTTTTTTCCTCTGCATTATAAATACACACACACACACACACACACACACACACACTTTGCAATTTTGCAGCAATTTCTTATTATACCCCCAAACTCTGTTGCGCATTGATATGAGCACCTGATGAAGATGCAGTAAAGCCTCTGGTGTGAAGGAAGGGGAGGTGCTAAGTAGGACAAGATGAGCACAGCATGGCAAGCACCATTGTTGAATCTGGACTGTCTTGCTTTAATGATCAAAGGAAGCCAAAATCATAATGAAAATTGAAATTCAATTAATCCCTCAGCTCTATCTTAGTGCTGGGGGTTAGTGTTCAACTTCAACAAAAACTATACAGCTCACTCATCACCTTACTGGTGTGTCTACAAAAAGCAAAAAAGCTGAAGTTTGTAAAAGCAGAATTTATGTGGCGCATCTAGACTGAACTGCATAACACTGCATGGGTAGCTACAAAATGGCTAATCGATGTGTATCTCTGTGGTTTTTCATTTTTCTCATCATCCAGTGCATTGCTGTGGTGCTTTCAGACACTGTCAATCATTTTGTACAGGTGCAGTCAATAAACAAAGAAATTGGGGAATAGAGTTGTGGTTGTGATTTCTCAATGCGGTCAGCTGATCAAATTTCAAACATGCCAGGAATTCATCCAGCATGTTGGTACCAGCTGATGGACCATGACCGGCCCTAGTTCCTCTCATGTACACTGCATGGCAAGAGCTGAAATTGAGCTGAACTCAAGAGTCCATCATGGTACTAGTATTCAGAAGCTGGGCCAGAATTTGTATGCCGTATGGCCCTTAGAGAGATTTAGTGAGCATAAGATATAAGAAATGATCAGAGAAAGACTGCATCCGAATACATTTTACAACACCACAACTGTGTGTTACTCATCTTTTACGAACCTCTCAGTGAGTTTAATAATATGGCTAAAAGGTATTTGAAAATGGAAAGCTCACTACAGACATATTTGGCATTTCTGCTCAAAGGCTAAAGAAATAGGCAATACAAATGATATCTTCCTGATTTCTTAAATGCCTAAATTTTCCCCTCTCTGTTTCTCCATCTATCATCTTGTGGGTGGGGCTTTTTCCTCCAGCACAGGGACAGCATGGGTTCACCGATAGTGGACAGTGTATTTTCCTCTGGGAGATCACATGTCCCTTCTCTTGACGATAATGTCTCGAGCCAAATGAAAGCCAGATGTAGCAAGAGGCTGAATTAAGGTATAAGTCACCACACTGGTCGTCAAATTAAATTGTTTCCTTAGTGCAAATGTGGACAGGCTGGCCCTTTTTCAGAGAGCTCCACCAGTCCTGTCCACACAGTTTAAATGCCAATAACATAAAGAGCTAGGGGAGGAAAAGGTCAATCTATCATCTTTTCTTAAAAGCTCTCTGTGGAGCACTTTTCCTCCTTCCTTCCACTCCTTTGACAGCAGAGGTAGACGTCTCTGTAGACTACCACCCGATTTATTCTACACGACTTGCGCTAAAGGATACGCAGTTGTGCAAGGTAATAACTATTTAAGTGGGGTCATGTGTGTGTGCAGTAGCGGTTCTAGGCACAGGCGAACAGGGCAGCTGCCCGGGGCGGCATTTGTGTCATGACTCATGGGGGGCGGCACGAGCACTTCCAAAAGAATAAAATAAAAGATAATAATAATAAATCTTAACCGTAAAGCGGTTTTGTATTAACTCTTGTTGTCAAATTGGCGCCCCCCCGCTGCTGTAAGCGCCCCTGCTTGCTCCGAAGGTGCTGCACAGAGGCTGACAGACTGTATGAGACGAGGCGGGGAGAGGGTCGCGGGGCGGGACAGCTCTGCTCTGTGTACGCATGTCAGCATATCAGGGAGCGCGGCTGCGCATTTCTACTCTGCCGGAAGCGCGGATACGTCATTTTGTAACATTCTGTAGTTTTTTAATCATTTCTGGAGTCGTGGTGAATCAAATCACCGTACCCGCCTGCCTTTGATAGGCGAATAAAGCGCTCGGGTTCATGCTCAGATCTTGCTACGTGCTTGATGAGCTTCATGAGTAAAGTAAACAATGACTGAGGCAGAGAGCAGCTTCAGAGGAGAAACATCCAGCAGTGTGAACAACCTCTTCATATGGAGTGCTTTGGCTCACACTATCAGCGTTTTCTGTGAGTGTTGCATGACTTTGGGTGAGAACAGAGATGAACACACTGTCAGCCACGTATTTATTTATTCATTTTTTAGTTTTTAGTTCTGCTTTTGTACTGGCACTATACTGGGGCAGCTGTATACCCTTTCAACACCTTATTTTCTATAGTTACATTTGTATTGAATGGACACTTTATCATGACTGCCACTTGTTTTACAGAAAACAAATTATTTGTCATTCTCCAGTGCAGAGCCAAGTTTGTTTGTTCAAGGTTTTCAAAAATGTGATGAAGGTTCGCAAAACTAAAAGATAGCTTTCTTGAAAGCCACATGTATAAGCTCTCAAATACTTTTTGAATTTTGTTTCTATCTACTACAGAGGCCGAGATAGAAGCATTTTTGTAAACCTTAACACTTCAGAAAACCTCAGGATCTGGGGGCCCTTCTCTAAATGGCCCTCAGGATTGTGTTTTTTTCTACTATTTCTGCAAGTGAGAAATATTTTATTTTTGTTGTTCTAATCATAATAATACTACATAATAATACAAAACTATCTGTTCAAAATTCTATCTCTTTTTGTGTTTGTGTTTGTGTGTGTGTGTGCGTGTGCGTGTGCGTGGGGGGGGGGGGGGGGGGGGTGGTGCTTGCCCGGGGAGTAATTTGGTCTAGAACCGACACTGTGTGTGTGTGTCTCACCTCCAGGGTCTGCATCAATGTTGGTTTGATGGCATCTTTCATTAGCACAGCCAGAGCTCCACTTACACCCTGACAGAGAGGAAGAAAGAAATATGAGGATGGGGATTTAAACAAGAACAGACCAAGCTACATCCTCACTTATGATAACAACTTATACTTACAGAAAGAAGGGTAAACAATACCAATCATAAATGGCACTATAACCTGTGTCGTTCTGTCTCTTATGCTTAAACCATTCCAGAAACACATGGTACATACAGTAAACAAGGAAAAATATATTTTTACTTCAGCATGCTTGGAGGTGTCAACAAATCTTTGCATCTAAATCAGAAAGATGAATGGGCCCCTCTGAAAAAACACAGGCCCCACTTTTCAACAACTGCAGCACTTGCAGTGACACTTGTTGAGGGGCTGCCTTCTGTCGCCATCGTGTGACATGTCTTCAGACATCTCTAGATCTCTTTGACTACTTCACGAAAATTGTAATACGCCTCGCCGGTGACAGATTTAAAGGCGAGGAGAGGCACTGATGTTATTGGTCAATTCAGGTCTCGGCTATGTTAAATCCACTCCACGCCCTCTGTCCTCCTTCCCTACAACTTATGCCGCTGGGAGGAGCTGAGTTAGGGAGGGGGGATACTTATGCCAGGCTGCGCCGCTCACCAAAATACCAAATTGTGCTTAGGAACGCCTTGTCAGCGCGGCGGACCAGACTTAAGTCACGCCTGCGGCACGTGTCCGGCGAGGGACGAAAATAGAGCCCATTGTCTGAAGTTCCACAATCCCTAAATGAAAAAGCCCCCATGGTAAACACACACCAGGTCCTCAGCAGTGACAGGCTGTCCAGAGCGGCTGGTCCCCACCACCATGCGCGCCAGTCTGTTTTTCATGTCCTTCAGGCTGTCCGCCAAAGCCAGGATGGCCATGATCTCACTGGCCACTGCGATGTCAAACCCAGTCTGAAATGAGAATAAGACAAAAAAAAAAAAATCACACACAGTTATTGATTCACTGAGCTGCAGCTGGTGGATGTGATCATTCAGATCTAACAGCACCTGAATGACATGTTATGTCCTTGAGAACCCTCTGTAAAAGAGAAACTGTTAAGTGAATGAGAAATCTTTGCAATAAGAAGAATGTGACATTTAAGGAATTGTTGCTGCCTCTGAAACCAACACTGCAGCCCCATTCATACTTTTGCTATCAAAAAATGCACAAACCAGATGGGTGGATAAAAATATTTCTACACAGTGTCATAAAATCAGAGAAATCATGAATGTAAGTGCTGCGTACCTGTCTGATCTGCCCTTTTTCAGTGCTTGCCTGTCCTACTGTGATCTTCCTCAAGAAGCGGTCATTTGTGTCAACAACTAGAAAGGCAAAACAAATGAAGACAGCTTAATATCCTTCAAAATTTCTCATAAAATCTACCACTTTGAGCATGAAATCTAACACAGTATCAGTGCCAGAGATGCCAGATAACCTCTGCATAAATTGGGAGATGTATCTTGGTTTAGCACCTCAAACACACATTTTTATGCTTTGACAGCCATCACCTGACAGACTGTAAAACCTATTTCCAAGCATACTTATACACAGACACACCCATAAACCAAACTACTGCCAAAAAAGTGATTCATAACTCTTATTTTAAGTGGGTGTTGACAATTCTCATGCATCAAACGCAGACGAGACAACGCAGACGGAGGAGCTGCTGCCGAAACGGGGGGCAACGTCGGTTGTGTGGTCGTGGTTTGGTTTTAAAAGGAGCGACACGGAGCAGACCGCTGTAGTTTTATTCTAAGTCAGCACATACATGTAGATCTATATCGATATATCGATATATTCTGATCTGATGAGCGCATTTGGCACGGGTTTGGACACTCCACCTGACTGAATTAACACAGCTGAAACCGCATTAAATTAAATATCCAGTAAACATTCACACATGATGAAGTTAACAAGATACTTAATTCGTCTCCCCGCTTACCCTCCTTCTTCCTCGCGCAGCTTGATAGGTGTTATGCCGTAGAATGCACCCCTGCCGTAGAATGCATCCCCTGCATCCCATCCACTCATTAGCTTCTTAAAGTGGAAAAAAATTATCTCATATTTAAAAAAAACGCGAGTATTGGATCATGACAACATGTCAAATGGAGCAGCAAACTTTAATTCTGTTTTTAGGTATTTAAAAAAAGCACATAGAGAGGTGTACTTGGGTATATAAACTGTACAGTAAGCTGTTAAGGTAGAGAACATTATATTTTCAGGGCAGCAAATATTCCGAATCAGAGGGCTATTGTTTTCGGCATATCTGAATAGCCTGAATGAAATCATTAAAGGCACACGCTTTAGAATCAGTCCAACGGTAAGGAAAACTTGAATTATTCCGCCTTGTTACGTACTTACAACCGTGCTCCCGTCAGGGGTGCATTCTACGGCACAACACCTGACGTGTCCTTGTCCTCTCTCCGTCCTGCTGCAGCTGCGGCAGCGGCTGAACGGATGATTTGTTTCAGTGATCAGATGAGTTATTTACTTCAAGCCTACATACGAATATTATAATATTCAGTTTTGTGAGCCACATTTATTTTATATGCCAACATCTATGAAAGAAAGAGCCAGGCCATGGAGCGCAATGCGTCATTTAGGCACAGATGGTTCCGATTTTAATGCCATTTTTGGAATTTATGTTGTGATCTCTGCGCACAACCCACCTTTGTCATGTGAGGTTTGAATATGTGCAACTTTATGTGAGTGTCCTTATTTGTGGAAAGGGATGTTTGTCTTACCAGTGGGTACAACCTTACACACACCAAATCCATCTGTGCTTATATGAGAGAGTGTAAAGGACGCCCTCTGCAGCGCTTACAGTAAAACTTGTTGAGGGGCTGCCTTCTGTCGCCATCGTGTGGCATTGCTGTCTTCAGACATCTCTTGATCTCTTTGACTACTTCACAAAAATTGTAATACGCCTCGCCAGTGGCGGATTTAAAGGCGAGGAGAGGAGCTGATGTTATTGGTCAATACAGGTCTCGGCTGTGTTAAACCCACTCCACACTCTCTCTCCTCCCTCACTCAAATATTTAGTTACTCAAAATCCGTTCTACATTACATGCTGATGTCATGGGAACGAGCTAGCCTATGGAATGTATGGATTTTCATTTCATTATTAAACCTTGTGGAACTAATTGTTATTTACACAAATGTTGAATTATTGAAAAATGTTATCAATATTTTTCAGAGGGTTCGAAATAAAAGAAGTCTTGTTTAGTAACGTTACTTGTTGAATATAGCATTTAAACTACATTTCCACATGGCAATTTTATATAAACTATGCATCAGTTGAATTTACAAAAAATGTACTATATCATGATGTATATCGTATCGGGATATAAAATGAGCTATATCGGGATATGACCAAAATCTCATACCGTGCAGCCCAACTCACACCTACTATACCCACATTTATTACTCAGTGACTGGTGATTGCAACACTTCATATGTACTATCTCTATCTATAAGGCCCATGTACATCTTGATAATAAGTTGGACTGGTCTAAGAATATAGACTACATCTACAGAAAGGGGCAGAGCCGCCTCTTTTGCCTGAGAAGACTCAGATCAATAGACATCTGTAGTAAGATGCTGCAGATGTTTTATTAGTCTTTGGTGGCAAGTGTTCTGTTCTACGCTGCAGTCTGCTGGGGAGGAAGCATCAAACACAAAGATGTGGAGAGATCTGAGGAAGGTGGAGTCTATTCTCAAAAACATGGATCACCCACTTCACAAAACCTTGATGGACCAAAGGGCCAATGGTGGTGGACCTCTCTCTCTTCGCTGCAGGACAGAAAGATTCAGAAGATCTTTTGTACCAACAGCCAATAGACTTTATAACTCTTGTGTAAATAGTAGATAACTGTTAGAAACATAATTTGTGAGACAACAGACAATTGAATTTCTCTTCGGGGATTGATAAAGTTATTCTTATTCTTAAGGATTTGTAATAGAAGTACAAAGACAACAAGAGAGAAACAATATCATATCACAGCAGTGAATGCTAAATGCAGGACTCACCGTCTCAAAAATAGTCTATTGAAAGACAACATGTGACATTTATTCATGGTACAATTTGAAGCTGAATTTTAAAACCACGGGATGTTTGCCTCCTTTCATGTAAATTAGATTAGTGTGATAGTTATATTTATTTTTTATGATAGTCATATTTGTTTTGATCTAGAATACATTCTATCAGCGAGAACAAAAATCTGACAGTGTGACCCTTTGAAAACATTTTAACTATTGATATGTTTGTGTTTGTAAAGTTGAAGACAAAGTAAATTAGTGTGACTGTTTTGTAAACCATGCATCACTCTACCTTCAATGGTGATAACATGTCAGCACATGCCAGCAACATGGTAAAAACTTGAAAGCGTTGACAACCCCTTTGGTGAAGGAGCAAATATTTCAGAGATGCATTTGACTCCTACATCAGTTTTCATGCTGTTACAGATACCTCTCTGCCAGGTGATCTTGGAAGGGTCGAGGTCCAGACGGACAAAGGTGCTGACTTCCTCGGGTGTAAGAGATGCAGGGTCTGTTTTGTTGATCCCCAGACGCTGAAATTGAACAAGGAGGATGATTAAAGTGTTTTTAGAGAAGTGATGCTTAGGACACAATTTTTTTACATGTGCCCAAATTCCTGCCTTAACTATGGCACTACTGGCAAAACTATTAGTATGTTTATTATTACCCTGATTGCTTTTGGTTCCCTTAGAGATTACATAGCAGTATTAGTATGATATGCCCATATCAGTCCATAACTGATATCATATCAGCATATTTAAGCAAACTCATTCCAAATGAGCTTTTCTGTTAGGTAGGAGGTGTTGCTCTCCTAAAATAGAATTACAATATGAGCAAAAAACATAGTGTGTGTGGGCATTTTAGGAAAAGCTCACTGAGGTCCCCTAGTGGACAAAATTTTTAATCATAGGGGAGCTAATCCCTCAAATCCTTTTAGCCTGAAATGCTTGTTGACATTAAGGATTTTGGCTTTGCAGGGATCAGACTTACATTCAGCCTGGAGATCTGAATAGGGGAAAATCTTCTCACTCCATTCACTAAAGGGACCAGCCTGTTGAACAGAGCCTAGAAAGTATAGAGCAAAACAACGACATTACATTTGAGTGGTTATGTGTATAAAAAGTTCAATAGATTTCAGCATAAACACAACACAAATATGTCTCTCATTGGAATAAGTCACACTAAATGCACAACAGCAGCTGTTGTCAAGGTTGTGATGGCTCATCGCAACTCCTTCATGCTCTTACAAGGATAAATGAATGTTTATTGTCTCTTTGGCATGTTGAAGCTGTTCTGTAAAGATAAAGTTACATCATGAAATAATTTGTCTGATGTATGTTGATGTGTTAGACACGGGTCAGGAATGTGTAATTCCTAAGCCCTGGATACCAAAACGAGTTATTGAACTGGTAATTTTATAGATAAATTCACATCTACCACAATGCAAATGCACTTTCTTAAATCTCTTGGAATATAACACTGACATAGAATGAAGCCTTGAAGCATGTGCAATACCAGAAAAACTGGCATTTTATCTTTCAAAGTTTCAGGCCAAAAAAAGATTCAATCATATAAGTTGAACTGAATTAGATTCATCTGGTGTCATCATCAAACAGTCACCTTGTCTGATTGTGTAGCCTCGTGAAGCATCCTGGCATCGATGGCTGCTGCCAGCAGGTTATTGGCTGCTGTAATTGCATGAATGTCACCAGTCAGGTGGAGGTTAAACTGAAGGGTGAGACAAAAAAGAAAGAGAGAAGAAGGGAAAAAATACAGAGACAGAGAATGGAGGGATAAGAAACAAGAAATAGCAGTAATGTTTCACAGTGGTGTATATTGTTGGATTACATGCCCCAGTGAAAACAAACTCTTTGACAATGAGGGCTAAATGGCTGTACTCACATAGTATGGACTCACTTCAAACAAGCTACACTTTTCCCAGGTTCAACTCTGTCCCCCAGGTATTCAAAAATATTTGAAAAAATAGTCTGTTTGTCTCTCTGTGTAATATGAGCTCTATAATTTAAAGGAAATTGCAGAAAAGAGACAAAGAGGAGTACTGAATAGAAAAACATTAAAGAGTGTTTTGATATAAGGCAAGGAGTAACCCTTTTTCAAGGCCATGTGTCTGTGCCTTAAACACTCCCTTTTCCCACCCTGTCTCACATTCAGTCTCTTTCGTCACATGTTATGCCACGTTATGCCACAGCTCCAGGGGTTGAATATGCGTGCATACATTTGTGTTTACTTGCAAACTAGTGTGAGTTTCATCATGTCTCAGGCCTTTGAAGCCTGAGCTTGTCCTGTGAGGAAGAACTGCAAGCATCTGTGTGTCTTACCTCCTCCATCGGAATGACCTGGGCATACCCTCCTCCTGCAGCTCCCCCTGGGTACAGAGAAGAGGCAGCACAGTCAGAGGCAGACAAAAGAGTAATGCTGGGCGCTGGACTGAGTGAACCACTCCACCCCAAGACTAAATGTAGCAGGATTTGAGACACAAGCCTCATGCTGGTAAAGATAGCTTATCACACAGTTACTTGAAACATTTTTAACTGATGCTTTGGGGCCCCTGTCTCTTACCTTGTACAGAAAAGCATTCAAGAGGAGTAAGAGCTCAATAAAAAGTTTCAGTCAAAAATAAAATCCGTCTTTGACTCTGAATCCTTCTTAAGAATGCAACCAAAGCTGGTGTTCACCATAGAGTTTCCTTGCAAACTACTTGAAGATTCTTAAAAAAGCCATCCAGATAAGCGGTAACTGTATTGTTTGACTGGTACCATGAAGTTGGGAGTACAGCAGAGTGCACTGTACGATTGATGACATGTAATATACAAAACAACAAGGACCTTGGTATTCATACCTTTAACCCCAAAGGTGGGTCCCTGGGAGGGCTGTCTGAGGCAGGCAAATGAGTTCAGCTTAAGGTGTGCAGACAGAGCCTGGACAAGGCCGATGGTCACCGTGCTTTTACCTTCACCCAAAGGGGTGGGAGTTATGCTAAGTAAAGAGTACATTTTCAATGTAAGAATACATCATATTAAACATGTTTATGTCACACAATCACATTTATTCAGCGTTGAGGCCAACTTTATTTCTATCTTAATTTAAATACCAATGACGTTTTACGATAAAGAACAAACTAGTGAGTAAATCAAAAGGTTCTACTCACCCAGCTACTATAACATATTTTCCATCAGGCTGTGTGTGGAGGCGGTCTAACAGAGAGAGTCCGACCTTAGCTTTACTCCTGCCATAGGCTTCAAGCTCTTCAGGCAGCAAACCAATTTCTTCAGCCAGCTGGGTCACTAGTTTGGGAGTCTGAGCTCTAGAAATCTCTATGTCACTGACGGATACAGGATCAAGATATTCAAACACATTTGACTTTAATGAATTGCATAAATGCACAAAGTCTCACACAATTTTAGCCTTATTCTTAGAGCGCTTGGATATAGTGTCAGCACAGACACAATAGATTCAGGTAGATGTGGTTAAATTCAATTCAGTCATTCATACATCTGGATACAGATTCAAAGAATTCACTATAATTCATCTTTCTAATTAAGAAAATAAACTCGTCCACATGGTTGGATGTCAGTACAACTGAGTCACAATCAGTCAGCAGAAAACACCTGCTCAGAAGGCACTGATGTGTGGTGTGCACATTGACTGGCATACCAGCTCTGCTAGTGTTAAAAATCTCAGACATTCTCAACCTCTATGTCTTGGTTGTTAGTGGAAGCTTTTATGTATCAGTACCCTCCAAATAGAGCACACTAAAACCTGGTACACAGCTGCACATCCTGGCTGACCATCTCTGCTGTGTGCAACACTTTGAGCCAGTTGGCTTGCAATGAAACATGCTTGAAATGTAAAATACCACCCTAATAGCAGAGTGTAATATGAGACCACAAGTTGTTTATATCTAACAGCTGGAAAATCTGACAAAATCACTGGCTTCAAGTGCACTTTTCACAAACAACTGCTCGATGCTCAATTCTTAACATCACTGATACTAGCTCACACCTTGGCACAGGGGTCAGAGGCTGCAGTTTGAGGGTACGCAGACACCAGGGTTGGTACTGCTGATCCTGGAGCCACCGGCTACAGCCACGCACCACATTCTAGTAGACAAAAAGTAGAGATAAAGAAAGTAATGAAAGAATGGATGGGTTAACAGAGAATGTCATTTGCAAAACAAGTGAAAGCTTGGACAGAAATAAAGAGACAAACCTGTGTCCTGTAAGCTGCTGTGAGGTATTCTAAACCAGACTTTGAAGGCATCACATTTGCATTATCTAGAATTGAAATGAAAATATATATTTTTATGCTATAAACTCACTGATTCCATTCTAAATGTTTCAGTTTAAATAATCATGATGCAATGCCAAAAAGTGTAATTTTTTCTTAAGTATACTTCAAACTGATGCAAACTGATTGTAATGAAAATGAAAGAAAATATACTCACAACAGATGACAGCAGCTCCTGGTCTAATCCATGAAGGAGGTATATCCATATTACCTGCTCCAAACAGCACCACAGCGTCAGCCTGCATCACCTATGGGATAAAGATAGAGAGGCACCGAAACAATAGGAGTTTAGAGGGAGATGAGTTTAACAGTGTGATGATGCAGAGCAGTGCTTGTTGTTTGTGTATGACTGACAAAAATAACTAATGACAAATGAATCCACAAAACCAAATAAAAAGGGGGCCATATAATGTTCTTTCAATTTTACTTAGATTTTCTCCTCTGTCTGTGTTTTGTTTTGGTTTACTGGATGAAGAAATGCATCACATTGTACTAAAGGGTGCAATGATAAAGAGCTGTGTTTAAGAGTATGACTGATGTTGTATTTGGAAGAGCCAACACTGACTTTTAGTGGTTAATCACTGTAACTGCATAAATGAAAAGTTTAAGTGCAACCATTTATTAAGACAATAGATTAGTTGATTGAAATTTGGGCTCTTTTTATTTAACTTTGGCTTTTCTTGGGATGTGTATTTCCAAATAAATAATATTAGAAACTCAAGAAGAAGAAGAAGAAGAAGAAGAAGAAAAAGAAGGGAAAATATAAAGAAGACCATGACCACAAACAAAGGACACACCAAAACTTCTTTCATGCTATTATTGATATATTACATTATATTTCCTGGCATGTTTGCTTTTTGGCAGCTGAAGAGAGACAAGAAATGTGGGGAGGAAATGCAGGAAAGAGACATGGTTGAGGGTTGAACCAGCAACATCTGTGACAAGGGCTATGGCTTATATACACTGAATTCACTGAACCTGCTATGCCAACCAGCGCATAGGAAGCATATGGGTGTAAACTGGCATACAAAAAATACAGACTTTGTGAAAAATAAAGTTCACTCATCACATATACACAAACCTACTTGTCTCTGTAGGCTCTCGGAGCTCCAGTGACTCTTGAGTGCTACCATGCCACTTCTTCCGATCAGGCACTGCAGCATGACACCCAGGGGTTCTTCTTCTCCAACCAGTAGCACAGTTTTCCCATCCAAAGGAGTGTCTGAAGAACACATTTAAAACATTATTAAAACAACTGCTGGTTATTTTCAGTTACAGCCAGACATTTAAAGTTTGTATTAAATGCTTAGGCCGTTGATTTAAATGTGGGTTATTTATTAATTGCACAATGTGCGAAGGAGAATTTACGTAACTGTTGCCATCATTAACTCATCGTGTTAAACTACTTTGTACACTTCTAATCTACTGTTAGTAAATGTTATTCCCTTCTTACATCCTCTACAACTACGACTGCTGCCACTGGACAACTATTTATCATTTTCTAACCAACATGTTCTTTCAAAAACTGCATGACATAAGTTACCCTGTCTTGCTACAAGGGAACTCTGAATAACTATGACATAACTTACACCTGAACTTTGACCCGTGCCCTCTGAACCCCAGTGAGAGTCTCAAACTGTGGTGGTGAGTCAGGTCTTTTCTTGTGTCTTTGACTGAAATCCTTTTGGTGCACTGAGGTTTGGAATTTGCTGCAGATACTCTCTCACTTAGATTATGGCATTTTAACTCTTCTGTATTTGCTCAAAAACTGTACCGTATTTTTCACACTATAAGGCACACCTGATCATAAGGCGCACAATCAATGAAAGCGTCTATTCGCGTCTATTTTCATACATAAGGCGCACCGGATTATAAAGCTCATTAAGCCAAAAAAAACAGTCAGATAAGTCAAACTTTATTTAACTCATTCAATAACTCTGCAAGGCTACGGTGGCTGCAGTGCTCCGACAAGCCAAAAGGATTTTAAGTGCGACTCATAGTGCGAAATTATTCTTTATTATTAGTTATTCTTTACAGAGTATCATTGAGATAGAAACACAAGGTGTGTTAAAATTCAAAACGGAAAAAAAGTGTATTAAAACAGATCAAATGACATTCAGAAACATAAACTATTGCAGCAGTTTATGCAGCAACCATTTCTTAAATGGCAGCTTTAAGTGTCATGAGAGAAGTACTAATTTTGATTTAAAGTACTGTTCATGGACTTTATCTGGCTGTAAAGAAAACAAAATGTATTATCACAACTTTTTCATAACATTTTTAGTTAGAATGTATAGGCTGCACATTACTGTTCACAGTTATAATAAGTTCACACAATGCTTTTGATACACATGCAATGTTAAAGCAAAGTCATTGTTTTAAAGATCAGAAACAGGACTGTTACTGCTAAAAATATCCCATTGTTAATTTTTTCTTTAACGAGTCACTGCAAGTTTCTAATTATTTAAATGCTAGGTAATTTTCAAGTAATAATTACAGCCATGCTATTTGATACTATAGAGCTCTTCCCAGAAACTCACCATGTTTTTCCAGCAGATCCAGGACAGCACTGCCCAAAGGCGGCACAAAACCTTTGCTCAGGTCTCCTCGTACCACACGGCCCACATTTAAATCAGTTATCCTGACACAAGACCAAATTGACATAAAGACATTAGTTAACACTTTACTTGATGCCTATCTCTATAACGCATTATAAATATATGTATACTGCTTTATGATCACGTTATAGCACTGTATAAGTGTAGTTATAAACACTCATAAATGATCATAATGCTTTATAGCAATAATCATAACACATAAAGCATTTCATCATGACTTACAAGGTCAGGTATTATAATGTGATGTTTCATCAATACAATCAGACATTTCAAATGCATTATACGTTCAAAAATAAATAAATGCATAAATAAACTAGAAAAGCACTCTGAGAACGCAGACCTCCGCCAAGCAGCTCACAGTATCCGGAATTTTGTCTGGATCTGGATCAACCTTTGACACCTCATAAAACTCATTGAGATCATTTTGTGTAATTTTTTACAAAAAACTCTGGCTACTTTTATAGAGTTAAATGCAAAAATTCCAAAATTTGCCCTATCTCACAATGATAAAGAATCCTTCAAAAAATTCCTGGATCCAGAAGGCGATCCGGATCACCACCAAAATGTAATGGGATCCTCCTGGGGCTGAGACAGACCTCTGGTGAAAATTTCAGGTCAATCCGTCTGTAACTTTCTCCGTAAAGTTGCTAACAGACAAACAAACAAACCAACAAACAAACCAACAAACCAATGCTACCAAAAACAGAACCTCCTTGGCAGAGGTAATTATACCTGTTACTGATTACCGCATTACCCTGATTACTTAGGGTGCCTTTCTAATTGTGTAAGTAATTAGCTGCTGTAGGCACACACTGCATCGTCATTCAGTCATAATTCTGTGCATCCCTCTCATATTAGACCCAAATGTAAAACACCATGTGAGAACTCTTATCCCTCTGTGGGCAGAGAAACCACACAATTACGACTTGGCAGACTTTTGATTAAAAAGACCACTGCATGAATATAAAATCACACATGAGGTAACTTTTGAAGGGAAAATAGAATATCTGTGAAAGGAAAAACTACTGTAAACTAAAACACCGAACTTAAACAGCATGTGTACATGGATAACATATTGTTGTCTCTCTAAGTGAAAGCAGAAAGCTGAGTAGTTTGAAATACTATGTGCATGTTTGTACCCTTCTACATCCTTCTCAGGCTTTAGTGTGTTCAGCACTCGACTGGTGAGTTGAGCAGGGGGAAGGTGGAGGTAGACTGCGTGTACCCGGGGGTCTTCATTGAGCTTCAGCACCTCCTCCACAATCTATACATGTGCACAAACACACACACATGCAAAAAAAATGACTTAACAGCAGAGCAGCAGTAAAAAAGTAACATGTTTGATTGTTAATAACAGATGTTTTAGCATGAGATTTATCTGTTTATAGCCTACTCCCATTCTCACCTGTTAAAGTTAATACCATATTGTTACCTTATGAATTAGGTATGAACAGTAGATGAGTTGTGAAAGAAAATTCAAGGGATATGGTGGTTTTTATTGTTTGGGACAGATATTTTGTGCTGATGGCAAAGCACATGGTGGGAAACGAACTGTGTACATTTCTTATTGTTGTAAAAGCACAAAGATAATTATTGCATTATATTATCCCTTTGATCGAGCTGTCCATGTTGCTTGGCCATGATGCTGACATGGCTTTACCTGTGCTGCTACGCCCCTTACTAATGTCATTAAAAAAAAAAGTGTCATTATTGCCCATAGGTATCATTGCTCATTTTACTAAATATGTGCAAAGCCCCCTAAATGTCAAATCGGTGGTAATATTTCCAATGTTAAACCAGTGGTAATATTTCCACATTCATTTATAATAATGGCTCAAGGGTTGGAAAAAGGGGATGATTTTGACCATTTTTTTCAACATGAGTACTGAGTATGCATAATAAATGTATAGAGTAAACAGGAAAAAAAAACACTTCAACTGTAGCAGGTCACGCAACTGACAAAGCCTCAAGTACAGACATCGATTAGTGTAAAGATAATCATTCCATGTCACTGCATGTGTCTGAGCTTTTTCTGTCACTGTGGATTAAGAAATCACTGGATGCTAGAGGCTTTATTAAGTCAAAAAGAAAGCTTTAAGTATGTACTGGGTCAATAGAAAAATTAAGTTTTAGTCATTAAGCAGAGTCACAAAAATGTGTGAGGTGCTGGTTGACTCTACACTTTATTCAACCACAATCACTACATGCTGCACAGAAAAAAGCTAAGGGAGTGGTAAATTATGCACTCACTTCCATTACAATGAGTAAGTGGATAGGAGTAGGAGGTTTTACTCTGGCTCAAAACCACTGAGGGCAATACACCAATAATGTGAGTCACCTTGACTTACTTCATCACTACTGCAGTCCTTCCCTAAACAAATCTGTGTGACGTTTAAGCCAATCTGTGAACACATAAACAAGGAGAGGATGAACAATTTGGGTTTGTAAAAAGCTCAAATATATAGTGTTTAGATAAAGATATACATTCAAGGCAAGTTTATTACCTTGCCAGCCATTTTCTTGTTGATCTCCAACAAGCTGTCATCTTCACCTGCCTTCAAAATAAAAGTCAACACTGACCTAATTAAAAAAGGAAACTTTAAACAGTTACAGATAAAGCAGATAACCCTCAAGTTAAAGGTTAATAAAAGTAAGGCAGACGTATTCAGTCAACAACTGTTACAACACAACTTATCCCAGTTGAATTGGCTTTAGACTCTTTGCACCAGAAGGCCACCTTTTATAAAATTACACCATGTAAACTATTAAACCATACCTGTATAATGGCTAACAATGGCTGGACTGTGGGATTTTTTCTTTGTAAAGACACCATTGCCTCCTTGGTGCTCTCAACCACTTCTCTGTGGAAGAAAATAAACCCATAAGCAATGCCCATTAATTTATTTTGTGCAAAAAAGGTCAGGTTAAACACATGTAGGATACCGTATTCCCCAGGATTATACAAAGACATATTCCATAGAGAAGTTGACCACAATTGGAACTTCAATATAATCATAAAATTATAATTTAAAAACAATAAGGGTCTTTGGTTGTGCTCTGCTCTGCGTATCAAAAGTCCTTATTTTTTATTCAAACTAAATAATTTCCCGTTTACAAATACAAGTATTTTGCTGAAATTATTATCCTCATTTCAACGGCACAAAACACATTTCAAATGGAGCAATCTTACCCCAATAACAATATACCATGGATCCATAATACCGCGATATGACAAACAGATACCACTTAGAGACAGTACAGATATGAGATTAAGTTACATCCATTGACCACCTTTCCAAGAACGTGATAATATGAGGGCGGGGCTAATGTAATCATGAATAGAGTTAACATATTGACCTACTTACGACATACAATGTAAACATTTACCTTTTACATCCTCCCTTTAAAAGTTATCTTCATTTCTTTTCAGTTTGGCACGGTTTTGTAGTCATTGTTAAAATGCCCCGACTACTTTCCAGAACATATCCCCAACAATACAAAACATGAGGCCTTGGCTAACATGCATGCAGTGATGCTAAAGCTGCATAACGTTATTCAAACCCTTTAAAACGGCCCCGTTTCCTGATAGAAGTTTTCAGATACGTTCATTTTGAATTCGGTAATCATTTCATCTTCACGTGTTGGGCAACAGCAGAGAAAAGTTACATCAGCTGGCAGGAGACCATCTGATGCACGTGCAGAAGAGGCTGCGTCTGAAACGTCGCCAGTTACATAGGAAGTAGCTGACAATGGTTACCGGCTGAAGTTGGGCAGAAAATAATACGTGATACGTGAAATAAACACGTGATGTTTTTTAAGGTCCAACTCTGTCAGTTTTGGTAATAAATTACACAAAGACTGCAGTATTTAACCTATGTGTATGTATGCAACACCTTAGATGTACACATTTCTTACCGCAGAGAACTGTCGAATTCAAACCCATCGTCCGACTGCGACTTTCTTACAAAGTTGACGGCTATTTTGGGACTAGTGCCTCCGCCAGAAGAAGCGCTGGCCGTCCGGAGGATCAACCGGCTGTTAGCAGGACCCACCGGTAGGCATCTTCGCGACAAGCCGCTGACCCTGCTTCCTGAACTGACTGGATGTATGCGGTGGCTGCCACAGGCACTGCGAATTATAGACAACTTCATAGCTATTCTCTCCTCAATTTTACTCAAGTCTTGGTAGTTGGTATGTTACCCTGCTCTGGCAAACAGCGGTGTTACCTACAGTTGCAACCTCTGGGGGAGTGTAGAAGAAAGTTGTGGTGGTAACAGGGTCCTGATGGAGGCACGTTGTCTCCAATTACAGTCGGAAATTTTAGTTTCAGAGTGCGACAACGGCGAAAACAAAAAATGTAACAATAAATACTAATACTGGTAAAACAAAACTCTAAATAAAGCAAAACAGAATTCATCTTTTCGTTTGGAAAACGGCACTATCAAGCTTAAAACCTTTGTAGGATTTCAGAACTTAGGCATTTTCCGATTGACCAAACAATGTTAAAACAATTATCTGTTTCCTAAAGTCACCGCAAGACGCAGTTGGCTGTATCGCCACAAAAAAAACCACAGTATACAATATATTTAAGAAATGGGGCTCGTTTGATACGAACGCGTGTGTTTTTGTTTCACATTGAAAAAATACGAGGCACACTTGAAAGTAGCAGCCCTGGGAGATTGAGCACGCGTCTACACGTGCTACACATCACACACGGAGCTGGGGAAAGTCTCGAAGTTCGCTAGATTGCCTATTTTTTAAGCTTTGTTTAAACTCCTGTTGGTAGATCTGGATTTTTTTTCTCTTGTTTGTTTTTATTTTGATTCAATTTCAAGCACAAATATTTTCTCTTAGGATTGTTGTACGTTTTATCTTCATGATACTCACACTGCTGAATCACACGTTTCCATTTAGTTTGCCTACCAGTTAGGCACAGCGACAGCTGATTGTCACCATGCAGAAATAAGTTTCCACTCTTCATTGCCACTGTGTGACATCCCCGCTGTACTTCCATTGTGCTTATGACCCATTAGAAGTTTGGAGGACTCACTGTGACTGAAACTTTGGGCTTTATGCTGATAATATTAAGTATATTTTCCAACTTCGAATGGTAAACATTTTACAGCATCGCAGCCCAGGCAAAGTGAGCTGAAAATATAGAATTAGTAGCATGATAGTAGTCCCAAGGAGGTAGCTATGAAAGGAAGTCTATCAGTATGTAAACACGTCTCAAATGTATGTTGGCCACTTACAGAAAATGTAATCAAATTATATGGAATTGGAGTGCTTCTTTTAAAGTGGCCAAAGTACTTGAAATAAGATACATCCGTACGGTGGGCACTTTACTTCATTTGGAGTTATATTTTTTTCTCTCTGCCTACAAACCATACAATCACCAAACTCAGTCAGCACCAACATTCAACCATTTGTTTATTTCGTTAGAGAGGGAGAGGGGCTTTGAGACGCCCTTTCCTGTTAGTTTTAGTTATCTTTGCCCCCCAAATATAATGCCCCATACACCCGCACATATCTGTGTTTATTCCCCTCCTCGTAAAAAGCCTCAAGGAAAGAGGGCACTGCCGTTTAAAAGAATTCCACAGCCGTTTGGGCGTGCCAGTGAAAATCATATCGGAGTGAGGTTAGTTTTAAACATGACGTATTTTCACCTGCGCCTGGGTCTGCCTCCATGAAGACTATCACTGCAAACTGGAGTCATGTAGCTATAGGGACTGCGGTCCACCGCCTGCGTATGAGTAAAATTGCTGTCAAAACCTATATCTTGTGCTTTATCTTTTCGCCTTTTAAAAAGTGACTTCTTAATTCGGCAAAATGCCAAGTGAGTTCAAACGTGCACTCCTCAGTGCACAGCATCTATTTTAGCCCCGTCCTATTCAATCGACGCTCCTCTGAGGCCAAACCAACCGTTCTTCATTCCTGAAATCACGTCATCACAGTTGCACGATGTGGCGCAATCCTTCACTCTGACAAAACCACAACTGAATACCAGCTCCAAAGATAGCTACATTTCGCACGTTGGGCCCTTTGTTAATGCTCGCATCCTAGAGAGGTAGACTTGGTGATAACTCCAAAATGGAGCTGTGGCACCATGTTCCTCTAACGTCGCAAGAAAAGGTCTGAGGAAGATTAAACAGGTACGGAGGTTTAACTTTATGTTTTAATCATCTACTACATTGATAAATCTTTATGCGGATGCCAAAGACACGATTACCGTTTATTTAGCGTGTGCTTTGGTCTGCCAAAATATGTGCTTAAATTCGTGTGTCGTTCTTGGGTCCTAGAATTTATAATCTAGCTTTATTCTAACATAATGTGTAATGTTATAACGTGAATCTTGTAGTCTACCATGCGAACAATAACTTAAAACCCTTATTAAACATTCAAGCTCCAAGATTGTGGTTACCTGAAAGTATTTGAAAGCATGTCAAAATTAGGTTTTTCCCCTACAATGAAAGACTGTTTTGAAGGGCTATTAATTATAGTGAGTGATCATATATCAAACCTTGCAGTACTTCAGAGGCTTTAAACATATCTGAAATTTGACAGTTTATCCACTAGATTTCATCTTGACATTTCTTATCAAGATTATCACTCTGCTAGAAACAGGAAGAGACAACAGCTTTCACAAAGTCTGGAGGCTTTTGCGTCAGTAGATTTTGATTTGTGCCCTTTTATTGATTTATTTACTCTTTTTTATATATAAAAAGGTTGTTTTGAGGTAGAGTACTGAGATATTCTTGTATCTGATGCACATAATCTGTTGATGCTTGTGAGATTAAAAGTCTAAATAGATGTCTGGAGAAAGACTTCAGATGCATCACACATTTACAGAACTAGTTTGGTGGAGAGTAACACCTCTGACTATTCTTCGGAGAACCTGTTATGCCAGTGCTGGGTGGGTAAGAGCTGAAAGAAAGAGGAAAGGCTTTTACACAGGCATGACAGCTTAAAATAGATACCGGGTGTGTTTAAACTTGCAAATTAAGGGATTGTTTTCTGTTTGGAACTTGAATTTACTCTTCTTTTCTTCACATTTAATTTGCTTAAGATTTTTGTTTATCTTCCAGATCAGCCTTCTTTGATGAGTTGTTGTCACCAATGTGTGATCTAAGAGGGAGAATAACCATAGAGAGTGGATCATCTTAACACCCTAAGCCTTCACTTTGTGATCTACAGCCAAATCATGAGGGACCGACTGAGCCACCTCCAGGAAATGTCTAACGGCCATGTGGCGCAAATGGAGTTTGCAGAGACCACCGTCTCTGACTCCTTCAGCAACGTGGACTTGGAAGAAGAGCTGCCACATGAAGCAGTCGTGTTTGACAACAGCCCTGCTCTGGATGAAGTCTTTTCCCAGTCGCAGGAAGTCCAAAGGGAGATCCAGCTCATCCGTCTTGATGTCAAAAGGCTTCGTGAGCAGAACTCGCGAATAACTCAGGGCGTCACCACCATGAGCACAATCAAAAGGGATTCCAATGCTATCGGTGCTGACATAAAATCTCGGGCAGAGGGGGTGCTGAATCATCTGCAAGAAATTGAAGGTACAGCCCACAAGCTGGAAGAAGCCCATGGGCCACATTCTGCCATCACACGAATCGCCAGAACCCAGTATGCCGGCCTCAGCAATGGTTTGCGGGATGCCATGTTTGACTATAATGAGGCTGAGATGAGCCATCGAGAGAACTGTAAAGCTCAGATCCAGAGGCAGATGGAGATAGTGGGGCGAGAGGTCACTGGAGAGCAGGTGGAGGAGATGATTGAGCAAGGCCAGTGGAACATCTTCAATGACAACATCATGTCTGAGGGAAAAACGGCACGATCAGCTCTGTCCCAGATTGAGAAACGGCACCAGGAGCTGTTGGACTTGGAAAACCGCATCCAAGGCATCCATGAGATTTTCCTTGATGTTGCAATGCTGGTGGAGGAGCAGGGCCCCATGATTACCTCCATCCAAACCAACGTACAGAAAACAGATGAAGGCATACAGGATGCCCTTGTCAAGCTCCGCAAGGCCAAACGCCATGACAATAACAACCCCTTTAAGAAGATGTTTTGCAGCTGTTTCCCATGCTACAACTCATGACTAAAAAGAACAGTTGTGAGAGGAGGTGGAGCAAAATATGCAGAGTTTTCTAAAGAGAAAAGAGAAATCTTAAGAAAAGAAATCACTAATGCTTTTTATGTAAAACATTCAACATTTTCCCACCGACTATTGCATAAAAGTCTGGACAGATATATCTTAACGTGGTTAACTTACCCAAAGAGAGAGAAAATGGTCTCAGAAAATATTATCTATGGTTTGATGGTATGCAGAGCATCTGCATGAGGGAAGTTTTCAAAATAACCCAACACTAAGACTGTCAGACATTTTCTCAGAAAAAAATAAAACATAAAAAAATATTCCTGTGCAGGGGCTGTTTATCAAAATGATTCTTCATGCAGTGAATTGCTTGAATAGTTAACCTTGTAAGAATTCATAGGGCATTCAGGTCAATCCAAACGAGGCTTAACCAGACATCTGATTTTCTTGATGTACAGCTATGAGTGAATGTCCCAGACACGTTACATGGTGACATTCTTAATTCAGTTGTGAATATGTTCTGCTCCATAATGTATTTAAATTTGGAATTTCTTTGTGTAAATGTGTAACTGTAATTATAACTGTACCATTATGTGTTGAGGGTGTTGTATGATACTCAGACCCTCTCTTCCATAATTTCTCCCACTTTCTCTGCAGGGACAGTAGTCCTACTGGGTTTTATTTAGGTGCATGTCCTGACTTTTTTTTACTGGTATTAACAAACTGGAGCACTGATATAGACTGGGGTGACACACATTATTGTGTTTTCCCCCGGGGATGAATAAAGTTCTTCTTCCTCTACTAGCATTTACCCATTCTGTTCGTACCACCTACTTATCTAACTACTGTGGGACTCAACTATACGTTGTGCATATTTTTTTTCTTTAAAATGAACACAAAACACAACATATCTTCTTAACTACATTTTCAAGGATTCAAAAAAGATGTTTTTCAAAAGATACAACCTTGGGCACCAGCTAACACACCTTTGACAACTGACAGTATCATAAGAGCCACATCTGACAAGGCGATTAGCCAATCACAGCTTTGAGTTTTGGGGCGTCATCTAGGCATCTCAAAGGGGGCCAGTGCCACTACCTTAGATGCACCCCTGGATTTACCAACAGTCTGTATGTCATGGCTGAGTTTTGTAGTGTACAATAATCTGTTTAATTTCACTACTATTTTATGAATTCAGATCCATGACTTCTGTCTTCTCTGTGCTTTCATATAAAATATAAAGACTTAAGATCAAGATGAGTCTGGGCTGGTTTTTATTCAAACACGGAAAATAAAGACCTATCAAAGTGCAGTTTTTAGTATGATATTAACTCTACCAAACTGATTTATGATCCAAGTCATTATGCCTCCTACCAATCAGTGCAGCTTGTACTGACATTGTCCTGCGGCACACAATCAAATGCTTCCTTGGTGTTTTATTCAGACCTTTCCTGAATCCTTCAACAGTAATTTTTTCAGACTTGATTGACTTAGTCTCTTGTTGCCTGTGGTGAAAAATAAGTGAACCATCAAAAAAACATTCACCTCCCCCTCAGGAAGTGTTATGTGGCAGGAGGAAGGCTCATGCCTGTCACCTGCAGAGGGGTTGTCTAACGCATGTTGAACACAGCACACAAAACTTCGTTCTTCAGACTAAGAAGATGTGATCCTGGACTGTCTTGGACCACATAATTTAGGCTGCAACAAATTGAAGAGATTGATTTTTCTTTCAGATAGATTTTGGGGCTTCACTCACAAAAGGTAAGACTCTTTGGTGTTTGTCATTAATCTGAAGTCAAGCAGAGACACCTGGAGACAGGAGGATAATTAATAGCATTCAATTAAAACTTCACTGCAAAAGCAGTTTAGAAAGATAGTTATGATTAAGCTGCCGTTTAGATAATCACAGAGAATTTCTATTATACTTCTGATCAGCTTTTTTCAGTTATTTGTAGGGTATGAGGAAATAGTTTTTCTGTAACAACTTATTAAATTAAAAGCAAAAGGAAAGGCAGTGATTTGAATATGCATTAAAACTTAGAGGAGATATTTTAAGAACAAACCTATCAAGATTAAAACAGTACAACTCTTTTTTTTGCGGTGTGTGTGGTGGTGGTGGTGGTGTGTGTGTGTGTGTGTGTGTGTGTGTGGGGGGGGGGGGGGGGGGGGTCAAAATTCAACGTTGGACAGATGACTGTCAAAAAAAAAAAGTAGAGTCTTCCTTGTTCCTGGTTTTTGACATTCCTATGCCTGTGACCTGTGACTGCTGCCATTGTTGCTCAAAACAGAAGAAAAAAAAATCTTACAATCTAAAGGGACATAAAATAATACAAAATAATTTTCAACTAATAAGCTTTTATTTATCTTTCGGATTACTACATCAAGGTGATCATAGTTTTGTCTCTAACTAGTGTATCTGCATATATTTCAAGATGTTGTGCATCCCTGCAAACCAACAGAATAAGTGTAAACATAACTGTCTTGATGATATAGCCTGCCAAAAAAAGTGGTCTCCTATGGTCAACTTACCCCGTGTATGGGGTAGGTTGACGATAGGAGTGAGGTAAGTTGAGCCGTATACCTACTACCCTCCCACTCTCCACCCCAGCCCTCCCTCACCTTCTCTCTCCCTAAATAACAGTCACTTCTTCACATTCATGTGTATTTTGATCTATTATACACTATTCAACTAGTACAATAATTATTTTTATTTTTATTGCATATAACAGCTAAAAAGCTGTTCTAAAAAAACATTTTAACATGAGAATGCCTTTAAGTGATTCAGAACATTCACAGCTGTATTTTTGAATAGAAAAAGTAACACATTTCAACAATCTGAGTTGAAACTCTGATCCTCTCATCATATTTCTTTACTTTTTCAGTTGAGCCACTGGCTTAACTTACCCCAGAACTACTATTATGACTTTATTAGTCCTCCAAGCTAAAATGGTGGACATTTATGCTAGGTTTTTTACCTCATGTTGTAGCTCATAGATACCACAATTGATGTATAAAACAAATTTAAAATGATCTTTTTTGGTGTGAACACAATTATAATAAAACTTATGACAGACTAAATTCACTTTCAAGAGTGAAAAATGTTTTTTTGGAAATAAATGTCTAACCCCTTCACCCATGTGCTTCTAACCTTCACAGGCTCCATGAATTAATGCCCATCTCCTGAATATTTGGTCACATGATCAATTTCTATTGCAATTTCCAAGCAACAGGGGATGGCTCAACTTCCCCTTTGGCTCAGCCTACCCCGCTCTCTCCCATCCAGAGCTTTTAGTAACTGGACAATATGAAATCAGTAAAATTCTATCAATTTGACATAGCTTTGAAGCTTCAGTGGTTTTCAAACTCCAGGGTGCAGTTGTACTACTTTGTATTGCCATCAAAGCCCCCACCCTTAGGTATAATTGTTCATATCTGGTGAATAACCACCTTTTTTTTTTTTTTTGCCCACAGGCAGAATGCGGGACATGCTTGAGAGGCTCCAGACTATTAGTGAAGAGCAGGGGGACTACGAGCCATTTTTTTATGGACCTGAGTATGATGTGGACAGGGTGACACTGTCTCAAGAGGCAGTCTTGTTTGAGGATCCCTCACCTCTGGACAAAATCTTAGAGGAGGCAAACTCGATTCGCAAAGAGATCTCTCTGCTGCGATTAGAGGTAGAGCGACTGTGCATAAACAATGAACGCTTTGGCACCTCTGTGCGGCGCTTTAGCCTTCTCAAAAAAGACTCTGAAACCATCGCTAGGAGGATCCAGCAACATGGGGAGGCTTTGTACTCCCACCTTCAGGCACTGGGTAGAGAAAGAGCCGGGCTGGAGGAGAAAGAAGGTCCTAACTCTGCTGTCAGCCGAATTGCAAGAGTTCAGTATGACACCCTTTCCCAGGCCTTCCATTCTGCCATGAGGGACTACAACGATGCAGAGGAGATGCAAAGGAGGACATGTCGGGGAAGGATCAAGAGACAGGCTTCCATACTAGGGACAGATATTAGTGATGAGCAGCTGGATGTGATGGTGGACAAAGGTGGGGAGGGCTGGGCCAAGCTGTCCCACAGCCTGCAGATACAAGGTGCTCGCACATCCCGCTGGGCACTGTGTGAGATTAAAGGGAGGCACAAGGAGCTGGTGGAGCTAGAGGTCAGGCTGAAAGAGGTTCATGAGCTGTTCCTTCACATGGCCATTCTTGTGGAGGATCAGGGGTCCATGATCAATAACGTTGAGGCTCATGTGTGTACAACTGAAGAATATACAGAAAGGGTCAATGAGCAAATCAAGAAGGCCCTGCAGTATAAGAGGAAAAATCCTTTCCAGCAGTGCTGCCCCTGTTTACCCTGTTGGAGACATAACCAGATGTTTTAGTCCCTTTTTACATTGCATAACACTTTGGATGATTATAAAATCAAATAAATATTTACCCATCAAACAACATATGAACAGATGAGCAGATAATTCATGAAATAAACCTGCCTGACAGGACACACAGTTTTGTTCTGAACACTTTTTCTCCTGTGTGAGGCTTGAAATTTTAAGGGTTTGGGTTACTATCTGTTAAAATTTCAACGTCTGAGTAAAATGGCTGATCCTGATAATTTGATAAAAGCCAAACCATTTGAGTTATTTGACTGTGTATAATAATACAGGTTTTCACTTTGAATGCATGAAGGCCGAAGCACATGAGGGCTCTGGTCCATTTCATGGCAGCATTCACAGGCTGTGTATTGGCTGCAGATTTCTTTTATCTCTTGTAAGTTAAACCCAAAAAACAATAAACAGTCACCTATTACTCAGATATCATGGCTTCACAAGTCATTAAGATCAATTTAAAAAGTATTTTAAAATATGTGATAAGATTTGATTGCTGATCATTATGTTGACATCCACGGCAAAATGAAAACTGAGCTGTTCAACAGCCTCCAGTGTAAAGAAATGCTTGTGTTTAATAATGAATATTGTGTTAATTTACTTGAAAAGGTTTAACAGTTCACTCATGCAAAAAGAATGTTCTACATAATCCAATTTGTTGTCTTGGGCAAAAACATCAATTCTTAAATCGAGTCATGGGGATGGCAACTGCATTTGATCTTTATAAGGAAGAATTAGAGTCATGGGAGAAGTGGATAACAGTCAGGATTGCCAGAGCTGACAAATTACAGTTATTAGCTACTGCTGAGATCTGTCCCTTTGGCAAGGGGGTTGTTCAGGCTGTCTGAGGGTCAGGGGCCAAAAAAGAAAGTGCATCTGATGTATTCCTTAAGGAACAAAATACAGAAACTTAAAATAAATTTGGCTGTAGCAGCATTTTAAAGACCAGAAGTTTTGAGTATCTGACAGTTAATTCCCTGCATTTTGGTCAACATCTATGTAACATTTAGTGGCGAAAATATCATGGAAAAACCCAGATTTGTAAATGCTACTTGAATACAGTTTGCATTGTAGTAAAATTGTATCAATTTTTTTACAAGGTAGTTTTAAAAATGGGTAATTATTGTAAATCAAATTACAGTTTAAACTGATATAATACATAAAGTAGCTACCATGAAGTTAACTTCCACAATAAGGTACTGGTTTGCAGGGATCACTCATTTAGTTTGATCCATCTGTTTCACATCGTCAAAACTGTATCAGTGGGTAACCAAAAAATTTTCTACAAAAGAAGGGTCCCCTGCTTGGATGTGAACCCAGGGATGGCAGATATGTCTGCAGACAGAATTTGTACAGTAGCCTACTATCAGTGTGATTGATGACATAATGCAAAAAAGACAGTTGTACAAATAAACATCATTAAAAGTTGAGATGTTTTTTTTTCTGTTTTCTCACTGTTACTTTGGAAAAACATTGAGTACACCATACCAATTTAATCCAAGTAAGATTTCTGGCTTTTTTTCTTAAATCTATATTGCCAGCTTCTTTCTTACTCTTTAGGAGTTTTACAAAGCTTTTTTTTTTTTTTTTTTTTTTTTTTTAACACAGAGTTAAAAACCCATTTCCTCAACCCTCTTGCTCTGTGTACAAAACTCTGTGATGAATTTTGCATCCACTTTGGACAAAGTGGTAAACCTTACACTGTTGACAGTCTCATGTTGTTCTTCTGAAAGTGGTATCAATTGACAAAAAAAAACTCCCCCTAATATCTTTTTATAGAGCATTTTTTCTTTACTGTGAAAATCTGCTATGGGGAAGAAATTTCTTACTCTTACATAGCTGTAACAGCAGTTCATGGAGTTAAAAAAAAAAGGGGGGGGGGGGGGGTTAGAAACATTCATCCTCTTATGGATCGCCTCAGTTGCTTTTGCACATCATATAGATGTATCAATGTTCAGCATTTTTTTCCTCATTTATGAACGGCTAAAATCAGGGACAGGTCATCCAAAACGGGGACACACCGCGGAACGTCTGGTGGCCAAAAATGATGTTCAGTAAAAAGGGAAGTTGAAAGGGAGGGAACCGTGCCGTTTTGAGACGCCCCCACAAGGCAGACCAGTGAACGCTCAAGTGTCCAGTCTCTTTCCGAGTTTGGCAACTTCTCCGTGAATCCTTAAATAAGTCAAGACGTCCACTTTTCCTTTTTTTGCACACTCTTTGCCTTCTTTCGATTGAAATCACTTCGTCGTAAGTGGTGATATTTAGTTTAATGTTGCATGTTAAAAATAGTGTGGAAGTGCACTGTTGAGTGCCAAAACCCACTCTTGTGTATCAGTAGATAATGCTAAAACCATTAGCTGCTGTGCCTTGATAGTTAGCGTTACATGGCTAACATTGTAGTAGGACACTAAACTAAGAAAATTGTGTCTTTGTTAGCTTTGAATCCACCTTATCCTCTGTCGTGTTGCCTTTTTTCGGTGTTATAAAACAAAGTAGTGGGTAAACAGTTGTATAAATGTTTGATTGTTTGCCAACGATCAGGACATTAGCATGTGCGCTCCTATTTTAGGCTGCAGATCCCAAGTTGCTCGACAGTAACACTCCGCCACCGTTCTGGTTCAATTGACAGGATGATGTTCATTTGATTAGTTAATTAATTAAACTGTAACTAGTTTGTTTATTAGCTATACAGGGGAAAAGGCATGCACTATTTACAATTTGTACAGGAATAATGGCGCGTTTTGATACATGAACCAGGATGGCCGAGTGGTTAAGGCGTTGGACTTAAGATCCAATGGACATATGTCCGCGTGGGTTCGAACCCCACTCCTGGTAACTCTTTTAATACTTTGAGAGCAGTTTGCCGATCTTGTGCTTTCTATTATGTCTGAATACAGTAGGACTATTTGGTAATGATAAGCCACATATTGTCTTACTGTAAATCTGCCATCTTAGTTGCTTTTATGGGCGCAGAAGCTACAAAGCAAAAATTAATCAGTCTTTACAAAAACAAAAAGACAGTTTTTGTTTAATAGCTCTATAATGTTACATAGTGTTTTAAATAATTTGATCCCTTTGATGAATGATGATATGAAATTCAAGGTGGCATATAATTTTGTTGAGATATTTTTGCAGTACAAGTCCACCCCCTACTGGCTCATAATGTCAAGGTCTGATATCAACATGTGTGGCATATCTGGTAAATAGTACTGGATAATTATGCTACTAATTGTTCTAAACTACTGCAGTTTAAGGGAATGTACTTATGATATTTATTTTTCAGTCATTTTATGCTGCTTACTTGTATGAAATGATTGAAAGTTTGATATTTTATCCTGCAGGAGTGTGTACACTTTTCAGGCACTGGAGGGCACTCAGACAACTTTCATTTAATCTCCTGGCTGAAGTCCAACACAGGCCTACAGAGAGAGAGCTCAAGCACTTTCACCCCTATAATTTTACTGCAAGGGCGATGCCATGAATTCATGTTTGCCCATTTGTCACAGGAAAACCTTAACAGAAAATAGTTTAAACTCCTCTAAGGTAGTATTTCAAAAGGTACTAATGTAAACAAATTGCAATAATTGAGTTAAAAAGAAAGTTTCCTTCAGCAGCCTTAATACAAAATAAAATCCTAATTTAAATGTGTACATGTCAGTTAACCACAGACAAGACTGTCTATATACCCTCTTGCTCAATACGTCACCTTTAATAGCCATAAATTAGGAAATATTCTGTCACATGATAGGTGTTCAAGGCCGAGGAGAGGACAAATTTGTGAAACTGAGCAGCTTCTCTGCTCTACATCCACAAACAAGCCTGACAACTGAGAAGAGGCAAGAATAAAGGTACTGGCTTACAATGATGGTCAAAATCTCTGCATTCATAGCACTACAGAGACTGTTTCCAGTTTGCGTTTATCTATAATTCAGGTTGTGAAAAAGTTGTTGCTTTTCAGGACCAACCCCTCTACCTTTAAAAAAAAAATTAAACCCTTCTCAAGAGTCAGTATAAATTCTGATGTTTTATTTATTCTAATTATGGTTACTGGTGTTTTCAGTGAGCTGTAATTTTCTTAACATATTTTCTTATATGTATTTTTTTTAATGGAGAGTTGACTAAAACCCATTTAAAAAAAAATGTTTTGTGTCTTAAATACATGAATTCTGAAGAAACAAAGAATTCAATGACCACAAAGTGAGTGTGTTTATTGCAGTTTATTTTAGTAGAATAGCATTACTGTTCTAGGTTACCCTGACTGTTAAAATGAATAATTTACTAGATTATTGGACTAGAGTACATTTTTACAGTTTTTTATAAATACATAATTAATGGCTTACATACTTGATTTGTATAGTTTCACAAAATGTTGAATTTTTCTTAGGAAAAAGGATGTAGATAAATTGAACTCAATTGTTCAAGTAGCAGGTGAGTGGACCAAGAACTACACCATATACCTTCAGAATTCTTGTGCCATATTTCATCTATTGTATTTCAAGTCAACTTTACAAAACAAATATGACAATATACACCAGGAAACTCGATAGAGATATATTTTAATACAGTAATGATATTTAACTGACCTTAACTCTACCACCAGTTTATTGTGACACTTAAAATGAATGCTCTATGATATTTGTATAAATGAAGAAAGGTTTGATCTTGTTCAAAGTACCCTATATACTCCTGAATAGTAGGCTGAAAACGACGTGTTTCACGATCTTTTGGTAACATTCGGTAAATGCCTTTATCACATTGTTTTGTTCGAATAATGAGTCCATGGCGCCTTTAAGTGGAAAATATCCCAATAAGAAGTCCATACATTATTCTTCAGTGTTGTTCTGAATCATTGTTCCACGGTGGGGATCACTGGTTTCGCTGGGGTTACGTCGCGTGACGCCCACCGCGCCATGTTTCCATCCCAGCGTCAGGAAAACTTTAGTAGCCACAGGGAAAAAGCGCTTCACTATTGTCAAGTTGTCAGAAGTTTATACTATGATTCCGGCGAAAACGTACGTAATAAAAGCTGTCATTGACATTCTCGATTGAGGCGGGAATCATTCGCAAATATGACAAAACAATCCAACTAAAGCGAGTATGACTTTAGTCTTGGGGTTCTATGTGCTAAGATTGTTTTACTTTTCTTCAGTGAGGAATAATTTTAAATTGCGTTTTTTTCTACTAGTTCCATGAGCTAATTACTAAAGCGTTACAGCATTCCTTTGAGCCCGTTTCCGGCCAAATAATATTCGACCATTGATCTCTACCTCATTACTCTTGCTGGTTATTGGTTCCGTCATAAAACGTAAGTGTATCCATCAGGAAATCAGTAACGTGCTCTTAACGTTTTAACCACAGACTATACTATATATATACTTCTATATACAGTCAATGATTTTAACAGTTAACATTAACTTTTACTTTGTAAATGTTCTCCTACTTCCGTTACTTTTTCCTCTAACTTTTGCCAACTTGACGTTGGCATTAGCAGCAGAGAAAGAGTGAAGTAAGCAACAGGAACAAAGTTGTGGGACCTGGGTCCACAGCAACGCAGTATTACCCGTGAAATGTAAGAACTATTTCTCCGTTTCTGAGGGAGGCAGACTGCCAGTTACTGTTGGGATAACGGTGGTCGTGCCTTGTCGCGTGTAGCATTTCTTTAAAGTTTTTGGCACATTGTGGAGACTGAATGCTGCGGTGGACGGTTCTCTCCAGTTAGCTGGTTAGTTTAGAAGTGTGGCTCGAGCTTCGACAAGAATGCCGTAAATCAGTTGGATGTACTCTTTCAACGTTCGAATACATTTGACTTTTATTTGCATACACACGCGTTGCACGTTGTGGACTTGCATTGTGGGAGTACGTCTCCTGACTCACCAGTGACAGCAGAGGTGAGTGATTCGGATCCATGAAAAACCTTGGACCTATAATGTTCATTTTCACTGTATCAGCGGAATAGAACTTTATTGTGAGAGTGGGTTAAACTTTGAGTTTTTTTTTCTTTATATTTAAAGTTAAAAATTAAAAGAAGTCACCACACCTTTTTGAAAACATGCCTGCTGCTGGCTTATGGTGTGCATTAACCAGACTTTCCTGCTCGATGAAAAGGCAAGCTTTAAATACCTCTGTCATTCCCAAGAAATAAAACATTAACTACTGCGAGGCTACAGCAGATTCACAGATTAAGAATACACGTTTTGCAAGTGTATCAGCTTTATTTATTTCACATCCTCAGAAAATTAGTGTTTATTTATTTATTTATTGGCATCATGCATATCACAGTGGAAATTACTGATTTACACATGAAGTAAACAGCCTCCATTGGCTCATTGTTTCCTTTCAGTCGCCTTGCTTCGTGTGTGAAAACTATTCCTCTAGCATAGAGAGGAACTGAAAATGTAATGCAACCAGTAAAACAGATTAGGGCTGAC